AAGGTATAAAAACAGGCAAACCCTCGATTTTTGCTCTTATAATTCTTCAGTATTTTAATATAAATTTAATTAAATTATTTGCAAGGTGCCAAGTCCGCAACATCTGTTCAGCAAAAATTGTGTTCCTTTACTCTTCACATAGACAACAGCTGAATAAAACATGGTTTCTTTCACCGACGAGCTGAGTCTTGACAAAATGAAATTTTTAAATGTGATGGCAAGCGGAATTTATGTAGTAATCTCACGGCACGGAGACATATTCCCCTGCCCAGGACTTGTGTGCATGATTTATCTTAAGTCGCGTAACAAAGGCGGTGAGAGCACTTCCTGTGTGCGTGATCCTGCAACCCCATCGTCCTCATCCTCCTTCGCCTTCATGAATCACCCAGCGAGGAGCAAGGAGCAAGGAGTGGCAACATGTGCTTAATAGTTTAACGCTTCGTGTGCCACTTAGCTGGGCATGAATGCCTATTCCTGCAAGGAGTCACACAGCCAGCCAGGACTTATGTATATACATCTCACCCTTCCCCAACTCATGGTGATAATGTTGCCCTGCTGCAAGAGGAGCTGTTGGTGCATTCTGTCAGCAGGAACCCATCCTTTGGCGCACTCATTTTTCGTTTCAGGCATTAGCAGATCCATCTCAGTTACAAATCCGCGACGGTGATGCCCGCTTTACCCATTTTGTTCCATTTGGCGAACCAAGCCAATCTCTCCTTTCGTTCCGCTTGGTGAAGGTAGGGACACGAACTCCGGTTCCAATGTGGAGTAGATGAAGAGGAGTCCTGGTTTCCGTGCCCATCTGGCATCGCGTGTCGCATGATGTATGACATTTTTGCGCCTCATAAACACCTGTCCTCTCCCCAGGATAATAACAAACACTCACACTGATGAAAGGGAATCTAATCTAACATATTATAAAGAATAATGAAGAAAATAAATTGTGATACAATATTGTAAAATAAGTGTTATATTTGAATATTTATATAAGATAGCGAGATCATATATTTCTTTCCAAGTTTAGACTGAACGTTCTATTGTATTTCCAAATTTATTTCCCAAACTAGAACTGATTATAAGCCTAACTAAAAGGCTACTTAATATTATTATTTAACTTTTTTTATTCATAAATACTTACCTTTCAAAGACTTGTAATATGTTACATGTACTTTTTTCAGCTTTTTCTGCTAGTGCACCTGTTTCCACCTGCCTGCTCGTCACCTTATTGCTCTTTTTTGTTTTTGTGCATCGTCCAGACAGCCGCCCCTCCTCACCCTTTTGGCAGGTGGGTTGGGTTTTCCTCTATTTTGGCCCAGGGTGGTGCCATGTTGTTTGTTTTTGTTTGCCTTGACGAAATTGGCACGACTGGCAGGCGGCAGGTGGGACAGGATGCCGCCGTGTTGACTGTTTGACTATTTGCTCGTTTACGTTAACGGTGAGCTGACTTATTTTCCTCGGCGGTGCAATTCAAATATGCCGGGAGTTCCTTTACCCCCAACCGGTTGATTGCACGATCAAAGTCAATTGACCTTTGGCATTTTCCGGGTTTTTGTTTTGGAAATTCCAACCCCTTTTGTTTGCCAGTTAGATGAAATTATTAAAGTAGTTGGAAAAGCTTCCAATGAACTTTAAACAGAGCCACTGTTTGGATAAAAAACTATCAGTATTAAAGCATTTTTTTCGGTTATCCGATTGCCAGATCCATTTATATTTCCAGATATAGTATATATATAAAAAATTGTTGATATTTGATTCATGCTGACCCGCAGATGTTTCTGCCAATGCAAAACAAAAAATTAACATTTCCATATGTGATTTATCTTCTCCATTTTGAGAAGCTCTTGATTAATCGGACATAATACTTTATTTTGTGTATGCACTGCAAATATTAAGAATAATTTTATGTTGAATAGTGTAAACACTCAAAGTTTCCTGTCCACTAATTGAATAAGTTAGTTTTCCGGAACGGAATCTGTGCGGTTATAGCTGGCTTCCGTTCGCCTGATGGAGGAATATCGAACGTTATTTCAAGCCAACTAAACTTTTTGACTTCCATTCCCATTCATTTGCCAACATGCTCATCATCATCATTTTGAGCCAGGGTCTCTGAGTTGAAATACCATTAAAATCACATTTCGATTTAATTTGCATAAATTGAAGCCGAGTCAGTCGCTGGAAAATGAAGCCGAACGGTAGCTTTCCCTCTCTGGTCTAAACATGAACTAAAATGCCATTGAAAAGCGATTCAAAATCAATTAGAGAGTGATTTTGCAAAATATATAGTTTATACTATATATTTCTATTAAGCGAAAATGCTCAGATGTGGCGGAGTAAATCAACCAAATCGAGACTAGTAATGGCAAATCAAATATATTATATTTCTTCAAAGCTTATATGAGTATTTATCGAATATAATACATCCTACAATATTTTGGTTATATTTAATATTTTAATAATCAAAATACATGAACATCCCTAGGTTAAACCACACCCCCTTTATCGGTTGATTTAAACGGGTCCAAGGACATGAGGAGGATTATGACACTTTTTGCGCCTCGCTGCTCGCATATATTCGGCTTTTGCTTTTATTGAGCGAAATGAAAAATTCAATTAAAATGCACACATGCTCCGAAACCCAAACCCTAAAACTGGCCAGGGATCCTGTGCCAGCAAAAAAATTGAGAGCGGAACGAACGAGCCGGAGTCCTGGCAGCAAAATGAAAAAAGGAACGAAAGGAAACGAAAAATGTGAAAAATCAGCATAACAAAGTGGGAAAAACTATGAAAATGCATTTGCCCGGCATGGCCGCTTTCACTTTTCTCTTCCCTGTTATATTTCCTTGTTTTCCCCATTTTCTTTTCTTTTTTTCAGGGAAGTCTTCCGTCATGCTCCACAAGCCTGGCTGCCGTCCAGCCAGACATACTCATGTGTCCATGTCCTGAGACCTCCTCCAGGGGACGGGCAATGCCAACACAATATTACTATGGCAACTTTGTGCCCCAAAAAGGGTAACGGATGCGAGATCCTGTATGCAAATAGGCAAAGGCTGTAAACACATTTCATTTGCACAAAGAATTAGACCTAGAAAGGAGTCCTGGAATGGAATGGTTCACCGAAATCAGCGTTTATTGTTGTCGACCTTTTTGTTAAGGAGCCGCCAACAAATTTTTAAGGTTGTATAGGATAGCAACAATAGAGTATGAAATAAGCATCACCATTAAGCTTTTGTGGATTATCAGAATAGTATTTGGCTTTAAATTCCTTTAGTAATTTAAACATGTATAAAAGTTATTTATGGCAAGCTACATAATTAAAAGCAAGGTAAACAAAATTTTTGCAAAATTCACGCCCTAATATTGAAAACAATCGAACCGCTGTGTTAAATTTAAAATACCAACTGCATTAATTTTGTCAGGCCAAATAAAATTTGTTTTCATGCATTTTCCCTTATTGTTTTTGATTTTTTGGTATTTACCTTTATTATTTTTGATGTCATGGCGCACCATGACACTCTTATATTTTTTGGCAATTGTACAATTCGTGTATTTAGCGCCTGCAAATAATGCAGCGATTGCAATGAATGTGTGAGGGGGGTTTCCCCAAAATATCAACGCTAATGAAACAAGTGCACCCATTTTCCCTGTGGGGCCAACACTTCGTCCTTCCCCCTCGGATCCTGTCAGAGTCAGAGTTGATATGGGGGAAAGCCGGGCAAACAAACTGCAAAGCTGAATTTACGGTTGCCGCTTTTGAATTGACAACCGGGAAGGACGATGGGGGAGATGGAGGCCGGAGTAGGGATGGCCGGAAGCGGGGAGCCTGGTTTTATGGCGGATTTCGACGAAAATATAAAAATAAAATTGGATTTTAGCGTAGATTGTAGAAGGCCGTAAATATTTTTCAATTCACTGGCCCCGGGCTGAGGCTGAAGGATGTAAAGCGATGGGGGATTTTGGGTTCGCACACACACATATGCCCCCATTGATTTCCCCAAGGGGCGGTGGCCTCCTGTAAAAGGGGTTCCCCTTTCCCGGGTTCTGCGGTTGCGAATCGCGTGCGAATGATTTGGCAGAATTAACTCCCCAACACCGGGTTGCAAACAAATTCGCTGCCGAAGGCGACGAGCCCCCAGGACACGTCCCCGAAAAGCAGCAGAATGCGGATCCTGATGCGGCAATCGGAGGACTCCGGAGGAGCAACATGTGGAGAGGGAGGGATTAGGAGCCAGAGAAAAGCCTCATTTGAATGCCAAGCGAAACGGTTTTTTTTTTTGTTGGTTTCATCCATTGCGTGCAGGAAAGAACCCTTTTTTGTTTGTGATCCTTTCAACGGCACCGAGTCCTTGCCCCAAGGCGTTAGATATAAGTTGGTGGAGCCTGCTTACCTCCTGCTACCTCAACAAATCCTCCGAAAACTCATTTCGTGTTGCCGGCACCAAATTGATTTCATTGCCTGTTTGTGCTTTGTTTCCCCAGCTAAATGCCTACCCCACTCAATCCTTTTAGATCCCGGCACTCAGATGGAAAATATCCTTGCTGCGGCTGTGCCTTTGACTTTAACAAAACATATTTATGGAAATTCCGGCGGCCAATTTGTTAGCATTTTGATTGGAATTCATAGTTGGTAATCTAAAAAATGAGGCTAGTAAATCTTTAAATAAACTATAGCTTTAACCGAAACAAAATTAAAATAGGAAAAATTTAGAAAAACGAGAAGCCGTATTCATTAAAAATACAAATTTAAAATACTCATAGCTATGTCATATTTCCACTATACATGGCTAGATCGATTCAGCTGTTCATTCTGATCAAGATTGATCAATGATTCTTTCATTGTGTTATAAGCTTCTGACTAAAATTAGAATACCCTTCGGGGGCTTACAAATAAAGAGATAAGTATCCAATATTTTGTAAAGGAAAGGATAGGAAAGGTAATAATAAGCTCTGTGATGCTGCTCTATTTTGACTAAACGAAATAATATTTAAATCAAAGATAGGGATGCCATGAGTTAAGTGTATTTATACACTACAGTACACAGGGTATCCCAGATGGCGGGCCGACAGCTAGGCAAGAGGCTGATACAGTTCCTGGACCGTTTCCACCAGGCGGCCTTCAGCCCAAAGTACTTGTTCTACACCAACATTGGCATCTCGGTGGGCCTGAGCATGGTGGGCGATGCCATGGAGCAGACCTACGAAAGGATGATCGGCGAGATACCCGAATGGAACCGTGTCCGAACCGTGCGGATGGGAATCTCTGGGTTAACGGTGGGCGTGGTGTGCCACTATTGGTACCACTACCTGGACTTTTATTTCCCGCAACGTACCCTAAAGACGGTTATAATCAAGATCCTGCTAGATCAGTTCATCTGCTCACCATTCTACATGGCTGTCTTTTTCCTAACCATGGCCTTGCTGGAGGACACGACTTGGGAAGAGCTGAAGCAGGAGATCCGGGACAAGGCCCCCATCCTCTATGCCGCCGAGTGGACAGTGTGGCCTGTGGCTCAGTTAATCAACTTCTGGCTGCTCAAGCCCCAGTATCGAGTCTTGTATGATAACACCATAAGCCTGGGCTATGACATCTTTACCTCACAGATCAAGTATCGCAAGAAACCCACCGACGAGATCGAGCCTAAAAAGGGAAAATAACCCTACCCTAGAATATTTGTGAAAACTTTCAATAGTCAAAATACTAAACAATGTGTTGTATAGAAAGTAGATATAGCACATTTGGGATCTGCTTATTCGACAATGTAGACTGCCGCTAAAAAGATTGTTAAATTCCTCGTCTCTGTAATAAATCATTCCCAATGCCCGAACATGCTTAAAGAGACACATGCTTTTATTGGGTGTCGACGCTAGCTCAACCTGACACCATGTCCCCGGGTGTCAGGTTGGCATTGCTCCCTCGTTCCGCAGATGGACGATGATGGAAGGTGACCCCAACCGTGGTAGCCATCCCGACTCGAGGGATACAAGGGAGCCCCCGGTGGATGGGTAGGTGGGTGACTTGTCAGTTCCAGGACCTTTGTCGAGGGCTGCGAAAGAGCAGATACTCAGCGGAATGGTGAATGGCATCGAGGACCGAAAAGACAGACACTCGAGCCGTGAGCCCTCGACGAGGAATTGTGTCAAGCATACAAAATAAATAAAGGCACAGGGCTTGGGATAAAAAAAAAATGCTAAGAGAAAGGGAAATCAAGTGACAAAATTGATGTCAAGATGAGCGAGTGGCGGCCCTGCCAGGACATTCACAGCCATATCCAGATGCACAGGCAGATGGCGACCTGGCTTCACGGCCAGTGCCAGTTGATGCCACGGAAGAGGATGTGCACACCCACTCACACACACACACACACACACACACACACATGTAAACTAATCCAATTTAAATCTCTTAACATGATTTGCCGCTTTCTTTTCATTTTGTTGGATTTTATGCCATTATCCCTTTTGGTCTCCGTGTGTCCTTTCGGCGACCAAACTGCCTGGCACGACAAGAAGCCAGATCCTTCCCACAGTGGGTGAAGTTATGATTATTATTATACTTTCAACGTGTTTAAATATATAGTTTGAGGGCTACAGAATAATAAGTTATAAATAATGCTTAAGAGTAGGACAAACTTTTTAAGTATGGAAAAGAAAATGTGTTTCGAATTCAAGGACTTGACCCTTACAAATATTTGACATTTAACCACTGTACATTCCTGCCACTGGCAAGTTGACTTCCTGTCTTTGCTGTTATCTCTACCAAGAAGGACGCGCCTGCTAAGACCAAGGACACCAAGGACTGCGGCCAAAGGGTTTATTTATTTGGTTTAGCGGCTGCCTCGGTAGCTTTAGTCGCTCTATCCTCATTTTGTGATTTAATTTAAAAGCTCAGTCACCGGAGTCCTTTTTCCGGAGGAGCTGTGAATGAAACTGGGGGTAGGGCGCTTTTCGGCACGTGGCCAGCCGCCTCAACTGGGGGAGGTCCTTGATGAGTTGTGTGTGTGTGTGTGTGGTTAAAGTATCCCAAATGAGACTACGTGTTGATGACCAAGTTTGCCAAGTCACCGCCGGCGGCTAACCTAAGTCGGACCAAGAAAAACTGGAATTTAGAATAAGTTATCTGCGGATAGAAATGCCCATAGCTTGGCACAAACACTTTAGCACTTTGGCATTAATTAATTAAGAGATAAGTGTGGATATACAATGATTTCGGTATAACGAAATTAACACAATGAAGGCAATTATTCCATTATTAGATACCCTTTAAAGATAAAGGTAACCTTTATAGATTTCTGATAATCGAATGTAACATTAGGTAAACTTATCATTTATGAAAGGCTTACTGTCTCAACATTTACCGCACAACAATTAGATTCACACCCATCGGCAGTATGTATTACGATCGATATTTGATGCTGCTGGGTCCGGGTACCGAAGGGAGCACTCTCATATGACCCCGGACTTCCATCCATCCATACATCCATCCATCCGTCCGGTTCAGGTGGGGCCAACCACGTTCAGTTAATTGGCACTCAGAGCCTTCAAACAGAAATGCCAATGATGTTTGTCTACGAAATTACCCCGGCGAGAGGGAGCAGTCCCTACGAGCCCAGCCTGTCATGTGTGTGGGTGCGTAGGACGGAGTGCTAACGCCAAACTCCGGACTCAGGGAGTCTGTCTAGGGGTTCCGACCATAACCTATGCCCTCATAATGGCATTGTGTGCGAATGCAGAGAGCGGAAAAATGTGATTTAGCGAGAGATTATAAGCCTAAAACTATAATTTCCAGCAAGTTAAAGTTGTATTTAAACATTTTATTGGTTTATTTCGATTTTAATTTCTTTAATGTTTATGGAATATATCTCTATATATCTCAGCTATCATTTGTTTCCTCTCAGTGTATCTCTTTAGCTTGAAATGTACGAAATGGGTACAAGGATGAAAATGAAAAAGGAAGCTCGCTGTGGGCGCATTGTGCAGCCACATGCCCAGCAGTTATAATTCCATTTGCGATCATAAAAATGTATTACGAGGGTAAGCTGCTCATAACAGGCTACTTAATTAACGAGGTATTCACGGTTGGTCCCACATTGTTTCGCTAAGTGTACGAGGAGTGTACACGGGTGCATACAAGGCCCCCCGTGACCGCTTTTCGTACCGAAAGGACATAACTGCTTGCCTTTCAAGCACGTGGCATATGTTGTTGCTGCCAGCAAGGAGGGGGATTCCCCCTCATCATCTCCAGCATAAAAGTTGCGTCAACTTAATTAGCCATAAATTAGCCAGGATTCACGCGTTTTTAACGACTTGTTTTGGTTCGACCAAGGGGGGGAATGATGGCCCTGTCCTCATCACGATGCCACTAAGTCCATCTGTCAGCCAACTTGAACGAGTTAATTTATTTATCTTGCCGCAGCAGCATTGCCCCGTGCCTTGGTCCTAATGCCATTTGATTTATCTAGGAGAGAGAGTGGTTCAAACTTTTGGAGATGCCAGCGTTTCCTTGGCTGTGTCGAAGTCTTATTGCGGACAGAATTGATAAATACGGGTGTAAACAAGATGCTGCTGCTGCTGTTGCTGCTTCTATTGCTGCTTTCTTCAAGCCCAGATAAGCTGGGGCTTAGAGCATTAACTTGGCTTGGTAAATGGAGAAGAAATGCAGTCATTACTGGGATATACTAGGAGAATACTTTAGCCCTTTTAAAATTGATTGAGTTCTTGGGATATCTGAACCTATTGAACCAATATCCCTATATTTTGTATATCAATATGTGCCAGCGTATTCCTAATTTATAACACATAAATAAAGCTAACAGTATTCAAACTTAAGCTAACAAATTAATATTACAAGAATAACAAAGGAACAAAATGCATAATGCATTCTTTATTCACTCTCTCGAGTGTATAGTATTGTGACCCCAGCAAAGTACCTAATTAATATTACAAAATCATAAGCATTCCTTTGTAGTAGTCGTACTCGGTGAATATTGATTTTCATTTATAATCCCAACACACATTGACTAAGCCCCGCTTGTGCAAAACTTCTGACAACTATAAAGGGATCTACGGAACATATGTGTGTGCAAATCCCCCGTTTTGGCATCGGTCGAGGGGCTTCCTGGAGGGCCATGATACACATTTCACAGCTGTTTGGGTAGTAAATCAACCGCATAATGGAGCCATACAAAGGCCATCCGTCGTCCAGCATCCAACATCCAGCTGCGTACTTTTGGGCCTCCGTTTGTGGCTCAACGCTAGCCGATGATTAAAAACTCTTAATTGTCGGGATCTGGGATCTGGAAAATTGAATGAACATTAAAGTGCCCATCCAGCCTGGCAGGGATCATGAATCATGGTCGGGGCAACTTCATGCGTACGCTTTTCAATCTGGTTCCGCATATTTAAGCTTAATGCCTTCAATCCGAGCCCAACTTTTATGCCTGTCGGGGCCAGGAATCGCACTAAAATTGGTAACAACAGCGGCGCCAACAGCAATCCCAGAAACAACAGGGCAGAGCCAACAATAAGAGCAAGGCATCAACATCAACAAACTCGGCAAAAGCAACAGCAGCAACAGCAGCAACAGCAGCAACAGCAGCAACAGCAGCAACATCAGCAGCAGCAACATCAGTAGCAGCAGCAGCAGCAACAGCAGCAGCAGAACCACAGCAACAATCGAAATGAGAGCAGCAAATTTTAACGAGCGCCGCAAAACCCACAGCGCTCTGCTTTTTTAAGCCGCTTTCATTTACTCGGCCCAAACGCTGGGAGGTGGAGAAGGATACAGGGGGGGTACTGGTACACACCCCCGCCCCTCTCTGGTTGTGTAATTACAAAAAAGCCGCGGGCTAAAGTTGGGAGCAAAACTTGACAAATGGCAACGGTGGAAACTGTGGACCGATGGAGTGGCGCTGGGAGCGGGCCGGTTAACCAGGATAATAGGATGAAACAAATGTAAATGAGGCTGGGAGGAAGAACGTTTGCAATGTGCTCTCGACAAAATAAAGCCATACAAGACAAAAGCATAGCATAGTGTCTCGACAGTGGCATACCGGTTCCGTATATATTATAGCTTGTTTAAAGGCATTTAAAAATAGTATCAAATAAAAAATTAAAGCCAAAAATAAAGCACTTTTAATCTTACGTATAAAGATTCCTTTACAGAAGTTGTAGAGTCAGATTTCACTTTAAAAATATAAAAAAACTAAAGAAATGATGCCCCAACAGGATATCAATTTTGTATTAAGTAATCTTAATTCTTTCCTCAACCTCTATAAGAACTAAATCTAAATGGAATACACCCCCAATCTCTACAAACACTGGATATTAAAATAATAAAAGAAAAGAACACAGGACACGAGCACAACAAATCGGGACACAGAAACGTTGACTCAAAAATCTGTTAAAGACATCTCCAACTGTGTGTTGCTTTTTTTGATGTCTTCCCGCCAGTTTCTGTGTCCCAAATGGAACATCGCCGCAGGTGTCGTGTCCGTGGATAACTATAACACAAAAAAAATAATAATAAAAAGAAATCGCGATGCGTGGCTCTGGGATTTATGAACCTGATATGGTAACTACCAAACATAGTGAAAAGTTGGTCCTGTCTAGATTTCCATGTGCGATCCGAAAGACTACGACAAATAATTTAAGCTCTATCTTGATGCTGTCTGAATTCACTTATTGGATTACAAATTTACAAATGTTTTTATTTCCATTTATTGTCCGGCAGCAGACACAAAGCTCTGTTATCAAACGAATGCATACATTCTTTTTTTAGGGATTTTCATGGAAATGATGTGACAATATATTCCAAAGCAAGAATATATATTTTTGTTACTATAAAAACCATAGAAAATGATGTTAACATGACATTTAATATCTCTAAATGAAAACATTTATGCATTATATTTGCCATAAACTACTTGTAAAGAACTAAAGATAATATATTTGAGGCATAAAATTTAATCATTAAATGCTCTATTAAAGGGAATTCTTAATTATTTGTAATTATCTGAATTATACCAGAATTTATAAATTACATTCTTATTCCAAGTGCCTGTTACGGGCCACAGTGCGTATGAGTAATATTTGATAATTTTTTTCACAAAATCACTCATCCGCAATGGGGTCCCGAGCCTTGTTTACATAAAATCGAAATAACTAGATATGGAATACGAAAAAGAATATAATATTTAAATTGTTTTATAAATCAGAAGTACAACAAATTAAGAAATTTATTTAAGAGAGCATTTTATGATTAAATTTAGTGCCCAACAAGTTTTCCTAAAAATAAATATCAATAAAGCTGTCTAATATTAAACTTATTTTAATTTAAAAACAAGATAAACGATTACAAAATATAATAATTCTATCGGGACCCCATTGCGGATGAGTGATTTTGTGAGAAAAACTATCAAATATTACTCATACGCACTGAGGCCCATAACAGGCACTTGGGATCTTTTTGCAGTTGAGTGATTTTTTCAAATGTTATTCCTTTTTTTTGTAATCAATTTCGCTCTGTGCGAAAACATAAAGTAATATCAGGATTCCCTCGTGGATTTTATGTACTCACAGTCAATATTTTGCTGGCCGTATCAGAAAATCATTTGCAGGCTACCACCGGCGTTGCCGCCATGCAATCAGCGGCCATTCAGCCAGGTCATTCCCATTGGAGCCGGGTGATGGTGGCAACTCCTCATCATCATCCGCATAGCATGTAGGAGTAGTAGTTGGGGGCTGCAGGACACTCTCAGGCCCAACAGTTGGTTGCACATCTGCGCATTGCAGCAGTACAACACAGCACGAGATGGGATGCACTGCACCGCCCCATTCTGCTGGGAATTCCTTACATCCCGTCGAGCGGCAATTAAAATCTCGTATTCGAATTCTGCGGGAGCAGCTGGGAAGCACTTTAATTTCCCACGACGTAGGAGAATCAACATGGCTTCAAACCAGACGAGGGGAGCAATCAACTCCACACAAAACCCTTTTTGACTAAGCCGACACTTGGGAAAATTAAAGAGCGTATTTAAGCTTCATTTTGCATATAAATTACTTGTGGGATTGTAAGAGTCAGTAGGAATTTGCATTCAATTTATTTACACTTTATTTCATATTAACATATGAGGTAAATATTCTAAGGCAATGTTTGATTTCATAGGGAAGTTATATCCTTTAACTTGTATTTGTATTTGTATTTTAAATACAGATCGATTTTTGTATCATTAGAACTAATTTATGTTCTAATCAATTTTGAAGCTTAACTTAGAAAGCCTTTTTTGGCAAGAGTTTTAGACCACTTTTACTTATCTTAGATTTTGAATAAAAATATATACCAGAAAGCTCTAAATATTTTGAGTGATTTTTGAAACCCTTCAAAGTTTTCTAGACCAAAAACTTCAGGATAAACTTGAGGCTTATGTATAAAATATTTTACAAATGGTTTTAACCATATATGTTTTAAAATCTTTACAAATTTTTCCTGTGCACGAAACGGAATCAAAACAAAACCCGTCAAGTGGGGGCTACTTGGGGGGAGCGTCTGCGGCGAAGAGCCGAAGAGCCTGGCCCGAGGAGGACCCAACCGGCGCATGCTCCGCATCTGCACAGACTCCGGCGAATTGGTAACGCAAAAATCTCCAGAGATGGCCAGACGCGCTCAGTTGCTGCAGGACTGTCGCGGAATACAGATTGCCGGAAGGACAAAAGGCGCACTAAAGTTTCCGGGCGCGATGTGAGCAAAGCCAGAGGGAACGCGCGCGAAAACTTCCCACCCACTCCGCCACCCTCGGATAGCAAGTGTATTGGTGTGTCTCTGTACAGGTGGAAAACACAAACACACACACAGAGAGGAGAGTGGTTTTCCCTACTAGAATTCAAAGAATTGTAATTGTAATTGTTAAAGAAGTAAAGTGTGGGCATAAATAGTGAGATAACCACGCCCTGAAAATAAAAACATACGCAAAACCATGGAGCACCTACGTCCCATGAGCTACGAGGAGATGTGCCAAATGGAGATGCTTCAGTCTGCCGGTGGATCTTCCGTATCATCGGGACCCCCACCAGGCGCCGCCATGATGCCCATCATGGTGATACCCACAGCTCTACTGCCGGCTCCAGCCGAGGGGGCGGTGGGTGGTGTGCCTGGTGGAATCCCTGGCGGTGGGCTGGTGGAGCACTACTATCAGCTGCAGCCCACGCACCACCTACTGCCAGCCGAGGTGGCAGCCAACACCACCACCACCACCACCAACACACCGAATCCCGGCGAATTGGCTCTCCTGCAAGGCGTCGAACAGATTCCACACACAATCCAGCATCCACAGCAGATGAATATCCTGTGCACAGGAACGCTGGGACGCCCACGAATGCCGGCATCGGTTGCCGGGCATAATCCAAATCTTAATCCCAATGCCGCCAATCCCAATCCCACGGTGGCGGCCACCTTGCCGCGCGGCTTCCAGCCGGCTGCCTTTGTTGCGGAAGTGGAGTCGGATTTCGAGGGCAGCGAGTGCGGTGCCAGCGGGATGACCACCACCTGCATGCCGCACTTCCGCTTCGGCGGCTGCGGCCTTCAGTCCCTGCAACACCATCCCCACCAGCAACAGGATGCAGTGGTGGGCTGCGGTTCGCTGGCCTACATGATGGGTTCCGGCACATTGGGCCGTGGCAGGCGGTTGGCCGGTGGATTGACCGGTGGCAAACCGAAGCGGGTGTCCTTCAAGGGCGACAATTTGCCGCCGCCATCGCCACCGCCACCACCTGCCGTGGAATTGGACGAGAATGGATTGCCAATTCCTGGACCAGGCGATGCCGGCGGCTGCTCTTACATGCATTTTGATAACTACATGGACTACCAGGTGGGTTACACAGTATAGGAAAGTGGAAATATAAACTATTTGAACTATGAAATCCTACTAAACCAGACAGGCAACAAATTGAGCTACTTGAAGAAAATGTTGGGTGGTAATAAATACCTTTCTTTAGCTACTTAATTGAGTATTTTTCCAGAGATTAAACTAAATATTCGAAAAGATCTTAGTTTTAGAATTCAAGAGTTATATAAATACAAAAGTTCCAGCTTTTGTCTTTAAAGAAAAATATATTAAATTTGAGCTTTTTCAGATTGTTAAATTATATGGTTGGCTTGGCCATTAGAACCAACTAAAGATTTGGTCTATCTTCATTCGAAGGTGAAGCTCCGATAAGAATAGGAACGCTCCTGCTATACTCTAATTGGCATTCATGGCCTTCGTCCCACAGAAATTGGATATGGAGATGGGGGAAGCATTTACGATTATTGCCGGGTCTTTGTGTTCGTGCCGCGATTTCACTGACGACAAAGCCTGTCACAATGGAGACACTAAGAGAAATGCCACTTAAATTAAGGATAAGAACAAAATTCAAGTTATTTTTAACTAAGAATTTGATTAGCTTTGATCCAGGAAACAGTTTGAAGTGCAAACTTCACTTGATTACATTATTAAGTATAAGAAATATGATTTGATATCAGTATTTTCCCTCTGTGTGGAGTACGTCCTAACAGAATCAAACGACCTGGCCTTGAATGGAAGATGCCTCGCTTTTATTTCAACCAGATAGGGATCCGTTATGCAGATTCGTCCATAAAGAAGCTCGTATACTTTTATGCCCCACATATCCGCCATATCCGCTATATCCGCATCCCTTCGTTAAACGGTATTCCCCGTAGTTGATTTTATGTCCTGACTGGCGACTGCTGACGACATAAGGAGCTCACAGAGGGGTCAAATCAAAGCTAAATCAGAAATAAAATAATAGGCAGGAGTGTCTGGTAACTATGTTATAATTTCATCTATGAAATTTAACCTTTAATTTTCTATTTAACCGTTCTATTTAATGTTCAAAATTGTATGTAAATATATTCAACATTTATCATACATTGAGAAGAGTGCACTTGCATTGGTTTATTTAGACAGATGAGCATTCACATGCTGAAATATGCAAATTCGCTCTGTCAGATGTTGCATTTGAATTTCGAGGTGTGGAGTCAAAAAATGGTGTAAACTGAAGTGAATATAACGCACCCGAATCGGATGAATGTTTAATTATTTGCGGTTACATTGATTTGAATGACAAAAAAAAGATCAATCTATTCAGACCTCGACAAGTGGCAAAAAAAAGTATATCTGTATATCTGCGGTTAGTCATGCCGTGGAAAAAAAATGAATGAAATCTATTAAAAAGCACTTAAACTCTGTGGAATTAGTTGTACTTTAATCCCTCTAATCCTTTATACTACTTAAAGTTACCAATTTTCAAACCTGATAGTTCCTATACAAATATCTCTTTAAACCCCAAATGTCCTTTTGTGAAATTTCAAATCTCAATAGTTTTTATTTGCTGTCGGCATTCGACAGAAAAGTTAAAAGGGGAGCCGGTCTTTGAAAAATACCAGTGATTTTATTTACATTTGCTAAGGACACACACACACACATCCTGTGACCAAATCGGGCAACAATTATTTGCATGTAACTCAATTTGCAAGGACTTGGCTGCGGGCTGGGGTGAATCAAATCCAGGACATGATTCCTATCCAAAGCCACCAACAATGAACTGGCAAACTCAAGCTCAAGCTCAGGAACCGAAAAGAAAAAAGGGGGGAAAACGGGGCAAAAGTCCTGGGGGCCGGGGCAATTGTCCTTCGGTGCCATTACTCACCGGGAACGCCTGTCATCTTTGGTCGCCGGCGCCATTTGTTCACATTTGAATAATAAATTAAATGTTGCAAATGTCGTGCCGTTGCTGTTGCAGTTGCAGATTCAGTTTTCAGTTTCAGTTGCCTTTCAGCAGCCCGGGACCAGGACCTACTGCTCCTGTTTCTGTTCGTGCTCCTGCTCCTGCTTCTCGGTGCTTGGGTTTTTTATGCGTTCCGCCAAAGCCATAAAAATCGCCATTATTTTCCAGATCCCCCACAAGCCTCAGTCCTCCCGTCTTCATTTCGCGCTTTGTTGCTTTGTCCACTGTCAGGACTTACTAGAACACGAAGAAAAATATGGATTTTTGGTTCATTTAGGGAAACATAAAGCCTAGAATATCAAATGAAATCGAGAATATATAAAAATAGCTAATAGATACTTTAATTTAATTTGAAAATCAGCTATTCTGTGATATTTCTGTTAAACTTTAGCTGCAATTTCTTTCACTGTCTTGCCTTATCCATGTCGATGGCTTCGCTCCGATGCTCTTCTTCATTGAGTTTGCCAATAGTAGTTGGCCCTGACACTCCCACCCCCTTTCCATTGAGACACGGTTTTGGCCAAAAGCGTTGAGTCCGCACTTTTGGCTGTTCTAGTCAAACTTTTCACCCACCCAAAAATTTCCTGTGTTTCTCGTTTGCCAATAGTTTCTGCTGCTCCTGCTGGAGCCATTCATTCAAGGAGTTCTTCCTTTCTGGCAACTGTTCCACCGCAGCTCCAAGTGAGTTTTGATTGATGGATGTATGTTGGTGGCGTTGGCGTGTCAAGTTCGGCAAAACCAGACACTCCAAAATCCATTGTCCAGTGCTCCGGTTTTTCGATTGCTGTTCACGGGTGTTGAGGGCTGTCCAGGATCCAGGAATTCAACGTGGAAGTGATGAAGCGCTTCGGCATGAGCCTGCACGTGACTCCAGAGAATCACACATTCATCCCAAATTTAGTCTTTATACATAGGAAAAAAATATATAGATAATATAATTATAAATAAATTCAATTTATACAACAACTCAAATGGTAGAAAATGTATACATAATGAAGCAGAAATTATGGTTACATTTTTGTTTATACTAACTATACCAACTATACCAACTACAGATCTCTTTTTTCCGCCTTGTAGCTTGTACTTTCTTGTTCTAAGCAACACAACTTTTCTTTGCTTTCCCTTTGAAAAAAGAGGAACATTTCTTCATCGAAAGTGGCATGCTCTTCGGGGGATAGAACACACCCATCAATCTGGTCAGGATAATGCATTAATTTGGCCACAAGGCATTACAATTAGGAAAGCGCTCGTCCGCTTAACTCAATCGAAGGACAAATTACATTTGAGGGTAAATCCATGGAGACACAGCAGCATACCAACATATGTATTAACTCCTGTGTACATTCATTCATTCCTATGTCCCTTGGCAGGGCCAATCAACTTTAAATTGTTTAATGAACACTTGAAACATTTTCGATTCCGTTGGCAAAAGCAAACACAAGGCGGAGGTGGGTGCAAAGTGGGCGGAAAGTGGGTGAAAAGTGGGCGGAAAGTGGCTGTAAAAAGGTCGGGGAGTGCGGACAGACGCCGGTCATCGCCCACATAAGTCGCAATGGGACGGCAGAGTAAACAAACAAAATGCGAAACACTAACACAGCCATTGTGGCCAACGCCGATGGCCAACAGTCTGCTGTCCCCCAGACCCATTTCCTGACCCATCCTCAGACCCTGTCCTTGCACAGTAAGAAATCCTCATCAATTATGAAAGTATTTATAAAAAATAACAAGATGTTAAAAAGAAAAGAAACGATTACTTTTGCTAGCTTTGCAAGAAGTATAGGTTGCAGTTTAATAAACCCTTTAATAACCCATCAAAGCATAAAGTGCAAATATCCAACTGTCGGGAAACATTATTTTTCCAGTGCACTTTTGGATTGGATTCGGATCCTTCCACCATTGCAGTATTTGAATGTTGGCTGTTGTCGGAGCAGCCTCCGTGCGGAAGGCAGAAATTACGTAGCAGCCACAAGGCAATTTGTGGGCTGGCAGGATGACGAGGACGACCAAGGAGAGTGGAAGAGAGAAAGGTGCTGGCAGGACGAGAAAGAAACTGATGTCCATCAGCGTGAAATGGCCAAATGACATTTGAAAAACTAAAAACAGCAGCAGGAGCAGAAAACATCAGCAGCTGGCAACGACCGCACTCGACAACTCCGGTCTGTCCTGCTGCGCACACTCTCCGGGGGTATATCCTGGCATATCCTGGGCTCCGTACAATGGGGGCGAATTGATAAAGTTGACCGCAAATTCTTTGTACATTAGTTTCCCTTCATGGCCAAAATCAATCATAATCAACACCCAGCGAGAGAGAGAGAGCCACTCGATAAATTGATATGGTGAAGTTTATTGCATTGTCTGCGAAAGTTATTATAGGGAAAGTTGTAAGGTTCAAGTTTTGTAAGCTGCCGGAAGTCGCATAACAACTTAACTTGACAGAAACAAGGAACAAAGAGCCATTAATATAAATTAAGCTTTTGTTTTTCCATATAAGTACTGCATCATAAAAGGTACTTTAGTTGTACAAGTATAAAACTAACTTTAAATTTAACTAATTGCTTTAGAATTTTCGAATGTCCTTTGTATCATGATAAGCCCAATAGTAAATCAAAAGATTTCCCTGGAAACAAACAAGCCGAGGTTAAGAGATTACCAGCTTTTTTTTCCAGCATTCTTTGGAAGTGGAATCATTTTGGCACTCGCACCTAGCTGGAAGCTCTCGGGTTTGCTCCCCAAATCCTCCACGGGGATGCTGGGGAATATTTATGGAATGGATTTGCTTTGTTTCCCCTGAGTGCCGCGCGTATAACATGATATATGTATGCATGTGGCGGGTATGAGATATGGCATGACAAATACTTTTCAGCAAACAGCAAAGAGCGCTTCCTGTCCACAGCCCACGGACTTGCAGCAGCCTCCCCTTCTTTTCTTTTTTTGGCTGTTGCACATGCGGCACAGATTTTAGTTGTTTTTAGTCTCGCACTAAATTCTCGCTGGCGGCCCAGGGTGTTTCTATGAAAACAAAAACAAAAAAACACCATCTAGAAATGAAGAAAAATATAGAGGTTCTACTAAAAACTGCAGCTGCAAAAGGGAAAATAATGGCGGAAACTATAAAGCATTCCGTAACAGTTTTTTCTTGCTCGTGCTCCCGTTTTCTATTTTTTGCCGTTGCCATTTTCATTGTTATTGTCCTTGTTGACGTTGGTCCTGTTGCCGCCTGCCTTTCGCCTTTTGTGTGAACTGAATGACTCTGATGTTGCTGCCGCTGACATGCTGCAGGTTGCTGCTGCTGCTGCAGCTAGTGCCAGGAGTAGTTACCATTCTTCTGCTCATTTTTATTTAAAACTCAATTGGACGAATATCTGCCCCCGGGTCGGGGAGATCAGGCAACAGGCAACAACAATGGAGCCAATTTGTGAGCCGTCCGCCAGACGCACAAACGCCGTCATCATCCATTTCTATTGCACTCACTTTAAACTTTATGCTAGTGTAAATGCTAAGCTATCTTTACTATATCTTATCTTACAGGTTTGGTTGTATTCATAGACGAATATATATCAAGCTGGCTCACTATTTCCTTGCAGAACCTTTGCTAAACATTCTAGCAACCTTGGTAGCTTAACCTTCCCACTTTAGAGCTTATTTAGTACCAAGTCCCCTTTCATGTCTCAACTAACAATTTCCCCTCGAGTGCTAGTTTTATTTTTGTTACCCGGTAACGTGTCAATGGAGGGCATCACCCGGACTAAACTAATTATAAAGTTGGCACAACTAAGGCAAACCTGTGGGGCGGCAGGCGGCCGTGGTCATGCATTTTTTGGGCCCGCAATGTCGCCTGCCAAAATGCGAGCAAAGTCTGTGGGAAATGTGGCCAAATCTGTTGGCCGGATTACAGCTTTTGAGCTCCCACAACGTCATGGCAATGACGACCTCCGTTGCTGCTGCTGCTGCTGCTGGCAAACAAACTTTTCGCGTCACAGGCAGCAAGCTGTCCTGCGCCCGGAAAAGCCAGCCAGCGTCCTTACGCCCAGCGGAAAAGTGCAGTGCACTGTACAATGAAGCGCCTTTTAAGCAGCAGCCCACGGTGGCTCCGAAACTTTCTCTCTCTCATTTTTTTGTTAGCAGGAAATCTAGGTAAAAAATTATGCACTGCACTGCGATGCAAGGGTGCCGGCGATAGCGGAAGCACGTAAAATATTTGCATTTTTATTAAAAATTGAATAAATTGAGATGAATATTTCTTGGCGCTGCCAAAAAGTTCTCCCCTCAGTCATCTTGTTATCGTTTTATTACTTTGGCCGAAGCCAGACGAAAGTTTGCAGCTTTTATGAAAGTTAATTTCGCTGCTTCCTGATGCCTGGTGTTTGAAATTCATAATTAAAAAATAGTTGAAAATGTAGCGAGCGGTCAATGTCCACATCGTCGTCCCCTTTGTGGCTCTGCATTTTTTAATATATATTTTTATTTAATTAATTCTGTGGCCAGAGCAGCGCTTTTCATCACGCTCATACGCCGTGTGGCGCTGATTTTCCAGCTAATTAGCCATGGCCCGGAAGCGCCAAGCGGAGCATCGTGAAAACTCTGCGAAGGGCTTGTCTTTTACAAAAATTCACAACTAAAAATCATACTTATTTGGCAAGAAAATGAATAATAAAGCTTTCATATAGAAATAGAAGCATTTCAGCAAAATGCAATGAATGTGAACTAATAAAATAAATGTAATAATTTGCATTTTAAGCTACCTTTATTATTGGACATTAATTATTTCAATTACAAAATATCCCAGTGTAAATACGTTTTTTATTCTGCCAATGCCCTGAATATTTTATTTGCTTTTCAAGTTGATTTAAACTTAACATTATTAAACATATAACCTGTGTATCTAGGTAATTATTTTTAATAGCAAATATTTATTTTATTTTGTACAAATTATATGAAGTAATATTTTTATGAATAGAGATTATTTTGAAATTAAAAATCACAAGTAATTGCCTTTTGTATTTGATGACATTTCTGAAAAACGAATACCATTTATAATGTAAAATTCATTCTTTAATATAGTATAAATGAAATATTCATGTAAATGTTGTACCAAGAGGTTGTCCCTATATGTATATTCTGTATATTTAAGAACTCTTCAAAGAAAATAGTTATCTTACTATCCAACAGGGCCACGTTTCAAGTTTGTTTTCAATTTAATTTTATGCTCGGAAATTCCCTCCGTCTTGTTACTACATATTCCCAGGCATGTGGAGGGCAATGTGCGCATTTAAATTTGATTTGTACTTTGCACAGTTTGCCATAATTCCTCTGGCAGTCGCAATATAAACAAATCATTGCCCTGCCCCAGGCAAAACTTTATGTCACAACTTTCACACGACAAAATTTCATTCCCCTTTTGTATGCTGTACGGTCCCCTTTGGAACGAAGAAGTTGGTTGGCTTTTTTCGGACCCCTGAAACACATGTGGCCCCCCAAAGTCCATGAATTATGACTAAGGCTTAATTATGTCAAGCCAAGATTAGCCCGGCGGCAGCCATGATTCCATCAACTCGCAATGGCAGGGGACAGGTAGAAGAGGCAATGGAATCAGGGGTTTGTGGGCCATTATATTGATTCTGATATGGTTATTCGGTTCATTAAAAAGTTTCCCCATGAGTCGTGTTGATGTTTCATGCAAGTTATGAATATAGCAGGGGGGCGCCCAAAGTTTGCGTCTTCTGCTGCAGTTTTAATTAGGGCACAAAATCAACGAAGAAACTTTGACGCACTTTTAATGAAGCAACTTTTCGACGCACAACTGCCATCCCTTCGAAGTTAAACCTTGTTTCGAACCCATTCAAGCCGCCCACATCCAAATATATATACATATGTACATATGTATATTTTGGAGCAAATATACTAATATCTATACGAAATTCCTTCTCCCATTGCAGACCACTGGCTTTGGTGGATTGCCCGACGTCACCGAACACTCCAACATCCGCCGCACACTGTCCCGCCAGAACTCCATCTCGAACAGCGACTCTGGCGGCGAGATAGCCAGCATCCAAAAGTCCAAGGTCAACTTCGGCAATGCCATATCCGGCGGCGTGGTTGTGGGGGGCGACATTGTCGGCCTGGACGCCAAGTCGCCCACCTCGCTCAGCTCGGCGACGGGTGCCGGCGGTGCCTCCGGCAAGGTGAAGGGAAAGGCCACGAGGAAGGCGAACGACGGCACGGCTGGTGGGCAGAAGGGCAGGCGCGGCTCTTGGCTGGTGGCCCTCACCCTGGTCAGTGCCATCTGCCTGCTGGCCATCGCTGCCACGCTGGCCTACCAGCACTTCCTCATGGCACCCAGCCGAAACTCCCACGCCCAAAGACTGAGAATCGTCCGACGGATCCTGCGCGAGGTGCCGCTGGTCGACGGGCATAACAACTATGCCTGGAATGTGCGCAAGTATGCCCACAGCAGCCTGGAGCTCCACCTTAGCCACGATCTTGATCACAAGTCGCTGTGGGCACGGCCGGCGTGGGCACAGACCGACATGGAGAGGCTTAAGCAGGGACTGGTCAGCGTGCAAGTGTGGTGAGTGTTAATTCACATGAACAAATTATTAATTATTCAGTTTATAAACCCTGTAAATCATAGTTCAAAGTTGTTCTATTCAATGATTCATTTCAAATTAATCTAGCTAATCCCAAAAATAAGATCTTTGTTAAGTGTTTGTAAAAAAGGCAAAATTACTTAAACTTTATTAAAATTTCATTAACAGAAAAAATATATTTTATTAATTATTAAATTTCGTTTGTTATCTTCAGACGTTTTATGTGTTTATTACGGTTTCTTATTCGTCCAGTACATTTTTCGGTTTTATCATCATTTGTGCAAAGGTAAGGGAGATCGTATAGTCGAAGTTATGCCAATGACCCCAAACAATTCCATTACTTTCTTCCGCTATTCCATCTTTATAATACTGTGCGTTAAGTGCACTGTAAATACAAATATTATTTTAAATTTTAGATAATTAAAATTTTTGAAAAAATAATACCTGTATCCACAACTATCATCATTATACCACCAACCTCCAGCTCTTATACAATTTCCTGAATCCGTAGCAACATCAAAAGTAGAGAACTTCGATCCATTGTGATAACTGAGCGAATCTCCGGCTATACCATTATAATTCCCAATCGATTTTAAATAATAGGATTCCATCTCGCTACCAATTTCGAAATTGTCGTAGTGAGCGAAACTAGTGGTTCCATTAATGTCTTCAAGCTCAATACAAAGTTCATAGTATGCTACTTTGGTTATGAGGTGCAGCTTTTCCAGGCCAATGAAGAACTCTCCTTGTATATCCCCAAATCCATTCCTGTAATCCTCCCAGGTCCGATTGAAGTCCACGTGTCCGTCAATCCGTTTTTGGATAATCATCCAACCATCTTTAGAGCAAGGCGCTTCAAAAGCATTCACTCCTCGAAGATACAATTTAAAAATGCCTTCTTCACTGGGACACCATTCTGATAGAAAATTCTCAAACAGCTTTTTCGCTGTATTTAATTTCTCGAAAATCGATTTAGTTTCATTCTTTATGGTATTTATTTCATTCTCATTGTTTTTTATTTGTTCACTTTGGACTTGGATCTGATTGTTTTTCATAATTATAAGTTCATTTTTGTCCTTGATTTGCTCATCCTTTTGGGTAATTAGATCAATTTTGTTCTTGATTTGACCTTCAGCAATTGCTAACTGAGTCTGCAAACTACTAATTAGTTTCACATTCTGTTCGTGCTTGGCATTAGAGTATTCTTTCTGTTCAACTAAAATTTCAAGAAGTGGTTTAAAAATGGAATAACAATATCCATTGCGTTGGTCCTTAAGTCCATCAGAGTTAGGCAATAAGACAATCTCGGAATCCGCAAACGCAATGTTTAGCGTTTTCCAAAGGAAAGCCAACAGAAATAACCGGAAGACACCCGTTTTCATAATGTAGTAACTGCAACACAGCGAAATGAGAACTGAATTTAAATTTACATTTTGCATACACTCCTTTCCTTAATCATTCTTAAAATATTCATTTGAGCGATAACAAAGGTCGACTTTCGGCTTCCCTACCGTACAGGGTTCCTATAGGCTATATGTTGTAAAAATTTTCTAGATTAGTAAAACCAAAATGTATTTTCCCATTTCACCATGAACTGATTACTAAACGCCTCTAAAACCTTTTTACATATTGTTTTTTTTTTAATATACAATTATTTTCCTTTAACCCTTTAGCAAAAGAAATTTATTAGGTACAATAACTATGAATAATTAGGGTTAATAAATAGTATAAAGTTAATTAAAGCTCATGGCGTTGATTATTTGTATTAAATGTCTTGAGATTAAACAATATATATCATAGCTATATTCATTTATGTTATTAATTAATATAATTATTACTAAAATGACATCAATATATATTTATACTTGAAATAGTGGGTTAAACTCTGTAAAGTTTTCTTATCAGACGGAAACACGTGAAAGGTCAAAGGTTCATGGCTAATAGCTTTCTAAAATGCCAATAAAAATCAATAAGTAAATACTTATTCTAAATCAATAGAAGTTTTCCAGTAACATATTTAATATATTTCTTATAAAGACTAAATATGTTTTATTTTTAGCAGTATATGATAAATCCAAGTTGAATTTTAAAGACAAAACATTCTAAAATAACGAAATATTTTTTAATTTATATAATGTATTAAATTTAACAGAAAATATATAATAAGGAATAATAATTAATTAACATTTAAATTATATAGATTTAATTATATAAAAACCACACTTGCGAAAAAAGACAAAATTTGATTGTCTTCCTTTACATAGAAATATTAAAGGCTTATACATATAAGTACTAAGTGAACCAATTATTTTACAATCGCTTTGGCCTTTGGCCAAGATTTAAATCCAATTGAGCCTATATTGTTATACAAAACTGGAATTGCAACATTTACAAGCTATGAAAATTGAAAAGTCACATAAAACTGCAATCAGGGCGATGCGAAGGCGATCCGGTCAGAGATCTGACCCCATCTAAGAGTGCCATGCACTCGAGTTCTAGTCGAAAACATGGCAACATATAGTCAGCTGCCACGCCCTCCGGGGCCAACCGCCCACCTCTCGTGAACTTGCAAAATAAAAAGCTGGCAACAATTTGACTGCAAAATAAAATTTGGCAACCAACTGGAGGCCTCCAGGGCAAGCAGCCAACCTGTCTCTAGATACACCCACCCAGTCCATCGCTGCGCTTTACAAACACTGAACAAAAATATTTCACATATTTGTAATAAAACAAAATGAAAAATGCAATAGTTTTATATTTGATTTCTTAAACATTATTATTGTATCCTTGTAGTGTAGTCCTTTCACACTCACCTGACCCGTGTCTGATTCCTTTTTTTTCGAGCCTGGTTCCGAAGCAGAATCTGACAGGCGGCAGACAGCTGCAGTTTTGGAGAAAAAACGCTGATGGGCAATCGACTTGACTTCATTTAAAGGGGAATCCCAAAAAATGCAGCTCCCACTGCCAGATGGCGCAAGCGTAACTTTTCGCCAATTTCGACATTCAATTCGACACTTGGCATCGTTGAACTTCCCCAGAAGTTTGACTGGGTTCTCTGCGCCCCCTCTAGCCCGCTTATGGCCATATCATTGCAATTGGCAACTAAAACCCAAAGTTCATCCTTGCTAACTAACCACTTTGGCACTTTGAATTTGCATTTCCCAATTAAACAGCACTCGTTGGTAATCAAGGCTTGCTCATTGGATATCTAAAAGTTTTTGGAACAGACAGGAGATGGATAAACCGTCCAGGAACAGCAGAGGCTGCTTAAGAGTCCCGCTTAGATTTATATTCAATTTAACATATACATATACTATGTTGTACCTACTCTCCGTATTTGTTCATTATTATATAGTTTGGTATATATACATAGCTATCGTGTTCGTTTTTAGCTCAACTTTGCTAACTTTTTGCCCTTTATGGTCTTTTTTTTTGCAGGTCAGCATATGTGCCGTGTGAGGCTCAGGGCTTGGACGCGGTCCAGCTGGCGCTCGAGCAGATCGACATAGTGCGGCGACTGTCCGACATGTACGCCCGGGAGACGGTGCTGGCCACGTCGTCGCAGGACATTGTTGAGGCGCACCGCCGCGGGCTCCTGGCCTCGCTGATTGGCGTTGAGGGGGGCCATACCATTGGCTCCTCATTGGGGGTGCTGAGATCCTTTTACTCCCTGGGAGCACGATACCTAAGCCTCACCCATCGCTGCGACGTCTCCTGGGCGGGCTCGAGCGCCTCGACGGCGGAGCAGGGCCTCACGCCCTTCGGCAAGGCCATTGTCCGCGAGATGAACCGGCTGGGCATGATGATTGATCTGTCGCACAGCTCGGATGCCACTGCTCGGGATGTGCTGCAGGTGACACGGGCGCCGGTCATCTTTTCGCACTCTGCCGCCCGCCAGCTGTGCAACTCGACGCGGAATGTGCCGGACGACATACTCCGTTTGGTGGCCGAGAACGGTGGCCTGATCATGCTGAGCTTCGACTCCGAGGACGTGGCCTGCGGGCGGCAGGCGCGACTCCAGGATGTGATCGAGCACATCAAGTATGTGCGGGCCATTGCCGGCATCCAGCACATTGGCCTGGGAGCCGGCTACGATGGCATTGAGCTGCCGCCACTGGGCCTGGAGGATGTATCCAAATACCCGGAGCTGCTGGCCGCCCTTCTGGAGGATCACAACTGGAGCGAGGAGGATGTGGCCATGCTGGCGGGTCGCAACTTTCTGCGCATTATGGAAACAGTGGAGACGGTACGAGATTACTGGAAACGGGCGGCCATCCAGCCCATCGAGCAGACGGAGCCGCAGCCCAAGACGCAGTGCACCTACATGTCCTCGTGACCGCAGGCGCAGGCGGTGAGGCAGCGACGGGACGAACCCACGCCGACCACAGAGCGGGCAAATCGAACCACAGCCACGCTGGCTGGAATCCACTTCTGGCATCCCAATCGGGAGACGGAGGACCCCATCTCCAATCACACGGATACAGCGGTGATCGCGGCCACAGCAACCAGTTTTACGGTCAGCGAGCTGCTCCAGTAAAATCGTTTAAATTGTGAAATCAGAGTTAAGCCTTTTGGTTGGCGGTTCGGTTCGTAGGTCTTTTTTTTTTTGGGAACATAGAAAATAATAAAAGAATGAGACTTTTCCAACTCTGATAAGTGGCAATAGTGAATTACGTTTTAATATTTTCATATATTTTTTAATTGAAACACATTTATGTGTTAGTTTTGTCCAATATTTGAAGGTGATAATGAAATTTATTTTGATTTACAGACCCCATTTGTGGAGTTTTTAAATTAAAGCTATAATTTGCATGTCAAAAACTTACACACAATGCAAGATTTTAATCTAATTTACCCAAACACTTTTAATTTATTTAAATTTATTATATACCAGTCATAACATAATATTGTTCCCCCTTTTCTTGGGCTCTATAAACAACCATGTATATATAATAGAACTTCACCCAGGAGTGGCTTTCAGTTTGAAAAGTTTTCATTAAGAAAAAATAATAATAATAACAAACATTACAATTTACAGGCATTGCTCGTCCTTAATTCAACATTTAAGCAACTGTTGCGGCGAGCCTCGTGAATAATTAGTGTGTACTCGTAATTTACTTCCGTAGGATGCATTGATAGGCGTATGAATAAATAATAATAATAATAAATATACTAGTATTTAGCCCATAATTGTTGTGCAGCTCCTCTTATTGGTGTTGTGGCTCTGCATAAATTATGCACAGTGCGCATACTTATTGCTGCTGCTGTGCCACGGGGCGTATACGCGACGCAGCTTTGCAGCGAACTCTGAACCGCAAACCAAAAATCTTTCTTGGCTTCTCTGTGACTGTATTATACATGTAGGGCACACACATCAATGATTCACGCAAATTATCGCAATTAAGCGCAACATATTTAATCACGAACATCACATCACCAATATAAATCATCAAAATGAATTAATTGCAACTGATTCCACACAGCTATGTAGGATCAAAAGTCAGCACAAATCAGTTAAAGGCACCAAGCCAATTTAAATTATCATTTTCCTCCGGGCTGCATATATGGATCGCACTTAATTTATATATATTAAGTTAGTTAAGACCCAAGGAGAAACCAAGGAAAAATCAAAAAACCAAAAACTAAACCATATTCTCGTGAATGCATTGCTACATATGTATACTCCACACAAACACTCGAAGAAAAACTGAAATACAAGTAAAGAACAGCAGAAGCAATGAAAGCATAATCGAATAGAGGAATACGCATTTCCATAAAAATAAATCGAAACCTAAACAAAGTGTAATTGTATGTTGTTTTATATTACAACTGCGGTGCTTTTTGTTTTATCTTTAAATCCACCAAGAGATTGCTTGCCACCAGATTAAGCTGGTACATGACTCACTGTGCCATTCATGGAATTCTAAATAGGTTTATAATATAATTCGTACATTCTTTGAAGTAACTTGACCAGGTTTTAGTTATAAGCGAGATTAGAAAATATCCCAACCAACTTCTGTCACAGCTAAGTCGTATAGTTTTATGCCTAATCAATCAATAACAATGGATACTTTGGGCTCTTATTTATGGGTTTAGTGTATGGTAAGTAAGTGCCTCTGCAGAATGTCAGCTCTACTGGCTTTTTTAGATGAAATATCCGATGTATACACGCGAATGCTTATACAATCACCAAGTCTGGGAATCATAAAAAACGTTAAGTGGTCGTAAATCAACATTGTGCAAGAATGGAAAAGTTCGCCAAAGTTCATCTCTTACTGCGATGTCGCGACGTCGAGTCCTTTCGCCTATCCGGAATCTTTGTTGTCCTCTCGCTGGTGTTTATCTCCAGTAGAGAAAATTCCCAGCAGATCTGGAAATTTGCAGAGGCAAATATCCTTGGCAATCCAATTTCGTGCATTTGCAGTCCATTGAGTTTTGCTTAAATTTTAATGAAACTAAGCGGTCGCACACACACATCCCAGGGATTTTTTGGGGGGTCGAGACAGAGCCACGCCGATTCCATCAAGTTTTGGACTCAGCTTTATTTTTTTTTCTTTTTTTGTTTACAAGTTTTTGTTTTGATTGCTTTCGCTTTGGCTTAGGACCCCGCAGCGGAGCACTGCGCTGGGCTTTGTTCAATTTTGTTGATTCTGCGACGACTTAATGGAGTCACTAATTGTTGTATACAGGCAGGACAAGGTTAGAGAATAAAGCTGTATCCTCCCGGCAATCTCACGCAAATCAGCGTATATTGTCTGGGGAAATTGTTTATAAATTCTAGCATGACCCCCCTACCATGGCTAAAGAGACTGCTTCGTGGTATGAAAATGACTTTTGCCTAAGTTTAATCCTTATGACAGCTTTGTTATTAATAATTCAACAAGTTTTATGAAATTGTAAGCATATTTAAATTACCTACTAGCATTCTTAGCGAGAGGAAAACTCTCTGTGCTAAATTTAGCGTACAGTTCGGAACTAGAGGACATCATCATAACTTTTGTTTATGGTTACATTTGCCATTAAATGTAATTACCCAATTTCACGGACACCTCAACGTAAATGGACGCGACAATCCACTGGAAGTCGGCCATTAAAGGACAATGAACGTCCCCAGGCGAAAATTAAGAACTGGCCATTAACGAGACGAGTAGCACGACATGGTATGGTATGGCATCGCATTCTCATTAACACGCCAGTCCGGTTTCAATTTCCTGTTTAATTTTTCTTTCCATTATAAATGGCTTTGGCCCTCCGCCTCGTAAAGCCGGTGCCAGCGCAGTTTCAGATCCCAACTCCACCGCCCCATGAGGCAGAAAGCCATAAACAATGCGCTCCGACAACTGCGACGAGTTGATGGACAAAATAATGCCTGATGACAATTATAATGAGGAAAATGTTGTTGCTCTTGCTGCTCGTCCTTGATGTAACTGTTGATAAGTGGAAATTCGCTTCATGTGGCCGAAATTTCAGCCCCATGGCATTATAAATCTAAGCTCCAAGTAACATCTATGTTTATTCCCCAAAAACTTTATTATTATTTAACTAAAGCTTGACATTCACGAGTCCGCAAAAAATTTGTAACAAAAGATTTTAGTTCAAGGTTTTATTTAATTTTCGCTGCTGATAGAAGACATTTATGTTTAACTTCATTTTTAATGAACATCAACATGAACCGTCCGTCATCAGTTACGTGTTAGGTATAGATAATTGTATTTCTCCTTTAGGGACAACAAAGGAGACTTGCCAACGATTTTGTAAAATTCATCCTTCCGCATATTATTGAATTTTATGTAGCCCAGCAGCGTTTTTACATATTTCGAGTGCATCATTTTAATTTTTGTATTCTTTGGCTTATCCTTATATTCTTCATCGTCCTCTGATTTCTCAGATAATACCTTATCATCAAATTCATCATTTTCATCGGAATTCTCTGGCTCTTCGTCGTCGATCGATGGTTTCGCGGCAATCATCTCACAAATACCACTGTCACCACTTTTTTTAGTGGAGGTATCCACAGTATCGGCTGATTTATAATAGATCAAACCATTAACAGTACAGTAAGTCTCGATCATTTTGAATCGTTCGATCTCGGGCAAGTGTCCCTCGGTAATAATTGTGTACTGCTCAAAGACATCGGAGGTCATGGTCAGGACATCATAGCAATTCATTTCCTCAGAAAATCGGTTTCTTAAAGACTAAAAAAAAAATATATATATATATATATTTACATATTTGTACACACGTAAAGATTAAAAAGTCATATTGAATCTTTCTTTTTGCTCACCGCGACAGAAAGTGTTCTCAGTTCCTTGTTGTCGATGCTACAAGCGGTCTGGAAAAGCTCGAGAAGATCGCTGAGCAGCATAGTTCCTACCCTTTCCTTGAGAATAGTCACGCATGCGTTAACGATAGAATCTACCATCCACCTGGTTCCGCAGCTAAGGAGCTCCATTATCATGGAGTTCCCGTACTCCTTGAGCTTAGCCCAGTCATACGTGTACACATATTGAATGAACACGGCGAAGGTTTTCGGCTTAACCTCCTGCAGACGGATTTCATCCTGCTTGGCCTCCTTGAAGGAGCTAAGGAACAGGCGCTCGAAAAAGTCGGACGAGCTGGCCAGGATGACCTTGTGGCAATCGAAGGTTTCGTTTTCCACGAGAATGCGGCAGTCTGAGAACTTCTTGTTCTCTGGCAAATCAGCGAAAGAGGGACGTAGCCTGCGAATAAGCGTTGAATTCATTGTAAAACTCTTTTAACTACATACATATGTACATAGATAGTTAATTACACACTCACCATGTATCCATTTTTGTTAGTTTTGGGTAATACGATCGATCTGCTGAAATTACTATAAGCATACATACATACATATGTACATATATGTCATTAATTTCTTCAGCACGTATAGTTCAAGTTTATTTTCTATTTTAATAAACGCTCGGCAAGGTCTTTCCCCTTTTATAAGATTAAAAAACAATATTAAAATCAAGCTTTTAAATAATTCGTTTTTGCTGGTCCTAATTTCTGGGAACCCCCTTTTTCGTACAAAATGAAACTAAAGCGCGAGTGTATACGAACATATGAATGTATGTAGATATGTATATACATAAGTACGTTCCAGGTTCCAAGAATTATCGAATATACATACATATGAATGTATGTACATACATATGTATGTATTTAACACAATAAAAAAAAGCGCAAACATACTTTCTTGACTCTTTTTTGGCAAGTTTTACTTTCGTTCTCACAAGCAGTGATTTAGCGTTAAAAAATCGAGCACCAATCAAGATATCCAGATATTAGAGAGAAATATGTACTTACATATGTATGTACTTATATAAAAGTAATTTCTTAAAGCTCCCGTCGCACAACCGAACTGGAAAAGATCTGCACTTGAAAAGAATATATCGATTCCCGTTCGACTTCATTTCGTGCCTCCTGGTGGAATTTTATCGTTTCACGCGTTGCGAAGTTTATTATTACTTTAGGAACACATGGTATAAAACAATAATGTAAATACGGAAATATACTAAGGGGGGTAAACTGCAAGCTAGTTTGAAAGTTTTTTCGTAAAACGATTTCAATATGGTACAAATATTTCCATTATCAAATAGAACAGATATAAATATTTTATTTAACATAACTTCGTTATCAACCGTTTATAAAATTACATATAATGATATACATTCAAAAAACTCATTTGTGGTATGATGGGATATTTTGTGGAACGAAATGGGAAAACTGAAACAACAAAAAAAATTTTTTTTAATAATTTATAAAGCCATAGTTTATAAATGGTAAATTAGGCAATATATGGAATGTAATTAAAAAGGTTATAAAATTCTCAAAACTCAGTTACTTAAAACTAGGACACTGAACTGAGTTACATAGACATGCTTAATCATTAAAAATTATAGGGTATTAAAATAACGAATCGCAAAAAGAAATTTCTGCCAATGTATGCAAAAATGTATTTTTGTTTATTCAGTTGACGGTTCAGACATTGACAGAGGATCCAGTTTGTTTATGTAAAGGTTAAGGCTTAAATTGCTTAAATAGCATCCACAGAATCTTTTAACAGCGCAGCACATTACTGCCCCTGAACAAAAAAAGTAATCATATTAATTTTATCATGATATTCATATATCATAAAAAAAAGCTTCACAAAATTATTGCATATGTAAAATCATTTTATGGTTTTTAATATCAAAACTAAATTTAATTTTAATTTTTTTCTCTAGTAAATGTATTAATGAAAACTTAAACCGCTCGATTGGGTGTACCCGCTACCACTATGGTAGCTAAACCAACTGAGATTCGACTTTTGAGTTTCTGAAAAAAGAAATGGTAGATTTAACCTAATAGAATTTGTTCTGTGTACCTACTCCATCAACGATCTGATTTCCACACACACTTTTGGAACTCCGGACTCCTGGGCGAGTGGTCAGCTCAAATATAAACTATCACAAATCTGTTTGCTTTCGTGGACCACTCCACTCTCCATGGTGTGTCAAAGACATCAATTCCGAGCTGTGTGCCCGAGCAAATCAGGCTGTAAATTTTGCGTTGCGGTGCTGTGCCTGGATCCAGGACAATTGACCATTGGATGCACACCGCCTCCGCCCAGCCCACCAGCCGTAAGTAATTAGGAAATTTGCAAAATTTTCCATTTGCCGCACATGACCCTGCAAATCAGGCGTTGTCCTGTCTGCCAATCCTTACACTCAAACGCTGGAAACCGCATTATGCACACAGGCACACAGATCCCATTTTCCATCGAACACTTGGCCTAGTCATAGCCAGTGTTTGCAAGACAAATGGCAGTTAATTATTACACAGAACTCTCCCTTAATCCATTTATAATAATTCATCTTGGCCAAACATTGAACACTTGTTATTGATATTTGCCGATGGTCTCTGATATTTACCCACAGCATTTGGGTGTAAGATTACAAATGACACACATTTCTGTAATTGGCAGTTATGTGTGATGGCATATATCCATAGAAATTACAGATTCAGCCTTGATTTCATCATTTCTTAGTTCATTTTTAGGCGATGTAAGCTTAACAATAAATTAATTTAACTTTTCCGAAAGTTTAAAATATATATTTTTTGTCGAAAAATATTCTATTTCAATCTGCATAAGATGGTGTTGCTAAAATCTTAGAAATATGATGTTCCCAAAGTTATATTTATTCATTATCAAAATGTAGTTTTCTAGTTTCGAGGGAGAGACTCCTCAAGAAATGGTCTCCATCTGTACTTAATAAAAAAAGACTGTGGAAATTGGTTTAGGCCACATAGTACCACTGGTATTAAATATCTATCATCGGTAAACCCTAATGGATTGAAAATGTTCTAACTTAAATGTATGTGTAGCAGGAATGGAAATACATAGTTTACGAACCCTAGCCCAAGGATACCTTAGCATTGGGGCTGTGCGTGTCCTTACAACTTGAAATTGATTTACTTTTGCTGCAGGCCAATTTGGCACGCTCATTTTGGCCGGGCCATGAGTTTGGCCAAACACACAACATGCTTGTAATTAAGCGATGGTGCGTCCCCGGAGTGTAGTTAATGCTGTGGTGCCATAAATTTGACTTTTGTCTGTGAATTGGGTTATTTACGAGTGGCTGCTGCATTTGTCAGGTGAAAACTACCAAGGAAGAAGGTCCACAACTAGCCAAGAACGTTTTCGGATTTAATTTGGCAAACACCTTCGGGGAATAAAGTACAAATCTTTAGGGAATTTGAAATAATTAATTACATTAAAGCTTTGGAGTAGCTGGTAAATAGCTCAAATAAAAGTATATCCAGATTCCACATCATTGGACATGTTGGAGGACATATGCCACCATTAGTCCTGGCAAGGCCTGGTCTGTCTCTATTTGGGTACAATCAAGAGAGGTCTTTAAAGCATGGGCTCAACACACTTTTCTTTCCTTTCTTTTCGGCTTAAGGTAGGAAAAATCACTAGCACTATCAGTTAGTTTTCTTTTTTTGTTTTAGTGCAAAGTGCATTCGCCATGGAAACTCTGGCTGTGAGTCGAAGAAAGCGTTGCAAAGATGCGACAGGAGCCGCCTATTATCGACACATGTAAGTGATGGAACAACCATGTACACCGACCAAAATGGGTAGTTTGAGTTATTCAATAATATTCTTACATTATGAATCCAAAATAAATATTATAAATTATACTACAAATAGTATTCTAACGGTAGTATTACTTCAATTTACTTGATTTAAGAGAGAGCCCTAACAATATTTCATTTTAATTATTATTTGTTTCCTTTTGTGTAGTTGCTGTCTAGGTGTCATACTTGTCCATCTACCTGGTCGTTACAGCCTGAAATATGACAATCTCTGGCGGAACTAAAATGGATGTGGAAGGAAGCTCCGCTGGAGGACTTCTCCGCCACTCAGGTGTGCACGTTTATGAACAACATAATGGCGGATTCAAGTTGAGGCGGGAAAATAACACCCACATGGGAGCAAAAGGATGGGGCTTGAAGGTGAGAGACAAGCTCATGCAAATATTCATAAGGAAAATATTAAAAATGAATAACCAGCTTCTGCACACAACGCATAGTAAACAACGCAAACAGCCACGACCCAAAGTACCACCCTTCGTGTGTGTAAACTAAAGTTGGAATGTTTATGTGGCGCACAGAAGCTCCGCCATATACTGAGAATGCTACGATATTTGCAGTTAATTCAGTGCCATGCTTTTTATAAAGCTTAGTACAATAAAATTCCCATAAAAGTATTTAAGAAAAAAGGTTTAAAAACCTTAAACCTTGAGAGTTGTTGCCTAATAAAGTGGGTTTTCTTGTAGGTCTTCGGTAACATGAAGATATAAACAGACTGAAAAAGTAAATTATACATTTTATGTGAATTACATCTTCCTCAAAGATGACATATTTAAAATACATATAACCAAGGATTTCAGTGGTGTTTCTTTACATCCCAGATTGGTCTTAAAAATGGGAAAGCTATTAGCATCGAACCAATCTTCAAGTTCAAATGCAAAGTCAATATATTTACAGAGTTAAAAGAAAGACGACCCCCACTGAGCGCGAAATAAATTCCCTTCGTTTTTATTGTTTTTGTGCCAAATGCCTTGAATTTTCAATTAGGCGAACATCAATGATTCCCCCCATTGAAACAGGGAATAGGGAACAGAATCGGGCACAGGCACAAAAGGCAGGCTGGCGCAAATTCAAAAACTCAAAAACTCATCGGCGTGAGGTCTGTTAATTTGCTCATCTTCTCGTGGAAGCGTTCGTGCACTCACAGCGCATCCTGCGGAATCGCACACACACACACACACACACACCCAGTCATACACACACACACACTCTTGGACATCCTGTGTATGGCCGTAGGGCCTCCAGTCGCCCGGCGTTCATGCATGGCCACGCCAATGTTTTCGCCGCTCCCCATCCGTTCTCGTTTTCTGCCATCGCTTACATTTCCGCTTCCTTCTTTGGCAAGTAGTCGATGTCGCCTTGGGGGTCCTTGGAGTCTGGAACAAAAAAAAAAAAAAGAAAAAGAAGAAGGAACATTTTCGATTCGATTTTTTGCCAATTGCCCGAGACTCTGTCCTGTCGGCGTATATGACGAATACGTTGAGTACGTGCCGCCGACATTACTCATACGCACCGTGGGACTCTGCAAGGGAATGTTTTTTTTTTTTTTTTTGAAGCAGAGAGGACAGAGTCTGCTCCATGGGCGCTATTTGTTTTTCGCTTTTTGCATATTTTGCGGGCAATTTGGGTAAAAGGATTTCCACACTCTGCGGCTTTCGTTTTTCGCTTAGTTCTCGATGGCTCCTCCTTGGGACCTCCTCGGCAAATCGCTCACGTAAAATATGCATGCGTTTCCTCGGCGGTTTTCGCTCTCAAGTGCTTGCAATTCAATTACATTTCGATTGATTTTCGTGTTTGGCCCCGAATAGAGGCGGAAACTCTTGGTCTGGTTATGCATGGAGCGTGTTTTTTGGGCGATTTATGAGCCTGAACCGGCATTTTCCGCAAGTGAGGCTTGTCTTGCTAACAGAACTTACACTTAGCAAAAAGTAAATACCAAATATAAAAATGTTTAGAATTTATAATGGACATTTTCAGAAAAAAGTCTTTTATGAGAAAGTCTGTTACGATTGTAAATGAATTTAAAATGGTTTAAATTGATGGCGAAGTTGAAAGTAAGTTAGAGTTGTGTAATTATGTAGACCTTCTTAAACAATTAATTTTTATTGAAAACAGATCATTTAAATAACATTGACCAATACTCTTTTAATTGTTTGTTTTCAATTCGGATTAGTCAATAAATTTCTTTAGTAGCATTCCATTCCATCAACATTTTTATTGCAAACGGCGAGACAGCTGAAATTGAATGCTAAAATCAGTGATATACATACAAAGCAGAAAAAGGCATTCAAATGGCAAAGATACACAGATGCAGATATGCCAATAAAAGTACAAGTCCATATAGATAAATGTAACCAATATGCTGCAATTTTTGCTGCCTTAAAGAAATAAAAATAAAAGACCGGCAGCACGCCGAAAACAAATAAAATTAAATGGGTAAAATGGGGATCCCAGTGGCAACGACGAGAGTGGGTCAAGTGTGTATCGAAGGCAAATCAATAAGATATTTCAGAGGCAGGTATTCCTGATTTAAATCCAACTTCCCTTCACTTAAGACTGCTGTTCAGCCGTGAACTTCTCTTGCATTCAAATAAAATGTATGCTTTTTAATCAATTCACCTCTTCATTTTGCAATAAAATGTCGTAGAAAAGATTTATTCAAGCGAATTGATGACTCAATTATCCAAATGACTATGGCACAGTCTTAATGGTCTTTTGAGCAATAAATATCGGCTGCGAATATGCTCCAACCACTCCTTAGGAAATAACGCTTCGTGTGTATATTCAGCTTCATTATTTGGTTAGACAAAGTGTGGCACAAAGTACAAGGAATCAATTAAAATTTGGCAAAGTCGTATCGTATTGCATCGCAAAACACGCCCAAGGTCTTGTCAGCACATCCGCGAGCCACGCTGTGATTCCAAAATACGCCCACGGGACCCATTCACCTTCAGAGTGGCCTAATACTCGTTACAAAACCCAATCGCATGTGTACATATGTACATTGCAAACTTGCTTCGTATTTCCAAAAGGCTTTATGTAGATGTTCATTGGGGGGAGGCGACCGGCACATCCATCCTTTATGAGACCACATACACAATGTGAAACATTTGATGAGAAAATGAAGGTAGTTTGCATTGTGCCTTGATGTATTTAGGTGCATATAAATGGCATCTAGGTTATGAGAAGGTCTGATTGAGATACTTAAAGATGTTTTTCTTTCCTGATTCTAGCACAGTAGCACTAATTGAAAACCTTTAAGTCAAGAAATAAATACGAATGGCGGAATTTTATCACATAAAACTCTTTGAAACCATATTTTATTTTATATGAATTGTGATATTTAGGATACAACATTGTTGTTTTTATCTGTTGAAAGTTAAATAAAAGAGCAGACAATAATATGTATCTACGTATACGTAATATTTTTACTGGAATTAAAATACGACGAATACGAATAAAGGTAAATAAAATAAATAAAGGTGTAAACATTATAATTCAAATTTAAAATAGGAAAATTCATTAATTTAAATAAGATAATAAGATGATAATAAAAGTTAGTCCTTAAACTTTAAAAATAAATTCAATGACCGCTTGTTACAAATGATTTTGGAGTAAAAAATTAAGCAAATTGGTGTAATGCATTTATAAATTATGGCAACCTACATCAAATTCATTTAATCTTTACTAATTAAAATATTTTTCTACTTAAACATTCTGTTCTCTCCTCACTCTCTATCTTATTTCATATTGAATGTAGCATAAAACAAGATTTAAGATCCTCCCATTTATGGACCATCTAATTCAATAACTAATTTTTATTCCATCTTGAAGATAGGATGTACGCTGAGAATAAATAAAAGCCATGTCTGCTACCATTCAAGTGCCATGGAGGAGTCCTTCGGAGCTCCGGAACTCCGGAGGAGCGCTGCAGATGGCAGGCCGACAGAGAGAGAGGATGAGAGCTTTGTAGGGGGCAGATAAGCGGTCATAAGATTATTTTTACTAGTGACCCGATGACCGTAAAAAGGGAACGCCCGCAGCAGCGAGTGTGCGGTCTCACCAACCAGCACTTGCTCATGCGGACATCCTGCGCCGGAGGAGAGCGGAGGTCCCATGTCCTGGCTGTCCACCAATTTGCTTTGTTGTCGCAGCAGCAACAGCAGCCCGTCAGCCCGTTTTATGAACTGCGAACTCATCTTCCGCATTCGCCCCTTTATTTTATACTTTTGTGCACTTACCCGCCTTTATTTTGGCACCGATGCGATGGTCGAGGTCGACGTCGACCCTCTTTCCTCCAGTTCGATGATAAAAATGAGGCTGGCCGTAAAATTTTACGGCCTTAGGATTGCGCCGGCATCCGCCTCCGAGACCCATATATTGTTCAGCACTTGAAATTAATGCCTGATTGACACCACCATCAAAGCGCAGCGAGGACACGGCGGAAATTACAAAATTCAACACATTTTATGTGGTCGAATGGAACATAAATACCATATTTGGAGAAACTCGTGGAGACTTGAAATACATTTTAAGCGAATTGAATTGTTTGTTTGTTTAAAACCAGAATGGTTTAAGGTTTAAGCGAAAAAATCTTATTACTGAAATGTTATTTCTTTTGGATATATATATTTTTTTAATATGATTTGATTGAGGTTTTATAGAAGAATTGGAATATTTTAATAGTTATTTGGGTTACATTATAGCAGGACTTTATTAAACTGCCTGGGATTGGTTTTATGTTTAATGAGTTTTATATAAAATAAACTCTTAGTTGTTAAATATTAGGTTCATTCGTAGCATGAAGAAACCACAACAAATCCCAATCAGTTAAGGTCCTTAAAAATATATGGAAAAGAAGAATATATCCATAACTGCAGGGTAGTTCTATAGTCTTATCAGCCACCAGCAGACGGCAACGATGGGGTCATCACCTACTTCGAATCCTTCAAAAGGTGGCTTCTCATGCGCTCCATGCTTGTGCCTTCCAGACGGACATCCATTGCCGTGGCCATACCCTCCACTGCAGTTCGCTTCTCCGAATTTGGTGCCTTGAATTTCATTTCAATGGTCTCGCCACTCAGTGGATCATCGATGGACCTGGCAATGGAGCTCAGCACACCGCTCACATTGCGATTACGACCAGGTTGCTTCACCTTGGGAGGATCAGGATCTGGAATCGGATGCTCTGCGGCAATCTGAGCGTTCATCTTGGAAAACCGAGTGTATATCTTGTATTGATTAATATCGAAGGCCTTGCCATAGTTAATATACTGCTTAATGGTCTTCTTGCGCAGTTTTTTGCGATCCGACAAGTCACGGGTTGTGGCACCCACAGCCACCAAAGCAATGTGACTCTGACTATGCTGCAGGTGGAAGCCATCGCTCTGGCAGCTGCTGACCACAGCCCGGACCACATCGCCAGGGTCAATGGTCCGGCAAAGGAGCGTGCTCAGGGCACTGGCAATTTTCGAAATATGCGATGGATCAAAGACGGCCCTTGCCAACGGGGTCAGCAGAATCTTGTCCCGGGGATTGTGCTGCATCGGCAGAAGGGAACAGAATCTGCTGGCTGCCAGCAGCCCGGCCTGTTTCAGTGTCAGGTAAAGCTTTCCGCCGCCAAGGCGTGGCTGGCCAGAGATCGGCTTCTGGAACGAGTACGTGTAGATATAGACGCTGCCGCCGCCATTGAAGACCAGGCGCCACATCTGATCCCTTCCAGTCTGCTTCAGCTGGCGCATCGTGGGACCCAGTTCGAATAACACTCGATTGGCAAAGTCCAAACTTTCCAGAACCTCCGATTCCGAGGAATGGCAAAAGTCGGGGCAGATCTCGGTAAAAGTCTCGCAAAGCTTGGTAAAATCGAATTCGTTGGCAAGCCCTCGAGATCCGCTGGCCATGATTTTCTAGAGAATAATTGAATCATAGGATAAATAAATACATAAAGTAAACAGAAAATACATAAAGAGACTTGCACACGCCACAAAAAAATGTATGAGATCGAAATCTTTGATTTTTTTATTTTAATTTAATTACTCGTATACATTTCTTTTGTGTAGTTTTTGCTCAATTTCATTAAAATAAAAATTAAAATTCAGGTACACTTGTGTGGGTATAACAGTGTGGGTAAAATAATATAATCAATCTAAAATAATATATAATGAACGTAGTATTTATATATTTTTCAGCATCTTCAAATGGAATTTTTAAGCTTTGTCACATCAATTAATATAATTAAGCGATATTTAAGGTCATTTTATTAAAATACCCAATTAAGGTATCCAATTTTAAAAATGAATTTTCACTATCTGATGATTTTTGACGAACTCTTACACATATTTGTCATAAAGCTAGGGCTTGTTTACCAAAAAATGCTGAGTTATACGTTCTGGGATAAAGATTTAAGCACTCACACAAACACTATTTTTTTATGAAAATGTAAACAAATGGAAACTGCGCAATGCTTTCGTCCCAGAAACGTTGAAGTCAGGCTTTAACTGCTGGGCAGAGTGTGTCAATTGAATTCGAGATTCTGATATAAATTAATCGACAAAGCTATCGCAGAGAACACTTGCCTCTTCGATAAATAGATGGTACACCGAAAAAATTTAAGGTTTTATAATTCTAATCTTTAAATCAAAAATATTTTGTTGAATGGAAAAGTTGTATGCTCTTAAAAACATTAAGATTTTATATCAAAACAAGAAAAGAAACTAACATCGACTAAAAGATTTTGATTGCAATTCGAAATATACATACATGACTTTATGCAATAATTTGTATACCTTTGTAGATCTACAAGAAAACCTAAAATGGGAGTATTCTAGCTATATAAAATCGATATTTTTATATACCAATTTTTTTTTTTGTAAACCATAGTTTTTCAAGTATCATAACTAGGTAAAAAATGAATTAATATTCATTCGGAAAGCTGTTCTGTGCTATTTTTTATAGGGTTAACCATTCAGCTTACTGCGTTTTAAAATTTAAAAAATTTAACTGTTTGTCAAATTTTGACAATTTTAACAATGTCCCCCTTATAAAATTTTCGAAAATTCGTTTTTTTTTACCAAATATGTCAAGATCGATTCAGTTTCTGATGTTGATTAAGAACATATATGATTTATAGGGTCCGGAAATGACTCATTCACTGTGTTGCGAGCTAAAGACTGAAATTAGAATACCCTGAAAGGGTATAATCATATAGCAAACTATTATAAGGATGTGAAACCAATATTCGTGAATAATTTATAATTAAGTTAGGCTGTTAACTTTGAGTATACATTTGTAGATATCGTTAAGACAAATCGCTGTATAACTTTACATAAAAATTAAGTAATGGGAGTCATGGCAATAAGGTTATTTTAGATCTAGGCCTGATCCCTTCTATATCATCTATGTATATATATAATATAAATAGTCATGCTTAAGACTTACCGCAGTAGAGGACACATCGGAGTAAGCATCTTCCTGGCTATCCAGATTGGCCACGTAATACTTTTGGGGTGGAAGGGTAATCACTATCACTATCACTATAGATGTTATCAGGTAGGCGGCCACGGACAGACTAAGGCCGGCGCGCCGCTAAGCCCCTGTATTTATACCCTGCGAGTCAAGAGAAAAGAGAAAGAGAGTCTGGGAGTCAAGAGAACAGAGAGTGAGAGCGAGAGAGTAAGAAAGAGAAAGAGTTTCCCTCTAGAGATAGGCAGAGAGGCAGAGTGATACCTCTAGAGATACACTGGGAAAGAGAGGCATGACGCAAATAAAAGAACCTGAGCTTACTTTTAACCGCCTTGCAAATTAGTTTAATTAATTCAATATGAACTAAATATATATTATAATTAAAAAAAAAAACAGAAAACCGATACTTATTAAGATTATTAAGAAATCCGATTTTATATATCATAATCTTTGTCGCAGATCTTTCAAATTAATCTTAAAACCTTTGCTTTCGTTCTTAACAAATAAATCTTTAATAATTTATTCTGTTACCGTGTGTTAAAAAAATATATAAATAAACAGAAAACAATGTAATTGAGCTTTGCAGCTTTCACTTACCTGCCCGCGGATATATTTATGTGAAAAAGTATGCAGTAACTTGGCAAAACACAGCCAAAAGGCTGCTTTTCACCTTCGAATTTAATGAGCTTCCACGGGACGTGATTATTAGGCGAACGAGCGTACGTGTGGGGTGGTTCCGCTTCCAAAGGTGCTGACAATTCCCCAGCTCCCCAGAGGGAGTGTCCTCCTGTCCTCCTGTACTCCTTCGTCGACGACTTAACCACATCCACATTGGCGCACCGCCGGAGCCGCCGCATGGGTGCGATTTTCGTAGTTTGCCTGCCATCATCCGCCATCTTCACATATTCAAAAAATGTTTCCCTTTTTCCTCCTTTTTAAGGCGAAACATAAACAATTTTTCGCGACGTTGAAAAACTTTTAACTTTGCTTCGTTCCCCAACATTTTCCACACGTGTTTCATGTAGGTAGATATGAGGACACACACACACACACACAAATATAATATGGTGTATATATGTCCTTAAAATATACACAGCATCCTTTTCCTAGCTACAGAAAATGGTGTTTCTTTATGAATTTTTCAAGGGAGGGTAAGAGGTTAAGAAGGTTACTCGTAGCTAATGTATTTAAAGTTGTATATTTAAAAACCAAAATGGTCTTTAATGTTTTTGCCATTATATTCTTTTTCCTTTTTTTTTTTAAATGGTACAATTTAGCATTTAAAATTTTGGCAACAACGTTGCTAGACATCATACAGATCTCCAGTCTTGATCCTCGATGTTAACTCCTCTTCTGTGGTAACCTCTTTCGATCATGTTTGCCATCGCCAATCGACTCCACCATATCCTCACTGAAGCGTTGAGAGTATATCACCTCCGACACCCCATCGGCGATATCGTCCAGAGTTAAAGGATGACCATTGGCCACCATCACCGCCAGGATAATGGGGGCTAAGATGTCATTGGCGCAACTGTCCATTGGGCTAAATCCGTCCGCAGAAAAAAAAAAAAACAAAAACTGAAAACTGAAAACTGAAAACTGGAGCTCAATTTCGACTACTCCGTTGTCCGTGCTTATGTGAATTTATGACAACTCATCTGACAAGCCCGGCAAGGGCCACTTCAGCTCTATCCCATCGGGTTTCCACTTCACCACGGAGTTCGGTGTGGAAATTCAATTTGAAAAAGTGTCACTTGTCAGTTGGTCACAGCAGTCTATTGTGCCATGTGCCCTTTGTTGTTGCTGTTGTGCATTTTTCGGATGCGGCATATCAATACCCCGGAATAGTTGGGGCACTGCGGGGAAGCGCAGATACATTTCGTATGCAAATTGCTCGCAAGTCAGAGACGGGCAAGTCAATAAAAAAAAGAAGAAAAATAAAAAGAAAAAGAAAGGAAGACACCACCCACAGCAAGCCACACGTATGCAAATGAAGCCAATGGAGAACATCCCATACAGAAGTGGCACAATCTCTGGCTTATTCCATTTCATCTGGATGTTACATGAGCAGGAGCTTGGGATTTATGATTTCTAAACTAGGTTCTTTTCTAGGGGTCTTAAACCAATATCAGTTGAAACTTTGGCACAAAAACAATTCTAGTATTAGATGCTTAATACCCAAAGTTCAAAAAATAAAAAGATCTATCTGGATATTGAAAATAAAAAATGCATTAATAAAAAATCCCCTTTGAAAGTCACGAGTAACGATAATTATCACTATATAGTTTCCCAGCCCTGCACTCAAGTGATCGTGTCCGACTCCAAAATATCGAATATATCCATGTGTGCATGCACTTTTTACATGAAATGTGGTTTAGGGGGATTTGCATTCGGCTTTGTGCGATTTCAGTCACTTTCCGACAACAAAGCGGATCGCAGCTATATAAAATCCTCAGTAATCGCCGAGTCGAAGCTATTACAGTATATATGTATGTAAGATAAATAAGCAAAAACAAATAACGAGTATAGTTTTAAAATTGAAAGATTGAGTGCAGTAATATAATTTAAATTTTGCTGAAACGCGTAAATTGTTTTTAAATAATTAGTGCATCTTTATGTATGTTTTTTCAAGTACATAAAACAGTAAATACATATATATACTATATATATATATAAAGTGCCAATGTGTTATCCTCTTGTAGTAAATAATTAAGCTGATAAGCATCGGCATGAAAGGGAAAACAAAAAGTAAACAGCTGAAAGCGGATTGAATTTCTCGTTACAAATACAGATATATGCAATACTGAACAACAAAGGCATTACAAAAAGGTTTGAACCTCGGCAATTTTGTTTTGTTTACTCAATATTCCTCTTCATAGATTCATTATCTTGAGGAAGAATATGAACCTCTATTTTTTTTAAATCAAACTATAAAGTTCTATTGTTTCTTTTACTAGATATATACTTTTTGTTTCTATTAATATTTACTGTACGTGACTTATTCCTCAAGTACCTACACATATGTATCAACATATCTTTAACTTCAGATATGTCTATAATACAAATTTCCATTCCATTTCAAAGCAAGTCTGTGCATTAAAAAAAAAACAATATTATCAAATTTCAAGTAAATAACCATTATGAATATTGCAGCGCTATGGCGAAGTCCAAATTTGTCTTTGATTTTGTGAAACTGAAGCAGACATTCTCCGAAATCTGTCCCGACTTCAATGAGGAGCCCTGCTATGACCAACCCACAACCAGTCGTCGCTTTGCCGAGAATGTAATCTTCGTCTACAGCAAGGAGGCCGCGGCAGCCAAGGCCAAGAAAAAGGACGAGTCCTGGTCAATGCAGCTGACTGTAAAAAATTCAAAAGGAACATTAATTCACAGTGAGGTGAAGATCCAAACGCATTGGGTCCGTGATCCGCCGCAGAACCAACCCTTTGTGATGCGCGGCCTCCTGGATATGTCCTTCAAGCAGGCCAGCCTGCTGGCGGTGGCCAAGTACTGCCAGCTGGTGCCCCACCAGGTGGAGCGCGGCGAAGTGGTGCTCACTCCCCTGGCCGGGGCAGTATTCTCGAAATTCGAGATACCCAAACTGGCCGAGGCTGTGGGAGAACCCCTGGCCGATGTGGTGGTGGCCATAATCTGCAGCTGCCAAACCGATGGCTACTATCTGGAGCACAGTCGCTGCCACATTGCCTTGGTAGCTATTGTCAAGACGGTGGCCGATCTAAAGATGCAGGCCTCCCTTGTCAAGAAGACCATAAAAATGTACAATCTGCATGGAAAGGACTTTGACATGGACAAGTTCAAGGAGTGGAGCATGTTTTTAAAAAAATCTGGCCCCGCTAAGGTGAACAACAGGAGTAATGATGACTTTGATAGGATGACCGAGCAGGTTTTGGCCCTCCAACTATCTATCCAGGAAGAGCAGAATGGTGTGGAGCAGTCCTCTAAAAAGCCAATAAAATGTGCAGCCAAATTTCAGAAATGAAGTGAACTGTCTGAGCATATACACTTCAGGATGTACCCGGAAGTAAGCTTCTACTTGAGCCCGTTGGCTTTCTCTTGCTTCGCATTGAACCAACCAACTGCAGAAATGTCTCTATGTCTGATGTATCATACATCAATGTATCTATTAGATACTATACATATTGTATTTACACTGAAAAACTATTTTAATAAACTACAGTTTTCTTCGGTTCAATGTAAACTTATTGTTTCCAACATTTTTATACCCTTGCAGAGTATTATAATTAAAATCAGAAGTTTGCAGCGCAGTGAAGGAGTCATCTCCGACCATACAAAGAATATATGTACATATATTCTGGATCAGCATCAACAGCCGAGTCGATCTTTTATGAAAATCGGAGGATCAGTAACTATCTTTCAACAGTGTTACTATGAAAAGTAACTATGATCAGGAAGTATCTATGAACATTAAGTAACTATGATCAGTAATTAACCATGATCAGTAAGTAATTATGAGCACTAAGTAACTATGAGGAGTAAGTAACTCTGAACAGTAAGTATCTATTACCAGTAAGTAACTCCGAACAGTAATCATCTACGACTAGTAAGTAACTATGATCATTAAGAATCTATGACCAGTAAGTAACAATGACCAGTAAGTATCTATGACCAGTAAGTGTGTATGATCAGTTACTAACTTTGAACACTAATAAACAATGACTTGCAACTTTGTAACACAACACATTTCTGAGACCCGGCCGGCAGAAGTCACTTCGTTCCGGGGATGTTTGAACCAGTTGAGAATCATAAGCTCAGATGTGCGAAATTTGTTTTGGAACAAATTTAAGCTATTTGAAGGAAACTATTGAGTTATTCTTCTATATAATTTTACTAGTATATAAGTCGGAGCAAGGCGAATCGCTGGACTATATATACACATATAGCTGCCATAGGAACGATGAAAAAATTGACTAGGAGTAGTAATTAAGTATAAACACTAAGTAACTCTAAACAGTAAGTATCTATGGCCAGTGAGTAACAACGATAGGTAAGTATCTATGACCAGTAATTAAGTATGACCAGTAAGTAACTCTGAACAGTAAGTATCTATGAGCAGTAATTATCTATGAGCAGTATCTATGACCAGTAAGTGTGTATGATCAGTTACTAACTTTGAACACTAATAAACAATGACTTGCAACTTTGTAACACAACACATTTCTGAGACCCGGCCGGCAGAAGTCACTTCGTTCCGGGGATGTTTGAACCAGTTGAGAATCATAAGCTCAGATATGCGAGATTTGTTTTGGAACAAATTTAAGCTATTTGAAGGAAACTATTGAGTTATTCTTCTAAATAATTTTTCCAGTATATAAGTCAGAGCAATGCGAATCGGTGGAGATATATACGCATATATAGCTGCCGCAGGAACGATCGGAAAATTGACTATGAGCAGTAATGAAGTATAAGCACGAAGTAACTCTTAACAGTAAGTATCTATGGCCAGTGAGTAACAACGATAGGTAAGTATCTATGACCAGTAATTAAGTATGACCAGTAAGTAACTCTGAACAGTAAATATCTATGACCAGAAGGTATCTATGAGCAGTAAGTAACTCTGAACAATAAGTATCTATGAGCAGTAATTATCTATCATCAGTAAGCATCTATGACCAGTAAGTAACTATGATCAGTAAGTATCTATAACCAGAAAGTATGATCGATCGTTACTAACTTTAAACACTAATAAACAATGACTTGCAACTTTTGTAACACAACACATTTCTGAGACCCGGCCGGCAGAAGTCACTTCGTTCCGGGGATGTTTGAACCAGTTGAGAATCATAAGCTCAGATGTGCGAGATTTGTTTTGGAACAAATTTAAGCTATTTGAAGGAAACTATTGAGTTATTCTTCTAAATAATTTTGCCAGTATATAAGTCGGAGCAAGGCGAATCGCTGGACTATATATACACATATATATAGCTGCCATAGGAACAATAGGACAAGACAACAAGTATAACTTTTCCAGTTTTCAACAGATTTTTATCAAATCTGATAAATAGCCATTATATTTTAATCCAAAACTTTGTGAAAATCGGATTACTATATTATATAGCTACCATACAAACAATCGTTATAAATAGAGGAAAATGCAAAACGGTGAATGTAAAACTTTAACTAAAAATTTATGTATGAGAATAAAATAAATGCAGGAATTACATTATTGTTTTATATCATAAATATATATAATTTATATTGCATTAATTGCTAGTGATCGAATTTCAATCTGCAAGGTTATATAAACTTCAGCGTGCCGAAGTTAGCTTCGTTTCTTGTTAGGTATTTATTTGTTTATCTAGGAGTTGCAAAACTATTCCGAAATATTTTGATACTGTATAGTTAATATATTTATTAACGTTGACAAAATTACAGTCTACGAAACTGTCTATAAGGTATTGATTGGTAGTTTTTGTTTGTTAATATACATGACTTCTTTTCTATAATGACTATATATACAGGATCGATATCATACCAAAACTAAGGAAGATCTACTTTAGTAGGCTCTTAACACATTAATTACATAGCCAGTTAGAAACTATTATTGTATTTTGGCAAAAACAATTAATTTTGCAAGCCTTAAAATTCAAATTTGTTTGACTTTTCAAATACTAATGAAAATAAACAATACTTTTGGATAATATAAATGTTTATCACATATTAGTTATAATATATTTCAGTTCAATCTAATATCATTAAATATTTTATCTTTAATGTATCCAAAAACACAGATAATTCTTCGATTCTCCCATCATTAAATACATACTTGGTCTTGGCGTCTTCCTGGTTTTCATTTGGTTTTCTCAGTTGGCTTCGGCTTTCGCTTCTGGAGCTGTATCATCGATAACTTTAGCTTCTGGTGCTCCTTGTGCGTGCAGAGTCCAACGGATTGCAAGAATAACTCCTTGGTGCCTTTCGGCTGGTCGGGTTCTGGCGCCTTTTCGACTGGCTTGCACTGCGAGCGAGCTCTCTTGAGGGCTGCTTGCAGATTAAGACGGCTCGCCATAACCACGTTGGCGGTGTCTGCCGACGACTGCAGTTGTGGGAGTTCCGGAGGCGGTTTTATGGCTTTGACAGGCGGTGGTGCCTGTTCCTCTGGAGCGTCTATGATGAAATACTTCTTTAGCAACTGATCTTCGGTGGGTCGTTCCATAACGAAATGCGGTTTGAGCGACAGTTCCGGGGCAACAATCAGGGGCACTATGGATTGACTGACAATGTCCTGGATCACCCGTTCATCAGGCTTCACGTCCTGCTCGATAAAGGCCAAGCAGAAGCGATCGATGTGATCCTGGAGACGTAGCAACAGATACTGGCACTCTGCATTCAACTCGTACAGCATATCCTCCAGTTCGTGCAGATAGTTGTTCTTGGTCACGGGATCCTGCAAGGTAATGGTTGTTAATGAAACGAAATTAAATCTCCTAAAGAGTACTTACGGCATCCTCCTGCTTACCGAAAACATCAACAATTGTCTGCAAGATCGAAAATTTAAACTATATTCATAGGTTCCATATGATAAAATGTAATGTAAAACATACCTGATGCGTTGCCAGATGCGACTTCATGGCTCGCTGGCAGTAGGCTATATCGTTCACCAATTTCTCTGGCACTTTGTAGAATTTTCGCAAATAATGCTCGAAGAATTTCTGCACATGCAAATCCTTGCTCGGCATGGTGTTGGCCCCGCGCATCTTAACCAGAAAAGCCTTGATGATTTCGTAGCGCTCCTTGTGCGAAAACTCGTTAAAGTTAATAGTTTCCATGGCGTTCAATTGTGTGCGAGTTGTGAAATAACATTTAATTTATAATTTTTTTGTTTTGACGCCACAAATTGCCGCTTCGCCGTAAAGTGTGCCCACATTCGTGGTTTTATAGTTCCTTTAAAATACCAAGAGCGTAGTGGCAGCCCTATGATTTCGATATACGCTTATCGATCAGTCGTTATTTATCGGTTTTTGAATTTTACTACTCCATTGCGAGCTTTCTACTAAGATCAATCCAATTATTTAACAGTTTGTCATAGTTACTATTTAGCACTTTGAGCAACAAGGTGCCGCGTTGGTAATTAATGGGAAACCACCAATTTACGACCAGAGCCTGCCCAGCTGTCAATTCAGACTCACAGTTCTGTGCTATGGCCGTAACTATGATTGATAGTAGCGACTGTGGCTGAGCTCTCTGTGCACCCATGTGCGTAAATAAAATAATTACTATTTAATTATTCACATATTGATCGGCACATACGTGCCAAATGTATGCGAAACTGTGTCCATTTCAATTAAGCGTTCTCGCAAATAAATACAGTGGTTGTAAAAGTAAACGGCCATTATTGAGTGATTTACATGCTGCAGAACTTGCTTTTCCTCTTAACTATGTATGTAGGTACTTATGCTGCATTGTTACAATATGTGTACTTCAATTTACCTAAATGGGCACAAGTGTAAACTGAGGCATTTATGCATGTGCACAGCAGGTTTGGTCCTCGTTCTCTTAGATCTGGGATGCTCCACACTCCTTAGCTGAAATCAACTGATGTTTTCCTTGTGTTTTCGCAATATCCTTGGGCAACTTTAAAGCTCTTTGGCCCGGCAAGAAAACTTTTGACCGCAAAAAGGGTCTGCCGGAGGAGCTCTATAATCCTCAAACGGCTTTGGTGTTGCCAAAGCAACCAGAATACGCAGCAAATCCTGGACAGCAGAGCGGCCTTCACTGGGTAAAGGCCAAAACAGATGCAACTGAAATCTCATCATAAGCTCTGCCTTGGCCAAATCTGAAGTTCGCTTTCAGCAAAATGAGATTTAAGGACGAGGCTGTATTTCCTTGACTTTCCTTAACATATTCCTTTAATAATTTCTTTATAACTATATAAATAAAACGAGTATCAGTGAAGTTCGTATTATATTCCTATTGAAAACTATAACTTAACTTCTCCAAGTAATTTTGTTTATCCAACATTTTATGTAAGCCTGCAAATCACCGAAGGAACAATGTCAGTACCTGATAAATAATTTATTTTTATTGTTTTTTTTCGGTGGTGTTCCAGGGGAGTCGACTTAAATATCGTGCAGCTAATAATAAAAGTCATGAACGACGCACTCCGCGTACTTCGCTGGGCGAGTCCGTATAACTGATGGCTTCTGGATGCCGGGCAATATTCATCTTGCGACTTCAAAGGATGGGCGTGGCAACAATAGATGGGCTCGGGACAGAACAATACTCGCCGTTGTCCCGGGCGACGCAACGGTTAAGGAGGCACTTTTCGAGGCAAAAAAAAAAAAAAAAAAGGGACGAACAAAAAGGACAATGGCACCTAATGGTCCGATGTGGTGTTGGTGGTGTCGGTGGCTTCGGCGTCGGCATTGGCACTGTTTGGTATGGTGGAGTGGTGGAGTGGCTGGTGTTGCCGGTGGTTCCGGCCGGAACAGTTGCACGCGGGCTCCGACAGTGTCCCTCATTTATCATTTACACACCAACGCACGGGAAAACAGTCCGAACATAGCCCCAATGATGGGATGCTGGGTATGTTGTGGCCCGGCGGCGGATGACAGGGAATGGATTCTATTGCAAAACCCCGGCAGAAATTCCATTAACGCTTTATGTCGGCGCATGCGGCACAGCGGCCCGTCATTTGCATTGATTAAATCACTTTGCGGTCGGTTCGGCAAATGGTTTAAAAATCTCCACCAACTTTCCGCTCAATTGTTGCTCGTGGACCTCCACCCGCCTCGATTTTTATGCACTCCGCTGGCGTCCCTCATTTTTTGCTTTCTTTATTTTATATATTTTTGTATTTTTGGGTCTCTTTATGTGTGCCTTACAAATTGCTATTGTTTTTTATTCAGCTTTTCCCCCAGAACTGCCGAATTTCTAGTCAGGTTTCGTGTTGCCATGTTTCCAATAAATTTCACTCTACAACCCTCTGATGGCAATGTGGATTTTTGGTTCGTGAATTCCCGCAGATGAGGAAAATGGTGGAATTGTGTGTAATTGATTCCCATGGGAACTGGTCGAATTTGCCATGTTTGTACTCACCCAGCATCCCTAGTTACCCTTTACCCTCTACCTTAATCGAAATGATTTGTTTGGTGAAATTTGCTTGTGGATTTAATTTTAAAATATTTATGTCATTTACAAAAAACCCAGTCCATTTAATAAAATAAACTTCTAGAGCTCCCACAAAATAAATATGATATGTGGTTTAATCAGAATTCACTTCAGAAACAACATCGAATGAGAACCAACTGTCGAAATTGAATATGACCCTAGTGCCCCCTTCCGCCACTAACTGCTGTACAGGCTGCATGAATTTCCACTCAATTTCCATGCTGTCTGCAGCAGGCAGACTTTTAAACAATAACAAAACTGTGCCAATACACGGGCCAAAAGTTTCAAACAAAAGCAAAAGAAACCGAGGCGATGGTTCGCATTTACACAGTTACCGCACCTTTACAAGCAAAAAAAAATATAACACAATGAAATTGCGAAAAATGCCAATGCAGCTCGTGTCAAGAAATAAATATTTTTTCATGCAGGGGAATGAGAAAATATCCAAATTTAAGGCATTATTTTACGACATTTAAAAGTAATTCTGCTTCTGTAAGTTCAAATTTAACGGCCAATGGCTGATAACAGTTTTCAGCGATTGCAGATGACAGGTGGCGGGGTGGCAACGCCATGCCATTATCAAACAGCTGATTGCCGGTTTTATTTCTTTATTATTTTTTGCAAATTGCACGTAACTTTCAAACAATAAAGTTTCTACGGAAATCTTCGAAAAGATGCTAATCCTAAACAAATGCCTACCTCTTAGGCAGATTCTCAGACGCTGTCATCGTCAGGGTAAGTGGAAATACTTAAAGATTTCACTGATATTCAAGGCTACCCTTTATAATAGCTATGGAAATTACCAAAATTGGTAACAACCACTTAATTGACTTCAAGGGAAAGTGGCCCGAAGAGGAGCAACAGGAGTTCCGCCTGCACATGCGCATTATCACGGACTTCATAAGCGAATCGGAGGAGCAGCAGCTCCATGAGGAAATTGAGCCCTACATGAGTCGGCTACGCTACGAGTTCGATCACTGGGATGATGTGAGAGAAAATTAATATAATACACATTGAAAGATCTTTCCTTAATGTCAAAGATCCTTTAGGCCATTCATGGCTTCCGGGAGACGGAGCGTAAGAAGTGGTTCCCCCACAACCGAGAGGTTCTGGAGCGCGTGCGTCAGGTGGCCTTCGATGGCGCCATTATGCCATATATACACATCCTGGATCTGGCACCCGATGGTGTAATCAAGCCACATGTGGATAGTACTAGGGTAGGAGAACATCTATCCTTAGAGGCCTTAAATTTACATATATTTTAAATGCTTCGTTAGTACTGTGGCACCACAATCTCTGGCATCAGTTTGCTGAGCGACAGTGTCATGCGACTCGTACGCACGGATGCCCAGCGGTATCAACAGAACCAGCAATCAACGACGGATGCAGGGGAAACGGACTCCAAGGATGCAGACACTGATGCTGCATATCGCCACCAGCCAAAGGAGGCGTCACTGGAAAACAAATTCTACGCCGATCTGCTGCTCCCGCGACGCTCCCTGTACATAATGAGCCACACGGCTCGCTACAATTTCACGCACGAGATACTGGCCAAGGAGCATTCACAGTTCCAGGGCACGCCCGTGCCAAAGACACGTCGCATTTCCATCATTTGTCGCAACGACCCTTGAGACAGAGCGTAGGTCATCTCTTAAAAAGAGTTGAAAAAATGTTTGTTTAACTTTTACCCCAAATATTTATCGACGTATTCCTAGTCTAGTTTGTATTTTGTGTAAATATTGGAATACAAATTGTATTCCCTCATTATTATAATTCAATAATTCATTTTTTGAAAGCTAAGAATAGTGAAATTTGATTTAATGAGAATGTCTTTGATTATATATGCTTTCCTCTATATTACCTTTAGCTTTGTATACTACCTTTGCTAAATTCTTTCATTTTGAAACTATTTATTGTTAATTGCTTAGTTCCTGCATTGAGCCAAGCCTCCGAAGAAAGTTCTTGAGTTCGTCAAGGCAAATTGTAGTAATTACAGTCAATAAGTTAATTTCCAGTAATCAAGAAAGACATAAGTCGATATCCTGGCAATAGTTTCTACCTCGCCTTGCTTACCAACTCGTTTAGGAGTTAAAGTTTCAAATGCATCAAGTTGTTAAATAACATGGCGGAGAAGCAGTAAAACTTTCCATTCGATTTTCCTGGCTTTTCGCAATGCGAATTGAAAAGGCGACTAGACAAACACACGTACTTGAAGGAGTGTCAGAGTGGGTTAAAGGATGCTCGCATCCTTGATTAAAAGTTAAGGGCGCCGAACGGCAACAACAACAAATCAGCGTTAGTGGCATTCGTTTACTCAACGCTTGACGCCTTTTAGCCCATTTGTTTGTTTATTAGGGGTTTCTCGCATCGCCTTGGCTTATTTGCTCAGGAGATTGAAGACATCGCCGCAAATCCCAGCGCAAATATAAATCTGTGGGCGTTATTTTTAGCGCCCCGATAACAAAACATGACGATTTGCAAATGATGTCATAAATTTATAAGCAACACGGCAGCTGGGAGGTACTCCACTGCGTATACGCATTCTTTATGATGAACGGCGAGGCGAAGGACGGATATCATTTGGCGATAAAGCATTCTCGCACTTTGATGCGATTTGTTGTGGTTTTTGAATTTTCCAGGAGGCGGCCTGTTAACGGCCAGTGGGTGGTGTGAAAGCTCCACTTTATGTTAGTTTCTCTTACGCTGTTAGAACGGAATCCACAAGGCTGTTAGGGCCCCAAACCCCAGTTCTGTTAGTTTGTCTGAACTTAAATCAGAATTACTAACACTTACACGCACGATTGTCCAGATTACACACAATTAAATTAATGATTATGGAAGAAGCAGGATTTTGATTGCAAAATACGCAAGCTTTGTGAATTTTTAAAAGAGTTATTTTTATACCTTTTGCGGGGTACTAAAATTTTAGTCAAATGCTTAAAATACAGTGAAGGCGCCATTTCCGACCAAATAAATCTTATATATTCTTGATCAGAATGATCAGCCGAGTCGATCCAGTCATATTTGGTTAAAAAATAAATTTTAAAAAAATGTTCAAAATTTTATATAAAATTCTTAAAATTTGACAAAAATTTTTATTTTCTTAAATTTTAAATTGAGTAAGCAGATTTATTAAATGAATAAAAACTTTTATTCCTATATAAAAACTATATAAAACTGTCAAAAAATTTTAATGTATTTTCATTTTTAATATGTTAAATTCATTTTGAAAAATAATTAACGATTAAGAAAATAATACAAAATAACTTTACGAAAGATACAATTATTAATGTTTATTATTAGAATGTCATTTCCAATTCTAATCTATTGATGTTTTTTGACCATCAATGGCAACTTTTCAAAAAAGTTGAGCAAGTTCAAAGAAAACTTGAAACACCTTATCTTATACCCTTTCGAGTGAAAACTTGAACAAGTAATGGAAAAGTAGAAATCAATTGAGCATTAATCTAGCTTCTATTAAAATGCTCAACAAAGTTGCAACACCGATCAAATGAATGAGCCCAAACACGGTTGGGTTATAGTCAGTAGCAACTTTAGCTCTTTCGCTCACGTGGACCACCTTGTCCAGGTGTTCAGTTCATCAACGGTTTAAGAACTTTTGAACATTGTTCAGGACTCAAGTGGGTGAAATGGCTAAAACACGCAAGGACACAAACACGAGCGATTCCAGAACAAGAAGGATAAGAGGAAAAGGCAACTCGAGTGGCTCGGAATGAAAGCCAGATGAAGAAATACACCTGCTGCAGGTGAGTCGATAAAAAAGCCATCAACATTTTGTTTGCCCCAGAAACAGAACAGAGCTGGAGTTTGGCTTAAAATCTGCACAGTAGGAACTGTAAAAGGGGGAATCCCCCACATAGCCCGAATCCCCACTGACCAACAAAGTGGCAACTGGAAGTTCTGAACAAATTATCAACTGAATGCTACAGAAACAGCAGAAATAACAACAATAATCTCGGCGACAATTTCAAGAGCCAGAGTCCGCAACAATACCCAATACCCCTTTTTTCTCTCTCATAGCTCCTTTATTTCGGTTATTGCTATTGCTATATTATTATTATTTTATTATTATTATTATTATTATTTGCCTGCCATCCCACTTGTAACAATTTCACCCTTTCTCTGTGTTCTCGGTCCCCCGAAAAGTTGAGCGAAACTTTGGGTTTTTCATTTCGCTGAAGCAGTTCCCGAACTCCACTCGAAGGGTTTTTGGCCCCCAGAAAATAGGTCTTTTCAAGGGTCAGGCCTTTGTTTAGTGAGTTACAATGGGGAAATATGTATTTAAGTATCTTGAGGGGTAAGAATAAATTTAAAATAACTTTTAACTCATTCGGTGGTACTTGTATTTCAAACACTTTCCGAATAAGCAACCTCAGATGTTTATGAAAGCGTTTTATTTGATGTTTTATTTATTTATATTTTAATTTCTTTTATAATTTATAATCACTAGAACACCTGTATCCTCTTATCTTTTTTTGTCTTGAAGGTAATACTTTTATCTAAGAAAATAATATTCTCTTTACAATTTTTAGACACTTTGCTTCGAAAAATCTCCTAGTTTCATAAAATTTCCACCGTTTTGCTTTAAGAAATTCCCAGAAAGTCACCAGAACTCAGGCATTGACGGGGTGGAAGAGCGAGAAATGCGCTTGGGGCAGGGCTTTTGTCCTGTGCCGCCTGTCGAAGGACTCGAGAGGACATTTTCGCCTCTCCATGGACTTTTTCGCTGCCAAATATTTTCTTTTAAGCGGCAGAATCTGCTCTGCAACAGGACCGCTTCTTGGCAGCAGGACAAAAAGCAAAAAAAAATCCAATTAAATGAAGTCCTTTTTTGTTGCTCCTGCGCTTTTCCAGCGCTTTCTTTATTATCCTGCAGCAGGGGCAGGAGCTGAGGCAGCGCCGGACATGCAGCTTAATGCACAAATTCGCACCCTGACATTTCAATAATCCTCGGATGCAGTACTCCGAACAGTGGTTACGGAAATTAATACGTTAAGTAAATCACTTCAGACCTGCAATTATCCCTACTTAAGTTTTGCAAAGCTACCCACTAGATGTCATTGCTGGATTAACCTGTGAAATGCAGCCGTTCTCAGGTGAGAATGCACTCAGAGAAAAATTTAAGGAAAATATTACACGTCCTTCTTAATTTAAAACCTTTTTAAATAACAAAAATAAAATGTATTAAAAAGTACTCTAATCTTGCTAGTAATACATTTCTTTCGGCAATCCAAAATAAATTATCTTTAAAATAAAACTCCTATAATTATCTCTCATTTATATCCTTTATTTTTGCAGTAATTTTCATCAAATAAGCTCTCTTGGCCCCACGTTCATTATCATTGACCTGGGGAATAGAGGCTATCGATTGTCCTTTCCCTTTCCCCAGGCTCTGCTTTCCGAGATTAATTGAGCATAAATTTTTACTGCGCATTGCCCCGGAATTGCGTGAATTGTGAAAAATGTTCACCAACGAGAGGGCCAGGGCCAATGTGTCCTTGAGAAATGTTTAATAGACTTTTAAGTCATTTTTTTGTTGTTGTCCTGCAGGGACCACCATGAACCACCTCCCTTTGCAAGGCTCGCGAACTGCTGTCACCTGCCGGCAATCACGGCCATTAATCACGATTATTTCGAACTGAGATCGACAAACGAGCCACAGCCTGTTCGTTATGTTCCCCACGATTCGGCGCTATTACTCACATTAATAAGTAATTATTTTTCACAGTTTCCCAGCTTCGAATTGGACCTGGATTAAGGTGAGTCATTATATACTTAATACCTTGCCTTTTTTTCGTTCAAAAAGCTGTTTATTTCTGTTAAGATGTGTTGTTTAAAACAACTTGTTTTCTGTCGCCAAATTGTAGAACTTAAAGTTTAACTATTATTTAGGGCTTTCTTTGTGAATCTTATCTTAAGGTGTTAATTGTTAACCTGTAAATTAACAATTTAAAAAAATAAACTAGTTTTATTCTTTAAATTCTTATGTAATAGATAGTAACTGAAACTCACTGAAATGAAGCGTGTTTAAACGGGTTAACTTGAGTTTACTTGATAAACAGAAACACTTTAATCCCCATTAGATGGTCCACACTGTGGAGGCTGGATTGAATCCCCCAGGAGGGAGATCTGGTCTTCCCAGCGATTAAAACTTTCTGTGGCGGCCGCTGTTTCAGTTTCCAGTTTTGGCCTGCTCCTGATTTCTCCTAGGCCACAAACAGTTGGCCGAGTCGAAAGTTTTCCCTCTGCGGTTAATTCGTTTTTTATTTTTTTTTTCACTGGCTGTGCGATTGTTTAACCAAGAGCCTCAAAGCCAACTGGCGCCAGTCTGTTCCCCTGCCCGGCGTTTCCATCCTGACCACCACAACAAGTGAGATGTCAATCAATAGTTTTGGAGCTCACTCTGAGCTGCCAAACTTTCGGAGCCCGAATAAATGTGGCACGAGCTGAAAAGTGAAGCCAGATGTGTCCTGGAATATCCTTAGTAACCGGACACACAGTTGTCAGGGAACTTAAAGCGCTTAGTTATATGTTGCTTATAAATGTATAAGTTAAAGAATTCATAGTTCATTTTGGAAATTCTTTATTGACATTTTAAATTTCTATAAATTCTGGGTAAAAATAAATGCAGTCCCCCCTCGTTGCAAGACTAATTTCTATATTTATCTACAGAATTTGTTTGTGCAGCTTAGGGAAAATCAATTTTCTTGGACAGCTGAAAAGTAAAAGGTGTCCTGGATATATCTTTTGTCCTGTCACAAATCTTGTGCAACTGCCGCCCCGGAAACTAGCTTACGACATCAGAAAAAAAACTACTAAGATGCGTAAACAATGAGCGTTATGGTCATCCATCCATCCATGTGTGCGTAAGGGGAAAATCTGCAAAAAAGAATGGAAATGCAAGCGCTCACGTATCCGCAGTCTTGGCCAGCATTCCGTGGTTCAGGTAGCAGGACAATGGACTCGAAGTCATACATACAAATTGCATGTTGAGCGCGTACTGGGTACTCAGGAAATTGCAATCAGTGATGCAAAAAGGATAACTAGGACCAAGGTATTCCATTTCTTAAGAGTTTATATATATTTACAATATTTGGTACCTTGAAAAGTGTCATTTTTTAATGAACCCGTTGTCTGTCATGTTTGGAGTTAGTATTATAACAAAAAATAATCCCATCTTCAAAGAGTACTTAAAACATTTCAAATATTTCCTGAACACTCCCTATCCAGGTAAAAAGATAATTTGTACCTTTCCATCTCTGATTCCAACTGGGTCAACGAACCAATATGTCCAGCAGCAGCCCGCTGTTCTCCTCCTGTTGGTGCCAGGACAATGCCCAAGACAGAAGTCCTGCGGGGCTTTGTCTTGTGCAAACGATAAGCATCTGCAGCGCCGTGGTCCAAGTGTCCTTCCCGGGCGTTTTATCCCAAAAAACAAAGGCGCTTAAAGAGCATGACCTTTCGAAATCCTTATAAGGGAAATCCAAGGACCTATACTAGATAGCTATAACTATAATTCCAAAAGAGAAATACCTTCTAATTAATATGTTTTATGACTAGTCTAGTTCGAAGGAGTATATACAATTAATGTGGTAAATTGGTAAACCCAATAACTTGTCCCAATGTTTATACTTGCAAAATAAATTAATAAAAATAAAAATAAATGCAACCTGTAAATTTTCTTTACATTTTTGAATTTTTTAAATATTTAGTTGGTCTGGCAGCGCCACGTGATCGAGTGTTACCGACGATATATCGATAGTGCAAAAAGAAATCGATGTTTTGAAGAGCACATCGATATAACATCGATAGTATCGATAGTGCTCCGATTCTTGCCAGCCTCTATAGGACCGGGAAAAACTCGAAATCTCTCATTTCTTTTCAAACTTTCAAACGCGATCAGCAAAAGGTGAAGCATCCGCGTCGGTGCTGCCTAGTAAAAAGTACAAGTGTGGTCAGTGTGAGCGTAGCCAAACAAGGAATACAAATTCCACCGCTCCCGTGACGCAAAAGGCTGTAGAAATTGAAAGTCAAATGAATTCTGTTCCCAACTGTGTGTGTGAGTGTACAACGAGCGTCAATTTTGATGATAAAATTTGCCTGCGCCTGTAAGTGTGTGCGTTGAGCATATGTCTGTCAGTGTGTTGGTGTAAGCGTCGAGTCGAGCATAAGAAAGCAGCAGAAACAACAACATAGGAGGAGGGCACTTGGCGACGCTTGACGAAAGAGAAGCAAAGAGAAGCGTGAAATCTCCATTTTAATACAGCGAGGAAAACCAAGGAACGGGTGTATACACGATGGCCAGCTTCCAGATCCACCAGGACGCCAACAACAAGGAGAATCCCGGCGTAACCATTCCGGCCGGAGTCAGGGGCGCAAAGCAGCCGCTGGCCGTGATTGGCAAAGAGAAAATTGCGCTTGCGCCACGGGCCAACTTCGCTGTGCTCAACAACAACAACAATCACAATGGGAATGTGCCTCGTCCGTCCGGAAAAGCGGTAAGTGCCGGGGAAAAAACGAAAAATCCATAGCGCACCGAGAAATTCTAATGCAGCTGCCGATCTTTTTTATGGTGGTGGGATCTGCGTTTATGTGTGTGTGTGTGTGTGTGCGACCAGTGGTGGTGGTTTTCTGTCCTCCCTCTCCTTTTGGTCATATTTCTTTATATTATTTTTGTTTTTGGCTGCACTAAGCAGATAACCTTTGCTAATTATTTGCGCCTAACCTATAAGTAACCTAGAAATTGGCACAGCCTGTCGACTGCGCGCCTTTTTCTAAGAACAAAGCAGTGGAGCAAAGAGGACAGCAATAGCAAATGCAATTACACGACACACACACACATTAGCGCACGCTCACCCATTCCTTGGGAAGCCAAGGAAAGGCGCGCAACTAAACAACAACAACAACAAAAGTAGCGCCTGTAACAGGATTGATCCAAAGAGAAAGACGGGAACCGAGAGAGAGAGAAAGAGTGCGCAATGGCAGCAGGCTGCATTTGCTGTAATTGTTAACCCTTACTCATTGCATATTTATGCCTCCTTTAGCAGGTCTTCCGTGAAGTAAAGGTCCAGAATGCTGATGAAAATGTCAACTATGCAGCAAAGAAGTCGAATGTGGTGCCCGTGGTGGAGCAATTTAAGACCTTCTCCGTTTACGAGGACAACTTCGACACCCATGTGGCCCCACCGGGCAAACCCCTGGCCTCTGTGGCCGATAAAGAGAACCAGAATGCCGCCGAAAAGTGGTAAGTTCTGCTAGAATAGACTTTTCCTGATGTTTCCTTTACTTTTGTTTATTTTCATCCAGCGGTGTGCAATTCACTGTCTGCGATCTGGACACCACGCCCATGTCCGTCACGGACATCCAGTCCCCCATGTCGGTGGATCGCTCGCTCGCCGAGGTAAGCGGCATTGAAGCAGTTGCCAAGCCCGGAGAGGTAATCAAGGAGCTGCCACCACGCAATGATCGCGAGCGGTTCTTTGAGGTGGTCCAGTATCAGAGGGATATACTCATCAATTTCCGGGAGAGCGAGGTGAGCTTTTTTTCTAAAAAAAACTAGGAAACTATCTTCGGGATGCCGAAGTTCATATACCCTTGCAGTTTGCAATTGAATTATAGGATCGAATCGGAAATCGATCATAGATAAGCTTAAAATATTTATAACTAAGCCAAAAAACATTAATTTTAATTCGGAAATCTTTCATATTCTATTTTTTTTATCTTTATAAATCTGCTTCTGACTAAAATTAGAAGGGTATAAATATTTAGTTTAGTTTTAGTTTAAATTCAATCGAAAGTAAAAGTAGTATAGGGTTTAAAACCCTTACAGTAAAGGGAAATATTTAGCAAAGTGTATTATGAGATAAAAACATGGCCTAAAGTGGCCTGGCTTCTAACTATAATACAAAACGTATATAACTTTATAGATAGAGATAAGAAAAATCAAGATACCACCAAGGGATTCTCCCCTTGAGTGTGTTGCCTGCCATGTGTGTACGTTGTCATGCAAGGCAGGCAAGGCAGACGTAATTTCTCTAAGAGATGGAGGTGGGGTGAGAGGTAACAGGAAGACGAACGGACCCTAAGTCGCACCCTAATGTGGCATTCCTTTCACGCGCCGCTGCCTGGGTAGCAGCAGTAGTAGATTCCCTGCTCTTCCCTTGGTCTTCGTTTAGCGTCACATGTTTACCGAGGCGAAAATGTGCATCTGGTCCTTCGGTTATATTGACTCTTTTGCGTCTTGTCATTGCATTGCTTAAGAGTTTGTATAACCTTCATTCACCACACAGAAATAATGTAATTTGACTTGCAGCTAATTGGTGGGGTTCCTTTTCAGAGCTTTGTTTTGCTTTGGTTCTTTTATAAATTGCGCTACCTTAATATATATTATGTATTTAAGCTGCTTTGGTTTATTAATTTGGATTTACCAATTGTAAACATTGAAATTTATATTGAAATGGTCTTAAAACAAAACCCCGTGGAATTTCTAAAGTGTCCTCGACACGCATGAGAAATTGCCTCACATACTGAGTTTGGTTAAACTGCTGTTGAGGCCGTTTCCCAATCGCGTCCAGGTCACCCACCGATCCAGTTCAAATAGAATTTTCTCTAATATTGCATTTTCTTGCTTTAAAAGATACTAACTAACGTGAGTTCTTGTTAAACTGATCATAAAATTCATCCGAAACGGCATTGCTCAAGGCCGCCAGGGCATCCTTACGCTGCTGATCCTGTTCCACGGCCAATTTGGCATTGGCTCGCATCAGCTCATCGAACTGGGCCTTGCGTCGTCGCTCGTCCTCGATATGACCAAGGACCAAAGTGCGATCCATATTTATGGCATACTGCTCCCACTGCTTGTCCATCATCTGGGCCTCGGTCTTGCGTTGAGTGGCCAAAGTGAGCTGCTGTTCCTGACCCAAGCGGAAGACACGCAGCTCCTCGGGCGTCATGCCGCGATACATGAAGGCAATCTTCTTGTTCGGATCGGTGCGTGATTGGGCCACATCCGGATTCTCGGTGAGCATGTCGCTCGAGAGCATGTTGTAGATCTCAGCCATGTCGTCCTCGTATTTCTCGCGCTTCTCCCGCTCGCGATCCAATTGCTTCTGCTTGGCCATATTCATGTTGAACTGGCGCACTTGCTGGATCACCTGGTTGCGCATCAGGTGATCTGACTTGGCCATCTCCTCCAGATGCTTGTCTCGGCAGCCGAGGTTCTCCATCAGCATGTTGTCGGCCGTCTTGCGCGCATCTTCAGCCCGCTTCCGCTCCTGAACCTGCTGATCCAGCCAGGCACGCTGCTGATCCCGCTGCCGCACCTTTCGATCCGAATTGTAGAGATCCTCGCCGTGGAAAATCTGTGCACTAGAAACGCCCAGAGTGATGTCATCGTCGGCGACGCGAGTTGGACGCGCCTTCTTCAGATAGTTTGGATCATTCAAGTCGAATTCGCGACGCTGCTCCATTCGCTGATACCGACAGCGATAGTAGTTGAGATCCGAGTCCGCCACACGCTGTTTCTTCTCCAGCTCCTTGGCCTGGGCGGAGATTAAGCGCTTCTGCAATTGCTCCTGGTCCTCGAACCGTTTGTCGCACTCCAGCTGCATGCTCTTTTGTTTCTTCTTCTCCAGTATCTGGCGTTCCAGCATGTCTATATCGAGCTACAGGTTAGGATGGATGGTTAGATGGAGGGCATATCTTTATTCCAGGATTACACTCACCCCATAGAGACGTTGTTTGGCATTGAAGATGCGCCGCTTGCGTTCCTCCTCATACTGCTCGCGCTTCTGCACCTTCATTGCCTCGTCGAGGTCCTGCTTGGTGCATATTCCGATTTTGAGCGTCATCTTGCCGTATTTTACCAATAGGTTGGAGGTTATTTTATATTCCTGGTAGGTCTGAAAAACTTATATGCTTTTCTGGACTGAAGAAAAGAAACGAATATATGTGTATTTGAGTTTCGGTTGAGTTTGTTTGCCGGGTTGCCGGGTGAGCTTGGCTGGTTGGTTTATTTGTTATTGGCCTTCTCGCATCTCTATCCAGTTTATTTAGTTATTGGGTTGGGCACTTGAGTTGTCTTGGATTCCTTTAATTGCCAAGGAAATGGATAAATAGATTACTAAACAAATTAATAATATTTATGAGTATTTTTTTGTTGTACCTAATTAATTTAATGCAAAACCTACACTGTACTTTTTTGGCTTTCTTTTTCGCAAAATGGCCTTAACTGTTTCGTTCCTTTGCCTTTTCTGAAAAGGCCGCACACGCCCGGCGCTTGACGTGTCCAATAATCGTTAAAGCGACCATTAAATAAACACCTAATGTACATATTTGGCCATATATAGGCGATATTGGCCAAAAGATTTTCACGTTTGAACTGGGAATTTGAATATGCTGCTCACGTACCACGAAATAACCAATAAACAAATAAAAATTGGTAAATTTGATTCCCTCGCTTTTGCTGGCCACTCCAATGCCTTCTCCCACGGGAGTTGCTTGCTGTGGCATTGGCTACATCGAATTTGGGTTAGGTTTGGACATTTGTGGTACTCCTTACCATTCTATTTACATAGGTATATTTTGCTATAAAACTATTCCTATATTCCTATTTTTAATCAAGTATTTTAAGGATTTCAATGCGGCAATATTCAGAAAGAACAAAGGAGAATTTTTTAGTACATTAAATTACATTAAAATTAAGAATTCCAATGAATATGAAGAGACTAAGACAATATAACGAAAAAGACGCGCAATGCCATACTATTTTATATGTGTAAGTTAATGGTATTCACTTTACTCATCTAAGACTTCCATTCTATGCATGATTTACGAGGTAATCAATAGCTGATACGCTTATGTATATTGTGTATAAAGATGAGTCCAGAGTTTGACGCCAAATAAATAAATTCATGGAAATAAATACGCCGCTTGCGGGTAGCATCAAGCATAACAATTTTGTGTGAAATGTGTGTATGCTAACGATTAGGATCTCGCTTATGCCAAGCGAAAGAGGGAGTCTCTTGTCTTGCTTAAAGTTTGCTGTAGTAATTACAAAGTATTAGTTTACTAATTTTGTTGACTTAACCTAATCGCTTTGTCCCATCAATCTGAATTTTGCAGAAGAAACATCGCCCCAAGCCGCACTATATGCGCAGGCAGAATGACATCAATCATAACATGCGCTCCATCCTGATTGACTGGCTGGTGGAAGTGTCCGAGGAGTATAAGCTAGACACGGAGACGCTATATCTCTCCGTCTCCTATCTGGATCGCTTCTTGAGCCTGATGATGGTGATGCGCGCCAAGTTGCAATTGGTGGGCACGGCAGCCTTGTACATTGCCTCGTAAGTAGATTTGCTAATGTTTACTTTAGAGTTGTGTAATAATTAAAAATCCTTTTTTACTTACAGTAAATACGAAGAGATCTACCCACCAGAGGTGGGTGAGTTTGTCTTCCTCACCGACGACAGCTATACCAAGAAGCAGGTGCTGCGCATGGAGCAGGTCATCCTGAAGATTCTCTCCTTTGATTTGTGCACACCGACTGCCTATGTCTTTATCAATACGTACGCGGTGCTGTGCGACATGCCAGATAAACTCAAGTACTTGACGCTGGTAAGTCCTAAGAGTTTTATTCCTGGCATCCTTAATCTCAATTCCCATCCGCGCAGTACATTTCGGAGCTCTCACTGATGGATGGAGATACCTTTATGGTATATTTACCCTCGGTGATGTCATCTGCTTCGCTTGCTTTGGCGCGTCATATTCTGGGCATGGAGATGTGGACACCGCAGTTGGAGGAGATCACTACCTACAAGCTGGAGGACCTGCAAACTGTGGTCCGCCAGCTGTCTCAAATGCACAAATCGGCAAAGGACCTCAACACGCAGGCAATGCGGGAAAAGTACAATAGAAACAAGTAAGAAATTAAGAATTTTTAAGAAGAAACATACTAAAGTTATTGCATTCCCCAATAGGTACAAAAATGTGGCCACGATCGAGGCAATTGAGCTGACCAAGGAGGATCTGGAGCAGCTCTGTCAGTCGTACAACGCCAAGCAAAGTGAGGAGAAGATCGAGGAGCAGAATGAGAATTTGTTTTATAAGTTTTAAGTGTTTTGCCATGCCACTGCCCTGCCATGGTCAAATTGTATTGTAGTTTAGTCTTTCCATGTAATATTTTGTAGATTTAAGTTGAAGAAGGAAATCTCCGCCGGAATTCTGCTCAGCATTGGTTGATCAATGGGCAAGCTCCCGTTACAAGTACTGGACAATTTTATATGAATGCCATATAAACGCAACTTAAAACGAGCTAAATTTACACCTGTCCACGGTGAGAGCTTGCCGCTTCAACCATAAGAGCAGAAGAAACGGCCGCAGTCTTGGAAAACTTAAATTTAGCATAGTGGCAGTCCGCAGACCGATATTTTATGTTTTTACCACCATCAACTAATGTATTTTTATGTATTTATAAAATGAACCATATTGGATGTATACAACGTGTCTTTAGCAGGTACAGCTAACTCTGGAAATTATACCTACTTAAACGCATATTTATATATATATATATACTAACTATTAGACCATAAACGTTCTGTGAACCACGCAACAAGAAATATATGTCGATTTACCAAACAGACACTCTGCAAAGCCATTCTACAGACACGCAAACACACACACACTTGTACACCAATCGTCCTTATCCGTTTCAAATGCTGCGCTCAACTCGTGTTCACGTAAATCTAATGACGCTTACTAAATGTTTATTAAACTTAGTCTAATCTTCCGTGTGGGTGGGTGGATTAATCATGTTGCTGATGGCACAAGCAGCGCACTAGTTAAATGCAGAAGCCGAGAGAGATTTCACGAGGTTTTACTACGCTAACATAAATTATAATTTTACTAACTAATGTAATTTGACTCAATGTAATTGCATTGCCGAGTGCTTTGCTCTCGCAGACCGTATATACCATATACCTATTGTATTCAATAAAATTGTGAAAGTCAAGCACAAAATAATTCTGTTTTACATATGTGTTTGGGATTAAGCTAAGGAATGAGAGTTTTTCGAGGATATTACTATTCCCCTTTCTGGGGCTTACAAAAACGAAACCCACATAACTTGTTACCGTCTTTTCAACATTTGTTTATTCACAAATCATAAAAAAATAACTACAACAATTGGTATCGATGTTGTTGCACTCGCTCTGCGATCAATCACACCGTTCCCGAGTCGCAATATCAAAGAATTCTGGGTATCCACTGGTGAGATGAGCTTCTGGTTCGAGAGCAACGGATATTCATGAAGAGGAAATGGACAAAAACAGAAATGCAAATTCTTCTGTTCCGTAGGATTTTGCGCCTTGGGCGTTCTCCTTTCTTTAGTAGGCGAATCGAGTGTCCGGATGGTAGCCAAGCTTGTCCAGAGCCGGATTGCAGGCAAAGTTGATCATGGGCGGTGGGCCGCAGAGCAGCACAATTGTGTCGTCCTTGGCGGGTAGCAGGTGGGCGGCGATCATGTCCTCGTTGATGAAGCCAACACTGTAGGGCCAGCCTGGATAATACAGATTTAAGGACAAATTTTAGTCAGGAAGTTGGCAAAATATAAACGAGTAATAGATGGAGACAACCTGCACACAATCTTTCCCACTGGCTTGGCTTTTGTGAAATGAAAGCAAAACTTAGGGGGCAGAAACTATATATGTAGTTTGCCAGCTGGAGCTGTGCTAATCCTAATAGCTAAACCGTTGCTCGGCCCGGTGACCAAGTCTCTCCAGGCCCGGAATACACGTATAGTTGACCATGGGCGGTGGGCCGCACAGGAGGCAGAGAGTATCCGCATTCGGTGGATACAGATGCCGTTGCATCATCTCGTCATTAACGTGGCCCGTATTGTAGGACCAGGCTATGAACCGTGCATTCCCCGTTCGCGGCATCCGTTTGAGAGCAGCATGTGGCGAGGGGCACAAGACACAAGATTCTTAACATAATAGATGATTGGCACATGTTGGCACTAATCGATCAGTGATTGTGGAGACGAATGGGTGATGCATGCGAATGAAGCTACCTAGGTTTAACATTCTCAAGTCAAGGAAAAGATTGGTGCAGTGTTCTCAAAGGAATATTCTAATCGATATAAATTAACGAAATAAATCGTATTCTAAATAATAATTCATATTCTAAAACCAACATTTCAAAAAATAAAATACATAACGACAGGATTTTATCAGTCGTAATTTTGAAATTGATTCTAGAGCTGTACAAAATTTCGAAATAGTCTTTAGCCAGCCATCTCAGCATGATGAAATGATATGATCTGATGAGCTCGAACACGGGACGGACACCATTACAATTCTGAAAATACTGGAGCTCACCTTCAGCTGCCCTGTCGACGGTATACCAGACCTTAAACTGGTCAGGATGCTTTTGTGCCAGCTCATCCAGCTCCTCACGTAGCAAAATGTCCTTTTCGCTCTGTAAAACAATAATCATAATTTTAATAATAGTTTAAAATTGATAAGTAATACTAATTAATCACAAACCTGATTGGCAAACAGCAGTGCCAGTTCGGTCTTATCCTTATCGCTGCGCTTGAGCACCTCCCTGGCCAGTTGCAGCATTGGTGTGATGCCAGTGCCTCCAGCGATCATGTTCACCCGCTTGGCGGTCACATGCTTGGGCGGATCCTTGCGTAGCTTCTTGATCGAGAAGGTGCCGTTGCCAAGGTACTGCAGACGACCAGAGGGTCCACGGAAGGAGATCTTGTCGCCCACCTCCATCTGTTCCAGGTGCTGGGTCATCTTGCCGCCAGCTGGGAACTTGGGATGCGAGTCCTTGAAGTAAACCTTGACCACCAAATCCACATAGCCCACATCCTCGTCGGATGAAATGGGCGTATACGGCCGGATAACAAGATCATTGTCGATAGTGGCAATTAGATGAATGTGCTGGCCAACGGGCAGGCCAAGGACATGCTGCTTAGACGGCAATCCAAAGCGGAACCGTCTAGTGTCATGGCTGAGCACCTCCTTTTCGATGAGCGGCAACAGATACTTGTCATTGGGATCTACCAGAGTGCGCAGGCGAGCGGTTCTATTGGGTTCTCGTCGCGGTTTTGTCGACTTCTTGTTGAGCAGATAGTGGACGATAAGAGCTCCGGCAACCACAGCGACTACGCCCACGGCGATTGGTACAAACTGCAAAGGAAAAATAAGTTAATATAAAGTTCAAATTATACATTTATTTATAAACCGCTTTACGGGTAAACAACTAAAATTATAGAATCGTTTTCAGATTGACCCGGGAAGGTAATAGCGTGATTTTAAGACAGATTACAGGTACTGATTGCAAAGTAATACGCTGATAAGCTTACGTAATTAAAATATAGACATGAATTTAAGAAGCCTTTATATGCATGAATTGCATTTTTCAAGTGATATCACATTTCTTTCGTGGGAAAACTGTTTTAATAACAATTTAACTTGTTATTTACAATTCGCAGGGTGCTAATTAGAACTTAAGCAGCATTACTAATCGAAAAAAGGGACTTGATACTATTTTTGTGTGGGATTTAGACGGATGAAAGGTCACGATGGTCAGTGGAAACCACCGCCAGACAGTTGGCGTGATAAGAAAACAACAAAAATAAACCCACACCCGAGATAGTAATCGAGTTCAGCTGTGTTTGAGACTGCGAAGCCGCAAAAACCTGCAACTGATTGAGGTTAAAAGCTTGAGACATCAAACTTTGGCCCCATATCAGGGGTGACCCTGAATATTGCATTAGCAAGTTATTAACCATGACGTCACATTCACTACATTTCTCACAAACAGAGAGCAAAGGCAAAAAGAGCGAGCAATGGAAAGAGTAATGAAAAGAAATTGAAAGAGAAATTGTTCACGGAAGGGCACTGGAACTTACGTCAAATTCGGTCATTTTATGTTTGTTTGTTTTTAATAATCAATTGTCGGAATTTTGGTTCTGAGTTGGCTTGACTAATTTCCAATTTGAATTGCGCGTGGGACTGGAAAGCAGGTGAATTTCTTTGATCGCGTGTAGCCGCGCACGATTCCGATTTCCAATTGAAATGAAGTCGTCGCGTGGACGTGCCGCTAAAACTTTCCGCTCTTCGCATCAGCCCCTTTCCACTCTCTTTGTGTGAGCTAGATGCACAGTCATCACAGTCAGCACTAGTCAGGGAAGTAAGTGAAACTTAACAAATCACAACTTCCATGACATTGCCAAAAAGACTGCTTATAAGTGTAGTACCTATTTTGATTATCAGGTTTTTATACTAGGAATTTAAAAAAAATATAATCATGTTAATAGATCCAATATGATATTTAAATTGTTAAAAGGAATTAAATTCCATAAATTACGAAAATTTATATTACGAAAATCTTTAGAAAATTCAGACAGAATTAATTGAAATTTCCTTGGTGAAGCAGTGCTATTACTTTAGACACTACTGTATGGAACCCGTTTCAAGAGAGCCGAGATAACATAAAATAAGGGAGTAGAAGGCACTGAGAGAGGGACCGCCAGAGAAAAGCTGAGTCTACCTGGGTTTACTAATACTGAGATTACTGTTTATTGATTAAGAGAATCGTGGAATGGCAGAGTTATTATTTAAGAGTGTGTGGGTTTCTGACTAGCCGCAACAGCTGATTGCCTCTCTGCTTTGTTGCGTTGAACTTGACATTGTCTTTGGTTTTAATTAACTTTTGGAGAATCTTTGGGATTGGAGATTGCATCACAGGAAAAACTGGCGACATCGCTTCTTGGGTCTCCTCGGCTGTGGATTGCTGTGCAGGGCCCGCGCCTCATACACTTCAAAGGCATAATCCGCGCCAGAATGCAGCCGCATGAGGGCCGCCTTGTTGCCACAGCGATAACAATAGTTGGGTGCCGACCAAATGGTCACCAGCTGGTGGCCAAAGTGCCAGCGATAGCCCTCCTGGGCCAGCTGGTGGGCCCGGCAAATCAGGGATATGCCATTCCGGCGACGAAACTCCGCCACCACATCGCCGCCAAAGAGTTGACCGTGACCGCGAGGAGATGCCTTCCATCCGGCTGCCTCTTGCGGATCGCTCCAGAGTAGATCCGCCATGGAGCCACTGTCGGGGATCTCTTGGTAGCGATTTAGGCGTTGCAACTCATCCAGCTGTTGGATGTCCGGCGAGAGACCTCCGTGCACACAAAAAACCGTTCCATCTATAATCGCAGCCAGTGGCAGGAGATCGAAAACGCGGCAGAACATCCTCCAGACATTCGGAGAGCCGTACTTGGCCAGGCACTCCTCGTAGCATCCGTAGGCTCGTGTGGCGCTGCGACACTCGTGATTGCCCCTAAGCAGGCTCACATGCCCGGGATTCTGTACCTTGAGCGCTGCCAGTAGCAGAAAGGTCTCCACGCTGTTCTTGCCCCGGTCCACGAGGTCGCCGAGGAACAAATAACGGTGCTGACCGACCTCTCCGCCCAACTCCAGCAGGTGCAGGAGATCCTCGAACTGACCGTGGATGTCCCCGCACACGATCTGCGGACTCTGCAGGCTCAGCAGGTTTGCCTCTGCGGCGAGCAAGTCGCCCAGTGAGCGGCACAGCCGGCGGACCTCCGCCTCCGTGGGCAGACGGACTGGCACCTGGCGCAGCTTCGCCACCAGACGATCTGCATCGCTCATGCTCAGACGGACATCACCACTATTTATAAAACGACGACGTCACTGGGCAGCAGTGATGGGAAAGATACGCCTAATTTTGTTTACCTAGGCTAGTTACGAGGTACATTTACACATGTGTTTATAAATATTGATTAACGTTGCAGCGTATAACCAGGTGCATATTCATATTGATTAAACATAATCACAATTTTCAATACAAGATTCTTTCGGTACGTTTGTAAGGTATCTTTTGGTGTTTTGAATAGAAGTACCTAGTATCTGGTTCCCATCACTGTTGACCAATGCAAAACCACTTGGGCAGTTGGCCAAAAGAAAAAATCATCTCGTGGCAATTATGAAATGCCAGAAATAACAAGGTGAAGGAAGCGTAGGAGATGGGAGCCAAGGAGTTATGTAAAAACAGCAGCCGCGAGTTGGATAATTTCTTTCCAGTCAACTTACATTGCTCTCGATGAGGCGCGCCATGGCCCGTGGAAAATCAATGCACTCGCGGCTTTAATCCGCTTATATAACTTGCCAGTTGCAACGCACTTTTTTATATCTTATATACTTGATGCCGACTAAACTTAAAATGCAGACTATCTCGCGAAGATAGTGAAAGCAATGTTTTTATTTCCACGCACTCTCAGTAGGTGTATCTCGAAGAGAGCGCGGTACTCTTCTCAGCGTGCCGTTCTCTTTCCACGGTTATTGGAACCAGAAGCTTGGCTGTAAAGAAAGACATGCATTAAAATGGAGCTACTGAAATCATGACTAGCATATATTTACACAGCTACGGATACTCTTCTTTCACAGGCACTCGGACATTATTTAAAGAAATTAATTTGTTGTAAATTCTAAATTTGTTTCTCTTTTGGCTCCAAAAAGCGGCAATACTAGTGTTGCCAGATGAAAGTTGTCTCGCTAAAAAACATGGCGTTGCCATTCTAGAGAAACATCGAGGTTGAATAAAAATAGTCTCAAATTAAAATTGCCTTAAATTTATTATTAATTCACAATAAAACATTGACAATTTGATTATTTTTACTTCCGTTTATATATTACTTAATTATTTCAACGACTAAATGCTGAATTACTGAGAAAATCCGAAAAATAAAAACAACGATTTCCTTACACGATATTTTCATTCAATACGGGGTCGCTGAATATGTCGACAGAAGGATTGCAAAGCCAGAACAAATTGTAAATTAATAAATTAATCTTTTTAATTGTTAAAAGAGTAGTTTTAAATATTTAAAGACTATATAGGAGCATTTAATAAGTTTATGAACTTCTTGCGCCTGGGTTTTGTGGTAAATTTAAAAATTGACTAATATGATACATAGCCGATATTTTCAGTAATTCAGTTAATTTCGTTTATATTAATATTTTTTATTTGATATGCAAATTAATAAATAAAAAAAGTAAAATTACCCTTTTAGTAATGACTTTTTAAACACTAACTTTTTATTTTTTAAGAAGGTCATTTAAAAAATTCGGAATTTAGAATATGTTTTAGGCGGCTAAAATTATCCTTATTCATTGCTGATATTTCCCTGAAGACTTTACAAGGGTTTGTATCATGCAAGTTCTTAAATATTAAAAAAAAAAACTTTTTTATACATCCAATGTTAAAATTTAACGTGAAAGTTTATATACCAAATACAAGATCATATAAGTAAAATTAATTCTGATATCGCCGATACGTTTACCGAGATTTTCAGTAGTTTTAAATTTTTATGTTCAAATTTAACTTAATTATGGCTAAGACCTTGATATTATTATTTTATTTCATTAAAATTATAAGTTATACAATTTCGATGCTATTACATTGCCTAAAATTTCTGTTTATTTTTTTTTCTTTAAAAATGAAAAAAAAATTAGCTAAAATGGTGGATTTTAATTTTATTAAATTTTATTTTCGCCAGTATCGTGATAATCCAAAAACTTCGATAGTGCCACTCCTATGATGTACTCACATCTCTAACTTGACTTGGTTGGCATCTAGAGCTGGCACAAAATCGATGTTTTCCATTATCAATTTACTCGATCTTTTTACAAATTAAGCATCGATACTATCGGTTCTTAAACTAATTTTAATTTATAATTTAATAAGTTCTTTGTACAATTCTAGTGTTGCCAGATGAAAGTTCTTTCCCTAAAAAACGTGGCGTTGCCATTCTAGGGAAACATCGAGGTTGAATAACAGTAGTCTCAAATTAAAATTACCTTAAATTTATTATTAATTCATAATAAAACATTGACAATTTGATTATTATTACTTCCGTTTATATATTACTTAATTATTTCAACGACTAAATGCTGAATTACTGAGAAAATCCGAAAAATAAAAACAACGATTTCCTTACACGATATTTTCATTCAATACGGGGTCGCTGAATATGTCGACAGAAGGATTGCAAAGCCAGAACAAATTGTAAATTAATAAATTAATCTTTTTAATTGTTAAAAGAGTAGTTTTAAATAATTAAAGACTATATAGGAACATGTAATAAGTTTATGAACTTTTTGCGCCTGGGTTTTGTGGTAAATTTACAAATTGACTAATATGATACATAGCCGATATTTTCAGTAATTCATTTAATTTCGTTTATATTAATATTTTTTATTTGATATGCAAATTAATAAATAAAATAAATAAATAAATGTAAAATTAAATACATAGTTATGTTTATTTAAGCACTAAAATGTCATTTAAAAAACTCGGAACTCGGATATTCTAAATATATTTTAGGCGGCTAAAATTATTCTTATTCATTGCTGACATTTCCCTGAACACTTTACAAGGGTTTGCATCATTAAAATTCTTAAATATAAAAAAAAAACCTAATTTTTACTGATAATTTTAATTTTTTTAAATTTAAAATTAAGCATCGATACGATCGGTTCTTAAACCATTTTTAATTTATAATTTAATAAGTTCTTTGTACTTTTTAATTACTTTAATGGAAGGTGTATTAACAATTTCGGACTTCAGAGTAACCAAAAAAATATTGATGATAATTTTTCAACAACCAAAAACGACGGGCGCCCGATAGCACCCGAGTGAGAGTTCTTTTAACCCAACAGCCAACGAGAGAGAATTCTGTTAATTTACGCTGGATGAGAGCAGGTCTGTTAACAAATTTTACTTCCATGGAATTCCACATGGAGTTCTACTTCTTACATGAAAATTCGACCTCAAAGGCAGAATTCGACCCAATTTATCTGTAAACGTGTAAAACGGTTCTGGATACGTGTAGAAAAACGTAAGATGTTAGACAATCGACTTTTCGATAGTTTTCCGATGTCTTGCTGCTCAACCTTATATCTCTTTCTTTCAAAATCGAATCGTTGAACAGCGAGGATGGCGTAAGTGAAATTTTTAAAAATTAAGTGGCATCGGCAAAGTTTTTGAATTAATTTAAGTGTGGAGCGCTGGGCCGGGACTCTGTGGTCATGGCCAGATGGATATTTCTTGAGTTCGGCAATCAGAAACCAGCTTTTTAGACCTTTTTCCATGTCCATATCAGTTTGGAAATGATTGCAAAAGTAAATGTGATTTTTGTGCTAAATATGCAACTAATATGTGGGCTGCCATTATTTGCGCATTTGTTCGACAGTTAAACAAGCTCCGCGAGGCGCTTTAAGTATTGTTTCACCGTGAAATAGGCAACTAATTGCATTTTTCGTTGCAGGTCGAAAGTTTCGCGTGACACGCTGTATGAGGGCGTCAATGGACTCCTGGAGGCTTCGGCCAAGAAGAAGCGTGGCTTCCTGGAGACGGTGGAGCTGCAAATCGGCCTGAAGAACTACGATCCCCAGAAGGACAAGCGTTTCTCCGGCACCGTCAAGTATGTTGGCTAAATCACCTGCGCACGTGTGTTGAGCAGCTCCCTCGGGGCCGAGTCTACCACGGCATCAGGTAGTCGAGTATGTGGCTGCCACATGGCACAGCTCGGCGGACCTGCACTCAGGGTCTTTAAAATTTGAGTAGGTCTCCAGTAATGGACACCGTCCCCCTTTTTAAATAATTCCGAAAACGTGCTCCCTCGTGGGCCTTGTAAGTTTTCCTCTCCCCTGCCCATCCAATCGGTTGCCCGGTTCCTGTCTAAACAGATGACATTTCTGTTAATCCGCAGGTTGAAGCACATCCCCCGTCCCAAGATGAAGGTGTGCATCCTTGGCGATCAGCAGCATTGCGACGAGGCCAAGGCCAACAACGTCGACTACATGGATGCCGAGGCCCTCAAGAAGCTGAACAAGAACAAGAAGCTGGTGAAGAAGCTGGCCAAGTCTTACGATGCCTTCCTGGCCTCCGAGTCGCTCATCAAGCAGATTCCCCGTCTGCTTGGCCCTGGCTTGAACAAGGCCGGCAAGTTCCCTGCCCTGCTGTCGCATCAGGAGTCCATGATCGGCAAGATCGAGGAGGTCAAGTCGACCATCAAGTTCCAGATGAAGAAGGTGCTGTGCCTGTCTGTTGCCGTTGGCCACGTTGGCATGAAGTCCGATGAGCTGGCCCAGAACGTCAACCTGTCCATCAACTTCTTGGTGTCGCTGCTGAAGAAGAACTGGCAAAACGTTCGCTCCCTGCACGTAAAGTCCTCCATGGGCCCACCCCAGCGTCTGTACTAGATGCGTCTCTTTTTTACATCTATCAATAAAGGAGAAGCTACATTGCTTTAATGTAACTAAAAACTCTGTATTTTAATTAAGATGTAGGGTTAGATTTCGGTGGAGCTTATGGTTCTAGCTAGAAAGTCGCGCACTTCGAGCGCCGCATTTGTTTGTCTGTCTTCGCACACGATGTCCGGCAGTGGCTCCGCCCGGAACTTTGACACGTCCACTGCGTTGCCCCACTCCAGCAGATGGGGCTCGCTCAGTTCCTCCAACAGATTGTGCAGCACTGCGGCCGCGGTGATGATGCAAGACGCTGTGTGAAAGCTAATGTCCAGTGGCTGGCTGAGGAAACTCCAGCGAGACATGAGGCGATGCAGGGCACAGTCACTTAGCTCCTGGAGGTGCTCTGCAACCTCATTGAAGTCGTGCTCGTGTGGGGCAATTGGGTCTATATAGCGCTGCAGCAACCACGGACGGAGGGGGTAATTCTGATAAACGGGAGCCAACACAAAGGCCGGAACTGGCCGATCGTTGATGCGGAATTTGGGCAGGGTCGAGAGGTTATTGGGCGCATGGGAGAACATGGGCACCAGCGTTGCCCGAACACCACATCCCAGCTGCAGCTCCCTGAAGAGCATGCGATCGTCCAGCAGATACTCCATGCGCAGCACCGAACCGCTGGTGGAGTGCTTAACGTCACCAGCATTGGCTCTTATGGGAATGGAGCAGACGCCCAGGACTCCGATGAGGGCAGGTGGCATGTTGCTTTCGCGCTGGAATCCCTCCGCCACACTGTTGCAGTCCACCGGATGCTGAGGCAGCTGGCGCAGAGCACGTCCCAAAGTCGACATGACGGCATTGCAGAAGACTTTCAGGCACTTGATCGTCCGTGGCCGGGGCACGGAGAAACGCTCAGCGATCAGGGAGAGGCGCTCTCCGCCGGCCAGGAAGTAAAGGGCCAGAGCCACGCACTTTTCGGTCGAAATGGTTGGCGTCTTGCGTGTCAGTTCCTCGGCCATCTTGAGAGTGGGAGCCAGCTGCTTGCATAGCGTTTCAAAGGTGCCGCGTGTTACATGAAGGGTGCTCAGGAATTCCCATTCGCTCAGCTCGGGAATCACGTCCTCAAAGAAACGGGAATCGAACACAGGGAAGTCCGTCGCTGTGACCACCTCCTCCGTCCCGCTGGCCTCGGTCTCCTCATCATCATCGACATCGGCCTGCTTTAGGCGCATCATGGCAAACATTTGCAGGTAGTTGGAGTGCATCTCCATCATCTGTTGCATGAAAAAGGAACGCATCATCTTCAATCGTCGCCTCGTCCTCTGCTGGGCCCTGCGCCGCAAGGTGACCACGGTGGACTGCACATGGTGCAGGTGCTGGCGGATCAGCTTGGCGATTTTCTCCTTGCGACTCTGAAAGTCCGCGCTGGCCCCCTGGCCCCGGCTGTTTTTTAACTTTGCCAAGGCACTTAGTAAGTTTTTATTTATATTTTCTAATTCTTCCATGTTTTTTAGCAATAGTGGTGGCAAAGCATCGATGGCACTGTCGATAACAGAAATCGATTGTTGGCGTGCTTTAAAAGTTTGCCTACTGGCGGGGAATTTAAAATATAATTTTGAAATTTGTAGAAACTTTAATTAGGTATGGTTATTATTCGGCATTAAAATAAAAACCAAAAAATGTTATTAAGAAGCATAACATGATAAAATGTTAAAATGTTTATAAAGCCTGATTTCAAGGAGCTTAAACCAGTTTACTAGAATTTTTTGCAAAAACTGGTCTCATTTATTAATTATTTGTTTAATCGCTTATAAATTAGGTTGTTTATATATCGAGTATTATGGTTCGATTAAATTAATATCCAGTTGGAATCCCAAACCACTAAAATTTGGCGACTTCTTTGCAACAATAATCACGTTATTATGCGTTATGGTAAAGTCATCCGGCCTGGTGGATCCACAAAGGGTTTTAACAGGTTTGAAATCAACAGCATTGACAGTGTAAAATCGTATATTGTCCAGATTGCAATTGTTCTCCGAACCCATGTCGAAAACTGTAAATACAACAAATAAATACAAAAATTATGGAAGATTTAAAAAGAAATATTTGTATTTTTCCCACCTGAGAAGCTAAAACGCAAATTACCGCCTGGTGGGACTGACACAGTCCAAGAGCAAAGGGAATCATTGCGACCATCGTAGGAGGGATTCCCACATGGCTTCCCATAGACCCGTGCACAGCCAAGTCGCCACCGCAGCCGCTGGGGAACTTGTTGCTGGTGGAGAAGTAGAAAAACTTGAGGGTGCCGACACCCACACTGTCCAGGCGCAGCTCGTTGGTGGTTGTAAACCTTGTAACGGTTTCCCATTGAGTGTTCGTGGTGGTAAAAATGGTCTTGTTGGTCTTAAGATCCGTTACCTGAGGGAAGATACATTTATGATTAATATATATTTAATTTAATAAAATTAGGCGTTCGCTCACGTTGAAGTAGTGCCGATCTTCGGTTTCGAACAGCACAGAAAGGACGTGCAGGGTTATGCTGTAACCTTCTGGCACTCGAATATACTCTGTGCAGTTGGCCAAGGAGTCGGTCTCAATGATCTGGCTCAGGTCGGTGTAGTTTCGATTGCATGCTAAGAACATATATAAATATAATCCTTCGTACTAATAGAACAAGATGGGTCAGAAATACTTACTTGGTTTACGACGAAAAACTACTTCGAACCCTGTAAACTCATTAAACGCCGAGCTGTGGAAGGTAAGTTCCAAAATGTCACGTTTTCTGATATCTCTAATCATTCTATAGCTTTGATTGTAATAACCGCAAAAATCTTGAGAATTTGAGATCGAAAATGACTGTGAAATAAAAGTATAATTGTATAATAAACGCTAAAGGAAAGAAATAGGATTGAAGCTTACAGATATCTTAGCCAAGCGCAAGTAGTCCTCGCACTTTCCCGTCCGTTGAGATATTTCAGTGAGATTGAGATGCTTCAATTCGATTTCCACATCTCCTTCGGACCTAATGGTCCAAGTGCACTGGATACTCCCCTCATAGCCCTTGGTGGCATTATCGTACTTCAGTCCCAGTGAGAAACTCTGTAGAAAGGTGGAAATTGATACATAATCGGGTTTATCTGGCAGATGCTATTCTCACCTCATTCAAGCTCATATCGTACTCCGTCTGACCACACACCGTGGTTTCCATTTGCAGGATTAGCTCGAAGCTGATATTCCTAGACAGCGTTGCTGTGGCGCTGAGCTGGATAAGCATGTCCGCGTAGGAACTAAAGACCTTGGTCCGGTTTGAGCCTAATGCATGAAACCTGCCCAGACTTTGGCTTTCGACGACCCTGCTGTCGCGAATCTCTATGTAGCTGCAGGTGCGACAGGAGTCATCATTAAGCTGCAGCTTGCGCAGCTCCACGGACAGCCGTTGGTCCGCCGGAACATTGGCCCGGAACTGGCACAGTAAGGTTTCGCTGACATTGATCCTGAACGAGCGCATCAGATTCATCCGGGGCACGGACTGGTCCAAGGTCACTTGCTCGTTGCAGTTCGGCGTGAAGCGAACGCTGGCCAGGAAGCCTCTCTGGTTGTTGGAACTGTCCGTGGTGAGGACAACCAGTGCCTCGTTGCTATCCACCATAATAGTGGGTGGGTCCGTCTGATTGCCGCACAACTGTCGCTGCATCTGCTCCTGGGTGGCCGTTGAGCCACGGTAAATGGTCAAACTGTCAAAATTGCAGGTCTGGCTCTTCTCCAAGTCGAAGTACTTGAACTCCAACACAATGGCGTGCTGCTGCGGCGCCGTAATTCGCCATTTGCACTTTAAGTTGTGCGCATATCTGCCAGAGTCTCCATCATCTTGCGGGGGACGTAGGGAGAAAGGCTCGGTGTGGTTGCCACCGCATCCTATAAGCTGGTAATGCAGCTGGAACCGTCGCAGTGCTGTTGAGACAAACTGTAGCCGCAATCTTCCGCGGCCATTCACCTCGAATTCCGGACAGAACCTGCCAATGCTCACATCCTGACCCTGAGCGCCGCTCTTGTAGGCCTCAAAGTAGGACTTGGTGCAGATAAACTCGGTCCATGAACGCCCGCTGGTCGTCACAGTTACCGCAATTTGGTGGTCGTCGCTCGAAAGGAGCACGTAGCTGCAGTTAAGCTTCTGACCGCGCGCGGTAGCCCAGGTGGGACTGTTGATCGTCTGCTTATTGGCTCTAGCCTGCAGTGTAGCATCGCAGCTGGGGGAGACAGTAAAACTGAAGCCGTCGCCGGTTACGTTAGCATTCGTACGGAAAATGACACGCATCCTGGAGGACGGTATTAGTATCTCAGCTGGCACCTGTCGGCCACAGAGGCTGGTCACCTCGACAAAGGATGCTGCGTCCCGGTCGTAGCGCTCCACAGTCAAGCGGTCATTCGAGCAATTGGGAGATGTCTCGATGAAGAATCGATTCTGGAACTGCATCCTTTGGGACAATCCCTCACTGGTGGCAAACTCCCAGATGCGTTCCATGTTGTTTACGTAATCCACGCTCTGAATTGTAACCGGTGGAGATGGTCGCTGGTCAAGGCGAACCACATTCCCGCTGGATATGGATCTCCTCACTTGCAAGTTAAAGGATGTTTTTTGACGCAGAACTCGTCGATCTGAATGGTAGATGATCTTTGTAAATATGCGCTCAAGGAGCGTGCCATTCATGGTCATGCCCCGACACAGTCGTGCTACCTCCTTGGTCCCGCTAAAGATCACTAGGTACTCGCGATCGCAGCTATCGGTGAGGGTTATATTCCCATCGATTACATAGCCGTTGCTCTTTCTCAGCGTCCACAGGCACTCCAGTTCGCCATAATCATTGTCAATGAAGGCCAATAGATCCGGTGACGGAATCACTAGCCCCTCAGATGCCTCGAGATTTCCGCCACAATTGTGACGACGATATGTGGCCCGAAAGCGTTGCAGCTTGACGAACCGACTCTTCAGAAGCGTGACACGTCCCGCCGTGGTGGCTACAGATACATAACTATTGGTAACATTGGCATACATAGGTACTAGCGGACCAAGCGTGACGTCATCTCTGAACACAACTGCTGGACCGCCAATGGATTGGAATAGGTACTCCGCCACCTTAAAGGTGAGCGTTGTGCCCGAAACGCATTTAAATTGGACGCTGCAATAGTAGCCGGTCAGCTGGGCGAGGGATTGGATAGACAATGATCCTGAAGCCTGATCTCCGATATTCGGCGGACAAATGGTGGGTTCATTGGAACTGTAGCGTGCCTTCAACTTGGTAGCACTAAAATCCAATTGGTTGCTCATCACAGTAACGAGCATAAAGTTGTCCGTTGACTCGATAATGCCGCTGCCATTGTAGCCCTCTATCCGAAACTCGGTGATCTTGGATAGGGAGTTTGCGTCGTTGTAGAATGAAAAGTGGGGCATATTCGATAAACGATTGCGTTCAGTTAAAGTTCTGCAACATATTTCAAATATATAAGAAGAAATAATCTTTTAATTCCTCACTCACCTAGTGGCTGTATAGTTTCTATTGGCAAGTCGCATATCCGCCAAATTAAGAAGCTCCAGCTTTACACGCTGACCCTTGGGTACATTGATGCTCCAGCGACAGAATCTCAGCCAGGTTGACGGTGCCATGGGCGAAATCTCGAGGTTCCCTGAAGCTCCATTCACATCCCGTGAGCATGATCCCACTGATCGCTTGTACTGCAGCTTAAATCCCCGGAAGTTCTGCACATTTTGTACTGCCACGAAGCGGATAGCCGCATCGTTGGTGTTAAGGGTAACAATCATGGGCGTGACTGTACTTCCGTCCAGAATCATAAGCTCTCGTTCGTTGTTTGCCATGTCCAGGATTTCGAGGCGATCGCTGGTACTTTTGGATGATGTTCCATTCGGATGAAACGGCAGATGAAGATCGATTATGCTTAACTCAATGAACATGTCCTTGGGCAGCCGGATTCTGTACACACACTCCGACGGCTTGGGATAGCCACTCAGAGCCGGATAGTTCTCTGAAGTGATAGAACCCCAGCTGGCACTGAACTGGCCACCGCAGGTGCTCAGGGACACGTTTAGTCGGAAGCCTCCGTGGGGTTCACTGAGCTGCGACGTGTAGTGTACCAAGAGCAGGTTGCCCGAGCTCCGTAATGTCTCCTGAAGCTTGCGGCACGTGCGTTTCAGGAACTTGGCCATTGTGGTGGATCCATCGTAGAATTCCACGTTCTCCTTGTCGCAGTGTCGTAGACTCAGCTCAAAGGGATCCTCGAAGTTGGCGGCAACACTTTCCCCCGGCGGTGCTATCACCAACCACGTGCAGTCCGCATAAGGATGCGGCAGATGTGGATAACCGGGCGAAGTGATCACAAACGATGGAGCTTGCTGGGTCAGCTTAATCTCACCATCACAATCGCTGAACTCCCGATACGTGAGTGACCATTGGTCACCGGCGATCACATTCCTAGCACTGCTTGCAACGTATTTGACGTAGGCATGCGAGCTACTAGTTCGGAATGATTTCTTCTGAAAGCCCTCTCGGTTACAGAACTTTCCATGATCCAGCAATGGCGCATGATCATCAAATCCATCGTAGATTAGCCCGTAGTATGGACATGGCAGCAGGCTGCCAGGTAGACTTTCGTACTTGATGCTTATGTCTATCTTTCGGCCTGGCCGCACCTCGATGTGCCAGACGCAATCTACGAACCTTGTCTGCTTCGGAATGGTGCCAACATTGCCCGTCATGTTCGAGCCACATTCTGTGTGGACAGATGCCTGGAAGCCAGTTCTGTTAAAGGAGGCATCACTCCGGAACTCTATCCTGAGATTTGGAGTCCCATGGATTCGACGCTGCAAATGTCCCTTCTTACAAATCTTTAGCTCTTCGGTCCAGTGGCTAAGATCAGGAGAACTTTGCATTCTCACATAGTCGGCGGCGCATTCGGGAAAGTTCTCCAGATCAACCGAGTACATAATGGTGGAAATATGCTGTGAAGGATCCTCCGGCTTAAAGGTCCATTGGCAATTTAGATTGGGTGGATAGCCGACCGGATATCCCTCCGTTCTCACCACCTCACGCGAAGCCGGGGCCATTGTATACACCTTTGTGCATTCCCGTGTAGTCAGGGTTTCGTTGCCTTTTACAAGATTGCTGTCAGGGGTCTGCCACGTCAAACGGAATGGACTGAATTCAGCATTCAGAGTCTTTAGGTAAATCACATTACTGCTGGAAGTGAAAGTCCAGGGACTGCTTTCGATTGAGACAGCCAAGGCATTATCATCGTATCCGTCAAAGAGCTGGAAAAATGTACGATTATGATTTATTAACATTTATTTATAGTTTCTTCTACTCACAGCTAGTCCAGAGATGTATTCTTCAAATTTGACTATCACAACATTTTCGCGGGCTGTGAATATCCTCCAGGTGAAGGGTTGATCATCCCCACTAACAAGTGGCGGCGACTCAATGGTTCCATTGGATTTCATTGTAAATTCCATGTTGTGCACTGGGAAGGATACCAAAACATTAGTAACTCTCTGGTTAATGGGATTCCCCCTTACTGTAGCTCCAATGCAACTTGAAACCTGCCGCCGTGTTGCCCGGCTTACTACGAAACTTGATCCACAGCTGTGAGGTCACAACCAACGGCTTGTCCGGCACTTCCTTGCTACAGTATAAGCCCAGTAATGGGCCCAGAACACCAGAGCGTAGCTCCAGGTAGTCTTCGTTGCAGTGCTCCGAATGTACAATATCAATGGCCTCGAAATTAACCTCCAGGGCATTGCCTGGTTGAATCTCCACGCGCCACACGCACTCCACATTGGCCGGATAGCTGTCCGGGTAGTTAGGAGAGCCCAAACTGCCACGGGGAGAGGTGATATTGCCGCCACATGTGTTCTCCAGATTGCCATATTGCGCCTCCAGGCGAACTCCTTTGGTCAGGATGCGCACATTGCTGGCAGACACTAGAAAGTTGGCAAGGTGGTCCGGGCACAACTTGGCAAGCAGCACCTGATCATCATCATTAAGTATTTGAACACCATTTGTGGAATTTTGAGAGCCTAAAGCATCCTTCGAGCAATCCAGGTGGTTAATCCGCAGGCTGAGTTTGCTACCAGGCGGCACTGTTACCAACCAGCTACAATCCTCGTCCAATCGGGATCGCAGGTAACCCTCGCCGGCGGAGACTGGTCCACCGCATTGGCGTTCGTAGTGCATGGCAAATCGACCCCAGGAACCAGCTTGGGCTTTGAACCGCACCCGTAGCTTCTGACCGTGCACTATGCGAATCAACGGCGGTCCATCTCCGCAAGCCTTCTCCAGAAACTTTTCCGTGCCATCCGCCTCCAGTTTGGTGAGTTCCACAAAGCTGACGGAGCAGTTGACAGAGTCCGTCAGATTGACCTGCTCGAACCAGAGACGGATGCCATAACTTTCAGATACCTATGAATGGAACAATTTAGCTGAGATATATGAATATGATCCTTGATACCTCTACCTGAACAAGCCAAATGCACTCCATGTTTGTGGAGAAGTTGGCAACATTACTGCTGTCTGGAACATCATGGTATCCTGGAGATGTGAGCATGCCGCTGCTGCTCGTCATATAGCCACCACAATTGGCCGGCACCTGGACATAGGAGGCTTTAAAGTACTTCCTCGCCCGTTCCGAGCTGCCGACAAAGCGCACGCGCAGCTCATTGCCAGGCGAGGTGAAGGTTTGCGTTTGCATCTCCTCACGACAGCTTCGATATAGCTCCACCGAGGAGTTGAATCCAGCGGGAGCGGACACGGAGAGCACATCTGTGGGACCACACTCCCCTGGGAGGCCTCAAAGTGGAGCTCGTGTAGCAGGAGGCGGACTTGCATGCCCACCGTCACTGTAATGAACCAGTCGCAATCCATGTCTACGCTGAATGGGGCCTTTGGAGATTCAAGTCTTCCTCCAGTTGCATATAAATGCTCTCCACATCCTATTCGCTGGTATTCGGCCCGGAAGCCACGCTCCTGGTCCGACGAATCGCTCTTGAATCGAAGAAGCAATCGATTGCCAACACTCGTAATGGGGGCAATGCCGTCGTTTGTGCACAGTTTTTGCTCACTCAGAACCTGATCGTCCTGCATGTCCTGCACCGTCAAATGGTCGAATACGCAGGAGCTGCTTCGGGGAAGCTCCACGGCGAAGTGTGAAAACACTAGTCTCAGATGATTCGTACGGCCGCCGGCACGTATATCCCATTCGCAGTTGGCCATCGGCGGATAGTTCTCCGGAAAATTGGGTGTCTCAATGGCTCCCAGCAACTTATCAAGTCGGACATGGCATACCGTTTGGTAGTTAAGTACGAAATCGGTGCCATCGGGATAGGCACTGCTAACATCGTAGCGGACGAGGACGCGATTACTGGTGGACTGGAGCAACTGCGCTCGTGTCCCGTTGCATTGCAACACCAGCGGCCTGCTGGCCGTGGTGGGACCATCAAATATGCTCAGCTGACCCAGGCAGAGGCGCTTGTCATTGCTCTCCAGCTGCAGACTCACCCGGGATCCCTCGGCCACTACAATCTGCCAGTCGCAGGCCAAGACACCACGATTTCCGGCCAGCAAATGAGGCGAATGTATGGCTCCGTTGTGTGAGGTTAGTTTGCCGCCGCACCCGGCACCCATCTGCTGCCAGCTGATTAGAAATCCCCGTCGCTGTATGCTGTCATCCGAATGGAACTTTAGGTGCATGACATTGCCATACGAGGGAAGACGTGGGGAATCCGGCTGCCGCAATACCGCCCAATCAAGGGCGAAGACTCCGAGTCCCCATTCCTGTGCAGGGAATAGAAGAGATATGGATTAGGCGTAACCTTGGAACAAGATGCTGCTCACCTAATCTCTAGCCAGTCAGTTGAACAGATATCGTCATGGAATGAATCTTCTAGCGTAAAGTTCTTCACCACCAATTCCAAGCGATGGCCTAGCGGTGCTCGAATAATCCACTCACAGTTCTGGGATTCCCCATATTCCTTGGGCCAATTCGGTGATTTTATATGGCCGAAGATATTTGTGAATGTTCCTCCACATTCTACAAAGTAGATTATAAAGAATATTAATGAATATATAAATATGTATATAAAAATGTATATACAGAAATATTAGAAAATTAGATAAATTTACATTTTGTTGATTTTATAGACACTGTTCCATTAGATTTTAAATTCTTAGCAAATTTCTGTGGCATTAATCAGAAATAAGATATATGTATATTATTGTACCTGTCGGAATAATTTCGAACTTTATCATAAACCTTCCCATGGCTCTCTCTCTGATTAAGTTTATAGTCAACAGATCTCCATCGAAGTCGTTAGAAAATCCCCCAGAATAACTGTAAGGGTATATAAATATTTTATTATATTTTTAACTACTATTAAACTACTCACCTATTTAGTAATATTCCTGGGCTTGTGCTGTTATCATAAATCTGAATATTGCCAGAGGCAAACAAATCTGAGACAGATATTCGTTTCCTTCCAGGATAATCAATGTACCACTGGCAAAATGTACTCCGAACATGTTTTACGTAAATTTTGCGCGGGATGTCAAGGAACCCTACGCAGCCGTTGGGCAGAAATTTGTATTCCAAACGCAAGCCCCGGCCGTTGCTCGATCCGCGGAAGACCAGACTGGCCCGATTGTAGTGGGAAAGCAGCAATAGGTTATCGGTGGACTTTACAATATGCCGCTTTTCATCTTTCCCCAAGTACACCTAAAAGATTAGCATTTATTGGGTTGAATCATTTTGGATAAAGTGTCATCATCTTACGTCCAGATAGTTGGTTTCCATTCCTTCATTGGCCGTGCCCAGAGACAGATCTGTGATGTTCATTTGAATCACGCCATCACTGCCGGTTATGTTGTAGGTGCAGGTCATGTCGCCGAGATAGGAGCGCGGATAATTGGGAGTGGTGATGTAGCCTAAAGGAGGACCAAAAGTACCCGTGCACACTGCAAATGAATAGTAATTGTTACATTTTTATATTGATTTATAAAAACACTTTTTTCCTACCTCTACTATAGGTCAACTCGAAGCCCTTTTTCAATTTTAAGCCACTCAGTACGTACTCATAGCGCACCAGGACCTTATTTCTCTGGGAGATCAGCGGTTCAAGCTCACTGGCCTCTGGTCGGCCGCATATTCTTTGCATTAGGGGCGAATCTGTGGAGTCTCCGTCAAAGATTTCAATCTTTTGAAGACGACAACTCTCAGACTGTATCAGATTCACCTGATCCAACACCAATTTCACCTGTGTAAATTGTGGCTGCTCAATTAGGTAAAGGCAGACCTCGGCATTCATGTGCCCACTGATACGGCCGCTCGGCTCCGTAAAGACTCCTCCGCAGCCTGGCTGGCCAGACACCACCTCGTAGTGCACCTGAAAGGAGCTATCTGAGCGCAGCTCGTCCGTGTGCAGCTCCAGGAGCACACTATTCGAGGAGCTATACAATGGCTCTGGTTTGACGGATTTGCAGGCCCGGAGTAGCTTGTGGTCCGAGTCGTAAACGGTCACGGAATCCTGGCTGCAGTTCACTGCCGCGGCATCGCTGCTGCCCAATGTGATGTCGTAGAACCGGAGGAGTAGACGGGTACCGAACGGTGATGTTAGCTGCCAGCGACAGTCAAGTCCGGATCGGGCCAGACCAGGATACCCCGGAGATCGTAGGATTCCGGTCTGACCCAGAGTCAGATTGTCAAGGATCTCACCGCAAGAGAACGGCAGTGAGTTCCAGATGACATGAAAACCCTTTCCCTGCGTCTCGTTGTCCGAACGGAACCAAAAGAATGCCTGCTCCTGGGTGGTGATCACACTTCCATTGCCCAGCGGTAGCTGCGATCCGCAGAACCGACCGATCATTCGCGAGGCTATGGAGTAGCCGTCGTGAAGCTGCAGGAAATCCGCGGAGCAGTCCGTGCTGTTCTGCAGTTCAAATTGGGTGAAGGTCAAGTTGAGAACTTGGCCCTTAGTAGTGCGTATGATAAAGGGGCAGCGTTCGTCAGCCTGGTATTCACTTTCGGCGCTGTTTTGCGGGAAGTGGAGTTGACCCGTTGGTCCAAGAATTGTGGATCCGCAGAAGAACCGCTCATGGGAGCATCTGGTGCCGGTGAAGCCGGCTGGGCAGTGGCACTGGTACAGGTTACCCGGCAGCAGACGACAGGTGCCTCCGTTGAGGCACGGACTTGGGTGGCAGATATCCGATGAGTTGCACAGAGCTCCCGTGTATCCTGGCTGGCAGATGCAGGTGGTTCCTCTGCCGCTCTGCACACACGTCCCATTGTTCAGACACGGATGCTGGTCGCAGGGCTCGCGGCTCGGATCCTTGGTACATCCATCAGCGCCATAGCCATGGCCAAAGCTGCCCAGCGCACAGGTACACACAACCGTCCCTGAAATCAGTTCGCACTTGGCCAGCGGATGGCATATATCCTCCTGGTCGCACGAGTTCGAATCAGCGGCCGTGCAACTGCGTCCATCACCTCTCCAACCCGGTGGACAGCGGCCACAGCGATGGGAGCCCTCTGTGTTGATGCAGGCAACTCGAGGCTGCAAGCTACAGCCACCGTTATTCTCGCCGGCGCACTCGTCCACATCGCGGCAGAAGCGTCCATCGCCCGTGTAGCCGCTGGGACAGGGACCGCAGCGATAGCTTCCCGGCAGATTGATACATAGATCGTGACAAGGATTCACGCTCGGCGCACATTCGTCCACATCCCGTGTACAGGGACTGGCACTTGGCGAGGTCATATTCATATCCGCCCATGTCCAGCCCTGATCACAGACGCACACGTAACCGGCGGCGCTACCCGTCTGTATGCAGGTGCCATGCTCTCCGCACAGTTCCTTGGATCCACTCCCAAAGCAGGAGTTCTGACGGAGTCGGCAGTGGGCACCGGAGAAGCCATTGCGGCAGACACAACTGAAAATGGTAAAGATTAAATTGTGTTCTGATATTGGTGGCTCCACCTCCTCCTCCACTTACCGATATCCGCCGGGAGTGTTTATGCACTGGCCATTGTTCAGGCATCCGGCAAGATCCGTGCCAGCCAGGGTAAAGCATTCATTCACATCTTCCTCACAGGTGGGACCCTAAAATGTGATGTGTAAAAAAAGATTGAAAGTTTCTGATTCATTCTTTATCCAATCTCACAAAAGATATCTCCATTGACGCGATCCATGTGAAAATACGCCCACAATCTGCGTCAAGAAGACGCCCCCGCGGATGCACACTTACTTGCCAGGCTGCCGTACACTCGCACTGGAATCCATTGTAGGCATCGTGGCAGATTCCACCGTTCTGGCACGGACTCGACTGGCACTCGTCCCTGGCCAGGTTCGCTGCGATGGTGCGCAGGATGCCAGAAACTCGTTCCACGCGCTGCAACTGCCGACGCAGGAGGCGTTGATTAAGACCGCTCCTTCGTGTTGAATTTCTGGCATTGGACACACGTCGTTCTATCTTTGTGAACTTGCGCTTCACATCGCGGAACTGATCCTTGACAATGTCCAGCGATAGGGGTTCCCTTTTAGCCGCCGCCTGTCGATCAGCCACAATCCTTTGGCGTCGTCGGAGCAATGTCAACATATCCACATCGTTGATCATCACGGTGGCCGCTTCGCCCATTAGACGTAGTGTCACATTGTGATCCCTTTCTGCCGTCAGGAACAGATTATCATTCGATTCTTTCCCTAAATGGGCACGATACTTCTCGTCATCATTCTGTGATCCTTTGACGGAGAGGATTTGCAAGCACAAAACTAGCACAGCACAACTTGGTAACTTAAGTGGAATTTTACCCATTTTTATTCATTTTTGTTTTAAGAAATTATGGGATTTAATATTTAGTATTTCCTGAGAGATTATCACAACACAGAATTAATCGGAAGGGACGAAAATTTTGGGAGCTATACGAACGACAGGCAATATCCACGGAAACTGGCCGCAGGCAGAACTGCATCTCTGATTTTATACCAACGAAAAGTGGGCGTTTCCGATAATGATATAGTAACTAGATGTAGAATATTATTTCTATGGGTAAATGGGATGTTTAGCAAAAAAGAAGGGAGACATTCCGGTTGTTCCTTATCGTTTTTTGCATATTTGTTTAAGTCGTTGAACCTTTGGTTCTTATATATTAAATTATTTGCATTTCCTTATAAAAGGAAAAGGTTTGAACCTAAAACAAAGTTTAAATTATTATTTAGTTCGTGTTAAAACTATAATTAATTATGTTGTCTCTAATTAGTACTTATTTATCAGCTCCGATCCAGATCTATTGACCCCCAATGCATGCCTAAGCCTCTATATATACCGATCGAATACTACTGATAAGAGCGACAATGAAATCTTCTAGCTAAAGGCTAATAAACATTAAAACAACGAGTTTTAATGGCTTGGCTGTAATTTTTTGTTTATAATTTTGGACCATGAATTTAGGAAGGTTCTATGGTGTAATGGTTAGCACTCTGGACTTTGAATCCAGCGATCCGAGTTCAAATCTCGGTAGAACCTGTTAAATTCTTGCAGGAATTTTATTTTTTTATTTTATAATTTATTGTATCTTCAATTCGTCTTCAAGAGATTGATACTAAAATCGAGAAATTTAATAATTTAAAGATATTTTGTACTTGGTAATTCCAATTTTTGGTATCTAGTTTAAACTAAATACATGTTAATAGATGATAAATAATGAAATAAGAAGAAATTTTCTGAGCAATATAAAACATATATAAATATATGTTTGTTTTAATAATTTTTGTAAACTGTAGTTGAAGCTAAAAATATTATAAATAATATTTATTCTTATCTGCATGTAATCTTTTGAATACAGCTTCAAATCAAGTGAAATCAAAGCCCAATGACAATGACCTTGTGAGTAATTTGATTAACAACGCTTAGCATAAGCACGAATATTCATTCAGAATAATGTGTGAGCATAAAAGATAAAAAGATACATTTGTATCTAACTATCTAGTCATTTGTATTTTTTGCTTTGATCCTAAGTAAACGCGACGCCATGACAACGAGAGAGTGAAAGCGAATTAAATCAATTTAGTTATAATGAAAGCCAGCCGTTGGTAGTCGGTTATGTACTATATATGTACGTATATATAGATATATATATGAACTATTTATAAAAGGAAAAAACAAAAGCAAAAATCAGCTGCTTGACTGCCGTGCGAGCCCCCAACTAGGGTGACTTGCTCTCCCTGCTCGGCTACGTTACTCAGTCACAAGCGAGTCGTCGAACGCATCTGGACACCAGCCAGTCGGTCCTCTATAATAAGACTACACAGCCCCGGCATTATGTCAATTTTCTCAAAGATGTTGCTCTTTCGAGCGGGTAAGTCATCATAAATATATATCATAGGACAGCCATACGCCCTATAGATTGAAGAGGCACTAAATACAAATTGTTATAACATCTATATTGCAATGTTTGTTCCTGAATCTCATATCAGATTAAAAAAATGTTTAAAATTTCCTCAATCCTTTCCCAGCTGGCGGACGTCACTATAGCGCTGCGGCCCAGACTCAACTCCGGGATATATTGAGCACACAGCTGGCAGGGATCAAGGAAGCGGGCACCTTCAAGGCAGAGCGCATCATTACCTCCTCACAGAGCACCCAAATCACAGTCCAAGGCAGCGACAAGAAGATCCTTAACTTTTGTGCCAACAATTATCTTGGTCTGGCGGTAGGGGAAACACTTACACACTTACCCCAACTCGACTAAGTTTTCCTCCTCCTCTAGAACAACCCGGAGATCGTGGAGCACAGCCAGAAACTGCTGGATCAGTATGGCGCCGGTCTTAGTTCGGTTCGTTTCATCTGCGGCACTCAGGATATACACAAGGAGCTGGAGCAAAAGATAGCCAAATTCCATGGTCGCGAAGATACCATCCTGTATGCTTCCTGCTTTGACGCCAATGCCGGAATCTTTGAGGCCATTCTCACGCCGGAGGATGCTGTGTTCTCCGATGAACTGAACCACGCCTCGATCATTGACGGCATTCGATTGTGCAAGGCCAAGAAGCAGCGCTACAAGCACCGAGATTTGGCCGACTTGGAGCAGCAGCTGAAGGGCAGCGATGCTCGACTGAAGCTTATTGCCACTGATGGTGTCTTCTCCATGGATGGTAACATCGCTCCTCTGGCCCGTATCGTTGAGCTGGCAAAGAAGTATAACGCCTTGGTGTTTGTGGACGAATGCCATGCCACGGGTTTCTTTGGGGCCACGGGCCGCGGTACCGAGGAATATGCCAACGTCATGGGTGAAGTGGATATCATTAACTCAACGCTGGGAAAGGCCCTGGGTGGTGCTTCCGGTGGATATACAACTGGTCCCGCTGAGCTCATCACTTTCCTGCGCCAAAAGTCCAGGCCGTACTTGTTCTCCAACACCTTGCCTCCAGCCGTGGTGGCCGTTGGCCTTAAGGTCATGGAAATGCTGCTGAAGTCCAGTGAGCTCACCCAGCGCGTCCAGAGCAATACGCAGCGCTTCCGTGAGGCCATGACCAAGGCGGGATTCACCATAGCCGGTGAAAACCATCCCATATGCCCCGTGATGCTGGGCGATGCTCGTCTTGCTTCGAAGTTTGCCGATGAGATGCTAGGTGAAGCCATAATAATCCTTGTAATATTTGTAGCATTCCTTGATCCTTGACTTTACTTTCAGGACGTGGAATTTACGTCATAGGATTCAGCTACCCAGTGGTACCCCAGGGCAAGGCTCGCATCCGTGTCCAAATCTCGGCTGCTCACACAGAGGCAGAAATCGATCGGGCCATCGCTGCCTTCATTGAAGTTGGTCGCTCTTTGAAGGTGATCCAATAGGATAAAGGATATCCTAACACCAAACCTTGCATTTATGAATTATTTGTAAAAGAAAAAGCTGCATTTGTAAAGGAAATAATAAGTAATAAAAATTAAAATATCTATAAAGGTTGTAAAAAAAGGAATTGTTATCTGTAAAAAGGTTTATCCCTTATTTAAATCAGTTGGATTCGTGTTTATGGAGTTGCTTTATTTGGTTTATAAGTTTAACTAAGGATCATTTACTATGTAAATATATAGAGACTGTTGCAGTTGCGTTTAACTTAAGCTTAGATTGCACAATAGAAGAAGGACTGGCCCGGGCCGGTAAATGCACGCGTGACGAACTAAACCGAGCACGAAACATGTCATGGAAATATATCAATGGTTTTGAAATCATTTAAAATTGTGTCGTCAGAATTAAGCCACGAAATGTAATATCTTACAATAGAAATATGACAACTTTACAATGGAATTGGGACCTAAAAACTCCGTTGCATACTATAAGATACATTTTCAAATGATTTCGAAACCAGAGCGATTTCTGTGGCACTTCTAAAATCAATAACAAATAATTAAAGTCGAGTAACAAATAAAAATAAACATATAAAGAATTAAGGAAGGTCATTAACTAAAATGGAATTAATGGTTGAGTTGTGGAAATGCCAGTGTCTTGGGTTGGCAAAATATAAACATAAAAGGAAACTTACAAAGCTTGAAGTGTGGAGTGAAGATTGGGCTAGGTGAGTACTGTCGAGGTGTACGCATTGCGATGACTATGAATACTTTGGTTAGTGCTGTGTGTTCGCATGAGATTGGTTAGCTTTAGTTTATAATTCGATTCGAGTCGTTTGCGACTATTATTTGTTGACCAGGCCGCGGGCCTTTGGGTACGCTGAGGCTGGCTTCTTGGCCGCCGCCGCCGCCGGCACACGACCCGTGGGCGGACGTCGGTTTGAGTCGAGATTGGAACCGGCACTCGGTAGTCCACGGCTGGACTTTATGTTCCGCACATTGGGCATGGAGCTGCCAATAGCTGTTGGGCCAACTCCAGATCCTGCCCCTGCGGCCGCTGTTCCCTTGGCATTCGCATTGATTATGTTCTCCAAACGGCTGCGCAGCGAGTTTGTGTGCGAATCCACAATGTCGATGTCATCGCCGCCCGTTTGCATTGCCTGAGCGAGCACCGCCTGCAAGGAGGCAGACACCTTGGGCGTACGATACTCCTGGGTGGTGCGGCAGGGCATCTCCAGCTCGTAGTTGACGATATTCTCACTCTTGAAGCGAAGGGAGCTGGGTGCATTCGACTTGGCCTCTTGCAGGGCATGCTCGGAGATGGGTCTTCGGCGCTGTGGATGTGATACCGGACGCTTGCTGCTGAACTTACCATCGCCCCCAGGGGGCATGGGCAGAGTCATCGAGGAGAACTTCCACTCCTCCTGCTCCTCGTCATACTTGGCCTGCGTGTACAGGCGCTGCTTCACTTCGATGGGCACAAAGTTGTCAATGATCAGTAGTTGACGTTTCAGCTCTTTGACCAGTTCATTCTGGGCCATCTCCAGTTCCCTGAGGTCCTGGTTGTGGTCGGATTTGCAGTCGTTTAGCTCCTGCTGTAGGGCCAGATACTTGGCGTAGCACTTGGAGAGCTTTCGCTTCTTTAACTCCACCTCTTGTTCGAGGGAGACGTTGCGCTCACGTATTTCGAGGGTGGTTTCCTCTTGCAGCTCCAGCTGCTGTTGAATCTCAATTTCACGCTTCTTTCGCTCCGCTATCTCCACCAGCTTCTTTTCCAGCTCGATCTGTCGCTCACTGTACGTGTCCAGCAGATTCTTACCTCCACGCACCAGCTGGCCCTCTAGTTCGGCCAACTTGGCAGCCAGCTTGCTGTTCTCCACCCGCTCTCGTTCTAGTTCCTCGTTGGACTTGGCCACTTCGGCCTCGTTCTCCTTGTCGGACTCGGACTCGGCTCCATCGAGATCGCTTTCCTCTTCCACCGGCTGCTCTACGGTAGATGCCTTCAGGGAGCCAGTCATTTCCTTGGCCACGATCTCCTTCTTCGGCTTTTTGGTGCGTTTCTTGGGTTCGCTTCTCCTGGTCTGCTGCTGTTGCTGCGGAGCAATCAGGCGCTTGAGACGTTCGATCTCCGCCTGGTACTCCTTCAGCTTGGCATCCTGCGGATCCTCGTTCTTGATCGGCTGATTCTGGATGGACTTGGCGCGCGAGGCATAGCGCAGCGTGGTCAGCGTCTCATTATAGTTGTAGTTCGAGGGCCCAATGTTGGCTATCATAATGGTCTTGGAGTTGCCGCCGAGCGAGTCCTGCAGCAAGCGTGTCAGCTTTGAGTCACGGTATGGAACATGAGGCGAACTCTCGGCCAGGGCAGAGATAACGTTACCCAGCGAGGACAGGGCTAGATTGATCTTGCTGGCTTCCTTCAAACGTTCCGCTGAGGCTCCCGTCTTCGACTGCCGCTCACTGCCAGCCAGATCGATGAGGTTCAGTTTGCCCACCTTGATGGTGTTGGTTTCCGTGTCACACATCTCTATTTTGATCATGAAAATAGCGTGGGATCTCGAACTGTGCTCATTCATGTTGGTGAATCCCACGGTGCGATTCTTATTACCCACCTGCATCACCCGGATCATGTCGTCGACGCTTTTGCAGTTAATGGCATGCAGGTTGGGCACATACACGCCCGATCCCCGTTCCCGAACCTCCAGATTCTTGGAGTTGGGCTTCAGCAGATCCCGCAGCTCCTCCATGTAGATCTCCAGGTAGGACACATCCACTAGGAACTGAAAGTTCTCGGTTCGATTGATGTGCAGCCAGATCTGCTCGAAGGTGCGCGGTATGATGCCCATGAGGTCGTCGTTGCCTCGCACGCCCTCCATGGTAAAGGTCTTGCCGGTGCCTGTTTGTCCATAGGCAAAGATGCAGCCGTTGAATCCCTCCAGCACAGAGGTGACCAGGGGAAAGACTACTTCGTGATACAACGTCGTTTGATTGGCGCTTGCATCGTATGCCGCATCGTAGGTAAAGACCTTGCGCTGCTCCTTGTTGGCATCCACCACATTCTGTAGCTCCACCACGCCCCGGTTTGGATAGACGTTGACCACCTCTGGCGAGCCCTCGGAACGCTCCCGATTGCTCATGGGTCGACACCGGACCACCACCTGGACGCATTCATTCGGCGTCTGGCTGCCGGCAGTTCCGGGTCTCCTTTTCGCACTCATTTCCGCAGATCCTTGCCTTACCGTAGCTTTTTCTTTGTGCACTTGTGACTAAGGCCGCTCTTCGCTGCCTCTCCACTCCCTGCTGCTGCTGCTGCCCCCGCCTCTGCTGGCCAGAAGTTGAGTAGCTGTGGCGACGGAAAACAAATGACGAATAAAATCAATAATTCCTTCCTGACGCAACCAACTGCGTTCGCCCCTTATGCTGCCGTGATTCACGCATCGCTGAAAGCCGCACTTCACAGTGGAGCAATGGGGCGAAGCGATTTGGCAATCTTCTATTATTACCTGTTATTTTAAAGCCAATTACTTCACCTTGAAATCGCTTCTTTTTTTTTGTCTCAGCTGCGGGGTTTTAACTGTCTAAAGCGGTCAGTGTGGCCAGCTGCCGTTAGCTAACGGACTAACGCCAGGCGCAAGTATGGCTACACCAATAAATGCGCGCGCAATTTGAAAATTGTGTTATTTTAAATAATTAATTTCAAAGAAATCCGTTTGGATTATTATTTTTATAAAAACGACCATATTTCAAGTTAAATTTAATTATTGAACTATTTTTGTATTTCGTATATTTATTTACAAATCACGCTTACTGGCCTTTGATTTGCTGGAGCTAGTTTCACCCCGTTTACGTTTATTCAGGGGATTGCGGGGATCGTAGGCATCATACCAATCGTCTCCCTTTTTATTAGCATCCTTGGCCAGAACGGGGGCAGTGCTATTGAAATTCAAGGTGTGCGAGAGCCAGTCGTCACCAATGATTTCCTGCTCCACCACCCTGTCGTCGAGATCTTTTGGTTCCGGTTCGCCATCATCAGAGCCGGACTTGTGCTTCAAGTTGTCCAGCTTGGTGCGGAATTTTGTGAGTAAACTCAATGTGAACTCCTCTCTGTTAAAAATAAAACATCTTTAAATTAAATTGATAACTATTCGGATTATAAAAGTCCACCTTGACTGTCCTTTTGGCTGGAGTTTTGTCTTGGCAGTATACTTCTCCTTGGACTCTATAAAGTCACTGATGTAGTGATTTTCCTTAGCTCCCTTGATCTCGGCTGGTTTGGTGTCCTTCTCCATTCCATTTAGAAGTTTATCTTTTGTTTGCTTATCCTTTTGATATTCCTTTTTCAGCGAGGCAATTTCCTCGCGAATCTTGGATCTAAAAAATGTAATATCATGTAATTCTAATCTAGGAATTAATTGAATCTTACTTCTTTTCTGAAATTTTGCGACTTTCTTCTTGCTCGCGTGTCATTAGAACATCCTCTTCGCCCTCCGAATCAGTCTTTTCCACCACCGGCTTTGCTTTCTTCTCTGGACGGCTCTTTGAACTCTTGGCAAGCTTCATTTTGACGAGATCTGAATTGGAACTGTCAAGTTTAGCCTTGACACTATTCTCAAGGCAATCGTCAGACAAGCGCTCCTCGCTTTCAGCGCGTTCCACTTTGGGTACTCGAATGGGTTCCTTGCTCAGTTTGGGATCATCGGTGACGTCGTGCAGAGATTTAGCTTTGCCCGCGTTCTGCTTTACGTACACGTTGGTCTCCTCTTCGTCATCCTCGGCTTCTTCGCCAAAGGAGAGTAGGCCAAAGTTTCTGAAAAAGTATTAGAGAAGTAAGCTATAAATGTTGCAAAGTAGAAAAGGTGTTTATGCATGCTATGATTTTAGTTACGGTTAATTATTCCTAACAATTTTAGTTACAGTTAATTAATGCGATACTAGAGAAAAAGTAAAGTCCCTTACTTGACTCCTTGTCGTTCCTTCTTGCTCTTTTTGGTCTTCGCAGACGGTTTGGCCAGCACACGCGGAACGATGTCGTCGAAGGGATTGCTCAAAACCTCCGTGGAAACGATGCGATGGGCGTGCATGGGCCGTTCCTGATGGTCCACAATACCTTCCTCCAACTTCAGCATGTTGTAGATGGTGTCGCCGGTGACCTTGCCAAACAGTGTGTTCTTGTTCTGCAGCTCCGGCGTGGGCGCGAACGTGAAAAAGAACTGCGAGGCGTTGTCATCCTTGCCGGAATTCGCCATCCCGACCAGGCCGCGACGTGTGTACCGCAGACGTGAGTGGAACTCGTCCTTGAACGGATGCCCGTAAATGGACTCACCTCCGGTGCCATCGCCATTTGGATCACCTCCTTGAACAATGAATCCCTTGACCAGCCGGTGGAACTCGGTGTTTTTGTAGTAGCCCTCCAGGCACAGCTGGACAAAGTTGCGGCACGCCTTCGGACACTCTCGGGCCCACAACTCGATGTCTATGTCACCAACTGTGGTCTTTAGAAGCACCTTGCCCGAAGTGGGCGGCTCTTGGATGTAAATATTGCTCATTTCTTCAGAATTATAAACAAAACAATTTGCTAGAGATGGCAATACATCGATGGCACTATCGACTGTCGAATGGTAAATATATCGCACAATCGGTAACCGTGACTACTGTTGACATTCAAGTTTGTAACTAGGCAACCGTTTGCTTTTCGCGTTTATAGTTTTTACGTTTTTTGAAGAGTATTTTCATTTAATTCATCATGAACTTTAACGACGATCCCCTTGCGGAACTTCTGAGCGACAACAGCCTCGACAATGACAACTTTTTTGAAACTCCAGCGGGTGGAGGGCACAAGAAGCCACCGAAGACAGCGAAGCCTAAGGGAAAGCTGGAGGATTTGTTTGGCATTCAAGAGGAAACGGAGGCGGACGTCCAGGGGCAAGGGGCTCGGAACAAGCCCACTGCCACCAGCACACCAAGAATTGTCAAGCAGAAGCCTTCCATTTCGTTGGACGACGATGCAGCGGACGATGATGACTTGGGCTTCGATCCCAAGAGGCCTAAAAGTGGTGGCGCCAAGAAGAGCCTTTTCGACGACCTCCTGTCCAGCAGCGTTGAGCCTAAGAAGAACATTTTCGATGAAATTCTGACGGGTTCCACCGATCCCAGTAAGCGTCCTGCCACTGCTAAGCCCTCGATGTCCCGCCAATCCACAGACACTACCACAGATAACTCTCAAGCTAGGCCCAAGACATCCACGGGGCGGAGGAGCTCTGCCCAATCAGCCACTATTAATGTTGATCCCCTTGGACTTTTTGGCAAGGACACGAATGCCACTGTTTCGGGTATGTCCACGCCGGTTTCCAGGAAGAGGGGCACCACTGCAGACTGGCTAGGTCTGGAGGCAGCTGCCGCCTCTGCGGTGGAAGCAGTGGAACAGCTAGAGCACCTTCCAGTCGCTCCCAAACCGCAAACCCCCAAGAGACAGCCCTCTACAGAAGTTCCTATTAAGAACGTAGCTGACATCCTCCGACTGCCTGACGCCGAGGAGGCCGAACCAGACCTGGATCTGGCTGCTCCTCCGGGATCGTCTGCGGTGACTGCTGCTACACAGAATATACTGATGCTCAGCAATCTCAATCTGGAGAGTAATCACAAGTTTAATGCCCTGCAGCAGCAGGAAGCACAGCTGGTCATTGCGGCGCAGATGAAGAACCAGGAACGCACCCTCTTGGAGATGCAGCGACGCCAGGAGAAGCAGGATCGAAAGTTCCAAGCCCTGATCCAGCAGCAGCTACAGCGCCAACAGCAAATGGAGGAGCATATAAAGGGTCAGCAGGAACGAATAAACATGCACATACAGCTGATGATGTCGCAGCCTGTCCATGTTCAGGAAGTGGCTCCTGAAACCGCAGAGAAACGGGAGACCGAGGAAAAAGTTGTCACCAAGGAGGTCAGCAAGGAGCAGGAGCACTGGCTCCAGCTGGAAACAGAGGCCAAGCGTAATCAGCTGGAAAAGCAGCGCTTGGAGGAGCTGGTGGCAAACATGAAGGTTAACTATGAGCAGGAGATCGAAATGATTGATGCCTCGTACAAGTAAGTCTAAAGAAAGTAGTAAAGCTAAGACTAAGAGCTTATACCTTTTCCAGAAAAAAAATAAAGGTCCTCGAGGACCACCTGGCCGCCGTAGAGGATCGACTTAAAACCGAGAACACCGAATTGCAACAGTATTATATCGGCAAACTGGAGAAGCAAAAGGAGGACTGCGTGGAGCAGATATCCAACCTGAAGCAAGATCACGAGGATGAGGTTCGTAAGCTGCGTCACTCCCATGAGCTGGACATTGAAGGGATTCGACAGGCCAAAATGTTGGAGCTGGCAGCTGTTCAGGATCATGGCAACTACCTGGAGACTCTTCGACTGGCCTCTAGCAATCTCCAAGAGCTGAGAGACGGAATGACTGGTACTCAGGAGAGGGAACGCCAGTTGGAGGCTCGAGAGCGACGCCTGGCCGACCAGGAGAGGCGCTTAAAGCTTGAAGAAGAGACGGCCGACGAGGAAAAGCGTCGTTTAATGGAACTCGTGAGCACTCTGGAGTTGCAGTTGGGCCGACTCTCCAAAGACTCTGCCGAGGAGAACTGGCAGCTGCGCCAGCGCATGGCCAGCTTGGAGGCGGAGCGCAAGGCCTTCGAGCGTGAGAAGGAGTTCCACCGCGAGCAGATGAAGCGGGATGAGAAGCGAGTTGAGGAGCTCAAGTCCATACAGCTGGAGCAGACGGAGCGACTGCATCACGACCTTCAGCAGGAGCGCACCCAACTGGCAGTGGATCGACAGCAGTTGGAGCTGAAGCTGAAATTGCATGAGCACGGCGACCTGGACAAGGATCGTCTTGAGCTGGAGGCCCAACTAAAGGTGGCCCGTGATGCTATTCGGCGGGCGGACGAGGAGCGGGATCGCAGCCACAAGTTGCAGCGTGAGGTAGAGCAGCGCAAGCGTATCCTGCTGGACAGGGAGAACGCTCTAAACCTCAAGGAGGACGAGCTTGCTCAGGCCAGCGGCGCCTATCGCGTTGCCACTAGTCGCACCCACATGGCGGAGCAAAGGGCCCGCGAGGCCGACCAGCTGCTCCAGGCCAAGCTGCAGCTAATGGGGAAGCGGGCCAATGAGATTGCCGAGAAGGAGGCCCAGCTGGCTCAGGAGCGAATGCTCTTGGCTCAGGACCGCTTAACCCTGCACAATCTCAAGAAACAAATAGCTCGCAGCCGATGTGCTCTCTGCAAAATGGGAGCGGACAGTGCTGAGCTTGCTCTGCGCACAGATCGAAAGAATAATGCGCTGACCACCACGGATCCTCTGCTGCTCCCGATGCAGCCCAGCAAGGCGGAGCTCCTGCTCAAAATGGCAGCCAGTGAGCCGGGGCAAGCTCAGAGCGATATTGTAGACCGAATGCTGGACGAGAACATCGAAGCTTCCTATCGCAGAATGTACAATGCGCCACCCAGCAGTTCCCTGGATGATGTAGACTTTGGCCTGGCTGGTGGGCTTGACGATGACTCCAAGGTGGCCATGGACCACGGAAGAAACTTGGACATGGACCAGGATTTCCTGGCTAACTTTAAATGAAATCAAATATGATTTTTTGACGAGATTGGGTCTAAAGTAAATTAAACACACTACTTTTTAATATTTAATTTAGTTTTTTTTTTATAACGAAACTATTATGAACGTACTGAAAGATTCAATTTCAAAATAAGCTTGCTACTTCCGCTTATCGTAGACTTTAACCGCTCAACAGGTTGTTGCGGTCATCGATGCTATCGATTCCACAACGTCGATCACCGATGACTCTATCGATGTCTCGCCACCTCTATCGCTGCTTGTTGCATTCCGTTTTTTCGTGTTATTCGTAAAAAGCATTTTAACTTAGTTTAAACAATATGTAAATAGTACGCGGTAGTGCAAGAACATAAGCTTAAGTAATATCAAGTTAATCAGTATTTTGGCGTCTCCGCCAAGGCTTTTTATATTCCGTTTTCGTGACTGTTTTGTGTCTGTGCTTATGTGTTCGTTTATGTGTGTGTGTGTGGTGTAGGTGTGTAGGAGGAGTCCAAAAACTAAACCTCTTTTCGGTAGTTTTAACTCGTAAGCTTAGAAAAGCTAGTAAAAACAGCAAGTGGTGGGAAACACTCGGCTTAGCCCGGTGGATGAAACTCGAAGCCGACGCATATTGGGCAACTGAATAACGGAACCGACAACCAGGCGGAGGTGACACCTCAAAAAGCAAGTAAGTTGGCACTCAGCGAATGTGAGGCACAAAAGAAGAAGAGTAGCCGTACAAATGACCGACTACAAACATATTTACGAATGTATATTAATGACAATCACCATTATCAACGCCCTCCCACAGGTTTTCGCCGTTTTGTTATTTCGCTATTTGCTTCGTTTTTGCTCTTATATTGCCCCACGTTTGCAGTATAATAAATTGGCAATCAATTCCGTTGATTGATGTTCATGAATAGTTAAGGTTTTGCACATATGTACAATTTGTTGCAATTTATTGATTTACCTTAACCTTTTTGCGGCAGATATTCTCTTTCTCTCTCTCACTGGTTCTCTCTCTCTCGCCGGTTCATGTTTTCTTATCTCCTATTCCGCCTTCTCCTATTCGCAATCATACACACATGCATGCATATACATATGTGTGTGTGAGGCTGTGTTTATGCCCAAACAGCTGTTTCCTATCTGAAAACAAGAAGAGCTTCAATGGGAACAAAATCGTGCCGCTTTTCTTGCAGAGATAATTTATAATAAAAAAATATATGTACACATGTATATAATGAAATCGCTTGGGAATTGCTTACCACAGCTTTCATTCACGCAAATTGATGCCGCCCGCTACTGTTTGTATTTATTTGTTTATTTACAATTGCGTGCACAATTGCGCCTTTTTGCGCCACTCCAATGAATTTTGCAATCAGAAATTTGGAGCGTTTGCATTTGGCCTATTTGCTATATGGACGATTTCTCATATCAGCACGGAATTTGAATTTTTTTGTTTACTTTTGTTGTATTTTAAAAAATTACTGTGGTTCGTTCTTTTCATTTTTTCGTATTTCCGGTCTGTTTTTTTTTTTCTAAAGAAGAAATGAATCAAAGAGAAGCTAAACAAAGTCCTAATCAAAATGTGGGGCTCCTCAGCAATCTACAAAGTATGCCTTGATATAGACATATTCTGAAATAAATATATTATAAATAATACATAATAATATCGAATTCGAGGGTATTAAAGCTTTGGCATCAAAACTTGGTAACATATCTCAGTAATTATAAGATTTAGATCTTAAAAAATAATTGTACAAATTAAATGCCTATCTACGATCGTTTCAAAGATACTAATGATGACGTTCAACTTGTACAACAATTTTAACATTTAATTCTTTTTTGGCCCGGCTTCTGAATCACCCTAACAGTGTCGAGTGCTTGGCCCCTTACCATCTACTCTTTCCAATGCTTTTCACCTGGTCTACACCCTATACACTCCTAATCACTTTTATCATTGCCCGTTTGTTATCGCACAGATAAGCGAAGCGAAAAAGCCACCAACAGCCGCCTTTGTTCACTCAGAGAATAACAAATATATTTCGACTGACAAAAACCTGCAACAAAAAAATTGAACAAAAAATTCGAAAATAGCTCATTCCATGTTTTGCTCTGTTCTGATCGCCATTAACAGCTCAACGGATCGGTAGAATGTCAAATCAGGCCCAAATCGACTACGACAAACAGTTCCAGGATGACTTGGCCAAGGCAACGGCGCTTAGTCTCGAGCAGCAAGCCCTCGACGACTATCGGCGGAACAAGAAGTATGGCTCAGGCTACCCTCCAAGCACTGCTGGACGAGATTACAATGTTGCCCAGCGCAGTCAGAGCCTCAATCAGGGGCGCAGGCATTCGGAGGTTCACCAGGCCATCAGTCCGTCAGCGACAAATGTGGATCGCTCGCGGACACCACCGGCGCAGGTTCCGGATAACGACTTAATCTGCTTCGCCAGTCCCACGAGCAAGCAACCAGAGAGTGCTACTCCCTTCGGGCGGCTCATCGAGGATCTGCAGCGAATGCAAGTGCCGAGCAATCCCCAGTCGGCCCTTGTGCCCATGGGACCAGTTGCTGCGGCCCCTGTTCCGGTTCCCGCATCGGCCCCTTACGGTTACCATCCTCAGCATCAGCCTCAGGCCGTTCAGGTGCAACCGCCTCCTTATGGCATGGTGGCGGGAGCACCTGGCAGCATGCAGTTGGTGCCATACCAGCCCGCTGCACAACAGCAACAGAGGCCCCTAAACAACGAAGAACTTCAGCGCCTTTACAGCATGCCTGCGCAGATGGCTGTGCAACCAGTGGCGCAGCCCAATGCCTATTTATATTATCCGGGAGCAGTAGTCACTCCCTACACGGCGCCAATAGTTCCCGGATCGGCTGCCTATATGCCGCCACAATATCCCTCGCAAGGATATGGTTTCGCCGGGGCATACACCCACATGGATCTAAGGCGTCCACAATCGACGCCCGTAACGCCAGGTCCACCAACGAGTCATCACATTCAACCGTCCAACAATCCTCCAGTTCCCTCTACCTCGTCCGCCGTGGAGGCAAACGGAGTGGCCTTCCAGGGACGACGTCCAGTGCCGTCGACTACCAGTGTTGGCTCAAATTCCCGCCCTGGGAGTAATGGACAGCGCAAGGGCAATGATTTAATCGACCTCAATCAGGAGGATTAGTAAGTATCAAACTATTAGAGTAAATAAATGCTATTTTACTGAGAAATTCCATTGCTTTTTCAGCTCCCGTGTGAGTGTTCTGGAGGCATTCGATCCCCTGCTGAACGACAATACTGGTAAGCAGTCACAATGTTGTAATTAGTATGTACACACCACTTCCTGAGCTCGCACCCTTTTGAAGATCCTTCCAGACTTCTCGCAGCGTAACCGAAATTCGAAGTATTGTCTGAAATTCTTAAAGTGGCAATTGCAGGGAACAAATAAAGTTGATTGCTGTCATATATTGCATTCCTCTGATAAGTTTAATTCGATTGCTGTGCAATAGCTTTTACTTTATATCTATATAAAAGATAAATTGGAGGTTTTTCTTAAAAAGTTGCGTTTTTACCATTTACTATTTTATAAAACTGATCTTAATATTTGATTCCTTTTATTAAACAATTATTAATAGTTTATTTTTCTTAAAGAAAGATATTTTTCTATATCTAATAAGAGCGATTTTAGTTACTGTAGCTTATGCTCCTTTGTCGTATAAATAATATAACATAATAATTTGTAGTTTTTGGTGGCTTATTAACCAAGTAACCTCTAACCTCGTTAGCACAATTCCAGATCGTTTGTAGCGCTGCCTTGCCTCTAGTTAAGAATTAAACTGAATGTTTTTTGTTTCTCTATAATTGCAGCAGTGTCGCAAAAGTAAACCATTTTAATTGCAAGTCCTCTACTACTACTCTCAGTACTACTACCACTACTACTACCAAAAAAAAACTACTGCAAAAAAACAACTACTACCTTTACACCCACAACAACAACTACACCATCTAGAGGGTTTCGGGTTCGTTCTCGGTTTCGGAGGCAAATCAAAGACAAGACAACCATAATTGTGTCTATATAGCAGCACATACTTAGAACCACCTAGTTGCAACTAAAAACACTAATGTAAAATATAAAACATATATGTTTCAACATAAGCCCCTCCCCCCAAAAGTTGAAATCTGTGCCTTCTGCCATCATCGGAAACAGGAAACATTTTTTAAAAGTCGAAGCAGACGAATCGTTTTCATTATTTTCACTATAATCACAATTTAAAGTTTTTAAGAATTAAAAGTATTTCAATGAGAAGGTTAGTCTCTTCTTTTTCGGTATTAACATGTATTACGAAATGAACACATTGTGATTTGCTGCTACATATATATATATATATATATATATATGTATATATATATATATATATATATGTATATACATATATAATATATCCATTAATATTCACATATATATATATATACAAAAATAAATGAATGCATACATATGTTTAATTCTAAATCATTGTGAGAGAACAAATAAATAATTTCCTAATAAACAAAAATTTCTGTCTGTTGTTTTATTAATTGTTTATCCGCTTGTCTTAAATTGAATTTTTAGTATTTGTCGAGATCTCATATGTATGTATTTATTTGTATATTACATTTCGGGAAGTCTTGGGTAGACTGCTTTAATTTAAAGGTACTTCAAAATGCTTGATACCACTTGAAATTGAAGTTTTCAAAAATATGTAGACTTTACCCTTTTGTGTTAAATAAAACAGATGTAAGGGCATTAGAGGCAAGAGATGGCGAATAAATCAAAGCAGGGCGCTATATAAATACAAAACAGATCGTTTTATAAGTACCAAACATTGCTACAGTGAATTCAAAGAATCATAAATTAAAATAAAATAAAATGTATACTTAAAAGAGGTTCTTGAGTCGATTTAAGGAGTTTTTTTGGTTATTAACCCCGAGTTAAAAACAATCGATTTGCATATTTATCATTTAAACTATTAATAGTATTAAGTACAGCTGATAGTTCACTGTACTGGGGTGAGCGTGGGCGATGTATGACAGCAATCACAATTAGCTATTAGGGATGGCAGCCGCCGCAGCTCGCTGACCGTCGGATTTGTTAGCGTAGATTTGTGAAGCATTCTCGCATCGCCACTAGTCCGTCCTGCTCGACTCTTCTTTTTTGGGGCCGTCTCATTTATTTTTGGCCACACGATGTGATGTGGGGCTGGCTAGCTGTCTGTGCCCGCCGTGCCCGTTATTCTCGCCACAGTAGTAGGCCTCGATTGTCGGACACAGATTATTTGCATAACTGCTACGCTGGCGGCGACTATCGGTCTTGGATCTGCGAAACTGAAACTGACTTTGAGCCGGAACTGATCATGCACTCGTTACTTGCAGGAAACGACAGCGCCTCCGACAGCACCTCCTACTATGCGGAATACGATCCCTTCGACTTCCTGTACAGCGGTGACACTGGCACCCAGTACTCGGATCCCATGTACGAGGCTGTCAACCGATGGGACAAAACTGCGGCCACCGTCAGTCCGAATGTAAGCCTAATTGGGTGGCGGCAAGACTATTTGACCCAACCGTCACCATCTACCTCGCATCACGTGGAGCAGGAGATACAATTGTCGGAGAACGGAGAATCGGGAAGCATCTCGCCGCCGCCACCGTTGCCGCCGAGAAACCAGCAGCTATATGAAACAAATCAGGCACCGGTGACCACTTCTAGGTCAGATCACCAAACGACAAAGTTCACGGACAGTTACACCTCCAGCATTCCCGCAAATGTGGTACTGGATCGACGGAAAACCTGCACGCGCCTCTACGAGTTAATCAGCGAGCAGAGAACGGATGACGCTGAGCTGTTGGAGTTCTACCATATGGTGAAGCAGCTAAGAGCACGCTATCCGCACGACGATGCACCTACCAATGTGGGACATGTGGTGGCCGCTGAGTTTAACTATCACTATATAATGGATACCAGCATTAAGGTTATTGTGCATCCGGCCCTGAACACGCTCCAGTCCCACGTTTTGGCCGCTTCGATGGCCAAGGAGCAGGTGAAAGGATACGGAACGCCTGTTACCTTTACATGTGATAGTAAGTATGATTTTTCTTATTTCCTCTTTACATAATTTTAATATATCCGGCCTTTTCCAGTTGACTCGGTGGTGGCCCAGGTTGTGGCCCAGGCATTGGCCTCGCTAGAGGGTCAGGTCAAGGGCACAGTCACCGATTATGTAGTCAAGGTGGGTACACGACAATTATAAAGTGACTCCATCTAATAGTACTCCAATTCTCACAGCCGATCGGTCTATTGGAGTGGCTGGCGCCTACCTCTAAGCTCAGCCAGCTTGAGTGCGTTCACAACAGCTTTCAGCTGGAGAAGGATGTGCACCTGGGTCTGTGTCTGAGCACGACAGCCAACATGCAGGCAATAGCTCGAACCGAAAGGGATGACGAACACGATGCAGACTTGCTACCGGAGCAACTGCTGCCCAACGAGGTTGTGCCCATTGTTACCTACGACAACATGATGATACTCATCGAGACGCTCGAGATGGAGATCGATAAGCTTGAGTCGGCGGCAGACGGAGCGCCCGGCCGCAGTGTGGTCAGCTGCTCCGGTGTGGTGCAGGCGGTGAAGGCCATCTGTGCTCTGCTCGGCAGCATCGATACCATGGAGATAGCCCGCTGTGTCGCCGATCTAAAGCGCATTTGCGAGGTGGAGCAAACCAAGTACGCAGCGACGGGGGCCAGTAACCCGGAGATAATTAGTGACTATGGTGACTATGCACAAGTTGTGCTTCGTCCACGCTCCCTCCTCGAGCAGATCAAGATGAAGTGCAATGAGCTACGAGATGCTGTGCAGGAGCTGGTCGAGCTGTATGCGAATGTGTTCCGCGTGGCCTTCTCCGTAAAGACGCCCGATTACACAACAAGTAAGTCCAAAGTAAGATTAAGCTAAAGCTTAAGCATTCTAAAATACATATTTTACAGCTCCCATTCCCATCTCCTGCGTGTCCAAGCCCATCGTGGTCTGCATAAGCTGCTTGCATCGTCCGCCGCCCAACTGGAAGTACGAGGACTACTCTCTGTGCGTCCAAATCGTGTATGGAACGCGTCTGTTGTCCAAACCCAATGTGCTGACCTGCTCGAACGACACGAGCGGAGGCCTGTTTCCACGCCTCAACTTTAGCGCCTGGCTGACCTTCGATCAGCATCCCATTTGCACTTTGCCCCGGGAGGCTCGGCTGACGTTCGTTCTGTATGGAAAGCAGGCAGCCAGCGAGGGCGACCCCAACTCGGAGCAAAACGGAGAGCGGAGGCAAGTGACCACGGAGTTGGGTTGGTGCTCTATCCAGCTGTTTGACTTCAAACGAGTCATGATTTGTGGTCCCTATCTGCTCTCTTTGTGGCCTCCAACCACGGATAAGATGTTGGGACCGGCTCCGGCGCGTGGTTGTCATCCGCATCCCGATTTCTGTCCTGTCTTAAGTATCGAGGTGCCGCCATACGGAGGCCGCATTGAGTTTCCCGAGCATCAGGAGATCCCCAAGCCTGCGCCACAGTAAGTAGACTCTTCAATTCGAATATAACTTATATACTTATATATCTTACTTTTCATTTCCAGCTATGACTTTGCTTCGCTCGATGCCAATCTGCAGGAGGAGCTGCTAGACACCGCCGAGCTGGGCTACTCGGGAGCGACAGAGCGACGAGAGGTTTTCTGGGAGAAACGCCTGTACCTGCAAAACTATCCCAACGCACTGCCCAAGGTCTTGCATGCCGCCCACAGCTGGGACTATGCGAATTTGATTGATCTGCATGCGCTCCTGCACTCGTGGGCACCGCTGTCACCACTTCAGGCGCTGGAGCTTCTGCTGCCGCGTTACCCGGATGCCAAGGTACGTGAAAAGGCCGTCGAGTGGATCTCCCAAATGCCCAACGATCAGCTGGTGGACTTTTTGCCCCAACTGGTGCAGAGTCTTAAGCATGACACCTACGAAGGCTCAGCGATGGCTCGCTTCCTGTTGTCCAAATGCCTAGAGTCGCCGCGCTTTGCCCACTACATGTACTGGCTATTGGTGCACAGTTTGCCAGACGATCCGCACAACTCTATTGGCGCCGCCATGGTGGACCAAGACTACGATGAGTCGCAGGTCACACAGGCACGCTACTACCGTCGGAACAAGATGATGCTGCGGGCCCTGATGGCCATCTGTGGCGAGAAGATGTTGCAGCGATTTATGTACCAGCATCGCATGTGTCAAGTAAGTATTTTTCAACGATTAATTAAATGTTAAATATCGAAAAAGGTAAATCTGATAAACCCGATCCTTTCAGAAACTTACAACCATAGCAGAGTCTGTTAAGGAGGCCAAGGAATCGATGAGACAAAAGAGTTTAGCCGCAGGAATGGACGAAGTGCACCAGGATCTGCTGGAGAAACCCACCTGCCTGCCGCTGGGACCTGAACTGGAGGTGACTGGCGTGAGTGTGCGGAATTGCAGCTACTTTAACTCGAACACGCTGCCACTGAAGATTACCTTTGTGGGACCTGATGCCGAGTCACTGCCGGCGATCTTTAAGGTAACTATTTACCTCAGTAATAAAATCTTTCAAATTAGCTAACAATAAATATTTCCACAGTGCGGAGATGACCTGCAGCAAGATCAGTTGACCATACAATTGATTAGGATCATGAATAAAATGTGGCTGGCCGAGCGATTGGACCTAAAAATGGTCACCTTTAACTGTGTGCCAACGGGCTACAAGAGCGGCATGATTGAGCTGGTCAACGAGGCGGAGACATTGCGAAAAATCCAAGTTGAGTGCGGATTAACAGGCTCCTTTAAGGATCGACCCATTGCCGAGTGGCTGGGCAAGCAGAATCCCAGTCCGTTGGAGTATCAGAGTGCAGTGCGAAACTTTACGCTCTCGTGTGCTGGCTACAGCGTGGCCACCTACGTGCTGGGCATCTGCGATCGGCACAACGACAACATTATGCTGAAGACCTCGGGTCATTTGTTCCACATTGACTTTGGCAAGTTTCTGGGCGATGCGCAGATGTTTGGCAACTTTAAGAGGTATGGAAACTTTATGTGATTATTTATCGTGTATTAACTTATATATTTTATAGAGATCGAACTCCCTTTGTGCTGACCTCTGACATGGCGTATGTGATTAATGGTGGCGACAAGCCCTCCACTGACTTCCATTACTTTGTGGACCTGTGCTGCCGGGCCTTCAATATTGTCAGGAAGAATGCGGATCTACTGCTGCACACTTTAGCCCACATGGCCACCGCCGGCATGCCTGGTGTTAATTCCAATGCTGTGACTTATGTGCGCCGTGCCCTGTTGCCTTCACAATCAAATCCCGAGGCGGCTGCCACCTTTGCCAAGATGATCCAATCCTCGCTAAAGAGCTGGTTCACGCAATTCAACTTCTTCCTTCACAATCTGGCCCAGATGAGATTCACCGCCGACGAGGGCACTGGCGAGTTGCTGTCGTTTGTGCCAAGGAAATACACGTTAGTTCTAAAGTCTTTTTATACATTAAAATATTTTAAATTATTCTGTATTTAGCATGCAACAAGATGGACGCTTGAAGATTGTAAAGGTGGTGTGCTTCCAGAAGCACTACAGCATGGAGAAGTTTTATATGTACATTCTGGAAGTGACGCGGCATGGGCAACCGGTTCCAACGCACTTGTTTCGCTCGTACCGCGAGTTCACCGAGTTCCATCAGAAGCTATGCATGCACTTTCCGCTGGTTAAGCTGCACAGGTGAGTGTTTATGACTTAAATCTCAGAGATATCTAAAGGAAATGTTTGAAACGATCATTATATCGAAAATAACGAAAAGTCTGATAAATTGAGACTTTAAATTTCCCTTTTAAATTACCCTTCAATGTTCAGTTATATAGGGAGGTCTAATTAATTAAACTTGTTTGTTTTTCGCTTACTCCTTATCACCTTCTGACTTCTATCTATCAGTCACTTATCTAAGTACTGAAATTATCTAAAATTCGGACTCGGCAAATGATCAATAATTGCAAACAAATGATTTTGGAATTCTTTGATTTCCCTGTGTGGATTCACTTTCGCTTTATGAATTTCTAGAGTTTCGATATAGTTTCTTTATCTTTAATGGCTTTCCTGCCAAAACTTTACTACAAACTTTATAGTCAAAGAGATATGGCAACTTATCTGCGAATCATACACACATATGTACATACATAAATTGGTTATTGCCGTTTGGCAATCATAATTAACATATAAAATACTGTATTTGCTAAGGATGTAAGGCATGAGCGGTCTCGGATTACGCTTCAGTGTCACCTCTAACAATATTATGCGTCCTCAGTGCCGCTGTCATGGAGCGATGTTGGCTGATGGCGCGTCCAAAACCATCGTCCTCCTCATCGCTATCTCCCTGAGAGACTTGAGCTCCAAATAGGCTGGGCAGTCTGTTATCCGGTGTTTCGAAAACTATTGAGCGCTGCATGGGTGTGGGACGAGGCAGATCGTAGTCATCCTCCTCGGACTCTAACCCACTTGAGGTCACCACTTCGGCTGACTGATAGTACTGCAGGTTATCCACATCGAAGCGAACTTTAAGGGCTCTCGGGTCACGCCTGGCTGGCTGGGGAGCTGACCGGGCTCCGTCCTCCCCATCGGCATCACTCGAACTGGAGCTGGGCAGCTCTTCAGGTTGATAGCACGCCAGGGGAGGAGCGGTATCACCGCGCACATTTAGGGTGGCGGATGGTCTTGAGGATCGGGGGGCAGGCTGAGGAACTTGTCGGGGCGGCGATGGCGTCGCAGCCACTGACATTTCCTGGCACAAATCTTCAAAGTTACTGACACCATTGCTCTGGGCAGTAGATGTGGGTGATCCGGCCACTTCTACGCCATTAACTTCCAGTTCATCGTACAGATCCTCTATGCTACTTACATAGTTGGCCTTCTTTGATCTCTGCTCCATCACTTCGGTGTATTTGGGAAGGTTTTGTCCACCCCTTGAGCTCTCCAGCTGCATCAGGGAATCGTAGTCGGGCAAATAGGGGACACCGGGATCATATGGCGGTGGATCCACGCAAGGAATGGGTTGTGGCTCCGGTTCAAAGATCTCCATTCTAGGTTCCAGCAGTTCCAGCTGATGGAACAGACCTTCCACCTGCTCCACATTATCCAGTTGGAGAGTGGCCTCGCTTAGCGTGGTCTCAACTGCAGGCACTTGCTCCAAACTGTTTGGGTGGAGATCCCAGTTTGGTGCTGGAACATCAACCACTGCATCTAGATTTGCAAAGTTTTCCCAATCCTCATCGATGCTTTTGCCAAATCCTGGCGGACTGCTAGCCGCCGGAAGCTGATGCTGATCCACATCCAGGATATCGGCCTCGTGTATCACGAAAGAGTTGCGTATCCGTTGAAAGTCCCTATCCTGGTTACCCAGAGGTAGCTCCAGATCATCAAATAGACTCTGCTGAGTGGTGGGTTCAATTATGGGAGTTGTTTCCACTTCCGGACTGCCTGCTATTATTTCCACAACGAATGCAGAATCTGCTTTGCCAGCTTCCTCAAAGGGATCCATTGATTCTTGGAGTTCAGGTTCAGGTTCAGTTGTGGGTTCAGGTTCATGTGCAGCTTCTTCCTTTGGTATTGCTCCACGGTGTACCACCGCTGTCACCGACAGAGCTCCTTCCAGTCCATCATCGGGTGTCAGAGGCTCTGGTGGAGAATCCTCTGGAGTAAGCAGTTCCGGCACATCATCCACAGGATCGAATTTGACATAACGTCCACTATCCTTACTCCTGAGCTGTGTGGGTCTTGTAGCCTCTCCACAAGGCTTGACGCTAATCAGCTCATATTTCTCCGCAAAGTGATCGAAATTGGGCATGCCAAGTTCGCTTTGTGGCTCTGAAACTGCCTCCCGAGGAGCTGCAGACATGGATTGGTTTAAGGGAGCAATTAGAGGCAGTGTTTTGGGTACTTCAGGAACTATTTTAGGTAGTGTAACCGATGGAACCGGCTCCTGAGCAGCTGGTGGAGCAGGCTGGTCTTCGGCTAGCATTTCTGGCTGTGTTGGAGGAGATGGCGGCTGACGGGTCGGTGGAGCTGTGTACTCATAATGCTCACTATTCACCTCCAAGCGTCTGCGTCGCTGCTCCAGTGTCTTTTCTCGATAGGACACCTTGGTTCTTTGAGCTTCCCTGGGACTGACGCCAAAGAGCTGAAGATTCGGAACACTTCCAGTCATGTAGCGGTTTCCTGTAAAATTGAGTATGTTTAAATCAAAATCATCATTTAATCAGGAACTACACAAGTAATGGATTTCCCACTAATGTTTTGATTGTAGTTGCCTTTCAATGATTTCGATTCACTATCTTTTACCTGTCGTCGTCGTCGCTGGCGTTGATGCCGATGGCCATGGGCTTTCGAATTCCTCGAGATTGCGACGTCGGAACACTCCATGGACAGCGGAATCGGTGCCGTTAACCTGGGGAATTACAGAAAATGCATTTAAAAGTGTGGGGGGTTGCAACATCTGTGTATTGGGGTGGCTCTTTGCTCGGATGCGTCATGGAGAAGGTGCTACACATGACCACAGACACGCAAACTATGAAAATAAATACAAAAAACCACGTTCATGCGATAAGGTGTGTGTGAGAGTGTGCGACTTTACACTTTGTTTTGAGCTGTCTGTGAAATTATGTGTGATGTTGTTGTGACCTAATTTCATGCTTTTAATAAGTAATTGCCTCAATGGGAGAGACCTGTTAATATTCTAGACAGCAAAGATTAGGCAATTAACTTGTAGAAGGCGGAAGTTCTTCACCATAACTAGCATTCTTCAGTGGCTAACAACTCTATTGGTCACTCCCTAGAATTTAAATGCATAGAATTAGTGAAAGTTGAACTCGATGGCGATTTGCATTCCTCACGCCCCCATCTCTAGCCCCTAAACACACACACACATAGTAGACACTCTCTTCAAACCCACAACACCTGTGTGTTTGAACCTGCCTTATCACAAGCACTTGTCGTGTGCTCGTATGTGTGTTTAGATATTGGTGTGGGTGTATCACCAGTAAAGGTATCGGTATCACATTAACCTTTTTTTTTTTTTGTTATTTTTTATAACTGCGTGCATCGGCTGTTAAGTTTATTCCTTTGATTTGCATACGCACCTGCGATTCAAAGGCTGCGTAACGTGGCGGCGGCTGCTGTGATTGCTGCTGCTGCTGCTGCTGCTGCACCTGCGATCGATCGAAAGTCAAACGTCGCCGGAAACCAAAGAGCTTGATGCCGATCAGTGCAAAAACGAGTCCCATGAGCAGCATGGCCGAGGCTAGCGTTGGGCCAACGACAGCCGCCGGCTGACCTGAAGAGGATTACCCAAAAGGTTATAATCACATATCAATTGGTGAAAGAGCAGAGCTCAAGCCCTTACCTTGGCCCGGATTCTTTAGCTGTGCCATGTCTTCTTCGTCTTCTTGTCTCGCCAGCAAATCAGTTGGCTCGCATTCTGGCCAAAAATGACTGTGGTTTTTCGCACTCCCCCCTTGTTTTGGCCAAAAAAATACATATAATGAAACTTCACCACGTCGCTGCTAATCGAACCGCTGGCGGCTGTCGGCTGTTGGCTGTTGGCGCTTAGCTTTCAGCGCTCCGCTCTCCAGCTCGCTCGTCAACTGATTGAGCGCTGACGTCGACGTTACCGCTTTTGCCATCGCTTATCGGTGCGATTCGGCTCCGATATCGGTGTGCTCACTTGCTCGGGTCGCTCTTCTATCACCCACTCACTCGCTCTCTTTGCCTCTCCGATGCGATGAAATCAGTCCGCCTCAGTGGCCGAATTATCAGCTATTAGCGGTGTTACCTCAGAGCCATGGCTTTTGCGGGAGACGCTACGCCAGCACTGATAAGTAATCGCCAAATATGTATGTATGTGCCATGATTTTGTAGTGACAAACCGGCTGACTATATAAACACCATGAAAAATAATGTGATTCCAGTAATTGGTGATTAGGAGATCCTATCCCTATCCCTATGTATCTTGGGGAACAATAACTGTGTAATTTACGGCTAAAGCAAATAATTATGGTACTAACTAATGGTGGAATTAAGAACTTTACTAAAATCAAATCAATCTAATTAATTTTTATAGTCTTCCAGCTGGCGTGCATGTGGGAAGGTCCAATATCAAGTCAGTGGCCGAGAAACGACTACCTCTAATACAGCGATTCCTGAAATCACTGTTCGATGCCTCCGAGGAAATCGCACACTCCGAGCTTGTGTACACTTTCTTCCATCCGCTGCTGCGTGACCAGCAGGAGGCCAAACTGGGAATGCCGAAGATTAAGGGTAAGATAGAAAGCTTTAAATATATAGAGCAGAATCTAAATACTGATATAATTGCACTTTACAGAGGTGAAACGACAACCGTCGCGGGATAATCCAAACGAGATTGGACAAATTCGACTATCGCTGCAATATCAACGCGGCGTACTTACTGTGATGGTGTGTAGCTACAGTTCTACTTGATAAATAATAGTTATAAACAATGAATATGGGGAATATGCATTGCAGATACACCACGCCAAAGGGCTGCCCATGCTACAAGGCGGCCAGGAGCCTAACACTTATGTGAAATGCTACCTAAAACCGGATCCCAAAAAGGAGACCAAACGCAAGACCAAAGTGGTGCGCAAGACCTGTGTTCCCAGTTTCATGGAAACGGTGAGTAAATAGATAGAGATATTTGTAGATATCATAATATAATATATTATTTTATCTTAGCTGGAGTACCGAATGCCCCTGAATATTATTCAAGAGCGGCGATTGCAGGTTACCGTCTGGTCGCACGACACGCTGCAGGAAAACGAACTGTTGGGTGGCTTCGAGCTGGACCTGTCCAAGCACGATCTGCGGCAGGAGCTATGCGATTGGCATCGCTTGGGTTCAATGCCCAGGAATTGACCACACCGACAATCAGGCCTAGGATAAAAGCAATACTAATATACATTTCTGTGCCTGTCTTCTCTTGATCGCAATAATACTTACTTACTCGACGTGATTGTACATTCCATACGCATATATATTATAAATAACTCAACTGACGGTAGAAGTGTTATTTCTTTCGATTTGTGCCTCAAATGTATGTGTAAATATTCTATACCCACCTCACATTCAGCACATTATTTTGTTATTTTAATGCAACTTTTAATTATACAAACTCTAAATTTCAACCGTGCACACGTTTTATTCATTGGTATATTTGAAATTAGATTAGATCTAAGATACAGAAGAAATTGTATGTACTTGGTGAATGCAGCAGGTTTGATTGTAATCCTAGTTTTTAATACAACAAAACATTCTCTATTAGGGTTTTTCGCTAAATACTTATTCTCCTGGAGTAGTCACACCAAGTTCAGTATTATGGCTAAGAATCTACTTGCTTAAGAGATTATAAAACTCGCTTTAAAACTCAGATTACCGATGATGTGCAGATGAGGTTAAATATGGAAATTAAAGTGCACAGACAGATAATTAGATCAAATATATTTTTGATTATTTTAGAAACATTCGGAGTAGATGGAAAAATCTAAAAACTTAAACACACATTCAGCTTTACGCACAATAAAAACAATATTTCAAATACAAAATGAATACTTTCCTATGCCTGTAAATCTTCATCAACATTTCAGTATCTCAATGAGATTACCTCCATCTGGGTCTTAACTCAAAAATACTTACAACAAATTTACAAAAAGCAGGCTACCAGGAAATAGTTCATAACTATCGGAGAGAACAAGTACTAAAAGTGTCTTAACAAATCTAACGAATATTGTAAAATATGTATAAGATTAATGCCTCTAGCAACAGATTATATTTTTATAAAAACAAAAACAAGTTTTAGAGCTACATCTGCCTGAGTATTTTAAATGAGAACTCTTCGTCGATACTGATTATTAACTTTATCTGTAATGTATTAATTATATGTATGTGTGAACAAATTAATATTGAAATTTAGGAAAAACCAATTCAATCTTTGTGTAACCAAATTGTACAATTTATAAATTGAAATACTAATTTTTTTCGGCACAAATAAATGGGTATAACAAAATAATAAACCAAATGGATTTTGACTTATTAATTAATGATTTGGTAGTTCAATTATTTGATGATAATTTAGAATCCAAGTAACCTATCACGTTTCGAATTATTCCATTGATATTTGATATTGATATCCGACTATGGAAACTATACGCAGTCAGCTGGGAACTACACGTTGATTTATTTTGAGGCGCTGGCATTCAGGTTGAAAGGCATTCCGATTTAAAATTTAAATTATATATCCAGTAAATACACAAATGTCGTCTGCTAATATGGAGAAGGGGCAGCTGATAAGCCAGGTGAAGCAGCAGATCGCTCTGGCCAATGCCCAGGAAATGCTGGCAAAGATGACCCACAAGTGTTTCTCAAAGTGCATCCATAAGCCGGGCAAGGCGCTGGACAACTCGGATCAGCGCTGTATCTCACAGTGCATGGATCGTTACATGGATGCCTGGTATCTGGTGTCGCGTACCTATGGCAATCGCCTCCAGCGGGAGCAGTACAGGGATATGGACACCATGGAGATGACCAACTAGAATATGATTTCCGATTGTTACGTAAATAAAGCTGCTTGGTTTCGAAAGTATATACGAATATTGCTTATCTCTTTGGCGATTATATAGAATGCAACTCAAGGGCTAGGGCTGGGGCCGGAACTGGGGTTGTCTTAGATAGCTGTAAGCTGTCTGCTTGATATTGTGCAGTTTTGCTGATCGCTATCGTGTTTGGAATGGTCTTGGTAGCTAACGGATGAACAAGTGCTCGGGCTCACTGGCCCCAATGCAGTTTGCGATGAGAGGCCAGTTTAACGGCACGAAAAGAATGTGTAGTTTCGAGACCACTCTAATCCATTGCACTAACTTTTCCTATATGCAAATTGAATTCCTTTTTTCTTGCCCTTATAAATATTACTAATTGTTTTGATTGCCTCAAGATAAGGCTTTGGGGCTTAAATAGAGTAATACCTATAGGTATTTTTAAGAAACCTAAGCAAGATTATGATAAAAATCAAATTACGGCAAGAGGAAACCTTTTTTTCGGTCCACTAGCTCTAAATGTATGGTTGAAATAAAGTATCAAACAATGGTTTAAATAAAGTAAATAAAGAACCTATCAAAAGGCCAGAGAAATCTTATAAAAAGAAGATCAAGTTCCCTTTTAATCAATATATTTTTGATGTTAAGATCCATAACCTTAATGATCACCAAATAAACAAAGAAAGAAACCTTTTGTGGCAATTTGCTAAGATAGTTAAACCTCCTAAGATCACTTTACCTTAAACTAATAATAATTATAAATAAAATATGCACTTCCCCTTTAGCCCGGCTGAAAGAACTAACCAAAACCAAGGAGCCTATCAAAATTCCCCGATATCAGTGCTAGCGAACGGACAAACATAAACCACTTACGGACAATTTTAGTGAGTGCAGATGACCCCGTGCACTGGCCAAAAAGTTGCTGCAAGTAATTTCTAGAATTAAAAAACAAAAAAAAAAAAAACAAAAAATCAAAAATAATAAAAAAATGCAAAAGATAAAATGCGAATTCGTGGCCGAACTTATTGGCTCGAATACCAGAGGTAACAAAATCCAACACTGAATTTTTCCTCAACTAGGTACATTCGAAGCCACACAAGTTACGATAAGAGTGCGGGCCAAAACCCCATCATATACCAGGGTCTGGAGCTTGCTGCCGAAAGCTCTCCATGATACTAAAAATAGTCTTTCCACCTGTATTCCCACCCGCTCCCGGCAACGCCGGCCATAGGAGCCCAGTGCCCCAAGGTTTGAGTAATCATCATTGCAAGAATACGGGCACGATAAGTGCTGAGGCGGCCCCTTATCGGAGCAACTAATCGGATGACTTTGCCACCGCCAAGGGGTGCCTAGTGGGCGGTGGGCGGTGGGCGGTGGTAGGCGGGATAGCTAGGTCGGGCAGACCGTTACACTATCGTCGCTCTAGCCCGCAGGTCTCCCACAGGGCGGCGGCGGGCGACATTGGTGTCAGCACAAGGTGAGCCAAGATAAAGGCTTGCTGACAGTCCCATTACTGGTGTAGATTAGAAAGATTAGAAACGCTTGAGGTGAAGCTTTCAAGAGACAAAATAATCGCTAATCATGATCGTTGAGAAATTTATTTATACCAAGGGATTTCTTCTCTAATCTTTATAATTTCTTATTATCCTATGTTTTACATGATGTTTGTTCGTCATGTATAAATTAACTTGTTAAGAAATAATTTTGATAGCTTAAGAGAATTTGTTTGCATAACAAAATAAATAAAAATACTATGAGATATAAATAAATCTGAGATAAAGGCTCACAGAAGATAAGAAAGACTATAACTCAAATAATTTAATTACGATCGTTTAAGTATTCCTTTATATTTGTAATCTTTCCGCAATCTTGTTATTATAAACTGTTCTATATTAAATTGATTTGCATGCTGGTCCTGCTCTAATATATTTTATAATTAACTTAAAGGCATTGTTTTAACAAACTAACTTTAAGTACATAACTAAAAATATCTCAATCGTTGTAACTAATCCCTTTTTTCCAATAAAGTCCCTTTATAATTGATACATTTCTTTCATTTCTAGAAGAATTGCCGCAAGTATCTGGAAATGGTATACAAATTTAAACAATTGCTAACATTTCTTGGAACTACCTCTAACAAACAATTGCGCATATTGTAATACAGGTGTAATACGAGAAACCCATTCTTCTTTTGTGAATAATGAACAACAAAAGATTTCAATTTAGTTAAACTATTTGCTCTGTACAATTTCCTATACAAATTCCACTTGATATTTGGTTCCTGTTATTGTTTACATTGACCAACTTTCCAATATAAATAGAGCGGCATTGGCCAGCCGCGTTGCGCATAGTTAAATGTGCATTCAATATGTTAGCAGGTGAGTGAAATAATAAAATAACAACGAAACGGATATGGATATTTCATCACTTTTATATTTTAGTGAATGTCCTATGGGCTGTCCTTTGGATCACGCCCCAGGCCCTGGCGCTGGATTCCTGCGCAGGACAGTCGTTCGGATCTAGAGCAGTCGACCCAGAAGATTCCCGCTCGTATATCCTTTGCCTGGGCTTTCTAGGCCAGATTAAGAACACATGCAACGATGGACACCTCTTCGATGGCCAAAGTCAGGGCTGTGTGGCTGAAAACCAGGGAACCGAAAAGAAGAACGAGAAGGTCGAGGACAAGATGGGACTAAATATCAAGCAAAATATTAAGGTTGACAGGCCTGTGATTTTTAATATCTTTGGAAACATGAATATCTTTGGAAGTCTTTGGGGTAATTCCCAAGAATCGACTACTTCAGGACCTCCAAACTCGAACTTTTTGCTAACCAAATTTTCCCTCGAAAGTTCACCCGAAAAAGTTATGGATATCTCTAGCGTTTACCATAAGGATCTGTATGCCTTGGGTGATACATCATCGCCAGCAATACAATCTGAAGCATCTTTGAAAGACATCAGTTCTAGCTCCGAAGATCCGTTGTCAACGAGTGCTGCTGAAGATTCATCCTCAACAGAATCTCCATCAGAAAGTTCGACCCAAGAAAGCATCTCTAGCTCGGAAAATCCTCTGACGACTGAGGCATCTGTGGAAGACACCAGCTCTAGCTCCGAAGATCCGTTGTCAACGAGTGCTGCTGAAGATTCATCCTCAACAGAATCTCCATCAGAAAGTTCGACCCAAGAAAGCATCTCTAGCTCGGAAAATCCGTTGACAACTGAGGCGTCCTTGGAAGACATCAGTTCTAGCTCCGAAGATCCGTTGTCAACGAGTGCTGCAGAAGATTCATCCTCAACAGAATCTCCATCGGAAAGTTCAACGCAAGAATCCGAATCAAGTTCGGAAAATCCTCTGACGACTGAGGCGTCCTTGGAAGACACCACCTCTAGCTCCGAAGATCCGTTGTCAACGAGTGCTGCTGAAGATTCATCCTCAACAGAATCTCCATCAGAAAGTTCGACCCAAGAAAGCATCTCTAGCTCGGAAAATCCTTTGACAACTGAGGCGTCCTTGGAAGACACAAGCTCTAGCTCGGAAGATCCGTTGTCAACGAGTGCTGCAGAAGATTCATCCTCAACAGAATCTCCATCGGAAAGTTCAACGCAAGAATCCGAATCAAGTTCGGAAAATCCTCTGACGACTGAGACATCTGTGGAAGACACCAGCTCTAGCTCGGAAGACCCGTTGTCAACGAGTGCTGCAGAAGATTCATCCTCAACAGAATCTCCATCGGAAAGTTCAACGCAAGAATCCGAATCAAGTTCGGAAAATCCTCTGACGACTGAGGCATCTGTGGAAGACACCAGCTCTAGCTCCGAAGATCCGTTGTCAACGAGTGCTGCTGAAGATTCATCCTCAACAGAATCTCCATCGGAAAGTTCAACGCAAGAATCCGAATCAAGTTCGGAAAATCCTCTGACGACTGAGGCATCTGTGGAAGACACCAGCTCTAGCTCCGAAGATCCGTTGTCAACGAGTGCTGCAGAAGATTCATCCTCAACAGAATCTCCATCGGAAAGTTCAACGCAAGAATCCGAATCAAGTTCGGAAAATCCTCTGACGACTGAGACATCTGTGGAAGACACCAGCTCTAGCTCCGAAGATCCGTTGTCAACGAGTGCTGCAGAAGATTCATCCTCAACAGAATCTCCATCGGAAAGTTCAACGCAAGAATCCGAATCAAGTTCGGAAAATCCTTTGACGACTGAGGCGTCCTTGGAAGACACCAGCTCTAGCTCCGAAGATCCGTTGTCAACGAGTGCTGCAGAAGATTTATCCTCAACAGAATCTCCATCAGAAAGTTCGACCCAAGAAAGCATCTCAAGCTCGGAAAATCCTTTGACGACTGAGGCGTCCTTGGAAGACATCAGCTCTAGCTCCGAAGATCCGTTGTCAACGAGTGCTGCAGAAGATTCATCCTCAACAGAATCTGCATCAGAAAGTTCGACCCAAGAAAGCATCTCAAGCTCCGAAAATCCTCTGACGACTGATGCATCCTCTGATGACAGCTCATCCACTTCATCATCCACAGAAGCTTCACTTGAAAGTTCCACCCAAGACAATCAGGATAGTACGGATTATTTATCGTCAACAGAACCAGCAACTGAGGGTTCCACAGAGGCTAGCTCAGAAATTCAATCGTCAACAGAGCCATCTTCGGAAAGCTCAACGGAGGAGAGTATTTCCAGTTCCGAGAGTCCGTCAACCTCAGAGCCACCTCCAGAAAGTTCGACGGAAACTAATAATTCCAGCACGGAAAATTCATCGGAAAGTCCCTCATCAACTGAACCTTCACAAAGCACAGCAATTCAGTCGTCCACAGAATTATCACCACAAAGTTCGACGGAAGTGAACTCCAGTACTGAAATTTCTCCCTCACAAAGTACCACCGAGAATAATAATATTAGCTCCGAAACACCATCTGTCACAGATCCTGTAGAAAGTTCGACAGAAGAGAGTATTTCCAGCACAGAGTCCATATCTTCGACAGAACCTTCGCCTCAAAGTACCACACAGGAAAATATATCCAGCTCTGAGAATCCATTGACCACAGAACCAACATCAGAGAGTACAACTGAAGAGAATTTATCCAGCTCAGCTAACCCACCAACTGATAATCCCTGCACCATTCTGCCACCTCCGGAAAACTCAACAGAAATTCCCGGAAGTCCATCTACCTCAGAATCATCACAAGATACCACAGAAAAAGATAGTGGCTCTGGGAACGCTGGTTCTGAAAACGGTGGCCCTGGAACCGGGTCTTCAACTCAACCATCACAACAAAGTTCTACAGAGCCCACATCCGAAAGTTCAACACAGGAAAATATAGGTGGTTCCTCTAACCCACCAACGGATATATCATGTACAACTGTTTTAGAAAGCTCAACTGTTAATTCACAAAGTCGATCATCTTTTGGTCTATCATTGAAGCTTCAGGAGGATTCAGTCAATGCTCAACAAGTAGAACACACAGTCTGTAGTAACATGCCGAATGGAGTTTTTCTCAGGGAGCCGCATTCTTGCAGCAAATATTATATTTGTTTGAATGGAAAGTCCATTTCCGGCAAATGTCCTAGGAATCTTAACTTTGACATGAAGAGAAAGGTATGCAATTTCCCTTACTTTGTGGATTGCTCTATCGATGGAATCCCAGAGACCACTTTCTCCACTCCAGGACCCTTAAGTTCGACATCTTCGGCTTCCACTGAAGCAATACTGACTACTACTCCGGCACCACTATCAGAAGACTTAAAGAATAAGGGTCTGTCTGCCTTAGAGTCCAAGAAAGGACTTAAAAAGAAATCAGTTAGTTTATCAGTTAAGACCAAGGAAAACTCCACAGGCAACCAAGAAGACCGCACAGTTTGTAGTGACTTACCAAATGGAGTTTTTCTCAGGGACTTGAAGTCTTGCAACAAATTTTATATTTGTTTGAATGGTAAACCCGTTTCCGGCCAGTGTCCCCGCAATCTCAACTTTGATATTAGGAGAAAGGTGTGCAATTTTCCCAGCTTAGTGGATTGCTCTGTCAATGAAGCCCCAGAGGCAAAGAGACCTCCCAAAGATCTCAAAGACGGTTCTGTGCCTGAATGTAAATCGGCACGAAATGGTGCATATATCCGTGACCCAAAGTCCTGTAGCAAGTTTTATGTCTGTGCCAATGGTCGTGCCATATCGCGACACTGTCCCAGAGGCCTATACTTTGATTTCAAGTTGAAATTCTGCAATTTCCCAACTCTGGTTCAATGTGCGGTAGAAGGAACCCCAGTGGATAATCCAGAACCATTGGTGATGGAGGACAGTATTCCGGATTGTGGAAAACTAGAAGAAGGCAAAGCCTTTGCTGACATCAAACAGCATAATAAATATTATGTTTGCCTTAAGGGAATGGCTGTCTTGCACTATTGCAGTCCAGGACAGTGGTTCGATCATCAAAGCCTGAAGTGCACAGATCAGCGTTTGGCTAAATTAATTTACCTTAAGGGAAACCATAAAACTAAAGTATTATAATCTTTTAACTAGGAATAAACTAATGGTGAAAGGTGCATTCATTCATTCTTTAAATAAGTTCGCTTAGACATGTATATTAGATATGTACATATATAATCTTTTAACTTGGAATAAACATATTCTCTACATTTAATTAGTAGGCTCAGCAATTTGAAGGTAATAATAATATAAAGAAAATTCCATAATTATGTATTCCCCTTTCTGTGAAAAAACATTTTAATTGTCACTAATGGATTTTGGACAATTCCATAAAATGCCTTGAAAGTCAACTAAGCGGCTAAAAGTCAAGCTGCCTGTCCCTTATAATTTAAGCTCGCTATCTTGGTGCGTTTTCGCGTGGCAAAGTCCAGACAAACGCTAATTTCTTTGTGCCGCGGAAGTGACGGCCAGCCACAAAGTTATCCCATTTAAATTTAATTACGAGATAAACGCATGTTCCTGATGTTCCTTAGGCTCGAATGCGTTCGCAAGTAGGGAGCGTGCTAGCTCCAGTTACCTTAAAGCCGACTCAGTCGACGACGACGTCTCCGGGTATAATTAAATTGTCCAAGAATCAGGAGGAGGAACTTGTGGGCGGCCGTGGCAGACTGACAGGCACTTTGCGTCACTGTCGTGCGGCGACAAATTACAGGACACGGCTCCATTTTGCGCGCCAACTCATCGATAGTAGACTGGGGGGTTGGTTCAAGCTCGAAATCGATTTGATTCCAAGGCAAGTCCAGACGCCAGACGCACCAGTCTCATGTTACACTTGCCATCTGATAAGAGCTAGCGACGCCCTCCTCCTTAGCTGCTTTTCTCTAAGCGTTTTACAAAAGCTGAACCATGCGAAATATATATGATAGTTATTCCATTAAGGGTGGTTTATTATATCATGAGAATTCCTTAAAGGACCTACATTTATTGTTCATAATTGATAGATTTTTAACACCTTTCTTGGTTAATTTTAAAAGCATTATCCTTAGCCAAGACTTCTTTACTTGGGCGCCAAAAATGAGTACAGTGAACTGTGCCTTAAACTAAAAAATCCAACTAGGGGGTTACAGAGAGAAAGCGAAAAAGAGGGGTAGGGAAGTTTCTCACGAAACTCAAAGAGAGACAGAGAGAGAGAGAGAGAGAGCGAGAGTTTGAGAGAAGGCCCCAGGGGTGGTTAATTTTAGGTGGCAGGTTTATTTTTTCTACCACCAAAGGCGCCGGCTTCAGTTCGCCTTCAACTTTGCTCCGTTTCGGTAGCCGCAATGAATCAGTTTAAATATATATTGTGATTTTTAAGTGCGCCTATTTAAAGCAAATACTATACTACGCAAAAACCATCAAGAACACCTTAAACTGTTTGTGATAAATACAATTAAACTACAAAGACATTTGGCTCGCTGGAGTAAAAAGCTAAGCAGTTTTCCACCCTTTTTGGGAGTCTCAGTGGAGCTGTCTTGCTATCTCGCTCGCACACGGCTTGGTAATCGATAAGCTTAACAGCGGGCCTGTCCACTCGTTCGCCACTGTTGAGCTTTCGTGGCGAGTGTTACAAGGTAAATGTTAACTAGACGCCAAAATAATCGCCACTAAAAACGAACTCGTCGCAGTCGCTGTTGAAACGTTGAGTGAAAAGCTTTCGTTCGCGCTGTGCCAACCTAAGTGAAATGTACTAAAGAATATAATATTTTAAAATATGTACAACGTACACGAATATATGTACCATAGTTTGTACACAAAGCGGAGCTTCTGATAAGCGCAAAAGCACATGTGCCCAATACATTTTGAAGTGTTCGAGATTGATTGTGTGAGTAGTCCTCTCAAATGGTTTGTTAAAAAGATACATAAATGGTTATAAGTTTACTGGTTACTGCCGGAAATTTAAAGAATTTATCTATAAACAACAAAGAGCAAAGTGCATAATAAATTCAGTTACAGTGCCATTAAGAATCCAAGAACAGCGAGTGGAACTGGGAACTGCGAATAGGTACCGCTTTAAAATGTAGCGGAACGGTAACGGGAACAGGAGCAAGTGCGTTGGTGGATCGGGGGTTGCTGCTCCCGTATTCCCTCTGTTCCCGTGCGTTGAGGTCATTTGCACTCATTTGTCGCGGGCCCAAAAAGGGGGTGGATTTTCGCTCGGTCCGGCCACGCCGGCATGTGAGTGAGTGTGTGTATGATGTGAGTGTGTGTCTAATGGTTAATCTCATTCATCAGAGAGCCGCCATCGGAGCCGTCAAGTTGAGTTTTACACATTTTACGCCTGCGAGTACTACGGGCGAGTTGTACGCTCTCAATCTCTCTCTCTCTCTCTGTAAGTCCTGCTCTCCTTGCTGTGAGAGCAAAAGGATTTCATTTTGCCTGTTAATGCTGTTGTCTCGCTTGCACCCGAAAAGGGGGAGTGGTGATGGGGTCGATGGCGAAGGTCCTTTTCGTGTGCGTGTGTGTGTACAGGAGTACACACTATCGCACAGCATGCGAATGTGTGAAAGTAGTGCCACACACACACGCACATCCCAGGGTCAGGTCAGGAAGTGTGGTAACGGTAGGATTATTCTGTTGCTTTCGCACCCTCTCCCCCATCCCTAGGTAACCACCACAACATCCTTCGCTCAGTTTTGGATTTTCTAATTTATACTTTTTTTTTTTTTTTTGGTTCGACGAGGACTTAGCCGAGGCCCCCGGACAGGTGATTTATCTGTGTCCGCACTCCATAAAGTCCAGTAGTTCTAGCTGCAAAGCGTAATCGTAATCCCCTGCCATCGCACAAGAGATACACTTGAAACTGGCTATATTGCATTGAAATTTTGGAAAATAATTAATGGAAATTAATGGCCATTTGGATATAGATAGGTTTTTCCTAAACGGATCTTGAACACAATCTTATTTTAAGTCGAAGAGAATGACTCCTTTGATAGGGTCATCAAATCAATCCCTTAAAGTTCGAAAGGTGTTGATTTTATAATGTTAGATAATTAATAAAACAAATTATAAATATGAAAACGTTGTCTGGAAATTGTAATTAAGTTTCCCAACAAAGACCTTGACCCTCAATAAAGATTTCTGAGAAACTATCCCTTTTTTGAATTATAAAGAGGATCAAAGCCATACTTAAGTTAATTTTGAATAGAAAAAATACCATTCTCAACAATCTAATTTCTCGATAATTCTTTGATTTAAAGAACATTCTTTTCTTAAAAATAAAATTGAATTAAATAACATTAGTTAGACTACACATGGGTATGGCTATAACTCGAGTGCTGCTGCTCCAGCGTGGTCGGGGCAACCAAGCGTATTAATCATTAGCCTGACCTCGACCCTTTCGTGCGTCGCACCATCCACCCGTCCTTGGTATCCCAATTTTCCCCCCACACTTTCCCTCACTCGAGAGGAAAAACAACTTGATGGGGCTGTCAGCTTATGTGCTGCGCTGGGCACAAATGAGAAAACTGCCAACGGCTAAACATAAAAATAAATAAATAAATTTGATTGCGATTGCGGTTTCTTGTCTGGACTTGGACTCGTTCTTAGACCAGGAGTTGGAGATGGAGTTGGAGCCAAGGGCTGGCTGGCTTCCAGCCCGGGGCTCGCCTCGCCCGCGCCATTAATCTGTCAGTGGGATTTGGCCAAAAGGCAAATCGAGGACTTTGATTTTCTTTCTTTTTTTCGTACTTCGGCTTCCGATTGCTCTTGTCATCATTGTGGCTGGTTTTTGCGTCTTGGGATTGTCTCAGCTGTCACTCGTTAGGGTTTCTTGTCAACACCCGTACGCTTGAGCCACATCCTTGGCCCCCATCTCACCCGTTAGTCGTCAGTCCGTCCGCCAGTTTCACGGTTTTGTCATCGCAATCGCCATGGCAGCGCAATCTCATGATTTGGCACTTTTGGAGCTTAAGGAAATGGGCATCATGAGTGGAAAAGGCGAAGGGTTGGTCCTATGCCTTCCCTGGATGCTGGTGGTTATTTGCAGAGCATAACGAAGAATTCCAAGAATATATATTATTTATATATTTATATTTTAGCCAAAAATAAGGGTTACTTATTTAAAGAAATTTGGTTGAAATTCCAGCAATAATAACATAATGGGAAATAGGATATAGCAACATTATCTTAAGCCCAAAATTCAACGACTGTTAAAAGCTTTCTTGGCTATTGAAAAATGATATTCCAATGAGCAAACAACACTGTCTTATGTAGAGAACGGCTGGGAGCCCACAAAAAGGACTTAATGCCGCAGAAAATGACTTCAAAAAATACATGCAAACATGTCGATGGCACAAAAGAGCTAAGCGAAAGCGATGGCCAAAACAATGCCGCCATTTTTGCTTCTTCTCACTCTTCTTGCTACTGAGAATTACTCATCCGCCGTGGTGCCCCAATGCACTCCCACAGTGACGTGTTTCGGCTTCTGTTATTGTTGGTGTTGTTGTTGCACTTGCTGTTGGCAGCTCAGTTCCGTTTTCAGCAGACAAATAGACATGCCCCGTGCAGACGTGAGTCAGACATGAACGGAGACCGGCGGACACGAACACGGACAGAGACGGACCGACGGACAAACGGACATTGGCGGACAAGGACGGTTTGGACGGTTTGGACGGTTTGGATGGCGCAAAGTGGATGGAAAACATACGTGCACAGTGGGAAAAAAGTGATTAATTTATTAATTCATGTATATTTGTTTAAAATAAAAACAGTATGAACTATAAATTAATTGGAAACTGCAAGGGTTTTCCAAAGTTTCCTTTCTTGTTTACCATATCTCTTTTAAATCCCTAAATTAACTCTAATGAATATATGTTAAGTTTGCATTGCAAACATTTTGTTCACTCAAGAAATGAAACCCCTTTTAAATTAATAGTATTCCAAGTTTATTTTTATTATTCAACACCTTGCAATATTTCCTTTCTGTGCATGCGGGTGGCGGAACACAATACAGAAAAATACGAAATCCTTTCGCAATGCTGGCGAAGTGTTGCAAACATAAAACACTCCGCCGCCATAACGTAATTTCTTTTGTTTATAACGTCCTGCAGTTAATACATTTGCATTGTGTGTGCGAGAGAGGTGTCGGTGAATGCTCCCCATACGATTACAGGCAGGACAACAAAGGGAGTTCCTTTCACCCCCCTTTTTGGCCATTGTTGCCACTGCTTTTACAGCCCTTACTACCAAGGTTCTTTTTATTTTTTGTTGCTGTTGTTAGTGCCCCTGCCTGCCATATTGACTGAAAGCCAAAGTGGTCGCTTTTTGTGTGCTTTTAACGCGGTGCCAAAAAATGTTTGGTTCAGGTGCGAAGCAAGCTGAACTTTATGTCATACATAGTATATAAATATTTATAATGTTTGGATCTGAAAATCATATTCTGTAAAGTCACTAAAAATGGTAAAAGATAGATCTTTCAAAGGACCCTGAAAAAATGTTGCCTGACCGTCATCAACTGTCGAGTAATACTTTTATGGCAGCTCTTAAGTTGGTAATCCAAGGGTAGATATCTCGTGAATATCTATTAAAAACCAAAACAAAGGTCAAGACTAATTTTAATTTTAATACAAGTTAAGGTTAAATATTATTCAGAACATTTAATTGACAGCTTTTAACTTTAAGAACACTTTCATAATGGCATTCAAAATAACGTTATGTTCCTTATATATTCTTTCTTTAATAATAGCTCAAACGGATTTCTATAACATCGGATATAATTCTAATTGAAGTAACTCTTCCCTGCTTTGTTTTTTTTAAAGATACTCAACTACTGATATACATTTTATATTGTACAACTCTATATAATTTAGTAAATATATTAGAATATACTCTGCCACCACAATCCGACAATCCTGATCGCTGCAAAAGGAACTGCAGCGAGACAACAGAAGAAAAAACCCATAGGACCCTCCATATCTATTCGACAAGGAAACCCCACAGGGCCATTAATTGTGTGTCGCCTAATTTTTTTGTTATTTTTTTTTGTTTTGTTCACTTCTACGTTGTGCTGGCCATTTTGGGCATAGTTTCAGTGGTTGTTTCTGCCGCTTGTACTGTGGTACTGTTATTGTTCCCGTGACTGCTCCGTTACTGTTGGCCATGTTTCTATGGAGTGGCCAAAAGCCGCCTTTGTTGCGTTGCCAGCCTTCTTTGTGTTGAAAAGCTAGTGCTGGTAATTTATGCGGCTTCCCAGCTCTAACCAACCGATTTTCCTAACATTTTTCCACTTCCCCATTTCAGCTTTTCCCCTGCTCCTGCCATTTCGTCTGCATGGATCTAAAATCCAGAAAGAAAGAAAATAAACGGTAGCCAAGTCAAAATTATTCGCTTTGATTTGTATTTTCCGAATTTGGAAATTAGAGGGCAATCAAACCGTAAACTTTTATTTCTATTCGCTGGAAAAAAAGCACACGAAATTGGTCGTGTATCCTCTAATGTCCTTTCGAAAGCGATTTTCTCAACTGCCCAGAAAATTGGTTGCCATGGCGGCCAGGACAATAACAAAAAAATAACAACCATGGAAATACACAACATGGCCCATCCCATCCTTCCACACACCATTGTGTGTGTGTGTGTGTGTATGGTATGTTATGTTCATGTTTTGTACACACCTACATTTATATGCGGATTTGTGTTTCAAGTGTGAATATTAGGTCAGAGACGTGTGTACATTCCTGTATGTGTTACTCCTCAAGAGCAAATCGCTGTAGCTCAATATATCCTGAGGGTTGCATATGTCTATCTGTCTGTGTTTATTAAGTGTAGTTTTCCTTCCACAATATTTTGTATGCTGTCTTTTAGAGGCACATTTTTATCATAGATTTTATAAGATGTTTAAATACAGTAAAATATATGATAATAACTTCGTTGTACTTTGATTAATTGTAATTATAAACATTGAGTAAACAGATTACTTTATTCAAGTAGTAGTCCTTCTAGAAGCTTTGCTTTAAAATCAAAATTTCTCAATACCAAGCCTTGTTTTATTTTGAAGCTGTCTTAGTCACAAAGCATCAACATCCAATAAAGCATAATAATGATAATAATAATAATGATAAGACCTGCTCTTGGGCACCTTTTGAGGTGGGTGTTCTTTGCCCGCCCTTTAAAGGTTCCAAATACCCCAAAGCTTATTGTTATTACGGAGAACTCACACACCGCTGCCCTTAGGGATAGGAATTTATAAAAATGAAATTCATCTGAGGGGTGTCCTGGGAATGCATAAAGCCACCCCGTAGGGAGAGATGATGCCAAGAGCAGAAAGAGTGCCTCACAAAAGAGGACAAAGTGAAAAGCTATAATCAGATTTAATTAAACACGAAATTGGAACGTTGCCTGAATGTCAGGCCGGGACCGGGTGGAATGTGTGTGTGTGACACGGTCACTGGCCATGCTCTCCGATTCGGCTGCGGGTCCTAGTTTAACTCCCAGTCCTTCCAACAATATATCAGTATATATATATAGGGTTGAGTATATATAGGACTCGCTCCTTGGCTGTATTTAGCCGTGATATATGTATGTATGTGTGTTGCATTTTTTCTGCAGGCTGCTTCTGATTTCTCATTATTATTTCGCTTTATGTGGAGCAGCTGGCCACGATTTCTAAGTGTGATAAACTCGCAGCCTCGAAGCCCCATGGCGTTCCTGTATTTTTTTCCCCTCTCTGACGGCTTACAAAATGTGGAGCACAGATGGTCAGTGCTTGGAAATCAACGATAGCTTCAGCTTCAGCTCTGGGTCCTTATTGCCCCGCTTGGAAGTGCATTTCAGGCTCATTACTTTTTTAAACCCCGCCCACCCCGTGATCCATGGCAATCTGCATGGGATGACAATATATTCATAGCCTGCTCTGCAATGATAAACCCATCCACACTGCGTATACGTAATATTTCATTTTGCATGCACTCTTAAAAGCTAACTGCCTTCCCTTTTGCACAGCTAAATTTATGCATTGATTGCTCCGATTTATCGTAGAGATATGAATCTGCAGTTCTTTTCTTCAAATATTGATTCAAGTCGGTGGGTAATACTATGGGGATTTAAGTTGAAAGCAAGTCTTTTATCTTGAGCGCAGAGCAAAACTAATATTTATTTTTTTATAGATAAAATGTAAGCCATCTCAAGTTTCTTGGAAATTCTTTAATAAACATAATTAAAACATGCAGGGAAAGCTAACTAGCAGAGCTAATTTTAAACCTAGACCTGATCCCTCTAATAGCATCTACATATATAAATAATATAATTGTCATTGTTCAGACTTACCCCGGTAGATGACACACTGTTATCCATTTTCATCAATTCCATATTCCTTTCAGTGTAGATTTATATTCCTGGTGACTCCAATTAGGCTTCTCATGTAAACATCCACGTCATCTCATTCCTGGTTATCCATTGGTGCGGTAATATATTTGGGGTCGGAGGTAATCACTATCACTGCCACTATCACAATCGATGTTATCACTAAGGGCGGCGCGCCGCTAGCGACCCTCTATTTATAGTCCGCGAGGCAAGAGAACCGAGAAAGTGTGAGCGAGAGAGTAAGGGAGAAAGAGGCATCTGTAGAGGCTAGGCTGCGAGAGGGAGAGAGTAAGATGTACCTCTTGAGCTACACGTAAACAACTAACGATAGAGAGAGAGGGAGAGTGGGAGGGCATTTTCCGATTGTTCCTATATCAGCTATATGATATAGTCGTTCGATCCGGCTCATTTCGATTTATATACCAGTGGCTGCCGTTTCGTTTTTAAGGCTTTAAAACTCAGAGATTAGTTTGCGTAGAGAGGGACAGACAGACAGATCTATGCTGATCAAGAATATATATATATATATTCCAAAATTCTGATTAAAAGTATAATAATCTGCAGAGCTATAAATATAATAATTTATAAATATGTTGCTTCATCTTAAAGTATCTCTTATCACCAAACTAAATCTGAAACATTAATACTCTCTGCATTCCATTTATTGCATATTTTTTCATGAAGCTAACAAATCACAAAAACCGTATATAAATGGCCTGCAAGCTAGAGTTTAATATAGAAAAACATTCAGTGCAGCGGAAAATTAATTCCTACGACCATTATCTGTCATCCGTTGCCGCAAGCTGTTGCCAATTGCTCGGTCGCCCTTTTTTTTCACCCATCAAATTCAAGTTTTTTCCAACTAAATGCATTTTTTCTTTCCTTGCAGAGTGGAATTGGAAAAGCTGGCGCGAAGGGAAGAAAATTCATAAATGAAAGCTTCTAATTGCCGGAGAATGACAAACGCGACAAGAAATCAGCGAGAGCGAACAAAAGCAGAGCCATCTTTTTAGGCAGCCAGTGAAATCAGCAGCGAAAGCCGCGAAAATTGAGCCGCCGCAGCGTAGGAGATGCTGTTGATGCCCACATCCTGTGGGCCGGGTCCACCCCACGACCATGGCCCCTCATTCTCACCTTCACCCTCAACCTCACCTGCACCCTCCAATGTTCATGCCCACTGCCATGCCCCCGCCGAGCAGAAGATGATGGAGCGCCGGTCCAACGGTCAGGAAGGATCCTGGCCTCAAGGCCCAGTTCAGGGTCGACCATTCCCCGGTGGCTGCTAATGCTGTTGATGCTCTTCGCCATTCTGGCCCAGACACCAAGGGGTCAGGTGGCCGCCGAGAAGAGTAAACACTGTGAGTACACCTCCACGAAGGGAGAAATAATTTATGAGACAGTTGATTTTACTTTTATTAAGATACTATTATTATTTCTGGGCTTAAAATCATATGGGGTTTCGATAATGAAATATGACGCAATTTAAAAGTTATTGGTTAATTGGGTTTAATTAAAAACGATACTTATTTTGGGGATTTAAAAAATCTAGTAACTTTTGATATAAAATATTGAAATATGTTGGCCCTACAAATCTCTTCTTCCCACCGATTTATCCAATACATATCTTGTTTATTTAAATAAAAATATGTCCGTGCAGTGACATAATAGGAAATACTTATATGAGTATATATGCACACCCACCCTCCATAAACTTTGCTCTTCTTGTACAATAAAAATCTGTCGACAGCTTAGTTTTATGTTGCCTTGCGATTTCCCGATTCAAGACTTCGTCTGACAATAAAAATTTGTGTTTGAGCCAAATGTAATAAAAGTGCATTAAAATGTTGCCAAACGGAAAAAGAACACAAAAAGAAAAAAGAGGCGAATGGAAATGCTTGAACTATAAACATATAAACACCAAGCACACACGCAAATATATAGGAATATACATAAATATGTATATATATATATATATGGGCAATAACATTGTGTGACAAAGCTCATGGGGTAATTCATTCAGTTTCCGGATATTGTTTATGTGGCGAATAAACAACAAATAAATACATTTTTACGATGCAATGTCAACGTGCACACAAATGTATTTACATGTAAACCAAAAAAGCACGTGCCAGGACCTTCATATATATATAGTATTTATGTGTATCCATCCTATATTGTAACTAATATAGGACAAGGCACATCGATGGGTAGTTAATAGTTAGAAACTACCTTAAAAACTTGCTAAATTATTTACTAATTAATGCAAGTACCTTCTCCCCCTGCATATGCAAATAATAGTTAAAGCTCTTATACATATACAATGTATATTTAAGACCCATATGCCTTCAGGAAAGTAATCTTTACCGTACAAGCCGAGTAGTGTCGGAAATAGTCCGATTATAAACTGGTTGGGGAAGCGGAACTGTGCCCGGTACGTTCGTTCCTATATGGTTTCCCCGATATGGCTAAACGGAGAATAGCGACCGCAATTGCCGACCCATGAAATGGAATTACTCAAGCGGAGCGTCGCGTCGTTGCTCGACTCCTCCAATGCTCCTCCTCCATGTTCCTCTCCTGGCAACCAGCCATGCTCATGCAGTTTGCGTTCCGGCGACGAAAGTTGTTGCCGCAAATTATTTCCGTATTTTAGCATTAAATCATAATTAAAATTTGAAGTAAAACAACTTACATGCCAGCAATTGGGGGCGCCGCCGCCGCCGTCTCTTTTGCAGAAAACTGAAGGCGGAGTCCGACGTCGCTGCAAAAGTTTGCTTCTCGAGGGCGCTGAAAAAGTTCGCTGCATACTTATTTGGGCTCGTTTCCGGCTGCCTTCGCAGCTCCACCTCCTTCGCATCCTGCTGCACTTTCAAGCCCACTCCGCAGCCTAATTGCAGCCTCCTTTCGCGTGGGGGAAGGAAGTAGGGAAATGGCGTTGGTTGACGAGTGTCGATGCCAACTGGGTTTTGGGCCAGAGATCTCCCTTTGAGATACAGAAAGTAAAATGGGAAATGGTATTGAAATTTATCATAATCAAGAACAAATACCAAGATTAGATACTACTTATTTTCGCTATATATACTCTTTTTAATATAAAACGTTGAGTGAAATTAATTACTTCTACATATAACAGCTCCTATTGGCAATTATACCTTGTGTGATATATCAAGAAAAGACCTCGTTTTCCTTTGCTGTATCCGGTTGTAACACTTTCCATCTCGTACCACTGTACCACTGTGTCTGATTTAATTTTTCTTGCTCATTTCCGGGCGACAAGGACGACGCCCGGACGTTTAGCTGCACTGGCTGCTGCTGCTCCTTATGCTGCTCCTACTCTTGGTCGTACTGCTCCTTATTCTCTGTGGTCATACACACACTCAGACACAAACGCGAGCCGCAGGAGCGGCTCCCTGCTCCTTGCTGCTCTTTCCCCACACACACTCCCCTCACCCCTTGTGGGCTGTCCCCGGCAGACTTGTGGCCCACGTGGCGTGTACTTAATTTCCCATGCTCATTGCAGGGGCGCGTTAACTTTTTTACCGGCCACATACTTACTGCCTGCCTACCGGCAGGGATTCCCCTTCATCGTCAGTATCCTCCTGGCAACCCTTTTTTTACTGCCGCCTCTACCCGGCACTCATTCCGCTGTCGAGCCGCATTGAAGACTTCTCAACTCGTTGAACAAAATTTTGCACAAAAGTTTCATAATTAATTTCATGTTAAGTGGCAATGCGAGCGCGATGGGCGTGGTCCTGCCAGCCCCGGGAATATCTCTCTCTCTCTGGTCCTAGTGTTCTTTAATTTGAATTGTCATTTCCTTTCTTCGGCAGCCACTCCGGTGTGTCGTCTGCCAGGCATCCGGCTTGCGGGCACGCCCACAGGCTCCAGCATCCTTTACTCCTGCGGTCGCACGTTCAACTTGATTAGCGTAACTTATAATGACTCGCACGAGGACGACGACAGGAGCGAGCCTCACTCAAATTCTATTCTCGCAAAACACTTGCAAACAGTTGCTTACATAAGTAAATATATGTATATATGTACATATATACAAGGACATATTGCGTGGAGAGGGGGAAGTGGTGAGTGAGGCTTTTTGGGGAGCCTTACCAAGTGGTTTTCATAATTACTTTGTGTGCGAGCACTTCATAGTGGCAACTTTGGCGACAACTGTCACAGAGCGACCGAACTTTGCTTTCACATTTCCTGTTTGCCCCGCCACTTACAAATATGTGTGTGATATTTGCTCGTAATTATATAGCCATATACATATGTATCTCTGTGTAGCATTATTACTCGGCATTTTGGTAATTGGATTGAGACCAATTTAGTTAAATTAAGTATGCACTTATTAGCTGTTCCGGCTTATCACATTGATATCCTTGTTAATGTAGTTTTGGCCCTTGAACTACTTTGAGTATTAGTTATTTCATTTGGTTTACCAAGAACATTATAATGAATTAAATTCCTGGTGAGATTAGCTCATAGTTAGATAAAGTGTTGTATTACTTGTAGTTCTGTTTATAAGAAATTAGCATTGTTGGTACTTGAAACCTGTATAAGATGGTCCAGATAGAGGCTCTAAATTTGTATATAAAAATGATTACTTTTAAGGTTATAATTATTATAATCAATGTGGGAAATTTTAAGGAGAGCTTTCTTATAAATATCTCCTATAAAAATGCTAATCAAATAAGAATGACAAAGACACAGTTATATTTTACAAAGGACTTGCTACACTACAGATGACAAGAGAAGCAGGACCAAATACTGCACCTTAATACGTGTCCTGATATAGGTTGGTTGGTTTCTAAGGAAACTTTAGAAAAGGAAAACAGATAAAGACACCTGAAACCCTTTCGATGCTCCTGTTCAACCTGCTCTTCATTGAACCCAAACTAAACATTGCCGTATTAAAATTGAGTTATCTTTAATTTATTTTCGTATACTTCAATTTATCGATCTCATCTGTTGGATCTGTGGACTTAATGCTGAATATGGGTATGAGCATTTTATTGGATTTCCCTTTGTAATGGCTAAAATGCGTATGTTTTGACAAGGGACACTGACAGCTCCCACGTCCATTCCCAAGGACTCACTCCACAATTCACCTCTCCATCGGCCATTGTGCGATTTCCTGCAATAATACGAACATTATACAATTTTGAAAAATATGTCACGTTGCTGGGATCCAACTTGGATCCTGCCTTCTCCCCTACTCATTTTCCCCCCACGAATCCAACTCAAACAGAAGCTGATGGCCGCCTGCCAATAAATTTGTGAGAAAAACAACTGTCGACGGGGACGAAAGAAGTGGCATAAAACTTTTGCTCTTTGTGTGGAATAAATATGAATGGATTTGGACTTGGTCTCCCAGGCTCTTTGAGGCTCAAGGGAATGCCAGGCAGTGGGACCAACTGGTCCACTGCGGCATATACTCCTCCACCTCCTTTCCACACACTTGCAAATATTTCAGAATGAGTTTCAACCAAAGGAGCAGGAGCAGGAGCAGGAAATGGAGACGAAGTTGGAGCTGGGAACCCGATGTGGTCTTCCCACGTCGACGGTTCAGTTCACAAAGGCCAAAGGGCTGAGAGGACGAGGCAAGGACTTTCTTTCCATGGGCAATAAATTTTAATTTTCCCTAAATCCTTGCGCATACGAAATGAGATTTGTAACAAGCCGCAGCAATCATCTGGCTTCGCTTTCTTTTCACAGCCTGAAAATTTCTCTAACTGCCGGAAATGATTGCCCCTGACTGGCATATTTTGATTAATTGTGAGTGGCATAATTGGAGTTGAATAGTTTAAAGTTTTGAATTAGAATTAATGAAGCTAAATGAGTACTTTTTGAGTAAATGAGAAACTACAAAGACGGGACACAGATTTACTAAAAGGTCTGGATTTCTATAGGGTTTTCTGCAGGTTAATATATTCATTCATTTATATATTCAAGTGAAATAATAATAGTTCCTTTTATTAAGTTTGATTCTAGTACAGATTCCTCTTGATCTTCTTAAAGTAAAAGGCAAACCAAAAACCATATTATAGTCATTCAATTTCTCTTTTTATAGAATCATACAAGTGTTTGAATACAATTGCAATAAAAAAGCAAGCTTACATTATGACCATCATTTGTTATAGAAAACAGATTTGGAATTTGACTTAATTCTATACCCTTTTCAAACACCATCCACTCGTGGCCCTGTCGCCTGCAATTCCCTAACCTCCTAATAATAAATCTTGACTGAGTGACGATGACTCAGCTGCTTAGCGATCCCTGGCTCCCTGGAGAACCGGCCAGGCCAGGCCAGACCAGACCAGGTCACAGTCAAATGCGCAGATAAATGTTTATGGAAGATAAATTGCAGCCAGCGGATAGAAATCAGGCAACGCATAATAAATTCCATTTGTAGTTCGCAACTCTCTGGCCTCTGGAGGGGGCGAGGCAGGAGCGATGCCAAATCGAGTATTGATGCGTTTGGCATCCCGCGGCACACAAGGACGACGACGACGGTGTCACTGCCAAAAAGCTCCCCCTAGCACCACCAGCATCCATTCCCTCCTCCGTCCTCCTCCTTCGATTCCCTTCGAGGACAGCGAACAATGAATTCATTCGACGCGAATTGGTTTTGCGAAATTGTCCACGAACGTGGGCGGATCATTTATCAATATTTCCGCTCTGCTGCTGGAGAGTCGGAGTAAGTAATCGCTTATTATACCGAATCGTTCGATAAATGCAATACATATGTGTAGTCAGTGTCCCACTAACCCCAACAGAAGCATTTTCCCAAATTTAATTTATGTATTCTGCAAAAACAGAAACAGAAAACACACATTCTGTCAGGCGCTTGAATTAGGTTTGACAAATGGAATTCGGGATATTTCCCCAGCCCAGGAATGACCCATTTTTAATTGGCTTATTTATTGACAACCAAAAATACATTTCGTTGGTATTTATCAAGAGAAATATGTGTAGTTTTTGTTTGTAAAACCAAAGTTTGGTAATTAAATTAAGGAAAGTTTACAAACTCGGCTGTGAGGTACCCGGTAATCAAAGTAAATCTAAGTATATGTTGCTAGACTCTAATAATTATCATCCGAATTAAATTAGATTTTGAGAAACTCATTCTATATTTACCTTATAAATTGAATTATTTTTTTGATTAATTTAAGAAATGGAAACTTAATTGCTAGAGTTTCGAGGACCTTTTTCTATGCCCCTGCATTCCTTCATTTAATTTAAATCACCGAAAACCTTGAGTACTGCATTGATGAATTCCACAAATCCTGCACAGGACCTAAAGAGAGCCTGCCAAGGAGAAAAGTGTAAGAAACGGGCCACAAAAGGGGCATAAAATGAGTTGAACATTCCGGGCATTGTGCCTTCAGTTAAGCACATGAATCCCTTTTGTAATCAAATGCACAGAAAATTGTATTCTATTCAAGTAAAAATCCGACCGAGTCCCAAACCTCTTTCGTGTCGTCCTGATGGGCTTTGTATCGGCGGCTGGGTTCTTCCTTTCAGTGGGGCGGATATGTCCGTCCATATCCTGTATCTCTCCCTGTGTGTGTGTGTGTGCGTGATCCACTTAGGCGTTGCAAGGATATCCACGCGCCCGCAAAACAAAGCAGCAAAATTATATCCTGCGAAGCCAAGACTTTGCCGCGCTAAGGCGGGGCAGTTGGGCGTGGCTGGAGGCTGAAAGAAAAATATTACAAGAAGCGCCTAGACAATAGCACCGAAATAAGTAAACAACAATAATAAGAAACAACAACAAAATACAGGCAAAAAAACAGAAACGCAGCAGCGCCAACAATGGCGTAATAAACTAACGTTGAAGCTAAACTCTCGCAAAGCAAAACTATGCAAAAAGTTTTGCTCTTTGTTTCGCAGCACCAGCAAAAATGGAATTAATAAAAGGAAAAATCATTTTTCGAAAAATATTTAAGCCCTCTCCGTTACTCCTAGGCCCGATAAGACCGAGGGCGGCGCAAAATTTAATTAACAATTTGTGAAGGGGAAATAAACAAAAGCCCCGACAGGCTTTTGCCCCAAAACATTGGATATCCAGCGGGCTCATCTGGGTTTACCTTTCCCTCCATTGCCTGGACCAGTGCCAGGACCAGGACCAGGTCCGGGTCCAGATCTAGTCCCGGGGATTGAGGAGTCATTCGATGGGTGCATGACAAGTTGAGCTCTCCTTGACAAGTTCTTAATGAAAAGTTGAAGAGCGACCCGTAATTAAACTGCGCCCTGTTGCAGTGAGCGACGCTTGCAAAGTTGGCTTAAAGGACATCCAAATTGAGTCCTAGGTCGGCAAACTATTCGATGAAAGCTTTTCTTTTGTAAAATAAACTTTTATAATATTAAATCGGGCACTAAAAGAAGCAAAGACTTAACAAAGAGGAACTTAAAACTTATTATTAAATAAATTCTTTAATAAATAATCGAGTAAATACTGGTCTAAGTATTACCTTACTTTTTTTGTAAACTTTACTATAAAATACAGACTAATTAGGCATTTCTTACTCTATAATATTTAATATTGAAAATAGAATGTGAACTTGAAATTCAATCTATTAACAAAACTACTTCAATTCAAATCTTTAAAATTCCAAAACTAGAATCTATTCCACCTTAAATTTACCTATTAGAGAGTTCAATTAAAACTTTATGTATTTAATTATCGTAAAAAATACTTTCAAGCTTGATAAGCAATTTTATTAAACCAATTTGTTCAAGATTCAACTTTCCAGCTCAGAACTGCCAAGGTAGAAAAGTGATTCTGCAAAAAAAAACTATCTGAATGATATAAATTCTGAAACTTTTGACTATTCAAACATTTTGACAAGCGACAATTCGCCTGATTATTGGAAAAGAATCTGGAGACAGGCAGTGCAAACTTGAAAAGAATCTTATCGCCCTGACTGGGGTCCTCCTGTTATTGTCCTTTTGCCTGCCGTCTCCTCTACAGTTGCTTCATTAGTTTGGCACTTCATCTTTGCTGCACGCTCGAGTGGCCTTGGTCTTGGTCTGAGGTTGAGGTTGCCACATCCCAGCAGTGGCACCCGCTTTGAAAAGTGACAAAAGTTTAATGATGCGTTTAAGTTGCACGTGGCATGCCCTTTGGCGCCCACTGCGTGCTCCGCAGGACTCTCGACAGCATTTGATTTGATGAGCTCTACGCATTGCAATGTTTGCTAGCCCCAGCCAGGACCTGCTCCTGCTCCGGCTCCGGGTCCTGCTCCTCCTTATTCACCTCTTCCCTTAGGGGCATTCAAGAAATTGCAGCTGCCGGCATTCTATTGATTTTTATCACGTAACTCCCAGACAAATTAAGCGAGTAAGGTACCTAGGACCCTAGGCAGAAAGTTAACCAAAATAGCCAGAGAATCAAATTGTTCTTCTGGTTTTCAGAGAAAGAGCTTTATTTTATAATAGGAATGAAGGGATAAAGTCTTAAGTGAGATGAGATAATAAAAGCATTTAATTTTAGTCCTTCTCTTAATCCTGATTAATTTCATCCACCTTGGAGTCCTCCAGCTGCTTGAACTGTATTAGGATAACCAAATATGTGGTGACCGCTGAGAAGATCTTGAAGAGCGTGGAGTTATCTATGGAAAAGAATCCGTAGGCGGTGAATTGCAGCTCCTGCTTGATGCTCTTGGTGAGGAACTTGTCGGCAATGTTCTGAAACTGTTTGCTCTTCCCATACACTCTGGCCAGAATCTGGGCCGTGCCATTGGCCTCGGAGGCCAGACAATCGCAGGCACTGCAAATCACTGCCATGGTGATGGTCTCAGCCAGCACCCAGGCACACGACAAACCCATGGTGTCAGCCACTTCCAACCTGGAACTGGTCGAGCTGGACGTCAGGGTGGCAAAGGCCAGGTAGCTCTGATTCGTTACCGTGTAAAAGGCAAAGCCGAAGAAGAATAGGAGCGCCACTCCAGCCACGGAGTTCATGTTCTCGGTGATGTAGCGGAATTTGCAAAGCACCTCTATGAGATTGCTTAGCTCCCGCCAGTTTTCTCCACTGGACACACCCTCTTGCAGGATAAAGGCATCCAGTTTCCGGTTGAGAAAGCCAATCCTTAGAGCCAGATTCATGAGTATGGTGCGTAGATATATCGAAAGAACTGTGGAGTAGAGTAGCTGCAGGAAGTAGACCAGGAGCAGGATGCCCTGCCTCCGGGAACCGATGCCGCTTCGAAAGTGTATGTAGTAGAAGGCCACCGCCAGGACTCCCGCCGCTGCTGAGGCCACCAGAGTGCCCAGTTTCCGGCAGCTGTAGTTCTCCCGGAAGCCATTCACCTCCAGATACTCATCGATCCTAGCGATCTCCCTCAAGGTCCGGCAATGACGTGATGCATTCTGCACATTGGACAAGACCATCATCGTGTAGCTACCGATGCACAGGAGAGTCTCTATCGTCCTATTGATCTCCTCTGTGTCTCCCTGGGCACTGGCCACCAGTCTGTACTCACGGGAAGCGAAGAGTACATCCTCGCCAAAGAAGAGCGAGGTGATCAGCATGATGAGAGCTATCAGGCGGCCATACCAACGGCCAAGTCTGCCCAGTCGAAAAGTCTCCTCATCGTCCCCCGAATAGAGAGGCAGCAGGGCGCAGAGCTGCGAGGGCGTGGCGATGGCTCGGATATCCTGCAGGATCTTCATGGCGATGAGAACTGTTTGGTGAAAGTTACTAAATTGAGATGTATGCTATTCGTTTGGCTTTTAGTGAGTTATTAGCTGTAATTAAATATAATTAGCAAGTTAATTATGAAACTATATCATATTATTTCATTAATATAGTGGTTATTACAAAATTAAGACAAAAGGTAAATTAACATTGGGAAATCGAAGTTTGTTTGCCCTTGCAGAGTGCTAGGATCACGGTATCGAAAATCAAGCATAACTAAGCTAAAAATTCATTAAATTCAATTCGGAAAGCTGTTCTATGCTAGTTTTTATTAGAATAAAAAAGCTGCATACTCATATTAAAATATAAGAAAATTTAAATTTTAATCAATTTTTGCAAATTTTAATGATGTAACCCCTTATGATTTTTTAAATTTCGGAAAAATTGCGAAAATTTATTTTTCGACCGGACATGGCTAGATCGACTCCGCTTTTAATGCTGATCAAGAATATATATAATTTATAGGGTCGGAAATGACTCCTTCACTGCGTTTTAATCTTCTGACTGAAAAAGGTATAAAAACAGACCATTTTTATTAAAAAATCTAAGTTTTCCCAACATCATAATTAAGTCAAATTAGCATTTATTTTGAATCGGAAAGCTTTTCTGTGCTGGTTTTTATAGCACTAACAAATCTGCATACTGCGTTTGTTGATGCCATTAAAAGTTTCGGACTAAAATTATAATAACCTGCAAAAAGGTATAAAAACATACTATTTTTTTCCAAATATCATAGTTTAAAGTTCTCATACCTAAGCCAAAAAAACATTAATTGCAATTCGGAAAGCTGTTCTATGCTAGTTTTTAGTAGAAAAACAAAGCTGCATACTCAATTTAAAATATTAGAAAATTGAAATTTTAATCAATTTTTGCAAATTTTAATGATGTAACCCCTTATGATTTTTTTAAATTTCGGAAAAATTGCGAATATTTTTTTTTCGACCGGACATGGCTAGATCGACTCCGCTTTTAATGCTGATCAAGAATATATATAATTTGTAGGGTCGGAAATGACTCCTTCGCTGCGTTTTAATCTTCTGACTGAAATTATACTCTGCAAAAAGGTATAAAAACATACCATTTTTATTAAAAAATCTAAGTTTTCCCAACATCATAATTAAGTCAAATTAGCACTAATTTTGATTCGGAAAGCTTTTCTGTGCTGGTTTTTATAGCACTAACAAATCTGCATACTGCGTTTGTTGATGCCATTATAAGTTTCGGACTGAAATTATAATAACCTGCAAAAAGGTATAAAAACAGACCATTTTTTCCAAAAATCATTGTTTAAAATTCTCACAACTAACCAAAAAAAAACATTAATTTCAATTCGGAAAGCAGTTCTATGCTATTTTTTAGTAGATTAACAAAGCTGCACACTCAATTTAAAATGTAAAAAAATTGAAATTTTTATCAATTAAAAAAAAAAGACCAATGTAATCCCTGATCTTTTTTTTTCGAAATTTTGAAAATTTTTTGAAATTTTAGTTTTTGAGCAGATCGATTCTCCTGTTGATGCTGATCAAGAATATATAAAATTTATAGGGTCGGAAGTGATTTTTTCAGAGCGTTTTAAGCTTTTGAATGAAACTAAAATACTATGCAGGTGTATAAGGATATTTGTGATTTTTCGGCACTATTTAAACGTGATTATTTTATTCCTACATACTACTTTGGTTCTTTTTCTATTACTTGATTAATTTATTTATTTTTGAATATAATGAAATTTCAAGTATTTCCTTAACTTTACCTAATCACTATTGAGTGCCCATGTATCTGCTAGGTTCCTGAATCATGACTGATGATGGGGGCTAAGTAGTTTTCGTGGGACAATTACAATCATTGGCTAATTACGAGCTAATGCGACCTGTCATAATGGCGTCCTGACATAAATATCCGCGGAACTTAAAAGCCCCTGTCCATTGCTCTACGCAAATTGCCCAATTACTTTGACAAACCGCCGACGGCGAACGGGGCTCGATGAACCACGTGAATGGCTTGTCGAAGGACATCCCGGGGCCAGTCAGTCGGTGGAGCAAGGAGCTAAGGGACTCTGGGTAGAGCAGAGATTATGCTCATTATGCAAACGCCTTGGACGGATGAGCTCGTCGAGGCGAAAGGCATTTACTTCAATTATTTCATTAATGCAGAAGAAGAGGCAGCCGGAGGAGGACAGCGACAAAAGTCCAGGGGCATCATCTGTGAATCCTTGTGGCCATCGCAGCTCCTCGAAGATGCCATCGAATTTTGTGTGCCGCTAATGGAGCGTGTGAGTCCGGCAGCAGCTGTCGGAGCCAGCAGCTTCGGCTTAGTCAACTATAAGGAGCATAGGTCGTGGGATAATGCACTGAAAGGAATTTTATAAAATCAGGATTTATGCTACTAAACATCTTTTACTATTACTATAAAAGTAATGACTTTATTAACAAGTACTAGAGATACATATCTACCTCTGGCAAATCTTTATAAAATAGTTTTCCCTATTTGCTTTTTCTCAGTGCATCCCTTTGTGGGGGCGTTGACATCACACGAACGCCGGAGGTCACTCCGGGGCCAGTAAAATTCAATATCGGAGCCCAGGAAATTCATTGTTTAACCTTTGTTGCTTAAATTGCTCAAATTCCTGCCATTAGTTTGACAAACGAGCCAGCGAAATTATTTTGTTGCAACCAAGTTGCCGGGCACATCCGGAGCAGGAGCAGGAGCAGGAGCAGGAGCAAAAGGAAAACTGTGAACCGGGCGGGGATGATCGAAAACCAACCAGATTTCAGGCTAAAGTTTTTGCCACATCGCCGAGAGCAGCAAACCAACAACTCTGACCCCCAATCCGCAATTCCCCAGCTCCTCCGCAACACATCCCACCCACCAAGAACCAAACTTTCCTCCAATTCCAATCCTCGTGCTCGTGCTTTGGGGCACGCACTAAGCTTGCCCCTGTTGTGGTTTCGCTACCGTTGTAGCATTGTGCCCGCTCCTGCTCCTTGTGGCATCCTCGGATGTGCCGGTTACTCGGTTATTCCATTGCTGCAGATTTATTTGCGGTTTTGCATAATCACTGAAAATTAGTTTAAAATATTTACATTAAATTTGCATCCCAATGTCTGGGTTGGGGTCCTTCTGGGTCCGCTGCAGGAAATGCTAAGTATAAGCCCTTAAATGGGCATTAGCCTGCTGGCTGGGTTCAGGGTCCAAAACTCTAAGTGAGGGCTAATTAAATGAGGAGCCTCGATTAACTAGGGATTGTTTTTGGGGTCCCTGTCCTTGCAAGGTAAACATGTCTAGCAAAGAAATTGTCTTTAATTAAATTTATTAAAAATATCTACATAGTTTGTTCAAAGGATAACTAAAAATAAACTAGTAAAATAAAGGATAACAAGTGGCATTTGTTATCTAAACTGTTTGCCAAATCTATCCTAGATTTTATGTATATAAATACAATTACTTAGATTTCTTTGAAAGCAAAAAGTGTTGTTATTGACTTACCCACTCTACACTCAATAAATATGAAACTGCCTCACATTTTTCTTCTGCTTTTTTAAAAGTTCTTCTAAAATAAACATTTGCCAAAGCAATTCGAACTTTCTCTAATCACAGCCTTGCTGTCAGGTTAAAATTGTCAAATAGAAACCTCTCTCTGAGTCATCGTTTGCACTTGCAATATTGTATTTGTTTTCATATTTGCAATACTCGATGATTATCCTCGGGAATATCCTTTGGGAGAGGTGACTCACTTGCTTACCTGTGTCAACTTGCAGTCTCAGCTTCCATTTGCTTTTAGTAGTAATACTTGTCCAGTTGATACCCTAAAGCTGCCGGAACTGGCAAAGATTAAAGGATTCAAGGATACACTAGATAGTTGAAAATAGTAATAATTCAACTGGATATTAAATACAAATATATTTGGAAGTGATTTATTTAGAATACAATAAATAATACATTTAATAGTTTTATACTAGAGTATAAAGTTTCTTTCTGTGCAGCTCAGAGAGTCCTTTATTTGCCAAGGTCGTTGGTCCATGGTATGTGTGTGTCCCAAGAAAATTGAAGGCAACCCAAGAGGATGAGGACAAAGTTAGAGCAGCAGGGTAAACATAATTTTCCACCGGGCATAAAAAGAAGACATTCAATGTCCACGAAGGCATCTCCGGAATGAAGAAAAAACTGCACTTGCGAGTTGTTGGGCCAAAACGCATTTAGGACCACCAAACACATCCGGCAGCGGAAGTATTAAGCGGCAGAATGGCCTCTTCTCCTTCAGCTCCTCCACCTCCTCCGGCGAGGACAGTGGCCATTACCAATGCGATTGCCGAGTGCCGCAAGTTATGATGACGATCCACAACTTGGACATTTTGGAGGAGACTCTTTTGCCAAGTTGCCCCCGCAAGCGATGGTGGGTGGATTTCTACCATCAAGATAAGTCTAAGGACTGGCAGTTACTTGAATGGCAACATAAAGTGATTCCCAGCTCCTTGGATGAAGCTTTGGTGGCATTATTAGTCGATTAATAACGCGGGTAACAAAGCCCTGAAATTAATTATGCCAATTTTAATCCTTTTGGCAGTGGCAGTGGCATTGGCTCAGCCTTAGCTAAATGACATTGCCACCGAATAATCCCAGCCATTAACTGAAAAATTGGCTTTCGAGTGGCAGATGAGACCGAGAGCCTCTCTCTGTGTGTGTGTCGGACTTAATATTTTCATGAACACGTCGGCCAGATTGAGGATTTCTTTCTCCCTTTTGATGTGGGCCGCTCTCTGGCTTTAATCCGAGCATTATCCCTAATTTCGAAAATGTCGTTTTCCTGTGTTTTTGCTGCCCTGCCATCAAAACTAAGCCCTGGTCCGAGTATTCATTCCAGGCCTGAGTGGCTGTCCTGCTCCCAGGACTCCTCCTCATCCCACTGGCTGTCTTTCTCCCCTTCCTATTGCCCGTCCATTTGGTTTCTATCTTCGCAGCTCCTTCGTCCTTTACTCCCTGCGAGTGCATAAACAAATTGAAGATAAACATGCTTATGTGTGGATATATCCTGGAGAGTTCACTGAAAGGAAAAGGGAATATAAGGGAAAATATTATATAGTAGAGTTTCTTTTGGAAATCAACATTTTATAGAGATAGTCATGAGCTAGGTGAACTTCATATTAATTCTTTATGTACTATAAGATACTGAAAGTCTTTTTCACATAGGAACTGCTGGTAGAATTGGATTTATAATTTATAAACTAAATTATTTATAATGTTCACTTTAAAAATAAATACCTATTGAGATATTTAAACATATTTTCGTTAAGTGCATGTGGGTTGGCACATAAGCCGATGAGAAGCTGAACTTGAAGCATGTTGCAATTTCAGCTGGCTGGGATCCGCGATGCCGCCCACCATTGCAAATGGAATTGTTTTCCCTGGCGCTGCCGACATTTGTGTCAGAAATGCCTTAATTTATAGAAAATGTATCTGTCGGATGGGAAGGGACTCCATCCCAGGGCTGCCATGACTGTCGCATGGGCTTCAACGTCCTGCGCGGCGGCTTTCGTTTGTCTTTCACTTCACACAGAAGACCCGACAGCCCGAAGGCAGTCCTCGTCCTCGTCCTGGCCCTGGTCCTTCGCTCTCCCATCTCTTCCTCCTTCAATCCCAGTCCAAATTCCACTTCTCTCCATAAAAGTCTCCAACCCCTGTCCTATCTCTGCTTCCCTCGGGGGGCTCAGCGCAGATGCATGATAATCCCGATACGTACATGGGGGGTACACACTGGCAACTCCGCTCCACTTCCCACAATCCTGTCCAGAAATGATTGAGGGATTTCTGGCCGCCTAGGAGCCAATGATAACGGAAGCGGCAACCGAGCACTTTGCTCTCCATTTTCACTCCACAACGTAATTGATATTTTACAATTGTCTCTGAAGGTTCATTTTCCTTGGTCCCCAGATGGGTGGGTGGGAGTATCCTGCTCATCCCTCGTGTGTCTGTGGCAAATTGTGCAGAAACTCTATTTCTATTTCTCACATTTCCCGTGCTCCATGCTCCGTACTCCACCATATGGGATGCAGATATAGATACGGATCCAAATGCACATGGATCTGCGACGCGCTGAGCTGAGCTCCTCCATTTGTCGCTGTCGATGTTCCAGTGCCAGCTGAGTGAAATTATTCAAGCAGTACCAGCTGCAAGTGAATTTATCAGGACAATGGGAACACCTCCAAACAGCTCTGATGACATAACTTTTCATACATATGCATATTGAAATATTATATATATTTATTTTTAGAAAATTTAAGGAAAAATACAGTTTTAAATCAATAGAAAATGTGAGCAAAATAGTCTGAATAATTTGGCTTGAGTGAAACAAAGTTCTACATGCCCTTTAATGGCCTAATGTAAAAACTATTAGCCAAACCATATTTTGTGGATATCATGGTTATGAAACATTACTTAACGCTAATCTGTTAAGCCCTCGTTAAGGTCATGACTCGTGAAATATTCTTCCCCCGGCCTGGTTTCAATGTTTACTCACTAGAATGTTTTTTTTTGGGGGGGCCAAAAGCACAGAAGCCCAACAGGAATAGCTGCCTCCAAAAATTTTCCACTGCCTAAAAGGCCACGGAAAATTACTCACCAAGTGGCTTGCGGCCAATTTGTGCAGGTGGCATGATAGGGAGGAGGGGCCCGGAGCCACGCCCCCTTCCCTTGTACCACCTTTCCCTTTTACGCCCAGAACGAGCTCTTTGCTACACTCAGCTATTTACTTTGCCGGAGATCAAAGCGAAATGTGTAACGAAATTGCCAATTACATATAAAGCAGGAAAAACTGTCTACCTAGTAAAGCAGAGGCAGAGTCGGGGAAAGTCTTTTTTTCCGGGGCTAATACACTTGGGAAAAGGTGATGAGTTCATTTTTATATATTTCCAAATATATAAGGTGTCCAAAATGATTAACAATTATATTATTGAAGGTATCTTTGATCATTATTTAACTATTTCCAAGAACAGTTCTAAGGTCGAATTTCTTTGTAATTCCAAACTCTAAATATCTTTTGCTTAATAAATTTGTTCTCTGTGTAAAAAGGCGGTTGAAACTAAAACAAAGGGAAGCCCGGGTCTGTCAGCAATTCAATCCAAATTGTGAATTTAATTTTGAAGTTGGCAACACGGCGACGACACAACATTTGTGACCGAAAATGAGGCATTTGCAGGGAGCCAGGCTCCTAGCTCACATGATGGCTCTTTTCTGACTCCCTTTCCCACCTCCGGCTGCTGGGCGTAAAACGAATTTGTAGTGAATTCCTTGGGCGTCCTGCTGCCTCCAGCTCCGCCTCCTTCGCAGCTCGCCAGGATGCGGCGTCATCTTTTCGTGTGCGTTTTATTGGGGGGCGAAATTGAATTAGTGCGGCGGCGGCAGGAGCGGAAGCGGTTGCTAGGCAGGAAATTGCCTGAAATCAGGCGCACGTAAGCTTAGAGGGTAGGAGATGTGTCCCACTTAAAACCCACCCGTCTCAGTTCCCTCACATTATTGTGTTTCATTAAAAAACCCGCCCGTTGTCCTGCGTTTGTTTTAATGGTGTGTCCTAGAAGGAGACGGAGAGGGAGAGGGAGAGCGAGGCTCCATTTGCATGTGCCGCTGTGTCCAGCAGCTCCTGGAAATGGCTCTCGTTTCGTGTTAATGCATTTGGCACTTAAGCGCCATAGTTTGCGCCATCAAACTAATTAAAAGTTGCTTAAATAATGCGATATTATTTTCGCATTGCCGCCTGTCTGCAGCTGGCATCGACTGACTTCCTGCCCGTTGAGGTCCTTTTGATTGAGCCGGGCAAATATTCAAAGTTCCCAGCGGAAGCTGTCCTTTGGAACAATTAAAAACTTATCACTAGGGGGAGGAGAGCTCAACGTGGATAGTTTTATCAAATGATGGTATAAAAATAGTCAAAAGGATATTTTATTTCATTTTTAAATGAATTATTTTAAAAGGATAGGGCTAACTATAATTTATTTAACATTAGTTTCATATTTTCACAAAGAAATTAATTAAATTTATATTAAACAAACCTCTAAGCAAGTAGAAAGTAAGTAAATAAATCCAAATACATCTGGAAGGTTATAGTTTCTCTCTCCCCAACCCATTTACCATTATTTTTTCAATTTAGAGAGCTTATTTCATGGCTCAGCCTGCGTGTAGATTAGGTATTAACGTTGTGCGTTGAATTTGAGATCAGGTATTATGCAAATTCACCGCATTCAGTTTGCCAGTTGCCAAACTGCATTCTGCAAGGAGCAAGGATGGGCATAATAAACGCAACTAGTGAGCCCGGGAACATGTGCAAGTAATACGCGAAGCGAAGCGTAAATGAATTTTTCATCCTTCCATTAAAATTTAAGTGCACATTTTCCGGCGCAGCGCACGAGACGCCGCAACGCCATTAAGCCAAAGGAAGTTGCCAGCGGAGACGTCCGCAGACGTGTGATGGCCTGGGCGGAGGAGGAGGGAAGAGTCCTGTGGGAGGACTGTAGGTCCTGTGGTGTGCGAATTCCAGAACTGTTGAGTTTACGGCATATCTGGGTTATGGAAATATTAAAATAAAGTATAAAGATAAGAGTTTATTTCACAGAGTGGCAAGTATGCCAAAGGTATGGCTCTTTTAACAGTAGCAAAGATATGTCACAAAAGAAGGCTATATAATATGTGAGGTAATAATATTAGGACATCAAGGTAGTATTCACCTAACTCTCTTAATGGATATGATAAATAGGCAGGAATTATTGTTATTTTAAGAATTAAACTAATCCTCATATACCTTCTCCTTCTTTTCAGATTACATGCAATCCCTGTGCAAGAATCACTTCCTGCAGCAGTTGTATCGTAAGATCGATGGCGCCGTTCTCTGGTCACAGAATGAACGCAACCTGGACTGCATCATCACCTTCCAAACCCACTCGGTGTTGCAACGCTTCATGCTGCGCTTCGACATGCTGCAGCTTGATTGCAACGATCACCTGCTGGTCTACGATGGAGCCCATGCCGTCTCCACACCCAAGGTGAGTATATCCCCTCTCCCCAAATGTGTAATTACACCCCCGAGAGAGGAAGAGCGGTGTGTGTATTGAAATCTGCCAGCGGGAGTGGTACGTGCCCCACATTTTTTATTAGCAAAACACCTAATTTGCATATGCAAATCGAAAAAGGTAGCCGGTTGATGTGATTGAGTGGAGGTTTAATACAGGTACACTGTGGGCTTAAAATATTACCAATTTTCTAATTTTAATTTCCTTCTAGAAATTAGAATTAAATTATAATTTTAATGGGAGTTTGTTATATTGATACCCCTCCTAAATATGTAGTTTTTAAGTATTTCTTACTTTGATTTTTTTCCAAGTGAACTAACTTGCTCTGGCACTTTATTGATTCGCCTGGAAACGGCTAATCACGTGAGTGAGTTGGCCAACACGGTGTGAACAATTAAATTGTGGTAGAAACGCAGTTAGAGCTTCGCATCCTTGTGCCAGTACATGTGTATCCTGCTGGGAATGGGACTGAAACTGAAGCAGCTGTAATTATGTGCATACACAGAGGGAGGTTATAGAGAGGCACAGTACGCCTACGTACTATGTGCGGATGCACAGTAGATTGAATTATTGCCAAGTGAACTGTGAAACAGGCAATTCAAATTAGAATCACTCATGGCAGATGATATGTATGCAAATGTGCATATATGCTAAGTGAATTAAGTGATGTTGCTTCTCCATTTTCGTAATCAAATAAAGGCTCCTGCTGCATCACATCCCGGTGCATGGCAAATCAAATTCACTCTCTCTCTATATATATTATATATGTATGTATATATAAAAAAAGGTAAAACAGGAGCCCAGCATAAATATTTATTTATAGATTTTCGTTTCATTTGTTCAGCCATCGGTGGTAGCGATATGTTTACTTGCGGCGGGTGTAATGTATATTTAATTTGTCCCAGTTGGGTGGCAAGATAGCATCCAGGTGGGCCCATCATCGTGCATATTCATATATTTGCATACCTTCATTACGGAATCATTTCGCTAGCATGTTCTTTTCATGCTGCTTAAGCCTAATATTCATACACTGAGCGGCTAAAAAACTAAATTTTCTATTAATTTATTTGGGGAAATGTCAATCAAGAGGGGTTTTTTAGGTTTTGATTAGCATAATGGGTTTAAATGGGCGTAAATTGATTTTATTAAAGAATAAATTATATTGTTGCTATTTTTGAGAGTGGTTTTTATGCACAATTTTTACTTTTAAACATATGTACACAAATATTACGTATACGCATTACGTATACGACATGTTGTCTTGCTAAAATCATTATAAATACCAAATTCTGATTGAGTTTTATTTTAGAATGAAGTTCACTCACTTTATTTGGAATAAAATATAAAAATATCTAAATAGTAAAATATGTACACAAATATTACGTATACGCATTACGTATACGACATGTTGTCTTGCTAAAATCTCATTAAATACCAAATTCTGATTGAGCTTTATTTTAGAATGAAGTTCACTCACTTTATTTGGAATAAAATAAACAAATATCTAAATAGTAAAATATGTAGACAAATATTACGTATACGACATGTTGTCTTGCTAAAATCACATTTAATACTAAATTCTGATTGAGTTTGATTTTAGAATGAAGTTCACTCACTTTAAGTAATAATATTAAGCTCGGTTCTAAGCTTTTCGGTAATGTCTTGTTAAATTCCCTTTTGAAAAATGCACTAGGAGGGCGAGAAACCATTGATGCATTCCCCTATCGATTACATGCCACATCCCTGGGAGCTGTGCTGTATCCCGGTTAAGTAACGTTTAAGGAATCCGATGATGCCACATCCTTGCATATATATGTAAATATGTTCTGGCATCACATGTCGATAGTTAAGGCCAATCATTGCTTAGTTTGCGACACTCCAAGGCGCATCTAAAGAGGGAGGTGGGTGAAGATGGGGCAAGAATGTGTGGGTGTGGGTGGTAAGAGTGGGTGGTTGATCGAATTCCCCTGCAATTTGTTGTTGTTGTTGTTGCAGGCAAACTAAAGGCAGAGGCAAAGGCAAAGGCAGTAGCTGTGGCAGTGGCAGTGGCAGTGTCAGAGGCATAGAGGAGTGGCAGCCGCAGCTACCGCATTATCCAGATCACGTTGATGCTTCTGACATTTTAGGTTCAATCCCTGTGGGGTTTCCGTTCAGCCAACATGCTGCACTCCGCACACACACACACACACACACACACATGCAGGCATAATTTTGTCGCTGCAACATTCGCAATGATGACAGCCAGCAAGGATATGTGGCAAGTTGCGGGTGCAAGGGGTTTCCACTGCGGCTGCAATGCGGCAACAGCTTCTGGCGCAGCTCCTTCTACTGATAGCTGCTCTGTGATTTTATCAGCAACAATTTCCATTTTTCATTCACACAGCCCCGCGGTCCACCTCTCCCCCTCGGTGATGCATTATTTAGCGGCGGACTGGCTGGCAATGTGAGCCAAGGAAAGTGGCCACAAATAGAGCGCCCATAAGCCAAATCCTTTATTTGCCAAAGGGAGCGGCGACAGTGGCACTATAGAAAAGAAAATATGCATAAAAAATGTTGAGCTAGAAAATTAGAAAAATGCCAGCCAAGGCAGCCTTTCCCTCACTCTCTCTCTCACTCGTTTTCTCTCCTGGGAAAACCTTGAAACTGGATGTGCCAAAGCTGAAAACAAAAATGTTTCAGCCGCTTTCTGTCGCCTGTGTGGCGCGACCCAATTTTCCCTGGTGGCGATGGTGGCACTAGTTGAGGTCCTTGTGGTCCTCCCCGCAGCCACTGGGCCACTGCCAAAGCTCTGTCATCTTCCATGGCGGAGATTCCGAGTGTCCCCATTGAGTGGAAAAGACATGCTGGTTGCCAGGTTAGAGGGGCCCAAAGAGGAATTATCACATTCTACATTTTAAAGGGATTTAATGTATTTTAAATAAGCCATAAACAAAGTATCATAACTTTGAAACCATCTAAATTCAAAGTATGCTAAAATGGCAGCTCTGAACTTCCGGATAATGAAAGCAAAGTTATAACCATTTCGAAATCTCAACCTTGTAGCAAAAAGCTAAAGCTTTGATGCGAGTGGAAATTGCATTTGAAATGAGATCGTAAAGAAAGCCATTTCCCAGGGTTTTTGCATCTTCCTAAAGCAAACCCATCGTTATCCCGGAGAACACCTTCTACTGGTAGCATTATTGAGGGCCAAAAACGAGCCACATCAATATCGATGGCTTCGAAATTAACCTTAATTATGAGGGCTCCGAAAGTACATGAGATGCGAGTTCGAGTGACAGTTATTGTCCAAGGGCAAAGTCAACTGTGATTTCGAGGGGAACCCCCTCCAAATCGTAAATAAGTTAGCTGGCAAATGGAAGGGCCATAAAAGCGAAAGTATCGTAAAATCGTTCTGCCAAATCAGCGACGAGGACTCAGGACTCGGGCAAGGACAACAAACCGGAGAGCTCAACAGGCGCCACCATCACTCAATGGACCAGAAATGGCAATGGGATTGGGATTCGGAATGGGAATGGAAGGGGCCACAACCTTTAAATCAAACAAGGCCAGCACGCACGTACGCCTTCATGGCCAGAGCAATCGGGAATGGATGAGGCACTGAATCACCCGAATCGCCCCATTCGGCCATTGGAGCAGTGCAATGCCGCCTGTCAAATTAAGACACACTCATCGGCCCGCAGAGGTTGTAATTTGTGGTGTATTTATTAGTGCTCGGCTCTCTTATCGATGCTCAAGAGGGTTAATGCCATAAATTATTGGACTCCTATTAAATAGGACCAAGGAATATTGTACCAGAAACTTAATATATACTATAAGGCTTTCTGAGTTGCCTCCTTGACTAGCTTTGATACAAATGCTACTGCAACTGCGGTAACTGTGCGGTCTTCTCCTTGGCGACACTCCCTTTGAGGTCACACACATTTATCATAAGCTGGCTCTGGGCAGAAGATGTCCTCCCAGGACGTCGGTTGACACCTAAATGATACCGATAAGTACCTTAGCGGATGTGTACATTTGTCGAGTGACTTGTTTTGCAGTTACCATTCCTGCACATCCTTTTGAGCGCCGCAACGCTCTACCTACAGTCCTCCCTGTGTGCATATTTGAAGATGCAGAAGTTGGGAATCAGTCGACTTGCGGTATTTGCCACCTAAGCTGCTTTGTAAGTTGCCCGGCTGGGCGGGATTTATGAATTTGACTTTGGCTTGAACCACTTTGCTCCACTTGGGCGCCAGCAAAGCCTGCAAAGTGGCAAAAGTATGTAAATTTTGCTCCTCCTTTTTGGCCGCAGCAAAGCAGCTGGGTGATCCTGGGGAGTGAGAATACAATTTTACGAATATGTAAATAGTTTTTGACAAAAGGAGTTGTCACTGCATCAAGTTTGGGCGGTGGCCGCAAAAATCCAAAATTAAAATTTTCCAGCACACATAGACCAACGACGACGACGACGGGGAGGATAACTCCAAAAGGGGGAGGAAGCCGAGAAAAGTTTGCATTTTCGGGCTGCAACAAAATTAAAATATGCCACAAAGCGTGGCACGTCGAAGATGCAGGAGCACCCCAACACACACACACACACATGCCAGGAGAAAGGATGAGGGTGGTGGAGCAGCAGCACGAAGCAGGACCAGGACGCTGTGTCAAGAAAGGCAGCCACAGCAAAGCCTACAAGGCGGCTTTGGGAACGTTGATGAACCCCCAGTGGAACTTTCATGAGCCAAAGCCAACAACATTACAAATTTAAACAACTGCGGGTGGGGATCGGGCTGGAGTTGGTGCTGGAGCTGGAGCTGGAGGTGGAGCTGGGTCTGGTGATGAACCAGGAGACGTGACGCATACACGTGCCAAACGAATTGCCAGGGAGTGGGGGTAAGAGTGCCAAAGGGAGCCGGCACAAGGATGTGGCAGAGGAGGTGGAGACATCATCATCATTTTACGCTTTGCGGCAACGGCGGCGGCAGTGACGGTGATGAGGATGCGGATGACGATGGCGATGACGATAAGGTGGCCAACCAGCGCAGACTACAGTGGAGAAAGTTTACCAAACTGTGCAAATTAAATGTGAAATCTAAGTGGAAACGTACATGCTCCTGTAGCTCATCAATAAGGCAATGAAACATTGATGAAATAATACATTATTGAAAGCATAATTTTCCCTTACAATTTAAGGAATACATTTTACTGAGAATGTAAGATTATTAAGTTTATAAAGTGTGCTTTCAAAGGTTTCAATTTATTTGTTACTCACAAATTGATCTACAAATTTATAACCTTATAAATAAATAAATACTCATTTATTTTACAATATTTTGCAAGACATTTTCTCTTCTAAAAGAAAAGTATTTTCCCGGGTGTAAATTGGTCTTAATTTCCATTATGCCGCCCAGACTGTTGCACATTTGCATGCGGGCCCAAAGGACAGGTGTCGTGGGAGCCAAAAGCGATGCTCCATATGATGCTTCATCTCCTGCTCACCTGCTGCCATCCGTCACCTTCTGATTGCCTTGAAAGCAGCATCGTATTGCACATATACTCACGTCCAATTAACCGCAGAATCAGAGCACATCAATACGTGGCCTGCAATTTAAGCGGGCTTGGATGCTGGGCCTCTTTATGCCAAGCGATTGATTGGTCCAAACTTAAACAAGGAGTTGCTACACAGTCTGAAAAGCTTAATTTCCTTTATTTATTACTTGAGATGTTAAGTTAAACTTGGTTAAACCTCTTTGATTTCAGTAGTAGAGACTATAAATCAATCCACTTGAGTCAAGACATAAAGAATTGATGTCAGACATATAATCACGTCTAAATGCTGTCGTTAACAAATGTATAATTCCCCTGAATGGCGTCATTGCAATGCAATTTTGTTGGGATATAAATCACAGAGAGACGCTCATTTGCATATATACACGGTGTTTGCTCGTTAGTGTAATTGATGATAAACCAGCAGATACTAATTTGTGGATACTTTGCTTTTGCAGATTGACATCTCCTGTCGAAACACAAAGAATACCGTCAACGCGCTCCTGACGCGCACGAACTTTGTGACTCTGAAGTACGTGACCGATGGCTGGGGAACGGATGCGAATGGGTTCAAGTTGGTGATTACATCGGTGAAGGATCCCAGTAAGTGAAGGGAATCGATCCCGATTACATAAGCTAATTGTTCTTATTCTTTTTTCCCTGTCCATAGAGCACACCTGCAAGGACTTTACCTGTGCCACCCGCGAGTTTTGCATCCATCCTGATCTGTTGTGCGATGGTGTCAATCATTGCGGCGACAACTCGGATGAATCAGTGCAGAATCTTTGCCAGAGTAAGTATAGGTCTTTAACTGCAACACTTTTAGATCTTTAGTTTCTAGGAATTATCTCAATTCCTTGGGGTTCCCATATTAGCACAGAGTTCATCCCTTCCTTCCCTTCTTTCAGGTGAGGCGAGTAGCACAGTCTTTGGCATGGACATGACCTGGTTCGTCCTGATTGTCGTGGGCGTACTGCTGGTGCTCAGTGCCCTCATCGTGGCCGTGGCCATTTGTGTGTGCCGGCGTCAGGACGAGAATGCCGCCAATCAGAACACCGCACTCCAATGTAAGATCATTCTATAGAAAATATCCAAATTAAATCTAACTTAACTCCTTGATCCTTCCAGTGCACCACAATGCCGACACGAATGGTTCGTCGAAACATCTGCACTACCATGGCATCAGTGTCGGCGGAACGCTGACGCGGGAGCATACCCAGCTGCCGACGTCGGGAAACTGGCATCACCCTGCGGGACCATCCGGGTACCACCGCACTCCACACAGCTACTTGAAGATGGCCACCAAAGTCCGTCCCATTTGGTGCTTGGCAAATTCCGTCAATTAGGTCAAGATCTATCGCATAACTCCGCCGGGCTCAGCCAGACGAACATTGCCGGAGCTGGCGCCGCAGGCGCTGCGCAAAAGGACGAATGGTTCGTCTAGGACCAAAGTCTGAGAGCATTTGCGAAAGAACCAATTGACTTGAGCACAATAATCTGTACTTTATTAAGAAAAATTTATGGATATTTGCAGAGCATTAAATGAAGTGGGTATTACTTAATATATTACCATTTATATATATTAATTCAATTCCGTTTTCAGGACTGTACGACTATATTTAACAACAATTAGTGTGGACATCACCGCGCAGGGTGTATTATATAGAGATCTCTCCTCGTACCCAAGCAGAGACTCGAACGCATTGGGCAGGACTTGCCGGTCCTGTCGGATAACCAATGCATCTGTACATAGTCTATAAATATATATATCAATTATAATTTAACTGATTAACACTGCACGCTGGCTAAAACAAGATCCTTAACCTGAACCTGGCCCTGAATCCCTATCATAAGTTTGGTGCAAGTACATACGTTGGCATTTATTTAGAGTAATTATTTACGTTTAGATGGCATAATTAGGCAGATGGAATAACTATTGATCTTCGATTATAAAGTCAGTTTGCATTGCATTGCGGATTGCGTTCGATATGTGCACAGTTTAAAGTAACATTAAAGATATTGTATAACGAATCCGGAGATAGTCACAGATTCTGAAAGGAACAATCGTAAGCATTTAACTGAATTGTGAACAGAAAACCGAGAAACAAAAAAACCGTAAGAAGTATTAAAGCTCAACATGAATAACCGAACACTGTCATTAATATACAACTTCCGAATCTAAACAATTTGAGATAACTGAATGTTTTTACCAAAACAAAACAAAAAACTAAGCTGAATTCTAATCACAAAATGGACACAAGAAGATCAACAAAACAAGGGATGTACATAAGTAGTCGACAATATACTCACATACTTACTTACAAAATAAAAAAAGGAAACAGAAACCGAATGTCATTAAACGGAAACTTCGATTAAAACTGTGTCACCTCCTGAATACTTCACCGCCACTTTCCATTGTCCACGAGGAGACAAAGAAAGAAGCAGACATTTCACCGAGAGACTCACTCATTCAAGGACCTCATTAAGGAGCCGAATAAAAAGCGATATCGAAACCGAAACCCATGCTAAGCGGAAATATTCTGAGACATTAAGGACAATACAGTGAAAACTTTTGCTTTTGATACAACTAAATTGAGACGATGTCGTGGTGCATGGTGCATTTTAATCTACAGAAGTGTCCGAATACGAATACAATTTTCTACAATCAACAACCGAAATGGGATTCTACACAAAATTAAACGTAAAACCGAGTTAAAATTGAATACATTTTGCTACAAAATCGAATGATAACGATCATATACATATTATATTTGACGACAATGTGCATAGGAGGAGGAGTCACTTGAGAAAACCAAACTAAAATGCTTCAAAATGATTGTAGTACTTCCCGCCGTTAATATTTTTTTAAATATATCGTACATACTACAAGAATACAGATAATACTTATACTAAGAAGCAATATGTAAGAACTTTTTCCGCTGCTATACAAAAATATTTGTCTTTCGAAATACTTCCATAGGCCCAGGCCCAGTTTTTGCGTATCCTCGAGTTTTCTTTTTCCAGAATAATACCTACTTTCCCGTTTTGCTAAGCCAGAAAATAAATGAAACATAAATTATATGCAGATAGGGGCAAAAATTAAACACTAAACAGAGTGTTTGTTAGGTGGCATGTGTTCAGCCCGATCAGTGCGATTAAGTCAAATTAAATTAAATTAGTTTTGTACTTAGCTGTAAAGTGAAGAAAACAAAAACCCCGAAAACTAAATTAACTAACTAACTCCTAGGCATAATTTCCGCTGAAAGTCTCTCTTCTTTGTAACCCAAATTCCTTCCTTCTTTCTTTCGATTGTAAAACTACATACATACAAGCGTCTTATACTATAATATATATATATATCATAAATTATAGGAAAATGGTATTATGATGTATTATGATAAATTGAATTTTTAACCGAAACTTATAAGCAAATTGTATTAGGCGTCAAATTTTAGAAGCGAATGGCGATGAGCATACGTTATGGGTATGAGCTGAGGCCGCATTCATACCATACCATACATGGCAACAAATTAATCTTAATTACTTAAAACAAAAAACGACGATAATAATTGAAACTAAATAACAAACTGAATAACCACAAAGCTAGTTTATGCAATACAGGAATATGGAATACTGAAATTATGCGTCAAGTAAACAAGTAAAACGTTTAGGCAAGATTGTATTGTAATATCTAATCGTAATTGTACTCGTAATCGCATGCCTACTCCCCAGCACTGGTGAAAATCGGTTAGATCATGTCGTACTTACGTATATGAGTGTAGTTAAAATATACATACATATTTACCTAAATACAAATCAATCGAAAACGGAGGCAATTGGATAAGTGATCGATCGATCGATCCACTTGGTATAAAACCCTGATTGATCCATCGATCTCCGCCAGAGATGTCCCAGAGATATGGTTTTGTAAAAGCTAATTAGGGAGTGTGGATGGGGATGGTGATGTTGGGATGAGCTTTTCGTTTCTCCCAGTGTAAGTGTTACAATGTGTTACAATTCATTTTTTTTACCTTCAACACAGTCTTTGCCACAATTAGTCGAACTCTACTTAGTATATGTATGTATATTTATGGTACTTACATGTCTGTATGTATTGTACTTAAATAAAAGCAAAAGCAAGATCGAAATCTATGGAAAGCCCCCTGCTTCGCCCCCGCAATCCATAGCCAGGACTCAATTAGGTATATCAAGGCTCTTGAGTTCAGTAGAATATCATAAATTGAGAGCTCATAATTTTTTGTGTGGATGGGTTTGTTGGAGCCTCGACTCGATGGTATGGATTACTATGGGATTGAAGGTAGTTAAGTATAGATCGACTAGGTATACATCCGAGAGAGCAAATGTTATGCGAAATTGGGCAATAGAATCGATAATCCTCTAGGGAATATTAATATCCACATCCTGATTACGGTATCCAAAAAGGCAAAAGGTCCACAATTTTTAGAGTTTATCACTTTGGTTAAATAACGAAAAGAAAAAAAACTAAAAGTAATGAGATTTTACCAATACCTACCAGCAAAAAACAACAATAACTAACCAGAATGAATGATTAAAAGCCTAGGAAAGGGGATGCGTAAGAAATGCTTAGCTTTGTGTTAAATTGCTGTTGAATATAAATGTACTTGTACAATGATAATAATTACGATGGCATTGAAACACAACAAAACACACAGTCAGAACAACAACAACAACAACAAACAGAACACACACCAAACGATCAGACAATGCAAGAACAGAACCCAAATCCAAATGAAACTAATTATAATAAAATAAAGAATATAAAACGTTAACTTGATTCTTGTTTCGCTTATAAGAGTAAGAATGGATTCGATGGTAAGCCAATTTTGTTCCGATAAAATAATAATAAATATACTGATAAAATCAACCAAAATAACCACTTAGACGATCAACTCGTCCTCTGTTAAGAGTTCCTCTGTGTCGGAATATAGAATCATCTCCAGATCGCGTCTCTTGCGCTGTTCCTTCTGTTGCCGCCTGCAGTGGACTTGGGCCAGACAATTGAGTGAGGAAACCACAAAGAATATCACCATGACGAAGGCCAAGAATTCGAAGACCCGTACCACAACTAAGAAGATATCCTGGGGCTCTGATTTGCTGCCCCCGTGCATCTGCTGCTTGGTGGACTGTAAAACCCCCAGGATGAGATTATTCATCGAATGTCCAAGATAGGGCACCTTGAGCAGACGTTTCGCTATTTTCTCCACCAGATCATCGGTGAATGCCATAATGACGCACACCTGCTGGATGGTGGCCTTGATTAAAGCCTTGCCAATCAAGATGGCCACAAAGAACCTCCAAAAGGGAACCAGAAAGTGGCCGCAAATGATTCCAGTTATGTCAAACAGAGGATTGGGCAGACTCGCGGCTATCAGGATTGTCACAAAGGGCACTCGTCCCATCCGTTCTGCTATCAACTGCTTGACCCGCTCCAGCAGACTTGGGCTACCATCATGTCTTCTGTTGCCCACCGTCTCCGCGTCCTCAATCTCACCCGAAAGCCGGGCGCTGCGTGCCACAAAGTATGAGGGTAACTCTCCCAGGACCGTGCCCAAGCCCCAAAATAGTGCCTCCGGTCGGACCTTTGACAGGATTACCCATACATCAAATTCCTGATGCTTGTAGGGCTCTGGGGGACAAATCTTTTTGTCCGGATACGGTGGAGCCGGAAAGTTCAGGGTACCGCACTCGTAGGCTGCCAGGGTAACGGCGGCTATGTGAGGACCCAGATAGAGCAGGAAGGTGTGCAGCCCAGCTCCGAATCCCACAGATGTGAGCATTCCCAGGAACAGCCAGTAGACCGCGAATCCAAGGTAATTCTTACAAAAATCCGCGTAATAGGCATGAGGGCCTGGAAGGATCACTATAATTCCGAGAAACATCAAAATTCCTAGGAGCCATTTGCTCATTAACTTGTTGTAGGCGTAAAGGAGGAACCGATAGATTTCAATGACTCCATACTTTAAGGTCTTCCAAGGACGACGCCAAAGGACCAGGGACTTCCACTCCACCCGCTCTTCGGCAGTCTCACGCGTTGTATGATCTACATCTATATTTGCTGCCATAGTATCTTTAAATGTTACAAAACTTGGTACTGATTTATACTTTATTTTCAATCTATACGTTCCAGGAGAAAGCTTTTCCATAGCTGCAATGATAACTTTGGTTTATGAATTTGTTTACCTCTGAAGGGTATTATATTTAATTTAAGTAGAAATTTGCAAGTCATTTCCGACTATATATATATATATTCTTAATCAGTATTGATTTAGCCATGTCCATCTGTGCGTTTATACTCAAATTAGTCTCTGAGTTTTGAAGCTTTAAAACGAATCGGCGGCAGTCACTGAATGAGCCGGATCGAACGACTATATCATATAGCTGATATAGGAACAATCGGAAAATGCCCTCCCTCTCTCTCTATCGTTAGTTGTTTACGTGTAGCTCAAGAGGTACCTCTTACTCTCTCCCTCTCGCAGCCTAGCCTCTACAGATGCCTCTTTCTCCCTTACTCTCTCGCTCACACTTTCTCGGTTCTCTTGCCTCGCGGACTATAAATAGAGGGTCGCTAGCGGCGCGCCGGCCTTAGTCTGTCCGTGGCACCTGCAGTGATAACATCGATTGTGATAGTGGAAGTGATTGTGATTAACTCCGACCCCAAATATATTACCGGACCAATGGATAACCAGGAATGAGATGACGTGGATGTTTACATGAGAAGCCTAATTGGAGTCACCAGGAACATAAATCTACACTGAAAGGAATATGGAATTGATGAAAATGAATAACAGTGTCTCATCTACCGGGGTAAGTCTGAACAATGACAATTATATTATTTATATATGTAGATGCTATTAGAGAGATCAGGCCTTGATCTAGATTTAGCTGTGCTATCTATGCTATTAGTTTTCAATTTATTCCCTTACTGCCATGAACCCTAATTAACTTTAATTTAAAGTGATACAGCAATTTTTATTAAGGATATCTATAAACGTATAAGTTACTAGTCTAACTTAACTATAAATTTTGCTATATAATTATACCTTTGCAGTGTATTATAATTTCAGTCAGAAGCTTGTAACGCAATGAAGAGTCGTTTCCGACCCTATAAATCATATATATTCTTGATCAGCATTTACAGCTGAGTCTATCTAGCCGCCATATGTAGAAGGAAAAAAAATGTTCTCGTTTTTGTTTTGAAAATTTGATAAGGGGTAAAGTTTTCAAAAATTTGGCAAATATTTTAAATTTCTTTGAAATTTTAAATTGGGTATGCAGATTTGTTAACCATATAAAAACTTGCACAGAAATGTTATCCAGATCTAAATTAATGAATTTTTGGCTTAGTTATGATCGAAAATTCGAACTTATAATCCTATGGGTGTTACAAACACTTTGGCTTCTCAAAGTTAGCTTCCACTTTTGTTTTATTTACTTGTTGGGCGTTCTGCTACATATTTGAATGATAATGATTAAGATACAGAATAACGTCTTAAATGTGTATATTATTCTTATACATGTTTAAAAGAAATATCAGCGCTTTGTGCTACCAGGAATTCAGTAAATATTTAAATGATTATGATTAACATATTGAAAATCGTCTTAAAATTATATAGTATTATTATCCGTCTTGAAGATCTTTTATAGCTTCGTATTGCCAATAACTTAGTGGTCCAGGTGGAAGAGAAGTGAGTTTACCATCAAAATTCTCGATATTTTGCACAGACAAATGTTCATCCTCGCACTGGTATTTAAATTTACTGATTTCGGTTATAAAATTCTCAATTTCCATAGTCTCCTCGGGTCCCATAGCTTCTTCCTTCAAACTGTGAATCGATTTAGCACTGCATACAAGAAAATTCTGATTTACGTTAAGGGAAGAAATTAATTAACTAAAACTTACATGATCATGAAGTGATTTTCCTGCAGTCGTAAGGCTGTCAGCAGTGGCAGAACACTTCGTAGCGGCAGAAGCCGATTCCGTTGACGTGAACTGGTCACTTCCAATCGCCGAACACCCATGTTTTTGACCAACAGAAGCAGCAATTCTTGAAACACGATCAATCTCAAAAGCCAGGAGTCAAAAACTGTGACATGCCTTTCAATTATGCTCAGGTGAGCAGTTAAAAGAGACGACACCCGAGTTTTAGAGTTGTTCTTATCGCCGGTTACGTGCAACAGAATGACTGGCAGGCAGTGGATATACCCTTGAACGCGGTGCTCTAATAGGACACCCAAGAGTTGCTCCAATTCGAAGTCCAGATATTTCAAGGCGGTTGAAGTCTTAAAATAAAAAACAAATTACAGGGAGATTTAGGGAAAACATGAATCTTACCATTTTATATTGGACCAACACCTTCCAGATACGATTATTTGGCAAAACCAAATGTTTCGATTGCAAAAGCCGTCGGAAGACGAAATGCATCTCAGACACATAACCTTCGACGAGTAACTCGGGATCCGAATCTCTCGGAGGCTGCAGCAACCAGTCCAAAAGCGTTCCATATGTGGCATCATCCAGACTCAAGTCCGGAAGATTACCAATGTGCAGTATGAGAATAGAACAGAATAGAAACTTGGCTCGCACAAAGTCTAGATTAGAGTTGGAAAGTTCTGACTTGCAGAAGTCAAGGAGCTGGTGCACTAAAAGTAATATCCTGACGCAAAAGTCATTATCTGATTTATCTCGCGCTACATATAACATGACCAGCATGGTAGCCAAGCTTTCGCTGCCATAACAAACTGAAATCAAAATGAATACATAAATTAATGCGGAAACCGTATTATCTCACTTACTTAGGCTTTTGTTTTGAACTCGTTGCTCCAGCAGAAGCTTGACCAGAGTCGGATAGATGTCCACCACATGACGGACATCAAACTTTTTGACAATAAGCAAGGAGTGCAGACGTCTTAGACTATTGGCATAAGTCTCCAGTAGCTCGACCATTTGGGAATCTTCGGTATCGTTCTCATTCAATAAAGCCATCAATTGAGCCTGTTCCTCTCGTATATAATTCTCTGCTGAGGTATAAATCAGATCATTTCCCGTGGCATTCACCGAAAGATAGATATTGCTGTAGAGCCCTTGAAACTCCGATTCGCTAAGGGTGTTGTCTGTGAGGAAGTTATCTAGACAGAACTGCTCCAAAATCAAGAGCAGCTACAATCGAAATATTTTATTCTTCTAATATATAATCTATATATATTATATTATAATTCTTACCTCTTTCTCTATTTGAGCTACTGCCACAAAGTCCACCATACCATAGATACTGTAAAGTATAGCTCGAGTGCCAGTCTGGTGAGATGCAGACCGCACAAGATCTGGCCACCAGTGTAGAAAAATGTTGATCTGCTCACAAGCCTCCGGAATTTTTAAGTACTCTGCCATGAGGCGCTCAAAAAGAATGCTTACGGACTGGGCGGCTATAAGACTTAATTCAATTCGCACATCTCGAGCACTGAGCACAATTGAGTAGGTCTCAAAACGATGTAGCGCTGGAAAGTGCGTGGCAATAATTTTCAGATATCTGCCCAACTCATTTCTAAACTGGGCATAGCTCGGATTCTTTCGGGGATTCCCCTGCGACTTAATGTACGTTTCCAGTATGTGCAGGGATATATCCCCTTCCTGGTACTTTCGTTGCGATAGCTTGACGTAGACCTTGGCTGCCATTGAAGAGACCAGCGAAAAAGAGAGTGGAGCTCGCAATATAAGCTGTAGCAAGATCTCGTGAAAACGGATCGTAAAACATTCCGCTGTAACCAAGTGTCTGTTTAGGAGTATTAGGGAATATATATAGTTTACATATAGATAAAGGACGGCTTACTTTTGAAGAGTCATCAGATACTTAAGTGCTGTCATGAGCAGGCGCTTGGAATTGCTCGTTTTGAGTGTCTCAAAGATCACTGCCATATATTTATCGGTGATCAGCTCATTGGTGAACAGACGCAGATACAAATGGTTGTCTTGATCCCGCTCCATGCTCTTGGCGAACTGCTCGATCATAATCTCAAGAAATTCGTAGGCCTCGATGTAACTATTGGCCTCGTCCATCTGAAAATTAAGCTATATGTAAGTAATCCATGGTTAATGGATTGGCTCCTACCTGAACGGTGAGGATGCAAAAGACAAAATCGAGGGCTGACTTCTCCACGCCGCAGAAGGTCTTGTAGTACACCTCAAACATGTCCAGCATGGGTCTCAGAACCACTTCGCAGGTTGCCTGATAGCTGTAATCATTCATAAGTAATTAAATGTATCTTTTGCCAGGTCACTCACAAGATTCCATAGCGAACATCCACGGCGAGGCTCAGACAAATCTCCTTGAGACCGTCAAAATGAGCGTATTTGGGCAGCAGAATTACCAATCCGTTCAAAATATAAAACGCTGAAAGATTTTTAGATATGGAATAGTCTTGTTATTTAAATGGTGCTCACACATCCTGGCCAATGGCTCGCAGAGAAAACGATCCGCGGAAGTGACGCTGGTTAGCTGCATGCTACCGGAAATGGAGTGCACCACCTTCATCCAGACGATCACCACCCGCAGGTATGCGGACACCGGATGGGTGAGCCGATCGAACCGACAATTTTCCACATCCAATTTCAAAGCGGATGCGTAGTGCGACAATAATAAGGGTAACTCTTTAAAGAAAGCCTGCACATCGTCCATCAGTTTTAGATCAGGATTGAAAATATAGTTGGGGTTGTCGGTGCGGTACGAATGATCCTGCGTCCAAAAGGAGTCCTCTTCGGCCACGTTGAATCTGAGGCCCAGCACCCGGAAGCATTGGCCCACGAAACGGTGCGACACTCTTGTGACCCAATTTTCTGGATCAGAGGTCACAGCTTTTAGGAAAGCCATAGCGAACTCCTCGGTTACGAACTGAAAATGGGGGTTTATCATGTGGATCGGTAGGGTATTAATATGAGTACTAACTTCAATTTCGGCGCCAGTTGAAAGAACTGAATAAAAATCCATTTTAAGCGCTTTTTACAAAATGACTTCAAACTTTTAAGAAGCATTTTTTAGTGTTGGAAAGCTATAGATCGCGAAGCTATGGGCTGTTATCGATATCAGAAAGGAAAGAAAAAATTATCACATTTTGAATCGTTTAAATATTATGGGAAAATGGTGGTGAAACTTTAATGTTCGCATATATTGTATGTAATAATACAAATTTAATAAAACCATAACTAAACTTAATATGCATTAATTTTAATTCGGAAAAAATGAATTTTTTGACCGGGAATGGCTAGATCGACTCTACTGTTGATGCTGATCAAGAATATATATGTTTTATGGGGTCGGAAATGACTCTTTTGCACTGCATTGTAATCTTCTAACTATAATTATAATGCCCTGAATAAGTTATACTTTTTAATTGAATTAATCTCTAGATCATTCCTATTGTTCCTATGGCAGCTATATATATGTATATATATAATCCACCGATTCGCCATGCTCCTACTTATATTTTAGTAAAATTATACTTACTGATCATAGTTATTTATTATAAAGTTACATTTACTAAAGTAGCCGTTTCTTTTGGTGCGTAAAACACGACAGGTCCTAATGGTAGATAAGCTTGTTGCCCAATTAATTCAAACGCCAGCTTTAATTGAGATTTCCAACAAACTGTTTATTTGTATTTATTTTTGTACATTCTGTATTTGGAGAAACACAGCACATATTACAAAATGCATATATTTACAGCAGAGGATGCACATGTAATACAATTGATAATGCCTAAACCTCGAACAATCCAAATGCGCGTCTAATACAAAATGCAATTACAAATAGTTTTTGTTTAACTAGCCATAGGTAATTAATTTAAAAGCTCACTTAAGCTAAATAGTGTGTACTTCGCGGGTGGGCCCGAGGGCAGTCGGATTCACAAATACTTGAAAACGCCAACATTTTAAATGCGACAAATCGTTGTCACTCTGGGTTGCCCAGGGCAAAGTGACACTAGAGCAGGTCGGAGGCTATCGGATAGCCAGCATGAGACAGGCACTTTAGTGACCCTTCAACTGTATTCTAAGAGTTATGCCAGGTCTGGCAGCAGATCTGATCTTTTTGGTTTTACGCTTGTACTGGGATTTCCTCGCTGGTGCTAGTACTTTTTAAGTTGCTCGTACGTGATGAAGAAAATGATGTTCCACGGTCCCATCCTGACCCAAGTGGGTATGAATCCCTTGTAAAGGGCTAGGAGTCCCTCGTTTCTGATCGTCTGCACGGCGCAGTCGAGGCTCCCACTGTATAGCTTTGGTGTGGCTGCTGCCGTGACGACGCCGTTTATCGACATGCTCACGTGCCGCTGGTTCATCAGGCGGGTCTGTTGTGGAGACGAAAAGAAATCTCGGTTTCTAAAGTCGCACCAATCTACGCTACTACTTACCCGGATGACATCGATGGGGGTTGAGGCTATGGCACTGCCCAGACTGGCAATAAAGCTTGAGCTGCAATTGCAACGATTTATTTACGAGGAACTTAAAAGGTACTCTGCAGTGTCACTTACATGAAATGATTGGCCACGTGATCTCCAAAGGCGGTCATCAGCTGCAGCTTGCAAAAGTCATAGACGGGTAGCTCCACAGATGCGATAACCACAGCACGCTGAGCCGTTGGCCCCACGCCGCGCCACAGTCCACGGACGCCCTCATACTTGTATATCTCTCCGAAGCAGCCCAGCAGGCTCTGGTGCTGACCCTTCCCGTGCACTTGCATGCGCACCTTCAGTACATCTGTGGGATTGGCGATGGCCGAGGAGATGGCTCCGGCAGCCGCAGCGCAGAGTATGTTGCTCCAGACCCGCTCGCTTCCATCCTCGTTCGTCAGCAAGCCGCGCTCGTTGGCCAGTTTCTTGAGTGTATAGTAAGTGCCAAACTTGATGGTGCCATAGGTGGCCTGTCGCAACACCGCTGGCCAAATGCTGCAGTAGAAAAGAAAATTATTCATTGAAATGCTTTAGGCAATTACAAATAAAATTAAAGTATCAGGTTCACAATGATGCTTTGCCCTGGTATCAGTTTCAGATACAAAGTCTAATGGGTTAGCAGACAGCAGGGCAAAGTTCGCTGACTGATTAAACTTTTGGCCCACCGCAAGCATTCCTTATCAATAAATGTCTGTTTATACAGTAAAAATTATAAGCACAGGCTATTCCTATAAATAGCTGTACCCACATATCAAACTATTCTATCATAAAATTCCCTAATGCTTAGTTTACACTTTAAAGTTCCTTGTACAAAGAGCCTACTGTGCTTCCCCTTATTCCAATAATAATTCTCCCCAGCGGACGAACACGTGACCGTCACACGTTTGCGACGATAAGAAGCCACTGCTGTGATGGACCCATGATGTGACAGCGTGCGCGTGGAGTGGAGATACCCAACATTCTTACCCGGAATACAGAGCCCTGAGACCCTCCTCGCGGGAGATTTTCATAAAGGCATCGGTCATGCCGCGATATCGCAGTTGCGAGAAAGTTTGGTCGATTTTCTGACCTTGGATTTGGAGGCGCGTCTTGGTGGTGTCGATGGGAAAAGTGCCTGCAATGTGAAATACGTAAATGTTTGTTTACAAAAGATTCGCTGGACAGATTAGGAGCAGTCTGATTCCGCTGTAGCCCAGACTAGTGACTAGCCGGCTGGCGGGGCAGAGGAAGGTGTCACCACCACTGTTTTTGTTTACCAAATTCCGCGGTGATCGATGCAACGCCGCCGTAAACAAAAGGCCGCCAGTCCTTCACTTCTGCCATGACGCCGCACCTGTTGATGTCCGGTTTCGAGACAAACTACGTCCTGCTTCCTTCCGTATCCACCCTCGCCTTAATGTCGCACTACCTGGCGACAAATTTAATTACGGTTCGCTATCGTCTTGGCATCCAAAAAGGAAAATATTACGGAATTAACGCAATGCGCCGGTGTCCAATTGGAAAATTTGCGTAAGTTTTGCCAGCAGTGAGGCCAGTTTAGCTTATTTCAAGTTAGAAAAGCTTATAAGCTTATAAACTTTAAATAGCCAAGTGCTGCCAGACCACAAGTCGCGGTGCAGCGTTGCCAGACTTTTTTGAACACATTTGAATTAACGGGCACAGTCGGTTTGTTTCATTTATGAATTAGTTTTTATCAAAATAAATAGCATTTAGGAAACTTTGAATTTAAAGAAAACATACAATAACCAAAAAATAAAGCCTAAACATTGTGTATGAAAACCTAATATTCCTCAACACATCGCCTAATAGTTACTGTCAGTTAAACAAATAGTCTAAAAGCTGAATGTAGACCAAGTAACTCCATCGATCAGCGAACTTTAAATGAATATTTTATTCGCCACCGACAGCAAGTTAAATTAGCGACTACGATTTGGGAATTCCTAGCTACCATAACCCTGGCCTCGTGGTCCATCTGGGGATCTAGTGCAGGTTCTCCAGCAGCTACGACCTTAGCTGGCATTTTGCGTTTTGTTTTCGCCCCGGCTCTTCCTCTCTTGTTTATTGTTTCTTTTCTTTGCCAAAATTCGCATAATTAAAGGTTGTTTTGGGGGAAGCTAAAATCCGATAGCAGTGTTTACTATGATTTTTCTATGTTTAATTCACGTCACTCGCTGATCACCGCGGAACCGGATCGTGAAAGTCGACATCGGCGGCGTCAGACGGTCGCCGGGCTTATGGACCAGTTTGATGCCGCTCCGATCCAGCAGATTCAGTGGGTTTAACCCGAAAATGGGCAGACAAACAAAAGCGGAGAGTTCGCTAACAAAGAATTTGGCAAGTCAATTTAATCTCTGCAGCCCATTGTTAGTCGCAAAGGCACAAATGTAATTTAAAATCGCTTTACAGCTTATTTCACTTCGCTTTGCATTCCGCTGCCGGTTTCTCCGCTAAGTGATTTTTGCCAATGGAGCGTTCCCATCTCGGTTCTCCGCCGGTTCAAAATGCGGGGGCGTGCGCGTAAATTGACCGTTTCGGATTTGTTTGCAAATCAAATTAGCGGATTAAGTCAAGCGATCTGAGAAATGAGTGCGGCTATATGGAATTTATTGAGACGTGAACTTCAAAGGTATATAAACATTACGAAAAGCTTTCTGAAACTGCTAAAATTAACTTAAAATAAATATGTTTTTGAAGGCCATGTGGGTCCCATAAGGTAGGACTTTATGCGTTAACTTTAAACACAGATTTATTATACAACCAGTTTCCCATCTGAATCTCTTATTATTTGTACTATATTATTGACAACAAAACAAATTTAATAATAAACCCGTAGGTCTCGAAAAGCTGAACGCGTGCCAGTCTCAAAGTTGCTATAGATATTCCACATTTTTTGATTTTGATTCCATCTTGGGTCTAGTTACTCATCTCTTCGGCATGCGGAAACTGCCCAAAAACAAAGGCACTGCCCATATTGGCTTTAATTCGATATCAACTTTATGTATTTGAAATGTAATTCGTCAAGGTTTCCATCAAAGTGAGGATCTGACAAAACGTGTAACCAATTTTAAATTAGAAAACAATTAAGAAAAACTAGAATGAGTTTTAAGTTTCTTCTTTAAAACTGATGCTGAAGAGATCTAAGAATCTTATGCACAAGTAAGGTGGATCTAATTAAGTTAGTGATGCCATAATTAAGTCGGTCGGAATTGCTTCCTTATGGCTTTTATGGAGAAGTACCATGCAAGCTAAAAATTAAAAACGAAACAAAAAAAGAAACTAACTTCTACACGCCAAAGTTTGTATACCCTTGCATATCAAATTTGACGAAAATCTTTTGAAAACTGGACAAGTTATAATTCTTTTTCTTAAAATTTTCCTATCGGTCCTATGGCAGCTATATGTATGTATGTATATAGTCCACCGATTCGCCATGCTCCGACTTATAAACTAGTAAAATTATATAAAGCAATAACTCCATAGTTTCATACAAATAGCTTAAATTCTTTCCAAAACAAATCTCACACATCTGAGCTTATGATTCTCAACTGGTTCAAACATCCCCGGAACGAAGTGACTGCTGCAGGCCAAGTCTCAGAAATGTGTTGTGGTACAAAAGTTGCAAGTCATTGTTTATTAGTGTTCAAAGTTAGTAACTGATCATACATTCTAACTGGTCATAGATACTTGCTGATCATAGTTACTCACTGGTCATAGATGCTTACTGTTCAGAGTTACTTACTGGTCCTACTTAATTTCTGGTCATAGATACTTACTGTTCGTTGTTACTCACTGGCCATAGATACTTACTGTTTAGAGTTACTTTGTGCTTATACTTAATTACTGCTCCTAGTCAATTTTTTGATCGTTCCTATGGCAGCTATATATGTGTATATATAGTCCACCGATTCGCCATGCTCCGACTTATATACTGGCAAAATTATTTAGAAGAATAACTCAATAGTTTCCTTCAAATAGCTTAAATTCTTTCCAAAACAAATCTCGCACATCTGAGCTTATGATTCTCAACTGGTTCAAACATCCCCGGAACGAAGTGACTGCTGCAGGCCAAGTCTCAGAAATGTGTTGTGTTACAAAAGTTGCAAGTCATTGTTTATTAGTGTTCAAAGTTAATAACTGACCATACACACTTAGTGGTCATAGATACTTACTGTTCAGAGTTACTTACTGGTCATACTTAATCACTGGTCATAGATACTTACTCATCGTTGTTACTCACTGGCCATAGATACTTACTGTTTAGAGTTACTTAATGCTTATACTTAATTACTGCTCCTAGTCAATTTTCCGATCGTTCCTATGGCAGCTATATATGTGTATATATAGTCCAGCGATTCGCCTTGCTCCGACTTATATACTGGCAAAATTATTTAGAAGAATAACTCAATAGTTTCCTTCAAATAGCTTTAATTTGTTCCAAAACAAATCTCGCACATCTGAGCTTATGATTCTCAACTGGTTCAAACATCCCCGGAACGAAGTGACTGCTGCTGGCCAGGTCTCAGCAAGGTGTTGTGTTACAAAAGTTGCAAGTCATTGTTTATTAGTGTTCAAAGTTAGTAGCTGATCATACATACTTAGTGGTCATAGATACTTACTGATCATAGTTACTTACTGATCCCAGTTACTTAATGTTTATTGATACTTACTGGCCATAGATACTTACTGATCATAGTTAATTACTGAGTTCTGATCGATTTCCGATTCGATCCTTTAATTCGATAGCAAACTCACAGTGTATTTAATCTCCGGCCTTCCGAACTTCGTTTCCTTTCTTAATTTTTGTTTAAGAAGGTATTAAGACAATAAAATTCGATTTAAATTCAGTCCCATTTCAAAGTTAATGACGGTAATTTCTAGTCAAGACTCTAGATTGAATTCCATACTGGTTATTAAACCAAGAAACAATGTCTGAAATAGTCATTAAAGTATTTCCCAAGTAACTAAATTCCCTAGACCTTTACCTAGATTCCCTAGATTGATGACCAACTTGCTAGGCGTTCCCAGTTCGACAGCCCCAATTTGGCCAAATGGTATTCCAAATCAATCAGCTAATGGCTCTATCAGGTATTCCCCAGAATCGTGCGGAAGAGGGCGGGGGAAAGGCAATAGAAATTTCTTTAATCCCAGACTCGATAAATTAATTTGTGGCTAATTTGCATATTTAACACACTGGCCTTTGTTTACTGTTTAGGAGTAAAAACCCCGGACTATCGAAATCCGCATACGAGCAGAAGCCAAGTCTGGCGCCAAAGAAATTGCCAACATCCATCAAGTTATCCGATCTCCGCTCCGTCCGCTCCATGTGCTAATCGCCTTTGGGAATGTTTACTAACTATATATGTATATCCATCTATATAGTGTGTGTACGGCGTGAAGATTTTATTACACACTTGACGTCGCTACTGTCGCCGGTCGCCGGTCGCCGGTCGTTTGTGGAGAGTGATAGCCGGACGGACCGGTCCAGTCCGAATCCGAATCCGTTGCCCAGTCGAATCTATTTCCCGATCGAACTCCAACTCACTGATTATGCAGGAATTTCAGATGCGACGCCTGGTCGCGTCTCCAAGTCGCCACAGTAAATTCTGGGAATCTGACAGATTTTATGATGGCCTAATATTCGCATCATATATTCATTTCCAGTCAAAACTATGCAAAAAGCAGGCCCATGTGAGTATCTTGTTTAACTTGAACTTCGTATTATGGGTCGGGTCTGGGAAAGTCATAAATATGCTCAAGTTATTACTAAAACTTTAAATATTAACAAGACAAATAAACTATGTTTTAATAATTAGTTTCTATAGATTTTCTAAGATATTTTGAAACCAAGTATCCCTTGAAAACACAGTATCTCTGAGTTTTGAGCCCTCACTACCAAAGTCTTCCTTCAAATGAACAATATCTAGAGATTTTTAGTTCTGTTTTTCAACCGTTAACTATATTTGTTTAAGTTGTGGTCTAATGGCTACCGAAAAAGATTTGGTTGAACTTGTTAAATCGATCGACGAGCCAACAACTTTGGAAAGGCTTATGAGTTCCAAAGAAATACTTCAGCTTAGTCCCGAGGATAAAACAAAGGCAAGGGAGATTCTAAAGGGACTTTTGGGTGCTGCTGTGCGTCTGGGATTCATCTATGAGTACAAAGAATACTATTGCGAGGCATCCCATGCGGATGACATGATAGCACTCATGGGATCGGACTCACAGTCCGATTTAGACGATGTCAGTTCAGAGTCTATGGAAGGATGGGGGGATTCTGGAGAGGATGAGTCTTAAGAGAAGCTTTGCAGTTTCTCAAGCAATAAATGAAAAATGTAAGACCGATTGTTATGACATTTTTCAAACCCCTACAAGATAATTTAACAGTTATTTCAGGGCGAAGGTTAGGGATATGCAACCTTTAAACTCATACCCTCTGAGGGGTATATAACAAGGAGTAAAACTACTACTAAACACATCACTTGTCCTCGATCGAAGCATCCAGTTTTTGGGCCAAAAACGTAAGAAAACAGCAAAGTGAATGTTAACGACGGGCAGCCTGACTGACTGCCTCCCTGCCTGGTACACAACTCATCCATAATGCATCACACCCGACCGGCAATTAATCAACAATTAATTTTTCATAAATTGATCGTTTATTGGCTGAAGGCAGAAATTACCTGCTCGCTACCGTGTGCGCCGCTGGGCTAGTTGGGGGATAACAAAAACAAAAAAAAACAGGCAATATTAATTACTAATTATGCGTGGCGTCAAAACAACAAAACTAAGGCACATAAATATTTATCGATTTGTCTGCGGCTTTTAGTCACAAAAACCCGAACCGTCAGAATGGCCACATGTAATCTGTGGACTATGCGATCTGGGAAATCAGAGACGACCTATGGCGGTGGCACGTAGGCCAAAAAAGTGGGCAATAAAATGGAAACGAATAAACAATAAATCAACCGCAAATCGGTTTGCTTCGAGTGGAATTTTTACCTTACATACATACAGTTCATTGCTGGGCTGGCGACCTTATCGCGATGCTAGGGCCTGTGTCAAAAAAATAAAGAATACCGTGGAATACTAGCGGATACCAGCGGGTCCCGTCCATAATTAATAAATTCCAGCGTGCGCCGAGGAGCTGACCAACCCCAGCTCCAGTCCCGGCAAACAAAACAACAAATTGACGTCACACCGGGCTCGGACTTGGACTTGGACTCCTCGCAAGTGCGACATGGGTATCAAGGCTTGAAACGGGTTAAACAAGTAAAGAGATCTCGAGAACCCAAACAACAAACACAAACAACTGGTAAGTGGGGGGAGCCTTAATCAAAAACGTCGACTGGCTCAAAAACAACTTGTAACAGAAATTGGGCTGATCGAGAAGTTGAGGATTCCCTGGGTTACATCTATAAGTTACATCTGAGGCATATTCAAAGAATATATATAATGCTTTTTAGTTCTATTTGCTTAAAACCCGATTTAACTTTCCATAAACTCTTTAGTTTAAACATATAATTTATACTGCGTAATACATTGCGTATGAGTAATATTGTTCCTTAATATTCTTCATATCACTCATACGCAGTGTGTTACAAATGTTACTCATATCTAACAAAGAAATCAACTGAAATTTCTCAGTATAATTTAAATCATCATTAAACTAATATAATTTGTATAAAATATTTAATAATTTATTATTATTACCAAAGTCACACATAAGAGTCAAAGTAATCAACTTTTCCAACTTGTATCTCAAAATTTAAGTTATGCAAGCCACTAACTATACATCCAGAAGTGCGTATATTTATTGCAGCCACTGTGTACTGGTTTCTGTGTTGCAATAAAATCGCTTAAAAGTCGGGAAGCGACTAGTTTTCATTAAGCGTTACGCCTTCTGTTGGCCCAAAAGGTGGCGGCCCGGCGACAAGTTGGCGTCACCCAAATGGGATAATAAGGCCAGGCCAGTAGCAATTTAAATTTTCAATCGACGCCAGGTGCATTTAGATTTACTATATTTTGTAGCAGTGTAGCTTGAATAAGTGAAATTACTCGATTGCATATATATACAGATGCATGGAGATCATCAAACATTCAGAATTCAGGTAAAATGCTGTTGACACCAAAACTTTTATGAGTTTTTTTATGATGCGAGTTTTTTTTTTGGTTTTAGGATATAAATGAGGGTACAATGTAGATGATCTTACTTGGAAATACACAGATTCTCAGTGAATTATTTTTCTCCTTAAAAAAAGAACACACTTGTGGCTCGGTAAATTAATGTACCATTGTTCGCAGATCATGTCATCTCAGTTCTGGTTGAGTGCCAAGAATAAGACTTTAGTACTAGCTTTCTTTATATCCAGGTAAATGTCAGAAAATGACCTGGCGGCACATCGAGCTAATAAATATGTTAATGGTGGGATATCAGGCTATTTATTCTTTTAGCTCCTACTCTTCAAGCGAAACCCTCTTCAGCGCCTTTCGTGACCATTGTTTACCTTTTCCTCGGTCCTCGGTTTAGTCATCTTCAAAAGCTCCGCCTGGGCGTCACTGCATCCCAATTTGGCCAGCTCTTTTAGCCGCATTTAGCAGTAGTCCATTCGATGCGCATCGCACAATTGCCAACTCAAAAAGCCGGCTAAATGGGGCTCGGCAGCGCGAGGTATTACCATTTATGAAGATTCAAGGGTGGGCGACCCCACATTCCAAAGCCAATACACCTAGGCACACCCTCGGACGGGCTAGTCCATTTTTGAGAAGGCCGGATAATTAATTACGCAAAACTGCAAAATAATGCAGAACAATGGCCGGGCAGGCAGAGATCGTCGGAAAGCGGACGGGTAAAAGCATTTCGCCAGCTTGCGATCGCTCCAAATAGCCCCCAGAGCCGCCAGAGATTTATGGCGAACGTCCAACTCCGGAATATCCCAGGCCCCCGTCGATCCAAAAAGAAAACATGTGCTTCGAACGAGCTGTGAAGAGAGTGGTTTTTTTAAAGCTCACAATCGGAGACGGCTCTCTCCGTCTCTCGACTTTGGCAGACATAAATATGGGAGCCCCCTCGAAGGTAGCTTCAGTTGGTGACTGAAAATCAAACTGTGCACAACAGCTCCCCGTGACAAGTTCAAGCTTAACGCGCAAAAAAACAACGCCAGTGAATAAAAATACGAGAGTGGAAGCCAATCTCGTCTACAAATATTAAACAAATATCAAATTGAACACTTAAAAAACCCAAAAACTCAACTGCAAAATGCAAGTGGAAAAAGTTTGTGCCACCATTGTGGTCTTTGCCATCTTCGCCTGCGTCGTGGATGCAGCTATCTACTCCCAGCCCGCCATCTTTCATCCTGGTTAGTATTCAAGCAGAAGACAAGGAGAAATCTGCTTTATTTTTATAAAAAAAATATAGAATAAAGACTAGTTAAATAATGAGTGAAAAGTTATAAAGTTATACCCCATTAGGGGGGTTTTTCCTTAATGCAAAGTTCAAACTATAAAATAACGTTTTTAAAAGTCATTGAAATCTACTTGACACTTAAATTTCCATTTAAATGAGATTTTTTTCTGAGAATGATTGAAAATTGCATTAACTCGATTGCTTGCTTATGGAGTTTTCTAACAAAGTTTCCATTTAATAGACAGGCGACCTTTGTCAGCCACAAAACACAATAAACCAATAGCATTGATGGCGCTTCGCAGGCGTGATTGATTTACGATTGAGGCGATGATTTGGCAAGGCCTAAAATATTAGCTCATTCCCGATAGAAGCCTCAATCTTGGTCTCTAGTCCGATTCATCCCAATAGATTTCAAGAACAAATAAATATTTTCAAGCCACAAACTCAGCTTTGACGTCAGATATCGATGCTGAAAATTTGTTTATAATTCCTTTGGCTGAGACATGTGATTTATGGGTTGATATATTTTCGATATTTTGGCTGCTTTCGCTGACGTCAACAACAAACACAAAACGACGATAATATAAACAAAAGAAAACAATGATATAAAGTCGAACAACGCAAAAGGCAAATACGAAAACAACAGACGAAATTTGTCATGTTATTGGCCCCCTTTCCGTTTTGTTGGTTGTGTAGCAGATTCAGATAAACAAATTCAGATACAGATACAGATACAAATAGAGATAGATATGAATTTCGGTTTTTTGGGTTTTTCGCATTCGCCAAAAATTAGCATAAGAAATGTGCTGATGTGGTTATTATTCAAACGCTTGCCTAATTTGCATCGCTATGCGGATTTGAGTTAGAAAAATTATCGATTATCCCGCCAGCCAGATCTCCCAGAGATGGCCAGATATTTTCCTCTGATGAATTATTCATGCGTGAAGGTCGTTTAACGTCTTTGGCTTTGGGAATTTCTGGCCATCTCGCGCGACTGGCTCACTAATCTATAAGAAATTAGCGCCAAACTGCTTAAAAATAGGCGATGAGTTCACGCGAGCCTCGATATTAATTGCACAATTGCTTGGAATGCGTGTTCTTTGGCTCCTCGAATGGTAAATTAATGGCGAGTCTCATTAATCAAACTTACCTTTCTATTTGGCAATTTATTTTTGAACCCGACAACTCAGCAATTCGCAGCCGCAGGGCAGGCCAGGCAGGCAGGCAGTTCGTTATAAATAAAAGCACGAGTACGCTCCACCGCCATCTGTCAGCTTGGCTCAGTGCTTGAGGTTTAAAAATAAATGCCAGTCTCCAGTGCCCAGTTTCCAGTTACCAGTCTCCAGCCGTAGCCCCAACCGCAGGCTGTCTATAGCTCTTATTTCTGATGTATTTATATCCCGATGCCGACCGAGTACTTCACCTTTTGCTTGTGTGCCAATTTTCTTGTCGAATGACTGTCAAGTTCGTGCCTTAAGTCTTTCGTTTTCTCAGCTTTAGCAAGTCATTGGATAGTTACAAAAATAGGCTAGAGTGGCTAATTGGGGATAATTGTTTATAAAATGTATAAAAATTTCCATCAACTTATTGATGCCACTGAGGTAGTGGGAGTCTTTTAATTGATGTAACTTTTATTGATTTAATACGAGTGCCTTGACCTTTACCCGAAAAATAATTTAAAATTTATGATTACAAGAGTGAGTGTTTAAATTATTCGATTAAAAGGAACCTTGAACTGAATTTTGTTTCGTTTTTGGTTTTTGTTTTGTAAGTCGCATGCACATATTTAAATTCCGCTCGGAGACAGAGTCACGATTTATAGCCACTTCCTCATAAGCTCGCAAGACATAAATAAAATGCATAAATAAGATGCAGTAACTACGATACAGCATCGAGGAAGCAACAAAGAAGACTGGTACCACTTCCGCTTGCACCATTGTAAACTGAAAACAATTTTTTATATTATCTTACAAAGGAGAATGAGGAATTTTATAAGGAAATCAGATATCAAGACAATTTAAGCAAAGAAAAATAATCGAATATTGAGTTAACAATTTTTACTAAATATTAAATCTCCTTTGTTATTTTTACAGCTCATCCTGGCAAGTGCTTCGACAAGTTCACCCGAAAGGCTTTGCTGCCCGACAAGGAGTACAAGCCAAAGGGCATCTGCGCTGCGATGACTTGCAGCCTGGAGGCCCGCGAGATCAGCATCGAGACCTGTCCCTATGTGGAGGCACCTGGCTGCGAGGAGCTGCCCAGCGACCCCAACTGGCGGTTCCCCAAGTGCTGTCCGCAGTTCAAGTGCGTCGACTTCAAGACCGGCAAGGACTTTATCGTCTCGCTGTAGAGAATGCGAGTGCGAAAGGTGGCTGCCCATATAGCCGCAACTGAAACGTGATTTTACATAAAATGTATTCGTAGTTTTATACAACCCGAAAAGAGTGAATGATTGAGTGTGTGTTTGTGTAAGCAAGTGAATGTTTGTGGGATGCGTGTGATTCATTCTTAATTTATTTATTGTAATTTGTACATAACAGCATAACCAGCATAACGCCCTTTTTACCCCATCATGTTTTCTCGTGTGAACATAATGCAATTTGTTTTGATTTATTCAAAAGTCCCTGTATGCGATATTTGCAAGTATGACTAAGTGTAAACAAACTATGTTTAGTCCATAAGGTTTAAGCGAATAAACTAATAATAAACAAATCAGAAATATGCAAATGTTTGCCTTAACGTATTCACTTGGATACGTGATTAGCAGCGTCATGTCCAAGTTGGGAACGTTTTCCCTGCGGTTTATTTGCGCAGTCAATGTCTCTGTCTGTTCCACCGGATTACGCGCTCTTCTTTTTTTGGACTTTGTCAATAAACCAATAAGATTATTCCCTGACTCATCTCCGGCTGTTTCGTTGGGCAAACATCGCACATGCCGCATTGGAAGCGATCCGCAGCGGAGCTCCAAATACAATCAAAAGTTTATTGCTCGAGAGTCCAACGGTTTGCCGTCTCTGGGCCTGATACGAATAATAATTTTATGGCCTACGTTGCTCATTAGAGCTAACAGGAAATGCCAAAAGACTCAGAGCGTCGTTTGATGATCCGCTAAATATATTCCAAAAATAGATTAGAAATGGCAGGTAAACCTAATTAAAGAATTACTTAAAACATTATGTACCTATATGAAAATTTATTTTTCGACCGCGAATTACTAAATCGATTCAGCTTTTAATACTGATCAAGGATTTATAGGGTCGGAAATCACTCCTTTACTGTGTAACAACCTCCTAACTAAAATTAAAATTCCCTCCAAGGTTATAAAAACAATGTATTGCATGCATAGACTTTGTTAGATATAAATGATTTAAAATTTAAATTATGGCAGAGTGCGCCAAACTCAACCTAAAAGTATTCCGTTGGCCAGCACTAGATTGGCTATTTATCGCTATCGCCAATTATTCCTTTAGCCAACACTAGATCGGTATGTTATTAGTATTTTCTAGTATTATCGATTAAGCAATCGATAAGTCGGACCACTTATCGTTATCGCTAATAATTTCGTTTTCCAACACTAGGTTGGCACTCGATAAGTTTTGCCATTTATCGTTATCACCTGTTTGGGCGTTGCTGCTTTTTATTTACGTTTCTGAATTTGTTCAATTTTGTAAATAAAACAACGTTTTAGTGCAGAAACCATTGTAGGAAATGCAATCCCAGACGAATCTCATCGCAGTATTGCTGCTGGCAGCTCTGATTCATGAAGGTATGTACCATTTTTGACGATGCTACAGAACTTGCAATTATGTTGATGACTGCTTGACAGGCGCTGCGATCTGGTGCTACCGCTGCACATCCGCCACGCCCGGTTGCGCGGAGAACTTTAACTGGCGAGGAATAGGCTTCCTGGGCGAACACTGCCCGGAGCCCAACGACATCTGCGTGAAGGTGACAGAGCGACGTGGCGGTAAGTCAACGCCTATTGATGTACTCCAGCACGTGCATTGATTCTATCATTCCCTTGCAGCCAAGGAGACCATCACCCGCGAATGCCTTAGTGCCCTGAGCTTCCGCAAGGATATACCCGCTGACAAGTATGAGGGCTGTCGTCCTGCCGCCAAGATGGTGAATCTGGGGCACTACGTCAACCACACGATCAAGGAGCACGACGTGAAGCGCGACTACTTCACGGATACAGAGTTCTGCTTCTGCTTCCTTGACCACCGCTGCAACGGAGCCGGCGGAATGCGAGTCTCGGCCATCGTGGGTTTGCTTGCCGTAGCCACTGCGCTGTTCTTCCGCTAAAGCATCACCACGGAGGTGGCTTTGCCAAAGTGCCTTAGTAACAATACTAAACAACGACGAATCTCGTCTAACATTCCGTCCGCACATTCCACGACTTTGTACAACTTTTTTGCGTATTGCATACACCTTTTAGAGACTTGTGTTTACTCAACTAATTAAATACATTTTACAATATTTATAAACAGGCGTGAAATCGTTGCATTAGAGGACCTCCGCATTCTTTGGCGCCCGGTAATCGTAGCTCGCCACCTCGGGATGTGCTTTAACGTACTCTTCGTATACTTCGGCCAGTCTGAGGCACTGTTCCACGGACAATTCAAAGGAGCGCAGCGTGTCCTGTACGTCGGCGCGCTGGAAAAGCTTCTGAGTAACCTCTTCGCGGTCTTCCGGTGGGAACAAGGTGCCATAGCCCCGGCGGCAGTACTTTTGACGCATGCTAAAGATGTGCCGCACCACACGCTCCACCAAGGGAAACGGCAGATGCGTCTTAGGGCGCTTCAGAGGTATTACCTTGACAACGCCTACATCCACCTGCGGCTTGGGCACGAACGCCTTGCCTGGTATGATGAACTTCAGGACCGGTTCCGTCCAGATCTGCGACATCACAGACAGTCGGCAGCGCTGCTCGCCACCAACTGGTGCGCAAATCCGCTCGGCCACCTCCTTTTGGAAAGTGAGCGTCATGCAGGTGTCGTTGCGACGGAAAGCGCCTCGTCTGGCGGCCAAATCCTCATACCAATTGATCAGAAGACGCGTGGAGATGGCGAACGGAAGATTGCCAATCAAGTGTAAACGCTGCGAGGTGTCCGGAATATGCTGCTCCAGGTTGAAGCGCAAGATGTCCTCGTAGTACATGTCCACCTGGATGTTAAGTGGGCTGGCACACTCCTTCAGCAACTGGAGGGTCTCACCGAAGCGCTGATCCTTCTCCACGAGCATCAGTCGCTCCGGCTGGCGGCGTAAAATGGAGCGGGTGATGCCGCCGGGCCCGGGACCCACCTCCAGCACAATATCATTTGCATCGATACGACCCGCAGACTTGACAATCTTGTCCGTCAGACGCTCGTCCATAAGGAAGTTCTGGCTCAGCTGCTTTCTCGCCTGGAGCTTGTAGAGCTTAACTAGTTCCCGGATGGTTGGGAGTGGCGGCAGGCGCATGCCGCTCTGGAGTATGCGGGCGGTGGCTTGTGACATCTGTAACAACAAGAATCATCTAGAAACTAACCAGGAAACAGGTAAGACTAGACTATACTCACATTGTTGTGCAACGACTTCAGGGGTGTGTAAAATGAAGAAAACGCTTACGTACTAGAAGAAACTAACTATAACTGCTGTGGCTAGTTGGTGGAGACCTTCTTGGGCTCCTCAAAGTCGTCCAGGAACTTCTCTTGCTGCACCGAAAAGATAGAATAGCCGTAGATGGCAAGCACGGAGACTCCCAGAGCGCCGGCGGTCAGTAGATTGTTGCGGCGGATACGCTTCAGTTTCTGCACGCGGTCCAGGTTCTGCTCCTCAATCAGCTTCATAAACTGCAGCTGTGCCCTGTCCAGCTTGGGAGCGTTTTCTCCGTACTTGATCTTAGGTCCCTGCTCCGGCGCCGACATTATAAACGCTTACAAAATATGAAATATTTTGTTCTTTTTGCTGTTGAAAATTATGAAATCTCACACGATATAAAGATGGAAGTAAATCGATTGCCCATTCGATATTTTTATGAAAGTATAAAAACTAATTTACAACAAATATTCTCCATTATAGATAAACTGAAAAAAGAAAGTCAAAATCAATATGTTAACATTGTTTTTTATTTTCTTCAAAATTATAACAATAATTTTAAAAAATGATAAGATATCGACTATCGATTGTTTCGGATTGGTACGGCAGCACTGGACGGCTTGGAAACCGAGGTTATTTTTGGCGCTCCGTCAGCGGTCACTCTAAAGTGAGCAGCGATTTTCATCCGTTAAAACTGCTTAAGTTTTCCTCATATTTCGGGCCCTGCGCCACGGCAGTTCACTTTTGTTGGTGGCTCGAGTGCGACGGCAACGGAAAACGCTTTTCCAGGCAAAGTGCGTCATTAGTTGCCTGCAAGTCAGCCAGAGCTATTACTTGTAATTGCGCTGCAAAGTGCGTAATTAGAGCTTGAGGGGAAAACTGCGTTTTCCGCAAATCCAGAACGTGTTCCATATTTTTAAAAACGTACGTACATAGAGATTACCAGTGCTCGTGTAACTTACCCAAGAGTGTCTAACGAAGCCTCTACGATGACTTTGAAATGCGGAAATGAAAGTAAAAATTCGGTTGCGTGCTTGGGAAACAGCTCTGAAAATTTTTACTTGCAATAACAACAAAGGCAAAACAAACGCGTAATTGCAGAAATCAGCTGTGTACCTACGGACGAACAAGAGCCACAGAAAGAGACGGAGAGCACAACACTCCGCCAGTCCCCCCCACCGTGAGCTATTACCCAGCCACCCCTCGGCCCCAAACGCCTCCCCCTCCATCGACGATGGAAACCTAACAGCTGGTCGGAGCGCTCTCTCTGCCGTTCTCTCTCTCTCGCTCGTGTTTGCCTTATTTGGACCTGCTTTTTTCTTTCGGTTTTGTTTTGGTTTTTTATTCAACGTTTATTGTGAGATTCGCTTCCAGGCAAGTGAAGATTTTAAACTATCGAATGCCTTGTTCCGAATAGGTTTCATTTTCGCAGTTCGAGTTCTCTACTCTACGAACCTTTAATTGCAATTAATTTTGAAATTCCCTCTTGCAGATACAAATCAAACCGCGTTTCGTCAACCGCCGTCCCGCTTAGGCAGTACAATTAAAAATAAAAACAATACCAAATACAAATCTACAAGTTGACGCGAAAAAAACAATAGGACTATCGTTCAGTAATTAGTGCAGCCGCCAAAGAAAGGAATCCGTATCCGAGATGGCGTTCATTTCAAAAGATTTTCGGTCGCCGGGCGAAACATGGATCAAAACCGATGGCGGCTGGGAGATGTCCAAGGTGCTGGAGTGCGGCGGCAAGCGGAAACGGTGAGTCTTTCATTTTTATTATTTGGATTTCATGCATTTTCTTATAGCCAAACGAACCACACGCAACTTTTCACAATAGACCCTTGATTTTTGACGTCCCAATTATGAAATTGATGTTTTATAAGTAGTTGCTGTTGAAACTAATCGGCACAATGCTCGATTTGCATTTGTAAAGGTTTAAACACAAGCCAGGTTAACTTAATAACTCACAAATAAGAGTAAAGTATGGCAGAAATAGGGTTTGAGTTTTTAAAATAAGTTTTCCAAAGCAACAAGTTGTCAGTGCCCCGATTTCTAGCCTAAAAGTACAGAATCAAATATCATGAACAAGTTAAATTACGTTTAAAATCAATATTTTTCTACATTAATATTTACAATTCTTGAAAATGCACTAGAAAGTCTTGTGAAAGATCTAGAAAACAAATGTAATTGATTTATGTTTCAAAAGCTATCTTATCTCAAATCAAAAACCTAAGACGTAATTGAAAATGTACATTGAATGACCTTAAGTGAACTTAACTCAGTTGTGGTATTTGGATTACTCATAAGTAGTTTCTAGTCACGTTTCTATTAGCAAATATAATTAGTAAACTAGATCATTGGCCTCACTTCCGTGTAGTAATACGTAGCCTTCGTTTTAAAAATATATTGTATTCGTTTTTTAGGTTCTATTTGCAAAATCCACTTTTTGCAGACAATCTTATCAGTAAAGATAATGCATTACCTTGAGCCAATTTTGACTGAAAGTCATTTTGAAAACAATGACAATTTGCATTACTTTAAATCATAATTCTACTAAGATCTGTGACCCATAAAGAGTTGTATTCCATAAGCCTAAGCTCTATAACAAACAAAATACCGAATCGTGGCATTTTCTGGCAGTTTTCGCTACCGAAATATTTAAATCATTCAATTTAATAGACTCGCTTTGGGCCCAATATAATGGCCAGTGATGGTGCTGCCATTGAAGTTGGCCAAAGCAAAGCGGCGAATAATTGTCGTGGTCCGAACAATGGAGCCCACTTCCCATCGGCTTGGCGTATCGATGATTTCTCAAACTCAAGCCGCAGGCAGTAAAAATATAATCAAAAATATAATCGACGAGACCAAAGTTGTGCGTTTATGCCCATGAAAAGTTGCTCCAAGTCTTGTAGAAGTTTCCCCAAAATCTTGATTTATTCAAAAGTGTCATATGTATCGGCAATGAGTCACTGGTTGAACCACTGTGAAAGTGGTAGAAGTAGAAGCAATATCCGTATCTCGAGTGGTGAACTGGGACGGAGTAGTATCTCTGATCGATCGTTCGATTGATTGATAGTCATTGTTATTCGCTTGCAATGGGAAATTGCAAGTGGAACAAAAAGTTATTCAGACATTAAAGAAAACAATAGTTGGTGAGAGTGAAAACACGGGCCTTGATAAGCTAATGATTTTACGTTGCAGATTTATTAGGTTTAGATACCTATGCTTTGTATGTTGGTATATTTTGAACAAGTAAAGGTTGCCCTAGTGAAGTTTTTTGTTCATTAAGTTTGGCATTCACTTTTTTAGGTTTTGTTAAAATTTTTAAAACGAAACAAAGTCCAAAGATCGCAAAAGGGCCTATGAAGTGATATCTGTTCTAATATATATTTTATCCCAAATTTACATAAACAAAATAATCATAAACAGTATCCTCTCTAAAGCATCCTTAAACTAATTTCTCAAAAGTCATTAATTTTTCATTTCCATTTCACGACTTACGAGCCTTTTCTTTTGACAAGATGATGGATTTCCATTATGCATGTATTTATTGAAATTACTCATTCCGATGACTGACATATCCCATATATCGATTCAATGGGGGGAGTTGTTGGGCGGAAAGTGGGAGTTCGGAGGTCGAAAGTGGGCGGTGCGGAACCTTGAGCTTTTGGGGCCATTGCAAGCTCTCTCACATACTCTCGCACTTTGCACTCTTTGGCCTAAACTTGACCGATTTTCACGCCTACGGTTAAGTTAGCCTTTGGCTTAAATAGTGTGTGAGTGTAGTTTTCATTCCTTTGGGGTTTCGAAGTTGGCAGGACTGACTTTTCACAGTCAGAAAACCACACTAACAAAGTAGTTTCTATGGGGTTGAATGTGCATTGGTGTCAGCCCACCTTTCTTTGTCTTTCTAAATTTGGAACGTTTTCGAGTTACTAGGGAATATGTTTACATACAACTCAGGTTGAAATAATAGTCTTCAAAGTATAAACAAATATATTCTTAAAATTCTAAAATGCACATATTTTTTATAGGATTATTTAACTCATTTATTTCTTTTGTGACTTTAGTTATCTATATTTTTCAATACCCTAAATCACCAAGGCTTTTCTAAGAACATGTTCACCCATAGGCCTTATTTAGACCATTTTCTAAGATATTTCTGTGCCCTCTACTATGTGTTCCTGTCCGACTAAATCACGAGTGGCACTATTTCCGCATTTCCCCCATTTACGACCACTCGAAATGCCAAAAATAAACGCCCCCTCTATGGGTTCGATGGCGTTTTCTTTATGACTTGTCAAAAGTGCACTTCAAGCTCTTTATTTTTGACTTGCTCCACGTTCTGTCTTATGCAACATCATCTTGGCTTATCTCATAAAATATTATATAAATTGTAGTTACAGCCACTACGCATTTTCGAGAGAGAGATTAAGTTCAATTGAAGGCGAATGAGCTGTAATCAGCGCCCCAAGGTTCGGGTTTCCTAATTTTCCGAAACGGGTAAATGTGAGAAGTGGACCAATAATATTTGTGTCTCACTTTCGTGACTGAATATGTTTTTGAAATCCACATATATTATTGCTCACTTGCCTGGGCATTTCGTAACCGTGTTAAGCACTCGTTTCGAGCATTACCCAACTTTCTTTCTGGTAAATTAAAAATTTAAATGGCCGTCGGCCGGCACTGAACCCCCATTAGATAATGCCTCAAAAACAAAAAAAAGTAATAATTAGAAAAGCCAAATTGCATGGAAAAGCGAATCCAAAGTGCACACGACGGAGTGCGGACGTGTCCAAGTCAGAGCCGGAGTTGGATTTGGAGTCGGAGTCGGAATTGGACCCACTTTCACTGCACTCTTCGCTGCACATCTGCGGACCAACGATCGCCCGCTCGCTTTTTGATCGATTTTCCTGCCCGTCTTTCGCTACCGAATGCTTTTCCACTCTATCAAGGCCCATGAGGTCGCGGAAAATGGCTTAACGTTTCGTTAAACATATTTTCCATGTGCATTTGTGTATGGTAAAGATAAATAACGCATTCGCACATTCAGAGTTAATGATTGATGAATTTTATAATTTTCTCTGGCAATTTTATGGCATTTCTGTCTGTAGGCTTTCAGTTTTAAATAAACAAGATTAAGTTAAGAAATGCAAACTTAATTAGTTATAGCAGATGCACTTTAAAGTTCAAAAGTTATTTCCCTTTCTTGTTTTATTATAAAATATATATTGTCTTTCATATACAAAATAAGTATTCATCTAAATGGATTAGATTTATTTGAAAGCCTTTTTGCGTCTCAAAACGGGTGGTAAACATGTTTTCATTATGCTTTTTTGAAAACTAAATGTATATATAGAAAGAAAATCTGTGAATTTGGCTTAGTCAACTACAATTTACGCAGTGGGAAATGTAAAATGCGTTCTTTTTCTTTTCCTCTGACTCACTCATGCGCACTTTCCCAATTATATATATATTTATCTCTTGCAACCGAATATTTCCATTCCCTGTGATTCCCCAACGTCCCTTTAAAATTAGAACTTGAAACTTGAAGTCGATGCGCTTTCTGGGCTCTCCTTCGGCGGTCCTCAGCTCCATTACCAATTATTTATGTCGAAAAAGGTCACATGCATAAAAATAGAAAAGCGATTTTCCGCTGCATCTGTGTAGTTTTTCCCGCTGCGCCTGCCAGTCAAGGCGCATCGCTCCACCCCGCCTCGCTCTTCATTTCATTTGTTTAATTCGCTTTGGAGAAAGGTAAACGAACGCTTGATGGTGACGTCGTTGAGTGATTTATATGAATCACGTGGTAGTCGTAGTCGTCGACCACGACATGGTCTGTTGGCTGGATGGGATGATGGGGTGATGGCTGTGGGATGGGTCAGGCAGGCACAAGGTGGAGTGGAAGTGGCAGCCAGGAGACAGAAGCACAACGAATTCATTGTTCGTCAGCTATCTTTATACAGATTCGGAGATAATTGCATGTTTATCTAAAAAACAACCAGCGACAACATCACGAATTTCGAGCGAGAAATGGGGAAACGGAATAAAATAATCAAAAAACAATAATTGGCAGTGAAAATTACAATAATAAAGTGTTTTTTTTTTTTACCTTAGAGGGGTTGGTCTGATTTCTTTGTTTCTTTTATCTAAGGTGAGCAATGCGAATCGAATGTATATATCTTGTGAAATAGGTGTTGTGGAATCATAATGATCGGATAAGGGAAACTCTAAACGAGAACTCAATTACTATATAACGTTCAAACCCTTCTCTCTCAGCTAGAAAATTCATAGGATAAAGTTTAATAAAGTTTCTCATGGGATTGAAGTTGTATTCAGGAAACAAATGACAATTTTATCAAATAAAGAAACCCCCTGAGAATGAAAATATACAGCCTTCTTAGCACTTGATTTGTAAATCAACTTTTTATTGTCCTAATTCGCAACTTGAATCCTTTGAGCTCCCACTAGCCTTTATTTCCCCTCAACAGTACAATGAACTAAATGTCCTGCTGGTCTTAAACGATTTAAATTGTTTTAAGCACACTTTCTGTTGCAGAACATCCCCTATTGTCAGTCACTCAAATGCAATGCGAAATGCCAAGCTAAAGCCAAAAAAAGCCAGAAAAGAAAACAATAACAGATCCATAGTGCAGCAACACATGGGTGTGCAGTGCTTTCCCACATTACGTATACGTACATACATTCATGTACGGTGCTGGGCAATAGAAGCGGTGACCTACTTTGGAGCATGCCAGACCAGGCCAACGACGATTCTCGGCTCTCGACTCGCTCATCTTGGGGGCGCTGAGCTTTTGTTTCTCGTCCCACTTTCGTCGTCCTGTCTTTGATGGTTGTTATCCTCCTTGGAGCAGCTCCTGTTTAGGGACCGTGAGTGAATTACCACTGATTAAGGACCTAATTCCGGTTGCTCGCAGCTGATGCTGAATTTAATTTACTCCGCTTCATGGAGGACAAGTACCTGGAAGGACCAGATCGATGTGCCTTGACCATTTGCTGTGCGGTTGTGTGGATTCCGGCGAGGACGCTTCGTGTCCTTGGCTGCCGTACAAAATTGTTTTTGATTTCCCCCACAACTGGGTCAAAGTGTGCTCCCTCACTGGTGGGCTGCTGGCTGCACTTTGTCTAATTGAAGTTTTTCCCCCCCATAATTGCCTGGTAATTAGGTTTTCTTATCTTGGTTTTTGCACAAACTTCCCACCGCCTATAACTGTCGATTTTCAAGGTCACTAATAGGAAAGGTCTGACATTTGGGATAATGGCATTTCAAGTTGTACATTTCTGACCTCAAGGACTTTTAATTGGACTTTAAATCAAAGCAAACAGAAAAGTTTCGTGTATTTTTCTAATTTATCTCTTCAATTTGTTATAGAGTTCGTTAGTTATGGAGCTTTTTTAAAAGATTTCTATCTGTTAAACGCTTCCATATCCTCCTACTTCGCGAATGACACTTAATTTTGTTCAAATTGAATTGCAAAAGTATACAATCCTCACAAATTGAGCTCCGCCGACCCAGCGCTTGTAATTGCATTAAGCATTGCTTAAAAACTTGACACTCGGCTGGATTTCCACTCTCCGGCGAATTGCTTAATTTAATAACCGGACAGAGCTGTGGATCAGATGGTGGGAATCGGCAACGGTAGCTTCCGCCTCTCGTGAAAAGCGACTCACAAGCGTTTAACACTTGTAAGCCGCCAAAGCCAAATACTTGGTAGTTGCTGCACTCCAAGAGTGCACATACTGGCCAAACTGGTTAGCCCCCCAAGTTGAGGGGAGTGCCGGCCACCATTGGATCGAATCACTTCCGAAATGTTACATTGACAATGGATTATCTCGTTTTAAAAGTGATTTAAGACAACAAGAAATCGTGCAATTAAATAAGAAATAACACTCTGTTTTAGATCAGACCTGATTTATCTATGAGCTTGATAAAAATATTAATTTATTTCTGTTCCCTTGCAGTCACCACTCGGAGGGAAGCAGTAGCAGCTACCAGGATGCGAGCAGCGACAGTTCAACGGAGGACGAGTCGGCGGGGATGCCGCCACATTACCACATTACCATCCGGTGTACACGTGAGATCGCCGGATTCAATGGTCTGAGTGAGGCTGTGAAGCGGCTGGACTTCCGCCGATCGGTGCGGGATCGGAAACGTTTCCACTACATCTGTGCTTTCCTGCTGCTCGTCTCCAACAAGGGTATTGCCAGTCTGCCAGGCAGTGCCCAGCGCCAGCTCCTCCAAATGGTTGAGGAAGTGGCCTCCCATGGTAAGTGATAAATCGATAATCATTTCATCTACATGAGCATTATTTTTATCTCTTTCAATTTTAGTAAATGACAGTCAGCAGCATCCGAATGTGCTTCGGGGTCTGGCGCTGAAGCTGGAGCACATCGTTAACCAGGAGAATCAGAAGTGCTGGGGCAAGCCGCTGGGTAGCACCTATCTGTGGAAGGAACATATGGCCACCATCAAGCGAATTCAGCGTGTGGCCAGCCAGATCGAGATACGGGAGGTAAGAGCTCAAAAGAAACTAAACCCTGCTTTCCTTCAATACTTAATCTTTCGTATTTCCCCTCCAGCCCGATCCCGAGGCCAAGCCCAAGCTGCACGAGCTGCCGGAGGAGTGTGTGCGTGAGATTATTCTGTGCATCGCTGACCATAGGGACCTGGAGTCTGCCGCCAAGGCATGGGACACCATGGCCAAACTGGTGTCCGAGCAGCGCATCTGGCGTGAGCTGACGCGCTTCCACTTCAATCAGCGGCAGATTCATACCATTCTCGACCTGGACAAGTTCAAGCAGATGGGTGAGATCAAGGACTGGAAACAGATCTACCACCAGTTGCGCCGAACGTACGGTGTTAACGATGACTACCAGTTCGCCGAGGTGCTGGCCCTGTGCCGTTCTTGCTGCTGCCTCTTCTGGCCCTCGGACGGACATCCGTGCATCGTGGACCAGAGTCCTGACTACAAGCAGCGAGTGGAGGAGGCGGGTGGCCAGCTGGCGCTGGCCCAGCCTGTGCCCCCGGCCCAGTTTCTTAAGTACTTCTCGTTGTAAGACCACGACGGATCTGACCAAGGGAGAGAGATTAGAGATAGAGATCGATATGTATTTTTACGGAGAGAGGCGTGGTTGGCGTGAATGGTGTCCCTGTCCATGGATAAGTTGTTTGGCTGCGAGTGAGTCTTTATGTGCATGTTAAAGTTTTACCCTAAGAGAGGAGAGGAGAGAAGAGGATGAGGGAGGTGGAGGAGGAATGGATCAGAAAGCAAAGTGATAAAGATATCCCTTATCTATAACTACATTATAATCGTTTCGACTGGTTTGCAGTTTTTTGCAGGTTAAGATTCAGATTCTAGTTCAGTTCTTTGCCTTTGCCAACTCTCTTTTTGTATTGTTACCAGTTTATAGGGTCGAAGTCTGAACCACGATCTGTGCAGGACCGAAGATTACTATTAGTTGTGTAGAGTTGACGCTATTGTTCGACGCGACTCGCGTGTCAGGGTCCAATTCGGGGTCGCTACTCATTGATATCCTTGAGATTGCAGTTGTTATAGACTTTTTAAGGACACGCAAATCAACAAACTGCCACAAATAAAACGAGAATAAGCGATTATTTTGTTGTCAAACTGAATCGAGAAACTATTTTTAAATACCAGTATATACATATATAATGTGTAATTATTACCGATTTGTTCATTTTAAGACAAACGAGAAACACTCTCTTTTATGCATGTCTTTTGATCGCGATCTATTTGTAGAGTTTAAGTGTAGTTTCTTTTACGTCTGTATCAAGCTGCTTTTTGGTGCTAAATCTTACTATATAAGTTCCAATCAAAAAATCAAATCAAACCAGACTCTGAATACCCCGTCCCCGATCCGCGTAGTTCCGAGTAAAGTAGAGGGAGAAATCATGTGATGTTGCAGGAAGCAAAGCTAGAAACGAATACACCTACCTAACGATAACAAATCTTCAAGCGATCTGCCGCTAAGCAATGCTATATATACAAATATTAGAGATCGAGCAGAGATTATGATTACGATTACCTTAACCAATGCTAAGGCACAGTGGCAGCTAAGTATATCACGTAACAGGAATGATCTAATAATAGCAGTATGCTTAACGTTCATCGTTATTCATCTGGTTACTATAAGGTCCTTGAAAGAGCTATAGATAATGTTAAAGTGTATAGATATATCCATTAGTAGAACCCCCCGAGATCCCGGCCTCATGATTTCCTTTCCCTGTACAAAATATCTGTTCGATCACATTACTATTACTATAACTAATTACTATTGTAAGTATGAGGGTTTTTAGCATTCTCGATCATTATTCGTTTGCAAAATAAATCTCTGATTTTATGTTTACAATAAACTTGCAAATATCTATGGAGCATCGATGTTGTTTTAATTTTCTTAAAATTATTAGAATATTCCTTGACTTTTCTATATTCTATTTTTTAACGGTCGTTTGTATAGCAGCTATTTGAGTATAGTAGTCCGATTTCCATAAAATTTTACACAAAATTCTAGATTCATATATAATGGCTTTATATTAAATATGATAAAAATCAGTTAATAGTTAATTACAGGTCTTAGTTATTTACAGATCATGTTTACTTAATGTCCATTGATACATATTGATCATAGTTACTTACTGGTCATTCTTAATTACTGGTCATAGATACTTACTGATCGTTGTTACTTACTGGCCATAGATACTTACTGTTTAGAGTTACTTACTGCTTATACTTAATTTCTGCTCACAGTCAATTTTCCGATCGTTCCTATGGCAGCTATATATGTGTATATATAGTCCACCGATTCGCCATGCTGCGACGTATATACTAGTAAAATTATTTAGAAGAATATCTCCATAGTTTCCTTCAAATAGCTTAAATTTGTTCTAAAACAAATCTCGCACATCTGAGCTTATGATTCTCAACTGGTTCAAACATCACCGGAACGAAGTGACTGCTTCGGCCAAGTATCAGATATGTGTTGTGTTACAAAAGTTGCAAGTCATTGTTTATTAGTGTTCAAATTTAGTAACTGATTATACATACTTACTGGTCATAGATACTTAATGATCATAGTTACTTACTGGTCATAGATACTTTCTGTTCAGAGCTACTTACTGGTCATACTTAATTACTGGTCATAGATACTTACTGATCGTTGTTACTCACTGGCCATAGATACTTATAGTTTGGAGTTACTTACTGCTCATACCTAATTTCTGCTCATAGTCAATTTTCCGATCGTTCCTATGGCAGCTATATATGTGTATATATAGTCCACCGATTTTCCATGCTCCGACATATATACTAGTAAAATTATAAATAAGAATAACTCCATAGTTTCCTTCAAATAGCTTAAATTTGTTCCAAATCAAATCTCGCACATCTGAGCTTATGATTCTCAACTGGTTCAAACATCCCCGGAACGAAGTGACTGCTTCGGCCAAGTCTCAGAAATGTGTTGTGTTACAAAAGTTGCAAGTCATTGTTTATTAGTGTTCAAAGTTAGTAACTGATCATACACACTTACTGATCATAGTTACTTTGTGGTCTTAGATACTTACTGTCCAGAGCTACTTACTGCTCACAGATAATAGTGCTCATAGTTAATTACAGGTCTTAGTTAGTTACAGATCATGTTTACTTAATGTCCATTGATACATATTGATCATAGTTACTTACTGGTCATTCTTAATTACTGGTCATAGATACTTACTGATCGTTGTTACTCACTGGCCATAGATACTTACTGTTTAGAGTTACTTACTGCTTATACTTAATTTCTGCTCACAGTCAATTTTCCGATCGTTCCTATGGCAGCTATATATGTGTATATATAGTCCACCGATTTTCAATGCTCCGACATATATACTAGTAAAATTATAAATAAGAATAACTCCATAGTTTCCTTTAAATAGCTTAAATTTGTTCAAAATCAAATCTCGCACATCTGAGCTTATGATTCTCAATTGGTTCAAACATCACCGGAACGAAGTGACTGCTTCGGCCAAGTATCAGATATGTGTTGTGTTACAAAAGTTGCAAGTCATTGTTTATTAGTGTTCAAATTTAGTAACTGATTATACATACTTACTGGTCATAGATACTTAATGATCATAGTTACTTACTGGTCATAGATACTTTCTGTTCAGAGTTACTTACTGGTCATACTTAATTACTGGTCATAGATACTTACTGATCGTTGTTACTCACTGGCCATAGATACTTATAGTTTGGAGTTACTTACTGCTCATACCTAATTTCTGCTCATAGTCAATTTTCCGATCGTTCCTATGGCAGCTATATATGTGTATATATAGTCCACCGATTTTCCATGCTCCGACATATATACTAGTAAAATTATAAATAAGAATAACTCCATAGTTTCCTTCAAATAGCTTAAATTTGTTCCAAATCAAATCTCGCACATCTGAGCTTATGATTCTCAACTGGTTCAAACATCCCCGGAACGAAGTGACTGCTTCGGCCAAGTCTCAGAAATGTGTTGTGTTACAAAAGTTGCAAGTCATTGTTTATTAGTGTTCAAAGTTAGTAACTGATCATACACACTTACTGATCATAGTTACTTTGTGGTCTTAGATACTTACTGTCCAGAGCTACTTACTGCTCACAGATAATAGTGCTCATAGTTAATTACAGGTCTTAGTTAGTTACAGATCATGTTTACTTAATGTCCATTGATACATATTGATCATAGTTACTTACTGGTCATTCTTAATTACTGGTCATAGATACTTACTGATCGTTGTTACTCACTGGCCATAGATACTTACTGTTTAGAGTTACTTACTGCTTATACTTAATTTCTGCTCACAGTCAATTTTCCGATCGTTCCTATGGCAGCTATATATGTGTATATATAGTCCACCGATTTTCAATGCTCCGACATATATACTAGTAAAATTATAAATAAGAATAACTCCATAGTTTCCTTTAAATAGCTTAAATTTGTTCAAAATCAAATCTCGCACATCTGAGCTTATGATTCTCAATTGGTTCAAACATCACCGGAACGAAGTGACTGCTGCAGGCCAAGTATCAGAAATGTGTTGTGTTACAAAAGTTGCAAGTCATTGTTTATTAGTGTTCAAATTTAGTAACTGATTATACATACTTACTGGTCATAGATACTTAATGATCATAGTTACTTACTGGTCATAGATACTTTCTGTTCAGAGTTATTTACTGGTCATACTTAATTACTGGTCATAGATACTTACTGATCGTTGTTACTCACTGGCCATAGATACTTATAGTTTGGAGTTACTTACTGCTCATACCTAATTTCTGCTCATAGTCAATTTTCCGATCGTTCCTATGGCAGCTATATATGTGTATATATAGTCCACCGATTCGCCATGCTGCGACGTATATACTAGTAAAATTATTTAGAAGAATAACTCCATAGTTTCCTTCAAATAGCTTAAATTTGTTCTAAAACAAATCTCGCACATCTGAGCTTATGATTCTCAACTGGTTAAAACATCCCCGGAACGAAGTGACTCCTGCTGGCCAGGTCTCAGAAATGTGTTGTGGTTCAAAAGTTGCAAGTTATTGTTTATTAGTGTTCAACGTTAATAACTGATCATACACACTTAGTGGTCTTAGATACTAATTGATCATAGTTACTTACTAGTCATATTTAATTGCTGTTCAGAGGTACTTACTCCTGAAAGTTACTTAGTGCTCATAGTGAACTACTGATCATAGTTAATTATTGATCATAGGTACTTTCTGTTTATAGAAATGTTGAAAGATACTTACTGATCCTCTGAATTTATATACCGTGTTTCTGGCAGTTATAGTATTTTGATTTTCATAAACATTGAGATTCTTTTAAAACTGAGGAACTAGTTTCCGTAGAATATACGTATATTATAATACCCTGCAAGGGTATAAAAATGCCGCCAAAATCTTGGCCCCACTTCTACTTAAATATTGACTAAACAATGAGTTGCCATGGACACAGATAAATCATCAATAAGGAGTAGAGCCACACACAGTTTTCTGTGGGAACTTTTTTAGCTGCTGATAGCTACTAAACAGAAATTAAAAATAAAATAAACTATATCCTGAAAAATGGAATTTATATTCAAGAAGGAGCGCCGCACCTTCGGTGCCCGCGTCAACTTCGAGGACAAGGATGAAGTGGTCTTTAGCGAAAACTCTAATCCCGAGTTGGTGAAGAACTACATTCTGCAGAACCCCGTGGATAGAGTGACGCAATATGCCGGACAGACCTCGCTGAGCGTGGCCAATACAGAGCGAGCCACATACAAAAGCACGGGGATTACCCACAATGAAGGCGGGTGGCCCAAGGACATCAATATGCACGATCCAGAACAGACGGTTCGATATAAGCGAAAGATCGAAAAGGACGAGAATTACATCACCCAAGTCATGAACTTGACTAAACCCATGGAGCACTATATTCATCAGAACAATGCCGTCAACATATACGAGAACTACTTCGAGAACCTGGACCCTGCTCCGCTGCCGGAACCCTGCAAGTCGCGCACTGTTAACGTGTACCGAGATCCGAATCCCATCAAGGTGCCGGTGAAGCACCTTTCGTGGTCCCCAGATGGCGGTATCAAGATGGCCGTCAGCCACTGTGACATGCGGTTCCAGGGCGACAAGTCTGGCCAGAAGTGCAACTCGTATATCTGGGAGGTGGAGAACCCAAATGAGCCCTTCCTCACCCTGGAGCCGAAGGTTCCGTGCGTGTGCCTGGAGTATAATCAGAAGGACCCGACCAGTTTGGTGAGCGGCATGTACAATGGCCAGGTGGCAGCTTGGGACACACGGCATGGCAAGCATCCGGTAATGATCAGCGAAAGGGAGGTATGCCATCGGGATCCAGTGAACTCGGTGCTGTGGAACAACTCCAAGAGTGGCACAGAGTTCTTCTCCGGAGGATCTGATGGTCAGGTGCTGTGGTGGGATACTCGTAAACTCACCGAACCGCTGGACCGGCTGCTTATGGATCCTGTGAAGAGTGATGACCAGGACTTGTCGCGATCCTATGGCATATCGGTGCTGGAGTACGAGACCACTATCCCCACAAGGTTCATGGCGGGCACCGAGATGGGAATGCTCTTCTCCTGCAACCGGAAGGGCAAGACGCCAACAGAGAAGATCCAGATACGAGTGGGTATCAAGTTCTCCTCTTATTGTAACCCATTCTAGAGAGAGAGATCTCTTCTTGCAGATGATGTGCCACCTGGGACCGGTTTACGCCATCACCAGGAATCCGGCCTTTGTAAAGAACTTCCTCACTGTGGGCGACTGGTGCGCACGCATCTGGTCGGAGGACTGCCGCGAGAGCTCCATTATCTGGACCAAGAGCAGTAGCTCCATGCTGACTGACGGCGCCTGGAGTTATACCAAGTAAGATTCAAATTGTGATCTTTATTCCAAATTTGGCTTGTAATTTGCTTTCCAGGGTATCGCAGTTCTTTATTACTAGGATGGATGGAGTGCTGGACACTTGGGATCTCCTGCAGCAACAGAATGAACCCGTGCTCACCGTTAAGGTGTGCGACGAGCCCTTGTATTGCGTCCGGACCAATGAAAACGGCAAGTTCGTAAGCTGCGGTAGTCAACTGGGTGCCACTTTCCTCATTGAGGTCTCCGACAACATGGTCATCTCCGCCAAGAACGATAAGCCACTCTTAACTGCCGTAAGATCTTAATATCCGAATATAAGGATATAAACTTTAATGAGATTGTTCCCCTTGCAGATGTTTGAGCGAGAGAACCGGCGGGAGAAGATCCTGGAGGCCAAGTCGCGAGAAAGCAAGCTCAAGGTTAAAGCCAATCTTGGTCAGGATACGGCGGACATAACCATGGTCAACGGAAAGGTCAATATGGCTCCGTTTGTCGGTGCTTGCGAGCAGGCCGCCGCCGAGTATTTTGCGGCTGTGGAACAGGAACGCCAAAGACGACTGCCCGGCGGAAAGCGTAGGTGAACAATAGCGGTTTATTATTAAGTTCTTACTATTTTCCGGGAAGCCTTTTTTATTAATTTGATCATATTTTTTTTACAGAGGATGCGGAGGAGGCTGAAGTGTCCGAGGCTGAGAGCTCAAAGCTGTAGGCATTCAATTAAATTGTTGTTAAATATATTTCACGGACCAAACTAAAATAATAGCCATTGTACAATAAATAAATATTTAGCAGGTATTAGTGAATAACTTTAGAATATTTTAAAAAATTTATTGTTTTAAATGATTTCAAGTTATTCTATTTTGATGTTTACGTGTTCAACAATTCAAATTTAACGTATTTGTATACCAGTTCCCTTAGCTGTAATACAATCTATCGCTAATGGCCAGCTTACTATCGATAGTTCGTCATTGGATAAATTCCACCTCTAATCAGCTGTTCGACTTTCACACGCGGTTGCTAAGTTTTTTTAATAAAAGCCAATTGACAACAAAAATCGTAAGTAATGTGCTTTTAAACAAATCTCAGTGAACAGCACACATTGAACGAACAACAATAAAGTGTGAAAAATCTAAATGCAACAAGAAATAAACATTGCATCAGCTGTGCCATTGAAACGTGCCAAAACTACACTCGCCAGCAAAGTACAAGACTAAGTGCAAATTGTAAAGCAGTGCCAGTGACATAATAAGAATTAAAATAGCAAAAACAGATTTAAAAACAACAATATCTCGCGAGTAAAACAGTCCCTGGTAATTTCTTGATTATTTGTGTCAGGTAATTACCGTGGTCAGGTAGCAAACACATCTGCTTCGAACCCGTTCCATGTTGCACGGTGTGCGGCCTACGTGACTCAGAGGCAGTTATCAATGGCGCAACACATACGGAAAGTTCAGTGACCAATTTATGTGCAGCAGCCAAACGAAAACACCCCTAGACTAGGAATCAGACGGCGTCTAACGTCCAACTGATAAAGTCGAGCAGTCCAAATAATAGACCAGACTTGTAATAGGCCAGACTTGTGTGATTTCATTTTATAATTTCTTGTGTGAATTAGGCAAATAACACGGGTAAGACAATGACAAAAATCAAGTGAACTCAACCTGCCTTCGAATTTGTTATACTTAAAATTAAACATTAAAATCATTATTTAAACATTTAATGGATTAGTTGAGTCTTAGTGCGTCTTATAAAATAGCAAACTACTTTTAAAATCGTGGAAATGCGATAATCGAATTAGATTAAATAAATTTTATTAATCAGTAAACCCAAAATAAATCCTTGTCGACATGTTCTGCATTGCTATGCGCCAATTAAGACAGCCTTAGAACACCAGTTCGTTCTGGTTAAATTTTTTTTGCTGTATTGCCAATTGTTTATTGTTAATTGTTAATTCAGACCTTGGCGCGGCTTCGATTTGAAAGTGTTTCCCCCAAGGCGGGGTTGGGCTTGTGCACACCAGTGATTCACCCACCTGGCGTGGCGTTTGTGCTAAATACGTTATTTCGGGATTGCTTTTCCGGTTTTTTTTTTTTTGCTGCCGGTGCAATCCCAGGGGCCGGTCCTACCATTCCATTCTGGCCAGCAGTCACGTACACCATCCAACGCATCGCCTCTGCTCTCTGGCTCTTTGTTTATTGTTTATTTTTTTTGGTAAAGCTATCAACGAAGCACAGACAAAAACAGAACTTCTATGATTTAAATAAATAAATAATCTTGACCTTAACAATATGCATAGGTAAACCATAAACAAAAACAAGCGATTAAGAAGATAATATATGTATATATAACAATAATAATGAGAATATAAGATTTTTAAAAACAAAAACCAGAAAATAAGCAAACTTTGGGAAGACGAAATTTGTATACCCTTGCAGTTTGCAGGAACCAAAGTTAAGCCAAAAAGCATTAATTTCTTTATATTTTATTATCATGTAATTATTAAGAATTTAATTTACTGGCTTTCTTAGCAACCTCCAATGCCCCAAGGAGACCTGAAGGATTTGCATTTTTAAAATCGATTATGTGATAATTTTAGTGGCAATTCATTAAATTACTCGTTCACTAACTAATCTTTTACGAGTAATCACATTATTAATGCATTTTCCTTCAGAATATTAAACTAATCTATTTCTACTCTTATTTTTCCAGCACCATGTTGGACGTGATCCAACCCAGTAACAACCACCAAGCCAGCGACAACAACAACGATGTGGTGGTGGTGCGTGCCAAGCCCAAGAAGGTCTTCAAGCCAAAGGCCAGAATCAATCGGATTCCACAGGAGCTGCTCGATGATCCGCTGCTACAACAGGCCATCGACCGCCTGCCCTCCAACTACAACTTTGAGCTGCACAAGACCATCTGGCGGATTCGAGAGATGAAGGCCAAGCGAGTGGCGTTGCAGCTGCCGGAGGGATTGCTCATGTACGCCATGGTCATCAGCGATATTGTGGAACGATTCACCAGCGCCGATACAGTCATCATGGGCGATGTGACTTACGGAGCCTGCTGCGTCGACGACTATACAGCCAAGGCACTGGGAGCGGATCTTCTGGTGCATTACGGTCACAGTTGCCTCATTCCCGTGGACCAGACATGCGGTATCAAGGTTCTGTACATCTTCGTGGACATCAAGATCGATCCGCTGCACTTCCTAGACTCCGTTAAGCTAAATTTCCAACCGGACGTTGGCCAAATAGCTTTGGTCAGCACAATTCAGTTCGTGACCACACTGCAGGCCGCATCCACGGAGCTAAAGGCAGCCGGCTACGATGTGATAGTACCCCAGGCCAAGCCGCTCAGTCCGGGTGAGATTCTCGGCTGCACCTCACCCCAGCTGCCGGAGGCAACAAAAATGATAATCTACCTGGGTGACGGACGTTTCCATCTGGAATCTGCCATGATTGCGAACCCGCTACTAAAGGTAGGTAGCCTAAACTTCAGAATTTGGCTTTAGTTTCTAATATATATTTTTTTCCCTTCGTTTTTAGGCGTACAAGTACGATCCGTATGAAAAGAAGTTTACAATAGAGCAGTACGACCACATTGCTATGCAGAACCTTCGCCTAGACGCTGTGCAGCGCGCAAAGAAAGCGCGTCGCATCGGCATCATACTGGGCACACTTGGAAGACAGGGCAGTGCCAGAGTGCATCGTTTTCTGGAGAAGAGGCTGCATGCCAAGGGCATTGAGACGACGACTTTACTGCTCTCGGAGATCTTCCCCCAGAAATTGGCCTTATTCGCGGATATTGACGCCTTCGTGCAGATAGCCTGCCCGCGACTTTCGATCGACTGGGGATCTGCCTTCAGCCAGCCGCTTCTGAATCCCTACGAGCTATCTGTCGTGTTGGGAGATGTCGAGTGGACGCCACACAATTCGTCGCCGCGCAACAATGCCTATCCGATGGACTTCTATGCAAGCGGCAGTCTGGGACCCTGGACGCCCAACTTCAAGCCGCCAGCGTTGGGTGAGTGTGAGAACAAGCCTTCAGCTGATTGCTGCGGGCGCTGCACGCGCGCCGAACTGGAGAAGGACGATTCGGGGAAAGCAGCGGCCATAGCTGATCTTCTTGACTTCAAAAAAGGATAATCGAATATTGTTAGCCACATTCTTAGCTCCCTAGAGAGCCCTCCATCTCAAGCGATCAGTCCACGTCGTCTGCCCAAAAATAATGCTTACCTACTAATTTAGTTAGTACAAATTTTTTATTTGTAAGTTCTATCTTCTAGGTCGTCATCACTTGTGTTCATCACAGATACGTTTATAACTTTGTTCGCAAGGGCATATTTTAGTTAAGTTGCTAGTTTTATTTACAGAGATGCAATTGTTATAGTAACAGCAACAATGTACACTTTTTTTAACATTGAAATGATGTTTAAAACAACTCAATGCGTATTTTTATTTAATATTCTTTATGTAAACGTCGGGTTGCGTATTTTATCACCTAAAATATACGCGGCGACTTGAAATAGATATTTTGCATAAGCATTGTAAAAAACCAAGTTTAAATCTACCATTACTATATCAATATTCTTTTCTAGCAATGAGGTATTGAACTTCTGCTTCTGTGCAAAGTGCTCAATTCTTAAATTTCTACTAGCAAACTCATCTTTGAGACCTTATTGTTGGCAACAATAATAAATATTTTGAAATCAAGAGTAGTTATACTACAATTTAGTCACAGAATTTACAAACGTTCCGGACAAATATATTTATGTGAATATTAAAAATCCAATTTTTATAGTTTGTTAAACATCATTTTATTGCAAGAATATCACTCATATTTTAAATATGTACAATTTCTTTAAATATTTTACTAATTTACAATTGGGTTTTATATATACAATTGAACTAAATAATTGTCTAGTAAATTTGACTATAATATTGGCTATGATTTCTATGGATTTGTATATACAGTTGGTCTATTGAATTGACTAAAATTTGCTAAGGTTTTCCATATATACAGTACATTGGCTAACTAAATATATACAATATTGTTGATGTATATATACAATTGAATTAAAACATTAACTAAAATGTACACTTGAACTAGGGTATTAACTAGAATTTACAATTGTCTAAATTCGTCTAACTGCTGACACTGCAAGCGGATTTGGTTTCGTCCCAGGGCCCAGGATGTGTTAAGTTCGATGGTCCTCCACTGCCAGTCCTGAAGATCAGCAAAGTCTCAGCGGCGAGTCCGAGGAGCTCCGCCAGGAGCTGTAGCCGGTCCGCGATGGATGTTGTTGCCGGTCGGAGAACATCGCTTGCAGTGCAGATCGATTCGTGGTTGACAGTGAGTTTTTATAGAACTGTCCCCAGGTAGGCAGAAACGATCCTTTTACCTGCCTAATGACTTTGACCTTGGCGGAAATTGCCGCACCGCGATTACCCAAAAAAAATTCCTAGAAAGATAACTCCGAACACCTCGAAAGTACTCACTGATTTCAAGGAAAGTACTTAGGTGGACATGAAGGTGAAATATAAAATGTAAACAGTAGGTATACATATATGTATGTATAGGGGAAAGTAGGTAAAATAAAATTTAGGGAATTTTAAAATTATATGAAATCTGCTGGGCATATGTAAAAAGCAAACCATTTCTTTTATCATTTGGAAAATGTAGAGACAAGAATGTTTCGTAAGTCTCTCCAGAGAGTCCAGAAGATTGGTTTTTTCATCCAATAACTTCGTTCGATCGGCTTAAAGCTAAAACTACTACTACTAATACATTAATAAAATTTCATAATTATTTATTAGAAGTTTGTTTTTGATTATCATTAAATATTGCTTACCTCTTTCGGGATTTCTGCTATCCCGCTCGCAGAAATCGCCGGTTCCTTGCGGAAATGGAAGAATCAACATTTACTATTATTTAAATACCGATTGTTATTTCCGCAATTATTCACTGCACAGCGCATTTTAAATTATTATACTTTAATTGCAAAATAAACAAAGTCAACAGCTGTTTATGCAAGAGATGGTAAAACAATTTTAGTAAATGTGTTTACTACAAAGGTTCATGTCTTGGGTAAAAATTAAATATAATAATTTTAAGTTTTTCCATATTATATAAAATAAAATATAAAATTAATCAGCAATAAACAAATTATGAATATATTTAAATGTCACAAAGCGTAAATTTTATTAAATTTAATCATTTTCATTCATCGATAGTACCGATTTTTAAATCGAAATTCTTGCATCTCTATTGTATTTACATTTTATTGGTTTGTTTTGTTTATCCTGAACGTTTTTTCTTATTATGTTGAAAAGCAGCAATATAAATAGGTAAAGTTAAGAATTGTGTACTTGGTATTCTGCAAAAACATTAAATATCCGTCTCACAGTGTCCTCAATGAGATGCCTGATCCGCTGGCCAAGGAGCACCAAGCTCAACCTTCTTCTTCCAATGAAAACTCCAAAGCAGAGGCATTAACCTGTTGCATCTCCAAGGATCAGGATGTAATGGGCAGCCTTGCCGCCTTGCAACTTTCCGCTGGCGTATTGCAAATAGCGGAGCCACCACTGGACCATGTACGTGTCCAGCTCAGGGAACTGATGTAAGTAGGTGCTTAAACCGGAATTTCACTTTGCTGATTAAGCTGAATTTCTCTTCAGCGGAAGACAGAACAAGATCTACATAGATTTGTCCAAGGAGAAGTACAAACTGGACTGCAGCGAAGTCGCCAAACTGAATGATATGGTGAGTAGGAAAGCTAGAAGTACGAATTTACATATATATCCTTGCAGTTGGCAACTCTATCTACTTATCGAGATTTTAATATGACAAATCAAAGTTTAAAAATTTCAAAACTAAGCCAAAAAAGCGTTGATTTTAAATTAGAAAACACTTCACTGAGTTTAAAGCTTCTGAATAGAATTATAATACCATGTAAGGGTATAAAGATAATAATATAAAAAAAGAAAGTTGTAAATATTACAAGTTTATTTTATTAAAAAAATATATACACGTAAATATTTTAGTTAAATATTCTTTAATGCCTAGAAAACAAGTCAACTCTAGTTGCTATACAAAAAAGAACTTGTAATTATTAAGCTCTGACTACATAAAGGTGGTCTTATCTTGGATACTTCATTATATAGCTTGTGTACATCATTTTAATGTATGTTTGTAAATCGTGCTTACAATCAATAATGCCAATTAATTAGGGTCATTCCAAAGAGACCAAATACCCCATAATAGCTTAAGTGAACCAGCGATTAGCTAATTAAGTTGGGCGGAATCTTATCAGTCATTTGAACCAGTCTGTGGTCACAATCTTATCTTAACCCGCCAGGCAGCAAATGAACGTACATAACTAGGTATTATAAAATACAAAGTAATTAGCTATTTTACAATCTTCATTTATGCAGATGAGCGATGTGAGGCGCTACAAAGATAAACTGGCAAAGATCAAAAAAGAAATGCAGGGAATATACCAGCGCACCAAGGACTTGAAGGTAAGCCCTAATTTTCAACCAAAAAAACCCATTGAAACGTGATAAAAGTAATCAAAGATTATAACAAAGAAAAACACATGCAAACCTCTTAATTTTAAGTCGTTTATTATCTTTGAATTACTGATTACAGAAACGCGCCGCAAACGTGGCGGCCTGCAAGCAGCGCGACTACCAGCGTAAACTCGATAGGCAGCAGCACGAGGAGTCACTCATTGGCGGCCATTAGAGGCAGTCAGTGCCACCTTTACATTGGGATTCGGATTCTCGGTAACAAATAACCAACAACTTAACACAGACAAAAGTAAAATCATCTTTTATACATATATGTAATAATAACGATAATTGTTATAAGAGCTTCTGGAAAACATTTCACTTTGTGGTACATATATCGTGTATAATTAAGTAAATACCTAAGAGATTTTGCGAAGAAAAAGCTACATACATGCACCCGGAACAAAGGAAGCTACAACTAGCTACAAATATTATTTATAATTATATAAAAATATAATTTATATGTATACATTAAACAGTAAGATGGTGTGGTGGGAAAACAATGGCTACACATTCACAGCGCCAAGGCAGCAGCGGCTTAAATTCACGGTAAGAAAATCGGATCATGCTTAACCGACCGACTGACTGCGCTTGTAGTTCTACAAATAATTAAGTTCTCACATTTAATTCAAAGGTAAATGGGCAAGGTACTTCCGCGTACACAGCGTGCACATATGCACGCGTCAGTGTGTTGTGTGTGGGAGTGTGTGATTACTAAAATAAGTTACTACTAAATTAAAGCACGTTTACAATACAAAACAGTTGAGTTAACATGCAGCATCGAGAGTAGAAAGATGTCGGAGTGGAGGAGCATTCACAGCTGATCTGTAGCGGAGTTGGATCTGGTTACTGTTGCTCTCGCTGGTTCATTGGTGACTGTTCTTGGTGATTGGTGTTTATTTTTGGTGATTGGTTTAGCTAACTCTACTATACTCCTGATCATTCAGCATGTGCATTGCATCTGTCGGTGCAAAATACTTGACAGTGCCTAAAAGAATGCAGAAAAGTTAATTTTACAATTTAATTATTTGTAAATATATAAATATATATAAATTATTAGATAAATAAATGGATGAATAAAGGAGTGATGGGTTGTGGGAGAAAATGCGTTTAATTGGTAAATTTGTCGATGTTCTTGTATACTTCGATTATAATAGTTATATTTGTTTAAATTAAAACATACATATTATATATTTTTTTTTGATTAATATTTTGTATAAAAAGTGTACTACACATATTTTTAGTTTCATAAAAAAAATTCTATAAACTCTTCTCTATTAAAACATAGATTACTTCAATTGAAAACTTCTAGCTCTCATAAACTTCGGATTCCCGGAGTTAGTTTTCGTTCTAACTTGTATGAGTAAAAGAAATTATAATTTTTAAAGAAATTATTATCAGTTCACACAGATTACAAAATGAAAGAATGCAAAAGGATCATCATTATTATCGAATTCCGTTTATTTACAACAAATATTTAATAGTTTAAATTCATTTTGAGCCAGTTTATTATGTATTTACCTGTTGTTAAGCCTTAAAATGGTTTATATCTATATAGTTTATGGCAAGTCTTACAAAATCTAGTCTAGCAGCTTTCGTTTCAACGTAATATCCTTAATATCGATTTGTTTCTTCAGAGAAATTGTTCAAATGTAAAGCACATTGGCCTTATAGGGGATTTTTCTCCTAACTTGGTTGTATTTGAGACTAAATACTTTCTTAAATTCGGGCAACTTGGCAAGACTTTCTTTAGAGAGACCCCGAAATCAACCTTGTCTGCATCAACTCAAGTCGACTTCGCGAAACCCGTCACTATCTTTATGGTCAGTATATTTGGGCTTGGCTGTCTCCACGGATGAAGATGCAGAGGCTGAGACTGTGGCCGAGGCGGTGCCAGTGGCGGAAGCTGAGGCGGAGGCCGAAGAGACCCTACCCTTACCGTTTTCGTCAGTGTTTCTATTGCGTTGCAGGTACATCTGAATGGATACGTGCACCACGAAGATAATGAAGGCGCCGATTCCAAAGATCTCGAAGGTGGTGCGAGCAGAAACCGACTCGAAGAGCAGTCCCCCAATAAGGCTGCCCATGGAGACGCCGACTCCCTCAAAAATGGCACCCACCAGGCTCTGTTGGACAAGGGATATTATAAAGAAATCGTAAGGAACCCGGCAAACTTCTAGACACTCACCTGCATGGTAGCCTCGGTGCCCGGTGGAGCCACAATGCTCGCATAGGAGGCCATGGTGGCGTAAAAGAGTCCGAAAGTCACCCCGTTCATCAGTTCGATGGGAAGAATGTACCACGGATTCTGCAGCATCGAGTACAGAATGAATCGCACTCCGAACCCGAAGAGCACAAGGCTCATGGCGTTCACATGTCCAATCTTCTTCAGAATCCATCCCGAAAGGAAAAAAAAGGGCAGCTCACCGCCAAAGCATTGAATGCTCATGACCAACCCCTCTAGAGTCTTGATTGAACTGTCGCATCCCTCGAACGCCTTGTCCAGCTGCTCCAGATAGATGAAAAGGAAGTTCCAGATCAGCGCTGTGCCCAGACCAATAGCCACGCACCACAGAAAGAAGATGACGCAGCGTAGAGAGAGGAACATTTGGCCGACATCCTTCACGATGTTGGACGATAAATGTGTCTGGGTGTGCTGTAGGAAAAGTGAAGAACGTACCAGGCTAAAATCTATTCGTGAAAATAAATTACTTATAAGAAGTACTCACCCTTAGCTTGGAGGAGGCAAACACATCGAATCCCATTATGAGCAGAGCCATCCAAAATACAGCCGTGTAGTTCTTGTTCACCTCACCCACGGACATATGATCCACGAGGACACCGGCCAGCAAGGCGAATATTCCCCAGCCAAGGGATCCGCACAGCCGTTGCTTGCCATACAGATGATGACGCTCGCCAAGGATTCCAAAGCAAATGGCATCTCCGATGCTGACCACTACCGCCATGCCGATCCAGCTAAAGATGAGCATTCCGAAGAAGAACCAAAACTGTGGCATGGCCATGGCACTGCGCGTGTTAATCACTGCACTCTCTGCCAACTGTTCCTTGAGGTAATCCTCCTTGCAGTCCATGGTACAGTTGGTCTTGAAGTAGTCCTTCTCCTTGGGACAAATAAATGTGACATTCTGACCCGCAATCTGGCCATGATCATGGGGAATCATAAAGTACATACAGCCGCCCTCGTCGACGATGTCATTCATGTTGATGCTGGAGCTGAAGTCCAGCTGGGGATTTGTGCGATTCGCGGCACAGTTCTCTGTCTTGTTTTGCAGCCAATCCTGGCACACAATATCCCAAAGGAATGGCTGTGCCTCGCACTGGAGTTCGCAGCCCAGGGTTCGATTGCCGTAAAACCTTTCCAGATTCTTTTCCACGCACTCACCGTACTGGGAGCAGAACCGAACATTGGATACGCCCTGATGACAGTGGAACTCCACCTTGGGCAGCGGCTTCTCCATTCCCGGCACAAACATGATCATGAAGAAGGCAAGTCCTGTGAGTACTTGGCCGCCTAGGAAGAGGGTTCGATGTTTATGGTACCTAAATAAGATATTTGATTAACAGTTGTTATTATTTATTTATGAATGTATGAAGTATTATAAAGTAATATTGAGTTACTATAATGTGTGTATAAATTATCCAAATAACTTATACATATATTATCAGTTTAAACTGTATGTATGAAAGATAGTTCTATTTATCAAATAAAACTAAAGTACACTGTTGAAAATGTCAAGTTCTCAATAGTTAATTAAATATTTAACAATGATATCGATGATATTGAGTACATTTTCTCAAGTTCTCTTTTGATAACGGCGTGTTATCTTTTTCTATTGGATGTCTATCTAAAAGACAATTACTCTATTTAAAAGAAGATATAATATAGATATTTAAGAATGGTGTATTAAAATAGAAAATAATTTATTTACAATATTAGGTTTAGTTTAAAACAACAATTCTATATGGAGCTTAAATGTTCGAGGTCAGGAGTTCAATCATAACAGAAAGTTTCATATATGTATGGGATGACCTACCGGTCTGCAATGTAGCCAAAGAGGGGCTTCGCCAGCATTCCAATGATGGGCAATATCATGTACATGGTGCCCACTACTGCGGGGGAGTATCCCAGCTGGCCGGCGAGGGTGGGCATAAAGGGGACGACGGGAGCGGTGCCTAGATAATAAAACAAAGCGAAAAACAAGCTCGATTATCTTCTGGGAGATGCGTTGAAGCTGATAAGGGAGTGCTGAGTGATGAGTGTTGAGTGAATGAGTCGGTGGAGATATGCATATGGGCTTAGAAATAGTCGCCTAGGAATGGGTGCTTTCCCGCCATCCTGATAAGCAAAGTCCAACGACGGCAAGTGGAATTAGATAGTCCCGACCACATAGAATTTAATGTTAATTGAATTAAAAAAGTAAAAGCCAACTTTAATAGCTGAAAGTGGTTTGGCTGTCGGCAGGTCTCAACATTTGATGAGTTTGGGAGTGGAGTGTGAGGAGTGGCAGGTCACTGGGCCATTGGGACTGTCACTATCTGACATTGCTTTACCTTTTCCAACAGTTGACACAAGTTGCTTTTCTGTTTCGACATTGTGAAAACTGTTTAGACATCTATGTACATATTCTACGACATGGGGAAAACCTTATCGCTCGTCTGTATTAGCTTTCTCAAAAATAACTCACTTTATGGTAATTATTATCATCTCACTAAAAGTAATCAAGTTTATTGGGTACAATGTAACATAAAGATTAGAGAATAAAATTTCCAACTGGCTTTAAAGTGAGTGTTTCATTGCATTTTAATGTCTAATAATATCAATAATAGATTCTTTTTGAAGATCTGGAACATGTGATGGTTGAAAATTAAAATCTATGTGGAAAATTTATAATTTTGTTTCCATGCAACCCTTTGGAGTCGCTGATTCAATTAATTACACTTGAGACATTTCTGTTCAGAATTTTCCATTCCTATGAAAAGCAGAGACAAAGAAATAACTTAATTGATGTGATTCTACAGAAACAGCCTTTATGATTCGATGGATATCATTAAACAAATAAATTTATGAGCAAATTAAATGGTCAAACAATCAGACCCCTTAAAATTCAATCAATTAAGTATTCAAGATGTATGCAGATTTATTAACCTACTAAAAACTAGCATATAAACGCTATCCAAATTAAAATTAATGCATTTTTATATTAGTTATGATATTCTAAAAACTTTGATTTACCATAAAAATTGTTTTCTAATAATTGTAGACTCAATCGAATTTCTGTAATTCAAATTACAATCACTGTATGCATGAATGCTTCATCATTCGATGGGAATCGTGACCCAGAACAGCTTTGCATTAGCTTATCGCCAGTGCTTATTGGACTTGCGGTCTAATCCTCTATGCCATCGGGTTGAGTTCTTATCAGAAGATTATTGAGACGAAATTTGATATTGAAAATCCGCAATTCGCAGCTGGAAACGAATGAAGGGGGAAGCTACACTAGCAAATGTAGCCCCCAGCACGTGCGTGCGTCTAAAGACCTGTAAATGCGACCTTATCGGCTGATGTAAGCAATGCCCGGTACTTAGATTAATGGCTTTGTGCGCCGCTTTGGACAGGGGTGTGCTTACCTGCATTGAAGAGAAAGTAGTGAGCCTTCATAGGCAGCAGCTCCTTATCGATGGCCTTCATGTTGTGGCAATTTCGTTGACCTGTGACGCGAAGATCAATACTAAAGGCGTTATACCGCTGCTCCTTCCTTGGCACCACCACTTTTCTAGTTCATTCACAAAAAGTGCAAAGGCAGGCAAAAAGCATGTGTTTTTCTCGCACACACACACAGCCAGCCAGTGTGTGTTTATGTCGCGATCACGTTTCCCTCCCAATTGGAATTTGCTATATCAGCGGTTGAGAAGACTCTTTTTACACTCTTATCACAGTTCTGGCAATTGGTAGCCACTATTTAGGAGAGTTTGTGAATTGACGCATTTTTAGTACTAATAATCAACAAAAACCACGCACAATCAAAGACGAAGTCCGGCCATACGGGCATCCAAAACTCGACTGAGTCGTTGGCGTCTGGTCTACGAGCTGCCGAGTGTCAACATGTTTGTTTGCGTTTGCCCATCGTTTGTTTACGTATTCCGCTTATCTGCGGCACACCAATTATTATTGTTAACTGGATACGCCCACCGGCCGGTCCGTTTTATTAGCGCACTAGAAATAAGCTTAAAAATAAACCTATGTTGCAAAAACAGCTGATTCCACTAGGGATGGTTGATTTCCGCGCTAGGGATGGCACCTGCACACGTGAAGAACTCACGAGGCTACTTTAAAAACTAATCATTTTTTAAGTAAATGGAAAACTATTTCATTATGCACTCTTTTGTATACGCTTTTCTTTTGTACAACTTTAAACTTATAATTAGAATGACTCTATGCGTTGGGCGTTGGGGGACAGAACATGGGGAACGCGTGGTAAGAGATGTTGTTAATTGCAGGATCAATCATAGATGTGACTATAGTGCTGCTGGTAGACATGTATGTAGTTCTCCTTTTCCTGAGGCGTCATCTGCGCTATCAGCTTGTCGTCCAGTTGGTCAAGCGGATGCGGTCGCCCTGCCACCAGGACAGTGGGCACATCGTCCTCCTCCTCCCCGGAGTCCGAGTTAATGTACTCGTCAAAGTCGACATCAGCTGTAAGTTAAGAGAAATTACATTCAATATAAATGGTAAACAGAAAATAGAGAATAATCTTACGAATCTTGGCATTGTCGATATCCTTCTCATCGTCGCTGGAATCGCTCGAGTTGGCGTTGGAGGAGCCCATTCGCATCCCTTTCATGTGCGTCTCCTTCTGGCCGGGCTGCTTCTCGTGCTGCAGCAGTACGGACATGATATCCTCGTTCTCCTTCCGGTTTCGATGCCCGGATCCGCTTGCCCCTAGACCTGCTTCTGTCAAGCCATCGGCTGTATCCGTGTCGGTTATCACAGTGCTCTCCGTCATCCAGATCGGCCGTGATTTCCGCTCTACAACAGAGTCAGATGTGTCGTCGCCACCAATGGTCACGTCCACGCGGGTCTCCTCCACGGCGAAGCCTTGGTTTCGGGTCGCCTCGCCCGACCACGCCATGCCGTCGGGTCGCGTGGGATTGGGTTTGTTCAGTCCTCGAATGGTGTCTATGTCTACAGGCTCCGGCTCTAGGACTTCTGGTGCCAGCTTGATACCTTCCACCTCACGCAGGAGATCGTAGAGTGGTTGCAGCTGCTCGTTGAAGTGGGCTAACAGCAGGCGCGAGTCCTTCTTCGGCATGGCGGCGCTGTCCTCCTCCACAGAGCTGCCGCAGTACGTACACCGGAACTCTTGCGTGGCCATGTCGAAAAGCTGATCGGCCTCGAGGTCCGTGAACGTCTTCGAGCAAATTGAACACTTGAAGCTGGCGCGACTGGTGGCGTCCCGTTCCTCGGTCTCCATTCGCTTTCGCATTAGATCCAGCTTGTACTTGACCACGTTGACAAAGGTCTTGTAGTTGATGAAGTAGTAGTTAACCTTCTGGGCCTTGCCGTCCGGTCCAGTCTCCATTTTGAGCCGGATCTGGATGAACTTATCGGTGCGCAGAGTGGTGATCCTTGCTCTCAGTTGCTTCTTTTCGAATCGCAGCAATTCGCCTATGTCATCCTCTTTCATACAGGGATTCCGCACCAGCATGTCGATTATAAGGGCATCCTCCAGGGAGTAGAAGCCGCGGACCACGAGGCGGGCCAATTGCTTAAGGCTGCTGGGCACTTCGGTGACATAGCGCACCTCCGTTTTGGCTGGCGCGGGGGCTGTTGAGGCAGCCGCCGATGTCGACGACATCCTGATCCTGATCTGAAAGATCAGGACACTCGGGATTAAAACCTCCTCACTGGGACAGCGGCTGATCCACTCACCACGTCTCCGGAAGCGGAAGCGCTCTTTTCGGTTATCTACAGTGGGCAGCGGATCTGGGGATCTTCATGGGTCTTTCGGGCAGTTCGCAACTCCTTATATCTTTAAATTATTCTGGTTTTTCTTAAGTAAAAAATTTGCGCCGCCACCTCGAATGTGTTTATGTTGGTGCTAGTGGTGTCAAATAAAGATTGCAACTATCGACGGCACTATCGATATCGTAACAACGACTAGGCGGTCTATGTATCGAAATTTGAAATGGTGCTGTTGTTTAATTACTTCAACATTTTAAATGGGATTATTAGTTTTATAAATAATTTGAAACAAAAGAATCATTAATATTCTTTTTCAGATTGTAAGGTATGTTTAAAAACATTTGAACTGAAATAACAGGATATTCGTGAGCAATTTCTGTTCTGAAAGCATTCCAGTAGGTAGCATTCCTATGCGTTGTCTGATACATTTCCCTTCCATCTGGCTGTTAAATATTCATTTGCAGATATAATGCAGCTGATTCTCGCATGTTTCGAACTCCGGATTGTGTGCCTGCCCAATTAAGTCCATGACATTCAGCGAGGACAACAGAAGTGTGGTGCTGCCTGCCAAATAAGCACGCAGAGGTCCTGTCTACGGCCGACACACCAGCGCACCACCACAACGCCCCCTGACCCATGACCTCGGGACAGTCCACCACCCCTCGGCGGCGGCAGCGGCTGCTTTGTTTTGTTTGTGCCTCTGTACGCTGAGGTCCTGTGTGGGCGAGCCTCGTTCTGGGGGATTACACCGGAATGCACTCGAAC